TGCATATGCAGCAATGATGACGAAACAGGGAAACAAATTTTTGTGCCGCGGAATAAAATGAAGTGCACAATTTCAGCCGGCGAGAGGGGGGGCGGCGCAGGCAGCCCTCACCAGCGCTGCGCTTCCAACTGGACGGGCAGGGCTCCACTGCTCCTGCAGGAACCCAAGCTCGCCTCTAAGAAAGCCCCCACCGGCCGGCCGGGGCGAATATGCAGGTACCATCACAGGCACCACCAGGCACCACCACCACCAACACGACCACTGACAAACTAAACTGCAGCGACGGACACCACCGTCTTTTGTGTGTGCCCGTTCCCCGCTAAACACCACCACCATCACCACCAACACTACCCGTCCCAGGCACCAACACACTCTGCCAACATCCACCAACAAACCCACTAACCCAAGCCCAGCCTAGCCTAACCCAGCCTACAACAAAAGGCCCAGTTCCCGACCAACGCCACGCCTTCACCAAAGAGCTGCATCAATCACTGTCCCCCACATTCAACTTTGGACATCTGGCCGTGTGGCTGGCTCACCCACGTTGCTTGTCAAAAGGTCTCCTCCTTCGGTCCTGCTAATGGAAGTGCGAGTGGGCTTGGGGCTTTTCGTCCCTCTCTTGGCTTCGCCTCACTAATGCACACACCTGCATGATTGGCGCCGCCAGCTTATACCCATATCTTCTAAATTCCTTCCATTTCTCTCCAAATTACCCTTATCCACGCCGTGTGGGCGCTACCATGCGCGGCTCTTCCGAGGAATTGAGAGGTAGAAATTGGCCGCGGCATTGCATACTGCAAGCCTCTTGTTACGTTGCGTATAGTATAGTGAGCATTCCCAAAAGCAGTAGTCAACCTCTGCAACGTGCTCTACTCGCCACACACAAACAATAGACCGCACTCTCCACTTGATAACTTGGGCAGGCATTGGGCGGTTTGGCCCGTGGTGGATGGGACCCGTGCCCCAGGTCTAGAGCTCAGACAAGACCAACGAATCGAGATAATGCCTCAAGCGCGCCGTCGAGACAAAATATCGATTCGCTTCGGTAGGGGTCTAATGAGCCACTGGACCAATTGTCTACTTGATACAATCGGCATGCTACTTGGGTCTGGATCACGGCAATCCGCGACTATCAAGTACAAGAGTACAAGCTGGCATCGACACTGCCGACAAGCACTCTTGGCCAAAAGTGTGCAAGGATGCCCAGAGTTTTCGTCTATTGGTCTCCAGCACTCTCGCGGAACCAGCATCTCAAACCCGCGAGCCACTTCGGCACCACCTTGCTGGGCTCGGTCGCCAGGGCTCAAGACGACTCCCTGTTCCGAAATAGCGTCCAGACGTCCAGACAAAGGACCAGGAAACCAAACCAGGGTAAATGAAGAAAAAGAGGGCCCTTAACCAGGCTCAAGGTTAGCTCATCGCCACTACACCCTGGTGCCTGGCCCTGAGTGTTAGATCGCTTCGGCCGTTCTGAATTAGGCAAAGCCCGGCTGCTAGTCTTGCGGCGCCCGTCGTAAAGCCTCTCGCGGGGTTCGTCGTTGCCGACTTGGACAAAAGACCATGTCCTTTTCCTTGTAGGTACCAGACAATCGGATCGATTAGTAGCAGACACCAACCAGCACGGCAGACCTTTCTATGTCTTTGGCCCTGGCACGCTTAGCGTCCCATCCGGCAACAGATACGATTTTTTTTCGTCTACTAGTGCCAAATCCCATTGTCATTAATCACTATCAAAAAAAATAGAGCAAAGATCATCAGCCCGCCGTCGAGCGCAATGTCGTTGCGCGAGTCGTACGAAACTCTAGATGACATCCTCATAGAGCACGTGTGCGCTGCAAGACTCTGACGGTTGAACTCTTTTGAGACATAACGGGCCCTCCAGTGTCAACGAAGACTACCACCGGGTCACGCCAACGGCCCGTGTCATGTTAGCGCAGGTACCAGCGCTGGAGAGGACCCGCCGTGTTGGGCTTATGGCCTGGTCATTTCACATACCCTGGCATAAATCCCCGGATTACTTTGTATTTGGATAGGCGCAAATTGCTCCGTGGGTCGGCCTCACAGTATGCTAATATCCCAAGCTGGCGATTGCCACCGCAAATAGCCCTCTTTTTCAATTGTTCTACCGTTCTGCAATTATTCAGGTTCACTGGGGGCGTTGGATGCTACGCTCAAGCAAACGTTTTTCCTTGTCAACGGTGGCAACCGAGGAGAAATCCTAGTGTCTTCCTCTTCGCTTCTGATGTCGGCATACCTTGAACCGAAGGAAAGCTTACATGGTGGTCGTTTCTTGTACACACATCGTCAAAGACCTTCCAGGAATAGCCAGTGGAGTGTGGGCTAGGGTAACCCCCCCCCCCCCCCCCGGTCTACTTTAGCAAGAAAGACAAAAGTCTCTGGATCTTCTGGAAGGCGTTTGGCAGCCCACCAACGTGGCCTAGTGAGCAAAGGTGAGTGAAGCGGTAATTTGAGCTCTAGGAAGCATCAGCGACGATCTAAATCCTCAAAGGACTATGTCGGCACCAACCATGGCGTGGGACCCGCATCAAGACCTCACTATTCGGGCATTTTTAGAGTACATCTCTTTCCGACGTCTAATCCACATCCCGTGCCGAGAATAGCGCGTTTCATTCTCCACGCCGTGCCTCTGGATGAGATAGTTTCCGTCTGGAGAATTAGCTGTATCTTAGGTCTGACATGGGGGCTATTCTGGCCAGTGTTGTACTGTATTCCTGGGAGGATTTGGGATTTGCCGAATGGAATCGGCAGCTAGTCGGTTCCCGGCAGGTGAGAAAGAGAGAACACAGCAATCGAAATGGAGAAGTTTTACATGGCAGTTGGAGAGCGCAATATACGCCAGTTTAGCCTCTCACATGGCCGGCCAACAGCACGAACCACTGGAACTGCATTAGGTGCAATATAGTTTGTCTAACTGCACCCCGAGTGGAAAGAGATTCATATTCTGGATCGACCTTGATTCGGGGACCTCTAGCTACAAGGCAGCGGGCCCGTGAATGAAGCTGAGCAACGTGTAAACGGCAGTTGTCTCATTACGAACGGGACCATCGTGAGAGAACAATGTTAATACACGCACAATGTTGGCTGAGATCGCTGCATTCAGTGTCTCGGCCTCTAAACAAAGCATTAGCTCAGCGGAAAGATCTACCCAGTTACAGTGGGAGTGGGCGGAGGCGGAGGAAAAAGCAAAAAAACCACTATCGGCCACGCATTGGCTTTTTCAAACGGCTGCAACTAACGCATGTCTTGGTGTTTCTTTTCTTGGATGGATAAGTTTTAGCACTGAGCGCCAAGTTGCCAAAAAGCAAGCCTGGTCCTTTTTTATGGCCCGCTAAACTGACACGTAGGAAGTATAACGGCTAGTTTTTGAAGCGCGTGTAAGGCTGGTGATACCACCAAAAACTGGTACATGGATGAGTTACCGGCAGATCGGTAAATCAAAAACTGTTGTTTTTGTTTTTGTTTTACAAAGGTCCATTTACCAGGGCAAACATGTTCTACCAACGAGGCGGAGCAGCGTGTCTCGGTGCCGGCGAAGATGTCGCGTCGCACTTTGGAGAGTGGTGATGTTGACGGTTTTGAAGGGGTCAATACAACGCCACGGCCATGCGTTATATTGGGCGTTCAAGGGCCCAGTTAGCCGTGTGGTTTGTTTGCTCTCTTGTTTGCAGGCTTGTGTACGTGTGTATTTCCAATGGGTATTGGCTACTGGCACCTGTTACTCGTGTGCTATTGCCGCCGTTTGGTGCTGTTGCAGTTGGCCGAACGGGTGTGGTGTTGTCTCTTTTCATGTCTCAACGAGGTCAAGCCATTGGCCACCAAGCCATGCTGTCGGGCCGGAGCTAGACACCGGAAGAGACAAAGCCGAACTCGGACAAGACTTTTGCTTGCTTTTGCATCTGCTTCAGAGGCGTTGTGGTGGACTTTGCAAGTACCCTAAAGATGGACTGGCCATTAGGGTTGGGCTTGATGCTACGCGAGACAACATTCATTGATAATGTGGAGGGCAATCTAGGACATGGTAAGAGGACGAATTGACATGGTAGAGAGCAATATGTGGAAGGCTTTGTCTGTATAGAAGGCGCCATATTTGCTTTTGAGGGCGTCGTGTTGCTGGATCTCGAGAAGGACGCAGTGACAGCTTGACGCAGCCACCAAAGGGACAATATGGCCAAGTTTCAAGATTTGTGGCTCAATAGGGTGTTTCTAGATTCCGCGGGTCTGGGTTTCTTTTTTTTGTCCGTGTCCATTGAAGTGGCTGCCGATAGCCAAAGTGAGGGAGAGTGTTTTATGCTCCCTCACTTGATGATATCGCGGAGAAGAAGCAAAAACTAGGGTCTGTTCGCAACACAGCGGACGGCGGAAATGACAGCTCGGAAACGGCTGTGGCTTTGCATGGCAAGTATTTCTGTAAGGCGTCGCTTGTTTCTTTTTTTCTTTTCGCTTTTCTTTTTTGTGTTGTCTATTGAATCAGATGCGGGTTTCGGACGGTTTGCGCACTGTTGTCTCTTTGCTCGCAAGTGTTTGCATCCATGACGCCACAAATTGCATGTATTTGCGTACCAGGTGTGATTTGAAATGGTGGCAAACACTGTCCTACAGTGGAATTTTACACAATTCTTTGTTCGTACATTTTATGTAAATCGTGTGTGCAGAATTTCGCGAGGTACCTTCGATCTGGTAAAAACCCGCACGCTTGTGCTCTGAAGACTCAGAGAGAAGAACTCTATGAGCCTCAGTCCTGATTACAGGCAACACATTATGTGGCCTTAGATATTAAGGAATTAATTTCTGTATCCTTTTTATTTTAGTAGTAATTAATTAATTATCATTGCAACGCACCCGGCCATTCTGACGGCATAGTTGTCGTTTGTTCCCAAGCTCGGACAACCTCCAGGGTAGCCGCAACCTCCACGATTTTTCTTCATCACCAGCCACCCGACTTTGTTCATGCCCAACCTCCTCGCTTTGGTTGCCAGGCTGTGCACGCAGAACACAATGAGAGCATTCCAATGAGGCGAAATAAATAAAATAAATAAAATAACCATGAAAGGGATCTATTATTATATATTTCTATTTCTATTTTATTTTTATATTGTATGTTTTCGCTAATGGATAAACGTCGTGCCCAGCTTCGCCATGACTGCCAAAGCTTGGCCGTGACGCATGATATCGAACCACGTTGAATGCGTGGCTGGGAGCAAGGAAGCCGGAAATCCCTGCTTGCTGACGAGGCCTCTTGAATATAACCAAACCGGATTCTCTCTCCTGTGCTACATACTTTTGTTTCTTCATGACAATTCTCTTGTATTTTTAATTCTCCCTCAAACAATATATCCCATCTACAACTACAGACAACTTGCAGCACCCAATATCAGATTTCTATACCCCGCGAATCCTATCTGATATCACCTGCGCTACCTCCACGAAATTATCATCATCGCCATACAAATAGCCTCCTGACACACATCACATACAAAATACACCATGAGAATAGCAACCTGGTGGTCTACGGCGGCAGCACTCGCTCTGTGCTGTAGCAGCCCAGCAGCAGCCCAAACATGGAGCAACTGCAACCCTCTTCATACAAGTATGTTGTATTTTCTTCATGAACATCTCTTTTGCAAAAATCCACTAACATTCTTCTTCTCTTGCTAGCATGTCCTCCCAACACCGCCCTCGGCATGTCCGTCAACGTCGACTTCACCCGCGGGTCCGTCAACTCGTTTGCCGCCTCCGGATCCCCCAAGTACAGCAAGACAGACGGCGTATCCTTCACAGTAGCACAGAGCGGTGACGCACCGCAACTCGGCTCGCTCTTCTACATCATGTTTGGCCGCGTCGAAATCACCATGAAGGCCGCCCCCGGCGCAGGCATCGTGTCCTCGCTGGTCCTCGAGTCCGACGACCTCGACGAGATCGACATTGAGTGGCTAGGCGCAAACCCGGACGAGATGCAGAGCAACTACTTTGGCAAGGGCCTCACCACTACATACAACCGCGGCCAGTTCCACAGCGTCAAGGGCACCCAGATCCAGTGGATCAAGTACACCATCGACTGGACGAAGGACCGTATTGTCTGGATGGTTGGCGATACCGTCGTCCGCGAGCTCAAGCAGGCCGATGCCGCTGCCAACCAGTATCCCCAGACCCCGATGCAAATCAAGTTTGGGTCCTGGGCTGGCGGTGATCCTAGCAGAAATGCCCCGGGTACAGTCCAATGGGCCCGCGGACCGACGGACTACTCCAAGGGCCCGTTTAGCATGCTGGTCAAGAGCCTTTCGGTGACGGACTACTCTACGGGCAAGGAGTACAAGTACAAGGATACCTCGGGCTCGTGGACGTCGATTGAGGCGGTTGGCGGAGCGGTCAACGGCAATGCGAATGGAAAGAGTGCCATTACTGTCACGGCCACGGCTGCAGGCACCGCTGCGACGACGTTCATGTCTGTTCCCGTGGGCGGTATGGGTAAAGATGGCAGTGCGGCTACGGCTACGCAGACAGGGTGGCCGTGGGTTGGCACTGATAGACCGACTGGCGGCTCGATTCCTAGCGGCTGGTACATGACGGCAGATGGCAAGATTATGCGATCACCCTCCTCGGCGGCTATGGGGATGATGCCGTCGATGCCGCTGCTTGTGACGATGGCCTCGTTTGCTGCTGGAGCTGCTGTCTTTGCCGCCAGATTTGCCTAAGAGTGCCGTGGATGACGATTGAAATGACTTGTTGTTACAAAAATTGCATTATACACCTATAGACTCGTACAGTGGCGGCGATTCACTGGACGATGCATTCCTACGGCGTTTGTTTTTGATATTCTATAGAACTTTCAGCATGTAGACATTATTGGTTCACATGGCCATTATAATATACGGGAGACGAGATTCATTGTTGTCTTCTTCTTCTGTCTTTCACATTTCTTGTTTGAATTGCTGCTATGCTTGTTGATACAGGAGCTACTGTAAACCGTGTATAAAAACTAAAGGAAAAAAAAGAATTGTTACACTATCCTGCCGCCACTGGTTTGGGTTTTCAACGTTGCGCCGAGGCTCTTTCAAAGAAGGAGCTGTTTTCAAGATATTCTATCATATAGAAATGCATATATAATAGAGCCTGGTTCGTCCTTGTCCAAGTTTTTGTTTTGTTTTACTTCTAGCCGAATACCATTTCCCACCTTCTGCGCTGCGCCGCCGCATCATAATACATAATGATAAACCAGATAAAAAACATGAAAAGGGAAACGATCAGTCCGTCCAAAGCGAGCGTGTACATGCCTTGCTTCTCTCTTTTTTCTTTTCTATCCGGCCCTGTCTGCGCCGATGTGTCCCAAGAAGAGAACATGCAAATAAAAAAGGTCAAAAAGATAATTTCTTTTAAAACTCCCAGTCGTCTTGGTCTTCAACAGATTTGATGGCCCAGCGGAACTTGTCACGAAGCGTCTTGGAGAAGAACTTCTCAATGGGGACATCAAATTTCTTGGAGAAGACAACCGTCAAGCGAGGATCAATGTAGTTGATCTTGGAGGTACCCAGGGCGACCTCCTTGTTTCCATCGCGATCCTCAGCCTGCGTCTCCAAGACCTTGATACGCTCCTCAAGCTTGTCGACGCCAGCCAGGTACTTCTCGACGGTTGGTCCACGGCCCTCAGCCTCAACCTTGCCAGACTTGTTCTCCTTCTTGAACTTGGCCTCTAGCTCCTTGACGGCGACTAGACGTTCCTTGAGATCCTTGTCAGGCATCGGCTTCTCCTTGTCGGCCTTGCGCTTCTCGTTTTCCTTTTCAAACTTCTTGGTGGTCTTGGTGCGAAGTTCCTCAACAAGGAACGCTTGATGCTCTACAATCCATTCCTGGTCGAGATCCTCGTCAAGCTCAAAGTAGGCAGCACCCTTCTTCTTCTTTTGCGTAGGGTCAATGTCAAGCATCATCTTCTTTGTGCGCCACTGCTGGTATCGTAGGCCCTTGATTCGGTCTCCCATCTTTTGCATTTGCTGGTCGTGGCTAGCTCCCACAGTACGCTTGTGGTTACAGAGAATGGCGACTTTTCGGTTGCAGTCGTTGTAGAGCTTGACCTTCTCCGCAATCGTTCCCTTAGAACGAGGGTCCTTGCCAAGCTCCTTCAACAAGTTGGACATTGTCCACGAGGCGTTGTAGGTACGGAAGACCTTGGCCGTCAAGCCCTGCATGTAACTGTTGAGATGCTTGTTCAGCTGGGACGTTGTGAGCCTGTCGAACAAATCATCTCCGTCAGACTTGGGCGCCTTCTTGAAGAGCTTCAGATTCTTGAAAACTTGCGGCTCTACCAGGGCTGTTTCGTTGTATCGGATACTGTCCTTACCCAAAAAGTCAAAAGTAACCTTATTGGGAGGCTCTAGCGAGATGTGCTCATACTTTAACGAGCAACAACCAACAGTGTCGGCCTCGTTTTCTGTATCCTTTTCGTTACCAGCTCTCAGAGCAAGCTTGTCAATCAGATACATGGCGGTGGCTCTCTGACGATCCGCCATGACCTCGCTCTTGAGCTCCTTTGTGTAATCGCGACGAATCTTATCAATGTGCTTCTTGAGGGCGCGCGCCTTTTCAAACTTCTTGAAATCACTCTGGCCCTTGACATCACTGGCGGCGCCAAGCATGACGTACTTGTAAGCACCGTTGATGTTCTCCTGCCACATGGCAAGCCAGGTTGCGCGCTGATCGTGCTGAACAGCCTTCCACTTGTGACCAGCAGGGGGAGTCGGCACCTTGGCATGCTTGCCAATGTTGATGGTGATCTGTTCGGGCCAGACTCGGGTCTTGACTCTGCCAGTCTTGGGATGCTCACCACGACCTCTAAAGAGACTGGGAGGTTCCACGCGGAAGTTGCCGACTCGCTGTTTACGTCCATCCCACAGGCAGTGGAGATAAGGAGCTTCCAGCTCGTCCTTCTTGGCTTTGGCCTTCTCCTTCTCTTCCTTGGACAAGTTCTTGGCCTTGTTGGCCTCGGTTCGGGTGTTCCAGGCATCAAAGATCTTGGTGAAGTCACACTTGTCCAGTGACTTGATGGTCACCTTTTCGCCCTTGTTGTTGCGAGCACCCTCTTTCTTGACCACTTCCGAAAAGTCGTGGAAAAAGTTGTTACGGAAGACAGGGTTATCCAAGTGATGCGACGAGGCCTGAGTCATCATAGCACACCAAAAGGTAGCAATCTCTTCCGCTTCCAAGCTGATGTTAACAGGCTGGCCATCATAGTTGAGTTTGGCGCTCTTGGGGAGGGGTTCATATTCTGGCGCAAACAATACACCGTTGTGCTCCAAGGTTTGCCATTTGATGGTATCATCTTCTGGCTTGGGCGCATTCCACCACTCGTATTCTTCCTCTTCTTCCTCAGCCTCAGCCTTGACCTTGGACTTCTTAGCCGGGGTCGTAGTCTTGGCTTTGGTCTTCTTTGCAATAGGGACGTCTGAGTCGGACTCTTCCTTCTTGACACCATTTGACTTTCGGCCAGAGGTAGGTCCGTTGCTCTTTCGCTTATTAGCTGAAGATCTCGCAAGGGGCGCGTCGTCGTCGGATTCGTCTTTGATGGCCTTTTTAGGAGTCGACATTGCGCGAATGGCTTTGGCTTCCCGCGCAGCCTTGGCCTCAATGGCCTTCTTCTCCTTGGCCAGCTTCTTGACTAGAGGCTCCTCATCTTCAGAAGAGTCTGCAAAGACGGGCTTGCTAGGAGTTGATGTTTTTCTTCGGGCTTTGCCGATCGGCTCGTCATCGGAGTCGACCTCTCGTTTGGCAGCCTTGGGGCGCTTCGCCTGCACAAAGGTGGGTTAGTTTAGGTTACCAAAGCCTCTAAAGTCGCATTTGCAGTGGTTGCATACCAATGGTTCGCCATCGCTTTCGGAATCGTCTTTGTAGCTAATCTTGGTGATGGAAGTACGCGACTTGCGCTTGTTGGAGATGGCGTCGATATCCATGTCGTCTGGGACAACCAATCCAGCAGCAGCAGCGTTGCCCTTGACTGATTTATCGAGGGCTTTATCCACCGAAGAGGAAATTTTGGCAGAGGATACTAGTAAACGGAGAAAAGAAGAAAGAGTTAGCAGAGTTCAGTAATAGTGCAAATCAAGGCTGCCAGCGTTGGACGCGATGCAAGTCGCAGAAACGCGACCTCTGTAAATCATGTCGCAAAGTGGCAAATCCATCGAAAAAATTCGTCATTGGGGGTTCTTACAGTTGCCATTTGTCCTCGAAAGAGGCATATCGTCGTCCGAGCTGGAATAACCCATCTTGACGGCGGCAATGGGCGAATGGAAGGGCCTGAGCGGAAGTGCTATTGGGACAAATCGTCTAACAAGGACTTGTTGCCGAGCGATTCGGGAGTGAATTCGGGAAAAAATGACGAAGTTGAAGATGGCAACCACCCCTCAACGCCCCGTGCAGGTGATGAGGGCGACTTTTGAACCGTCGGAGAAATAAAGGTGAAGAAGGGAGAAAGATCTCGAGAAATCTTGCCACGAGGCGAGCTGCTTTGCCTGCAGCCCAGCGGGTGAGCCTGGCTGCCGGGGGAAGCTGGTCACGTGACAAAGTTGTGCCGCCAATTTGCCGGGAAAATAGCGACGCTGAGGAAAACCAACGCAGCATCCACCCGAGCGGCTTCCTGTATCACGTCTTTCAACCTTTTCCGCCAATTGATCCAACACTCCCGCGCGATCAATTGCATCTCCGCATAGTCAGGAGTTTTCTTCACAACCGCCACGATGTTGTCCAGAGCTGCCAGACCCGCCGTCCGCGTTGCGGCCACGACCTCTCGGTAAGTTGAGACCGACCCCCCGACCAGCAAAGGCGAAAGGAGCTTCAACGACGCTCCATTCGAGCCACAAACCCGCCATTGGACACCTGCTGGCAGTGGAAAAACACGTAATTCGACTGGGACGCGCAGTTTCTAATAGTTTTTTGATGATGCAGTGCCGTTGGCGCCGCCCCTACCACGGCTGCCACCTACGCCACGCTCCGTGAGATTGAGGGCCGCCTCAAGTCGATCCGCAACATCGAGAAGATCACCAAGACCATGAAGATTGTCGCCTCGACCAAGCTCAACCGTGCCCAGCGTGCCATGACCGACTCTCGCACCTACGGTGAAAACTCCAACGAGGTCTTCAAGGCTGCCGAGACCACCGTCCCTGAGACCGAGGTGAAGAAGTCCCTCATCATCGTCTGCTCCTCCGACAAGGGTCTCTGCGGTGGTATTCACTCCGGTATGAGCCGTTTCCTCCGCAGACTCAGCAACGAGGGTGAGCAGTTCGACCTCGCTATTGTCGGCGAGAAGTGCCGTTCCCAGCTTCAGCGTACCAACGGCAAGGACATCCAGCTCACCTTTGCTGGTATTGGCAAAGACATTCCCACCTTTGCTGAGGCTCAGGCTATCGCCGACCAGATCATCATGCTCCCTACCGAGTACACCGACGTCAAGATCCTCTACAACCGCTTCATCAACGCCACCAGCTACGAGCCTACCTTCATTGAGGCATTTTCCGAGGAGGCCATTACCCAGTCTGGTGAGTCTATATCGGCCTAAATCACTCAGTTTTACACGCGCATGCTAACCTACTAACCAGCCAACATCGATGCTTTCGAGATTGAGGATGGTGCTCTTGAGAACCTCCGCGAGTACTCGCTCGCCAACTCCCTGTACTGGGCCCTCGCTGAAGGCCACGCCTGCGAGCAGTCCGCTCGTCGCAACGCCATGGACAATGCTTCCAAGAACGCTGGTGAGATGATTGGCAAGTACCAGATTCTCTACAACCGTACTCGCCAGGCCGTCATTACTGGCGAACTCGTCGAAATTATTACCGGTGCCACCGCCTCGGAGGACATGTAAATGTTGGAGGTGTAGACAGAACTTTGAAGATTCCCTTTGTATCAAAGATAGTAGAGGTTACCCGATATGGGCGTCCCCTGTGTACCAAAGCCTCAATAAATTCCTTAGTATATTAACTATTTGAATGACTTCAACCTGGCTCCCAAATCTGGGCATCAGCAAACAAGTGACCACGTCAACAAGGCGGGAGACCAGCATATCTGTCAACGGGTCATAAATTCATTCCACAGTAATGAGGTACATAAAACTTTGCAGGTAATATGAAACCCACAAAGATAAACGTTATCACTCTCTAAAAGTAGAAATCTTCTAATACAAACGCCTCCATGCCAATCCCTCCCAATTCCTTGGGTATATAATATACGTCGTCAAAGCCATACAAAAAATATACAAAATATACAAAAAAAGACCTAGAACTCCAGGTCGCTACTATGGTCTTCCGCATAGCTTATTGTCCTGCCCCTTCTATGCTTTGGTGCTGCCCTGCTGCTGCGCCCGTTCACCTGGCCAATTCCAAAAGGATGCTCGTTCTCGTACGAAGCCCTCAAGGAGATGGCATCTAAATCCCATTTCTCAGATAACTCCACGTATTTCTTTATTGCAGTAGTATACGCCTGCTTTTGTTCAGCCGCTTGGTCCTCAAATGGCTTCCGCTCTTCTGGAGATATGTCTTTCCACATTCTTGACGTCATGGCTCGCACTTCATTATGCATCGGTTTAGCACCAGCCTGTCGATTTTCATCACAGAGTCTTTTAGCAACGTCAAACTTTGCTTTACTGAACAAGAGGAACGCATTGCCCGACACCTTGCTAGGGCGAACTGGTCGCTCACCTAGTCTGGTCCGCACATATTCCCAAAGCTCTGCTTCATAGGCATCTATGCGTGCCTGGATAGGGTCCTTTGCAGACTCCTTGCGTTTGTGCAGAAGGACAGAGTCTTTGGGAAGGATTAGAGGCGTTGGGATCTCAATCGGGCCAATCACCTCGTCCAGGACTTCAGAAGCAGCCCGCAAACCAGAAAGATAGGCACCATGTACGGTTGCAGGATGAGTGCCAATGGTGTGTTCTCCAGCAAAGAAGAGATTTCCAATAGGACGAGCCATAATGTCATAGTCGTCTGTCTGCATGTTTGGCGCTGCAGAAGAGTAGCTGCCACGCGCAAAGCGATCCGAACCCCAGTGAGTTACAACGGCTTCCACTGGGTGTGGAACTTCTTTACCAAATACAGTTCGCAAAATGGATGTGGCCTCAGCCACCAATTCATCATTGGACGAGGTTTCTGTTTCAAAGCCGGCATCGCCTGCCATTAGAGCAATCAGGCAGGGCAGACCAGTGGTATTTGTGACGTTGAACCACTGGAAGAATCGTCCACGGTTGCGGCCATATTCGTTTTGACGTAGACTGCCTTGCTTTTCAGCATCTCGAAGGACGCCAAAAATATGCCTGTCAGACTCCCAGAAGATGGATTCATAGACCAGAATGACCTTGTTCAAAATACCAAAGCCAAGCCGCTCAACAGCCCCGGTCTTCCAGCTTGGAAGAGGAGGGTCAAATTCGACATTGCCATGCTTCAGCACACCTAGTGGAATAGAACATACCACAGCATCGGCTTCTACCACAGTACCATCTTCACATTCAATTGAGGCGGCACCGCCAAACCCTTCGCTATGGTATCTAATCGTTTTCACCGGAAATTTGGTGGTAAGATTCAGTGGTGAGGGAGAATGTAATAAGCCTCGAGCAACGCTTTGGTAACCACCGACAACCATTGAGTGTTGCCCATCCCACTCATTACCTGCGTCAATGTCCCACAGGGGAAGACTCAAGTTATGAAGGTTTGTAGCGTTGCTGTATTCAAGGTTGGCGATATGCCAATTGATGAGTCTGTAATCTTGTGCGGTCAAGTCCACCAAATCTCCATACTGTGTAATGGCGTGGTCTAGAACAGATCCCAGCGTGGCGCTCTGTTTCTTCACTGCGCCATCCAAATTGAATTGGCTAGTCTGAGGCGCATCAGAACGGAGTGCCCAGCCCATTTCCTTTACTTTCTGTACTGCATCCATGCTACCAGCAGTGCCAGGCTCGGTGCGAGGGCCGTTGAGAGTCGCACTGTCTGAGGCAACTCGCCTGGTTTTGACATTCGGACCGTTTTGTTGGGATGGTACTGTTGTATCCGACAGCGCCGCTTCGGCTTCCTCAGCCTGCATAATTGTCCGACTACCATCACCTGGACTGTCGCGGCCTTCGTCAATAAGATCCTGGTTGCCTTCCACAATTGATAATGACGGGGGTTTGAATTTAAACTCGCTGACGCGATCTAAACAATCGTTGTACAGCTTCTCAACCAATTCGTCCCTTGAAGTATCAACAGGCTGTCCATCAGTATCATAGATTGTTGTTTCCGCTCTGAGACCATGGTAGGGAAGGCCAAGCTGACCTCTAACCAAGACATTCATTGGATTTCCTTGATCAAATCCTGTGATGATCATACCACCCATTTCGGCAGTATATCGCTTTCCGGCAAATGTAGGGGATCGGATGCGCTCCTTTGTTTTGAATTCTCGAGAGTAGACTCGACCTCCAATTCGACTTCGCCCTTCCAATATTATAATCTTTGGGGGTTCTTCTTCCTCCTCCTGAAAATATGCTGAATACTGCTTGAAAAGACTTTCAAGTTGTCTTGCACAAGCTAAGCCTGATATTCCAGCTCCAATGACAGCGATAGTCTTGCCTCGCAGCTTTCGAGGAGACTGCTTTAAAGCTGGTACGCATGGAGACAAATCCAGGCAACCGAAATTGAGATAACCTTGTCGTATAAGCCAGTCGTAGCAGACACTCGCAGCATCAAACCAACGAGCATTCGCGCACCCTATCGCTTCTTGGCGTGACACAGCTTTCCAGGGGTGTTCCATCCACAGTCTGAGGATGCCATTGCGTATGTTGAGATAAGTTGTGACTTGTGTATGTGAAATGTGATGACGTAGAAGCAAATATTCTTCTAGATGCAATGCGTATGGATTTAAACGTGATGCCTCTGCTGCCCGTATGCACTCGGCGGCGTAGTCGGCGGCGCTAAGATGTGAGGGAATTGAGGACTTGGGCTCTACAATGGCCTCGATTCGGTCCAGGCCATTGCTTTTAGCATGGTTCCTGATGGGGCTGTTATCCGGACCAGATTTCCGTCTGAACACAATTGAATCGATGGGTGTGGTTGCTTTGCTAGAATTTATCGAAGACAGTGATGAAAGCTCAGATGCGTCTGTTAATGCTGACATGCTGGAAGTCTGTGCGTCGTCTCTGGTTGTGATGCGATTATTGGAATCGAATTCTTGTTTGAAGTATTGCCTTTCAAATATCAGAAGCCGCACATACATGATACAGTGAGACTCTTACCTGTCTTGTTCCTCCGAAGAGGACAGGCTCGCTGGGTGGGAAGATCCGGAGGTTTCCATCAGGATTGCCTCTACTATGCCAATTGACTGAAATCTCATAAGATGTCCAGCACTATTGTGGATATTACGACTCGCAACGCTTGCATCCAGCGTCCAAGGCCTATGTTTAAACGCCAAGTCTTATCAAGCTCGTCGAGAGTTGGCTCGTGGCATCGGATACGTGGGAGTTGACAGGTCTATTCCCCGTTGTATTTTTAATCGTCACAGTTTACTTTGGCACAGAATTCTAATTTATAATCGACTGTAATGCTCGTTATGAAGGTTGTTGAGATATTTCGAGTGAGTGATTCGCAAGCGAGGAGTGTAGCAAAGGCCAGTAACAAGGGACCGTTCGATTTGTCGATGAGACGTCGCTACAGCCAAAGAATACCCCTTATGAGAGAGTAGACTTGTCCAAGGGATTTTATAAGCGATTATTTTGAAGTCGTTGAAGCGATTTGTCTCAGTCGATATGTGGCATATAAGCTGCCATCGGGTTGTATGAATCGGGAGCTGCTGAAAATATGAAAATCGATGAGCCCGTGAGTCGACCAAAGGCTTCTTCCATCAAGACTTATTGCCACTCAGCAGTGCAATAAGCCTCAACAACGCTGTCCAGAGTAATTACGGCCGAGGCTCAGTGGAGGAATCATCTCTTAGAAACCGGAACCTGTCCCCTCTTAGTATGGTCGACTCGCGGAAAGCGGCCATGTCACGTGCGGTGCTGGTGCCGAATCAAGGCAACGTGGGGTGGGGGTAGGTGTTTCTCATTAACGCCAACGCTATAGACGGCCGAATTAAAGTAACAAAATAAAGTTATAATAGGGCAGAATTATACTGCAAAATTACCAAAAATAAACATATTCATAGGATGTATATGGTGTTGAGAAAATCATTTTATGAGGCGTGCTCGGGTGTTTCATGCTCGAATGTACCCTTTTCGATGGCAGCGTCCATCATTTTGTTGCCGCTGAGTATTGAAGTAGTACATATAACAATATTGTATCGGCCTAAAGACATGTGTGAGGTTAATAATCGTGTATCCGTCAACATAGTTAGGAAAAATAACTTGCCGTCCTGCTTGGCTATAAATCGAAGAGCAGCGATTTCTGCAAAAGTAACACCGCCGACGAAGACGATGAAGACAGTTTGCTTGGTGATATTGCCAGAGAGCAATGCCCGAGCTTTTACGGCTTTATCTTCTCCTTTCTGCAGTTCGTAAAACGTTTGCCCCCGTACATGCGTAACTGCGTCGTCGAATCCATGCCATCCTTGTGCCGCTTGGCTTACACCTTGGTTGGCAGCATTAGGTCCCTTTGTGAATGACAGTAGATACTGCTTTTGCAGAATGGATTGAACGAGGCGGATAGAAAGTGGAGCATATCCGCTGTAGACATAAGCGATATCATTGGGGTCATCTTCCTTTACTTCGTCCACTATTAGTCGTAATACCTTTCTCAGGTATGCGTAATTTGTTTTTGTGCCAGTGGCCCCTGCGTTCGCCACCATAGGAATCATACCAGCTAGTGGCGACGAGCGAGAGAGGAATAATTGAAGCTTCTCCAAGTTATTCAAGGTTATTAAGTGCTGGTATCCATAGCCTTGCAGTATAAGCTTTTTGAACTGATCAAAGTCTTTGGGTTTGATCCCGCCAGATACGGAAGAGTATATGCAGAGTAACCGGAGCGTCTCGTGTAGGGGGGCCTCTCTTGCTATCAAGTCTTCGATGCCTGATAGTTGCGATGAAGGATCGGCGCCAGCTACCAAGTTCTGCTGGACCTCGAGAACTCCTTTAAACTGATCGGTTCTGGTCGTCTTGATGATTTCTTCGGCTAATGCGATGTGAATCTTAGCACTTTGCTGTTCTTGTTGGTATCCTGGTAGTTGGTCGACAAAATCCTTCAGCTCGGCGATTGATTTTGACTTATTCTGCGCGCCGTAATCGCTTTGAACTTGCTGCAGTCGTCGAACAACCTTGTTGAGCATGTTTCCGACTATGGCAAAGTTTGAGTCTCGCAACTGGTCGTAGAGTTTATCGGTAGAATCGAGGGCGATCGTTCTTTTCTTGCTCTGTGAAGTAGTCGACGCCAATTGCGTTGCGGCGCCAACAATGGCAGTGTCAACCTCGGTTTGGTTATTCTGGATGCCAAACAGCTCGTCAATAAGACCTTCATATGTTAATTGCGTGAGTAACGGCGTTACAAAGTCGACTTCTCGATCGATGATGATGACGCTCTCGTTTGTAAGGCTAGGCGTCAGTCTCGATGGATCTGAATCACTCGAACCTTCTCCTGCTAGCAGTTCTTGGCGCATGCGGATCAGCATATCGGCGACACTCTTTGCGTTATCACCCTTGCCAATGATGCGCGGAAAGAGTCCATGAGCCTGTTGTATTTCCATAAGAGCTTTTGCAATCAAAAAGTTGGCTGTTGGGTCTTTGTACAAGTAAAGATCGCGGAACGAATCGGACAACTCGAGGGATAGCACATCCTTTTCTAATGGAAAGAATGAGAGCGGTAATTCGGAAATATTGACTTCGCCCAGCACGCCGGATTGCTCAAGCACCTGATTCGAGATCAATGTGCGTCGAGGCACCCAAAAGATGTGAAACTCATGGTTGATTTGGCTTTCTCGACGGACTCGTGTTATTTCATCTATCAAGGAACTTGTTAATCTTGCTGTTATACCCTGGATCATGTGGTCAGTCTTGCTTACTGGCTATTATTTCTGCATGCTGGCTTGAGTCTCCGCGGGCTACGAAGATGACGTTCCGCTGACTGGCATCGAGGTTTTTGTTTTCGAGGATGAAGAACTTGTCCACACCATACTCCTTCAGCGTAGCTACTTTGACGATGTTTCCGATTGGTCCAACGAGGCTGCGATCGAATACCAAGTTCTTCTTGCCGCGGACCTGTCACTGCGTTAGTTGAGAGCGTCCTTGCTCCGCGGGCTCATATTGAACTGTACCCCATCCAGAAGCTGTAGAAACTCTCTTCGTGCTTTATTTCGGATCTGATCCGTGCTGAATTCCGGCCTAGGAGCCATGACTGCGCAGATGCGGGTTGTGAACGCGAACTGTGACAGAGTACGTAGCTGGCGTGATTCTGCCCAAGAGCTTCCCAACCACTGCGGGCGGTGTGTTGCAGCCGACGTAACCTGCGGGGAGCTGCCCCGCGACGTCATCCACCCAATGACGCTCCAAGAAGAAACGTGAGCTTTTCAAAAAGACAGCCATAGAATAGAGAAAATCTGTAAATTTGGACCTTAAAACTTCTTGTTAATAAAAAATCTTTCTTTGGTTTTTACTCAGGTTGCTTCCTAAACTAGAAATTCTTCTGCAAAGGCCATGGCTGCCTACTGACGGTGGCGTCAGTGTAAGTGCCTACCAGCGTTGTGGTGAATCAACCAAAACAAATCATGCAAATACCGTCCCATAAAGCAGGTGTAACTGTAACTAAAAAAAAGAAAGAGAGCAAATATCTAAAACTGAATGAATCAAGTAAAGCACTACGCCGTTTCCATGCCAATAATTGTGTGCCAAAGTTGTTGCAGTATATGCTAAACGTCGTTGTCATGGAAGACAAACTGCATGTCTCTTGGCCGTGTGCGATTTGATCGAACAAGCTCCTCATCTCCTTCTGGTCTCTCGTTTTTGGAGTTGCTGGTCAACATGCTTTGGATGCTCATGCAAACGCTCTCTGCACTCTGCACCGGGCTCCAACCTTGTGTGGCGAGCAGATCTAAGCAAATGATGCCGTTGGAATAGATGTGAGGGTGCATCGGTATCGGTCGGTCCGGAAGTTTTTCGAAAGTGACCTCTGGGGGCTCTGTAATGTGTATATCAGTTAGCAGGCATCTCTATGCACACAGTCATACCATGGGCAGACGCACCGATGGGATATGCATCTGGAAACAGGAACTTGAGCCGGTAAATCTGGTTTTCGTAGAGCGGGTTGCTGTCCAAGACGCGGATGTCAAACTTCCACAGCTTCAAGTCATCTCCCTCGATAAGCTCGATTCCAGAGGGCAGACCGTGCTGTTGAATCTACAAAGCACTCTCGTTAGCAGTGATCGTCAAACGGGCGGGCTTGCGGTCCACCAACTTTTTGCCTCTCTTTGGCGACTCGTTTTGATCTCATCTGCATGGCCATGATGTGTGAACTTGTCAAGGTTGCCCCAACACAAATGACCAACTCAGCCGCGGGAAGAAGGATGTGCGCCGACAGCCAGCTGAATTACGGGCGTAGTTTTGGAAGAAAGTAGTGCACAAACGAAAGCAAAGCGGCCTGGCCAGGCACGGTCGCATGGGTAGCTGTCCCCGTTTGGTGTGGCGGGGAGTAGCAAAGCCAACAGCAAGCAGGGCGACGAATCAGAGGCAGCGAGGCACGGATGGCCTGATCACAGGTGACCAGGGCCCTCCTGCTGCCCCCATGTTTCGATATGTGGTTTTTACAGCCTGCCTGTTGGGCTGTCATTTCCTGTTTGTATTTTTATTGGTTGTATAATTTTGTGGTATTTGATTCTCAGCCAGGTACGTACGTCACCAACAGTACGCAAACATCCCGTGCTGACCTCGGGGCTCAATGCCGTAGTACAGCGGTAGGCCAGGCCGAATGCCGGGTGCCGCAGCAGGGCCAGTGGAATACCTAATCCCGCGCTCACTTGGCAAAGCAGCAGCACCGCAAGCGCAGCAAAATAAAAACCACAAAAATATGGAGGAGGGGACGAGTATACGGGCCTGTCGTCATTGAGCAGCCCCAACTGACTCGTTTCTCACGCCCCGAAAACCCAAACTCCTATCATTTCAGCACAGCCTTGCCAGCCCCCACTGCCAGCACTGGCCGTGTCGCGACAGCGTTCCATGTAGCTATTTCCAGCGCCTGTTGGCGTGGCTGTGCGCTACGCTGAGCCCACTGGACAGGCCCAACTTGGAGGGGTAACCCCCTCTGTCCCGGGGGGTGGAGGACGTGCGCAGCGACTGGATCTCGCAAGGGCTTCGTTTGCAGCGTACTCTATAATTCAGCCGCTCCCTCAGCCCGGCCTCGTCTTGCATCTGCGTGTCCGCTTCATTTCACACCCGCACCCAACATCACCACTTGTTGCTTATAAACTTGCTTCTGCCAGGCCGGCGTCGACGACGTTTATTGCGCCTCTTCACCTACTCCTCTACTCACCAGCGAGCACTCTGTTGCAACCAGCTTTTTTTTACGAGGTGCCGCACGTACCCCGCCATCGACCAACATGAGCTGTGAGAAGCCCCTCGATAAAGCGCATGCTTTGCAGACAACGACAGCCTGTTCTAGCGATGCAATGTCTTGCGTAAATATAGTCCTGAAAGCTAACCGCATATTATTACATAGTTTCTGGTATGCTCAACCGCCTTCACGGGCAGCCCGAGAGCTACGACAAGAAGTAAGACGCACCCCCGCGCGACATGACCGAACCGACGACCCTACAAAGCTCAGAATCTAACATTCATTTTGCTCCTCTCCAGATCCAAATACCGTTTCGGCCGAACTCTTGGTGCTGGTACTTATGGTGTCGTTCGCGAGGCCGAGGGCCCCAACGGCAAGGTTGCTGTCAAGATCATCCTGAAGAAGACCGTCAAGGGCAACGAGAAAATGGTGTACGACGAGCTTGACATGCTGCAGAGATTAAAGCACCCTCACATTGTCAAGTTTGTCGACTGGTTTGAATCAAGAGTAAGCCTATTTCTGTCAGAAGAAACACTACCACGGAACTAACAGCTCTGGCCTACAGGACAAGTTCTACATTGTCACCCAGCTCGCTACTGGCGGCGAGCTGTTCGATCGTATCTGCGACCAGGGAAGGTTCACTGAGAAAGATGCCTCGCAAACAATAAAGCAGATCCTCAGCGCCGTCGACTACCTGCACAAGAACGATGTCGTCCACCGCGGTACGCCCTGCCCACACAACCTTTATCCTCATATCACTTGGCTAACTCAGTCACACTACAGATCTCAAGCCCGAAAACTTGCTCTATGTCACCCGCGAGCCCGGATCCGACCTTGTACTGGCCGATTTTGGCATTGCTAAGACGCTGGACAGCAAGGAAGAGACTCTCAGCACAATGGCCGGCTCTTTTGGCTACGCCGCCCCCGAAGTCATGAACCGCGAAGGCCACGGCAAGCCCGTCGACATGTGGTCCATGGGCGTAATCACATATACCCTCCTGTGCGGTTACTCTCCGTTCCGCAGTGAGAACCTTGCCGACCTTTTGGAAGAATGCACAAAGCATGACGTCGTCTTCCACGAGCGCTACTGGAAGGACGTCAGCCAAGACGCCAAGGACTTCATCCAGTGTCTTATTGTGCCTAACCCCGACAAACGATGGACCAGCGAGGTAAGATAAGAGAAAAAGAAAGAAAGATCGAACCATGGCACCCAGTAAAGCTAACGAACCCTTTCTACGTACAGCAAGCTCTAGGCCACATCTGGCTGAGCGGCGAGAATGCCACCGAGCACGACTTGCTGCCTGAACTGCGCCGCCGCAAGGAGGCTCGCATGAAGCTCAAGAATGCCATTGTCGCTATCCAGCTGCAGAAGCGCATTGCCCGCCTCCGCACCGACGACTCCGACTCCGACGACCTCGGCGAGGGAGCTACCGGCGTGCCCAGCATCAAGACCGACGACTCCAGTGCCAGCGGCTCCAGCAAGGGTCCTCTTGGCGGACTCAGCATGTTCCGCGCTGTTGTCGCTGCCAAGGTCCAAGAAGAAAAGAACAGAAAGGAGTCGCTGGCGACTGACGACGAGCTGAAGGAGGAGCACCGCCGCAAGAGCTTCAATGCTAACAACTAAAGCTTTGTGTGTGCCTGTGTACAGGTGATGGTGACGGGTGGAAAGAAGCATATATGGCTTGAAGGAGACTGGATATTGACGAGAGCGTGCCTTGAAACAAACGAAATGCCCTGAATGCCTTTTACGTGCTCTGTTGGCAGCGTCTCAACCTTGTTTTGTAGACGGCACAGGTAGTGTCTAATCGTTTACTTTGACTTTGGAGTGTATGCTCTTTTTTTGATGGCGGCGAACTGGATTTGCCAGGAATACTCCCAATTTTATTTTATTTTACCTTTACCAGAAATATCCACACACAGTGCACATGGTTTTTAATCACTTTTTTAGTGTTTGAAGATGCCGATTATATTAGCCGTTACAACGTTATAGCGTTACAAGCGTAGTCTCATGAAGACATTACAAAGAGCCTCGGGATATATCCATTCCATAGAAAAATCAAAACGAGCCGCCGACGCAATGATTTGTGTGTTTTTCCAAATAACAAAAAGGCCGTCCAACAGAAAACAAAGTACAACCAATGACAAACATGGGGTATAAACTGGAAAGAATAAGGAAAAACAAAAGAAGTACAGAGGTAGATGGGGATGGCACAGCATGAAGCTTTCTACTGCATCATGTCCAGGATGGCTTGCTCGCGGAAAGCTTCATAGCGTTGCGCATCGAACCTCTTGCGGACCCAGCCGTTGGCACGAAGGCGCTGGATGCGAGCCTGCAGATCAATAGCGCGCATCTCGTCATCCCGAGGCGGGCCAGGTCGTGGGTAGAGGGCAGTATCAATGTCTTGCTCAATCGACTGAAGATGGGTGTTGATTTGCTGCTGAATGCTGCTGAGCGTGGTGCAGTAGCGAGTAAATGCTGCGCTGGGCTCGGAGGAGAGGGTGTATTCGTCCTCTTCATTGGCCCACTCTCGTTGGATAGCGCGGGGTGTGGCCATGTTGGAAGTGTCTTCAAAGCAGGGGGATGTTCGGCCACTGACAGGGTCATCAAGTCCAAGTGTTGGTGAGTCGGGGCGGACAAAAGGCTCATCCACATCCATACCAGGCGCACCGTCCACAAAGGTAACTCTTTTGGCGGATCGCGTGGTTGCGACAGAGAATGCTGGAGAGGATGCTCTTGAAGAAGCATCCGACGTCATGGATAGGATGGATGACACTGGCGATCCGATACTGGAGCCGCGAGAGGAGCGAAACAAGGAGCGAGCATTGGCAACCTGTTCATCAGCAGCTTGGGCGAGTGTAGAAGCAAGGCGGTAATGCTGGCGAGCATCCTGCAGAAACTTAATCCGATGAGGAGACGACGCCTGAAATCCGCGAACTTGCATCTCGATGGCGGTCGCAGCGTAAAAGTGCAGGTAAATGAGGTACGTTGGCTGCACGCTCTTCTACAACAGGCGTGTTAGTCACCATAGGATTTGCAACCATGTTTGCAGTGTGTTCTTACTGGGTTCTTGACAGCATTGAGCAACTCTTTGCATTTTGTCACACAGCTCCTGTACTTGGTAGTGGAGTAATCTCTCTTGACGTCAGCCAGAGCGTGCTTCCACTCGGCATCCGTGTAAGGCATCAGGCGAATGTGCTGGGCAGCAGGCTGTCTAGCCACTGGGCGAATAATAGGCTGTGCGACGTAGTGGTTTGTGGAAATTTCGCGCTTCAATGCTTTGGGAGGTGGGGGAAAGCAGAGCTCGTCGGGGGTTCTGCCCATTCGCTTGCTCGAGGGTGACGGTGTTGTTGTGTAGGAGGTAGTGTTTTGGTTAAAGTCAAAAATGCCATTTGCGGGCAGGTTGAAGACCATGGCGCTCCTTCGCTCTGTTGTTGTCAACATTGTTGGTTGTGAAGAGAAGAATTCGAGTAAGGAATAAAGAAACAAAACAAGAGAATCAGAAGAAGAATCCCCAATGTTTTTCTCTACAGCAGTCGGAGATGCTGCAAGGAACCAGGAGAGCTTTCTGACTTGGTGTGGATCCTATTCCACACACTATTGTTTAGGTGGACGGTGAAAGAATCAAACCCTAGCGGTGCCGTGTTTTTTTGTAACAGTTGCTTGCAAACTCCTTTTGATTTTGTTTTAGCCTCCTTTTTCCTGTAACAGATTTACAGGGACTCGAAAAGAGGAAGGGGAGTGGAGGCGGTTATATTTTGGTGCTTGTAGGCGTAGTGAAGAGCAAGTGAGTCGAGTGGTAGCGAAGAGTAGTATGGTGTGTAGATGGAGAGTAGTATTGATTCTTTGAATGATCGATTAGAAGCAAGACAGAGGTAATAAGAATAAAACAATATCAATAATATAAGATTCCACTGGAAGCATACAATGGAAAAGCCAAGAAGAAGCCCGAAACAGAAAAAGGGAGGCGAAACACGCCAACTTATTATACAAGATGCGTGGGCACAGGAGGAGATGCAGCAGCCCAGCGCCAGGGAGACAGTGCGGCTGCGGGTCGAGGGGGGCTTTGCGAATCGGGCCTTGAGGGAAACAAAGGGCAGGGGCCGCACAAAAGAGGGGCGGGCCGCATCCAGGAACACAGCGTGTGGAAGGGTCGTACGCACAGTGCGGCCGCAGCCCGAACGGCTGCTGCTTATGGGGCATCGCTAGCAGTAGCACTACGCTAGGCATACGCTAGGGCACACATCCACCCACTTACTTACACGACGACGACGTGGGCTGTAAGTGGCTGACAGTCCGATCCGGGAGTCCCCAAGGCACTGTATCCTTTCTTTTTGGAAGTGCGCAGCAGCCTTTTTGGGATTCCTTTGCCTGATTAGCGTACGCATTGCCAGCGCGCTAGAATTACTTCTTTTGCCGCGGCCGGGCTGCGGCCCAGCTTGTATCCGTAGCCACCAAGGCGGATAGCGGATTCTACGGCGATGTCTGCCTTTGACGGGCGAGAAAAGTTTTCTGATGTATCAATTAAATTTCAGCTTCTGCCCTTTTTCTTTTTTTGTACAGTTAGCCATTTTGCATAGCCGAGAAAAATATAACAAGTCATGGCGCCGGGCCTGTAGCGTAGCATAGCAGCAATGGTAGGGGACTTCGCGCCGTTGCGAGCGTTGCCACAGGTATACTTTCGCGTGTACATACGCAACCGCAAAAGCAAATATAACAAAGGCTAAGGCGGGACAAGGACAAAAAAACAAAGACAACGCTCTAAACAAAGCCGCTAGCAAACAAAACAAAGACAGCAACGACACTAAGAGCGGGAAAAAAGCAAATTGGTAATAAAAATACTCGCACTGTCTCTCATGACTGAGGTGTGTCGAGCTATTTTGGAAGCATCTGGGAGACTTTGCCACGCGAGAACACTCTACTACATCTTGGTCAAGTATTCGACAGGGAAATCAGATGGTTAGAAAATGAATTAGAGTGTAGAGAAAGCACTGAAACAAATAATAATGTTAATAATGTTAATCTTAACAGCGTAAACCAAGAGTTTGCAAATGGTTCTTCCCCCCAGCAGCCTCAGTAGTAAGAGCATCTTTCATCTTTGCCCTCACTCGCTCGCCCAGCGCCAGCAGCCGTTGTGCTCGCTACAAACCGCAGCACGCCAACATCCCTGAATCGAACCCCTGCTGTCATCTACTGTACTTCCAGCACCCTCCCACGCTGCAGCCCGCCAGCCACCCACCCTCTGCTCTGCCTGCATGCTGCACGCTGTCTACCTTTTTGCTTCTCTCTTTTTCTTCAGAGGCGTTTCTGTCACTGACAGCGCTACGAAACAATGTCTCTGATTTTCAGCACATCCAGGTTTCGTGCAAACCAAGACAATTACCGTCTGCGATCTAACATATTCCAACGATCCGTGTCTGTCAGAAAAAAAAAAGGTACCAAGAACATTGCTTCATACTCAAACGTGTCGCCAAGCACCCCTCCTCCTCCTCCTCCTCGGCCTCCTCGTTCTTGGTATTTTCTTTTCCTCAACAGAATCCTACTATTACTGCTACTAGTACACACTCTGTTTGCTAGAAGTCAGTCGCTGCCACTGTCGGTAGATCTTTTTTACACCCTGCAGCACAGTGCCCCCCGTCCTGACGCCGGAGCCGCTGCGAAATCCCACCTCTCCGCCTATGACTCTAGCGTCCGTGAACAATGGCCATGTGCACTTACACGGTGCATCTTGCGCCGTCTGCTCGCCCTAGTGCTCCCTTCATCCCATCCTGCGCCACACGGGCACTTGTTTTCTAGTCTAAGGATTCTTTTCCTTCTTTTTGGGGGTGGGTGTTTCTTTTCCGGCCCCGTTAGCCCTGCACACTGTGGACGATCCGCAAACTCCCTTTCTACGACCTCTTTGCTTTTGCCATTGTTCGCCGACAAGGCCTTTGTGTCCCGGTGACACTCAGACTCTGGAGAAGCCTTTCTTCACCTTGGTAGAATCTGTCTATTTGTCGCATGGATTCCGAGGGGATCAGCGAAAACAGCCACACATTATTCCCAAAGCGGGTGAATCTCAAACGTCGGCCGCCGCGCCACAACGTCAAGGCGCAAACTCGCAGGTAGGTGTACTTTGCAGCAACAGTATAAACCACGACCAACGGGCTCCCAGTCACCGAGGATGTACGTCTACTGGTTACTCTGCAGGTAGATATCTGACTGTAGACACACACACACACACTCACACACGCCCTACGAGCCCTTGACGCAATCAAGCCCGTTCTGTCGATGAAATTCCTGATTCGGCAAGCGATGCATGCAGAGTCGGCGTTGCAACCCCGCGGTCCGTGAGCATGAACTCTGCTGCTCGACGTCGCCAGCCACCCAGCACATCTCTGAAGATGGTGAAATTCCCGAATTCGACTTGCCGGTCATATCGTCTATCACAAAATGCAAAAGGGCACTAAAAAGTGTAATTTGCCAGCAGTATGGCAAGAAAAAAGAAATACGTGCATGGCAAATGCAAGATGGATTGGCCAAGAAAAAGCAACAACCCGAGATACGTACCCAGTCGGTTGGGATGCTGAGCTTCGGCTCGCGAGGCCGCAAAAAGAAAAAGACGAAATGCACACTGTGCGAATTAGATTTTTCTACTACGTCAAGTCCTCGCTTCACACAAAAACACCACTCTGTATTACTTATTCGTTGCTCTTTGCGCGGCCTTCCAGCCATCCGGCGCAGCGCAAATGGCGCCAGGTGGTCCTGTCGCTGTGCGCATGCCACCCGCCACGCTTCCCCAGCGTCCGTGCGGGAGACAAGCTTCAGCAGCAAGTGGTAGTATAGCATCTGTGGCTGCTGCAGTTTGCTGCAAGTGATTCGCGGTACGCTTTGATGTTTTTTTTATTGCCCTGTCGACGGAGGCTTGCTAGTAGAATGTTCCATGTTTCATGTAGAAGGGTGGGTGAGGTGACTGGCTGCTCGACAACGGGATAGAGAAAAACGAGAGCTGCAACGCACGTACGATACCTTACATGTTAGAAAGTCGGTCACTTGGTGGCACGGACTTATGGCTTCGTGATAAGCGGCGGTTTACTATATGCAATGCACGTATGACATTGACGTGCATCAGACAAGCAAGCGAGCGAGCATACGCCGAACAAGGTGTAAAGTGAAAAACGGTGTAGAATGGTTCCTTTCTATTTTTGAATTATCCTTTTTACGATTTTTTGCCTCTATTGTGCCAGCTCGGCCTCGCCCTTGATGCCGTCAACGACCTGTAGACCCTCGGCCTGCTGGGCGATCGCCTCCACGTCCTTCTTGCGCTGCAGACGGGTCTTGACCTCAGCAACCATGCTGTCCAGCGACACAAGGATTCCTTCCTTCTCGGGGTGGCCCTCGGGCAGACCCATCTCCTTGATCTTGACGTTGCCCTGCGCAACTTCATCGTCGCCCAAGAAGATGGCAAATGGTACACCGTTGGCCTCGGCAGCCTTGAACTGTTGAGGAACCTTGGGCTTCACCTTGTACAGGAACTCGGCCTACGCGTTATTTGTTAGCATGTCGTTCTCTTTTTTTGTTCCTGTTAGAGCACCCCCGCATGGGGTATATAGCTTACCTTGATACCGCCCTCCCACAGTTTGGCGCAGACATTCATGCGCTCCTTGAGGAAGCCGTTGCTGCCAAAGGCCATGACGTAGACATCGACCTCGTTGTTACGGATAGTAGCAGCGTTCTTGTCGGCGGCCATACGGGCCTTAGTGATGGATACAATGCGGTCCACGCCAAACGAGATACCAACGCAGGGAATCTGGCTCTTGCCAGAGAACATGCCGACAAGGTTATCGTAGCGACCACCGGCGGCCACACTGCCAACACCAACAGTAGGGTCGTTGGAACGATCGTCGTCCTCACCCTTGCTCTTCTTCTTGCTGGGGGCAGGGGCAGCAGCTCCAGCAGCTCCAGCCTTAGACTCGGGAGCAGAGCCCTCAGTCACAACCTCGTAGATGAGGCCAGTGTAGTAGTCGAGGCCACGAGCCAGACCAAGGTCAAAGGAAACTCGGTCAAGAGCACCAAAGGCCTCGAGGTAGTCGAACAGAAGACCGATATCAGCAATACCCTGCTGCATGGAAGCATTGGCAGAGAGAGCGGGGTCGTTGCGCAGCTTCTCCAGCAGCTCGTGCTTGCCCTTAAGCACAACCCACTCGCCAATGCGGTCAGCGACTTCGCCATCAAGACCCTTCTCTTCAGTCATCTCCTTGCGCACATCGGCCCAAGGCAGCTTGTCGAGCTTGTCGACGGCCGATGAGATGGGGCGGATCTTGTCCTCGGGGACGCCGCAGACCTGGAAGATGCCGTCAAGGATCTTGCGGTGGTTCATCTTGATAGTGTATGCGCCGTTCCAGCCGAGTCCCTCGAATACCTCACAGATGATGCGGAGGACCTCAGCATCGGGGACCATGGGGTCATAGGTACCAGCAATGTCGAAATCGCACTGGTAAAACTCTCTCATGCGGCCCTTGGTCATGGCGGGCTGATCTCTGCGGTAGACCTTGGCAATGTGGTATCTCTTGATGTTTGTAATGTCCTTGTTCATGGCGAGAAAGCGGGCAAAAGGCACCGTCAAGTCGTAGCGGAGGGAGCAGATCTCGCCGCCCTGGTCGGCCAGGTCGTAGATGAGCTTGCTGTCCTCGCCATACTTGCCGGCCAAGATCTCGCGCAGCTCGAAGACGGGGGTATCGATCGTGACGCCGCCGTGGCGCTTGAAGACGTCGGTGATGGTGCTGAAGATCTTGTCGCGGATGATCATGTCCTTGCCGTTCCCTGGTAAAAACAACAAATGTTAGCACGCAATGCCTTACAGAGGGGCTACCACCAAGAGGGGCTTATGTCTTTCGTACAATCCTTGGTGCCCTTGGGGGTCTTGAGCTCAAACTTGGGTTTTCCGCCCATTTCGTCTGTGTCTGTCCAAGTGTCCGGTGCCGGCGCGGCAGTGGTAACGTAGGAGGCTTTGTTGTTTAGGAAGGGGGGTCGTGAGAGTGTGACGGAGGGGATGCTGAGAGCAGAGCGAATGAGCAGTCGTGATGGCCGGAGTGACCTTGAATAGAAACAAACTGTCGTCATCCGCAGATGGAGTCAAAGAAACGAGGGGCAACAAAAACCCAGTGCGGGACAGTCAGGCTTTTTTTGCGGTGCTTAGGCTTGGATGGAGTCATTGGCCTGCGGCAGCGGCTGCATTTGGTGTGGAGCAGGAAAGAAAACTTGCTGGTGCTACTGCTGGCTGGTTGGTGTAGTCTGTTTGTTAGGGCGGCGGGTGGATTTTGGTGCGTGTGTTTCGAAACGTTGCTGCTGCTGCGTGCGGCCAGGCCAATGTCAGGTACAAGGCAGGCCGCAATAGAGTACCTTAGCGGAGAGATACTGATTTTCCGGACGTCCAAAGATAAAAACAAAATTTATTTGTATAGACGAAAACATTGTTATATTTCAGAATGTTGGAGATAATCAGACGTACTCTACAAGATTATACATTTTTTACGTAGCAAAGAACGTATCTTAATAACTAAATACGTTTTGACTGTATGTAGGGCGTCTGGAAAAAGCAGACAGTTTCCGTTAAGGTACAATACAAGTGGGTAGTTATATAAAAACCCAAAGAATAAGTCAATATATATTCACATTTTACTCAATTCATACAAAAGACGCTGCTGATACCTCCGAACTTGGTGATTTTTCCATCGCCATTGCAGGCGACAAAAGCTGCGAGAGTCACAAACTACCATCAGCTATATATTCCCGTATAAATATAGCCATTTTGTATTTCCCTCGATATGGAAAAACGTGACGGGGAACCAAATGGTTATATGCCGGTATTGCAATATCTCGTGCTGCAGCAGAACGACTTTTGCCTCCACGGCGGGAGATGCACAGGCTCCCCGCTTCTAGTAACGAACAATCACCTGCCGGAATCACAGCGAGATACAAAGTAACACCACATATCGTGACGATAAAAATAAATGTACAATACAGCCACTTAATATCTCTCTCACTCTATGGTGCATCAACGTGAAGCCCGATTTGTCCCTCGCACGCCATCGCCATGCGTCTTCTCAACACCAGAACCCTCAAGCTGATGCAGTTCGATGCTGCAAGGATACCAGCATACGCTATCCTCTCGCATCGCTGGGGAGCCGATGAAGTCACACTGGAAGATATAGCCCTTGAGCGTCACACGGGACGAAGTGGATTTCGTAAACTGCGCTCGTTTTGCGAAGTGGCAGCCAAGGATGGCTTTGAATACTGCGTATGATTAATTGCTTGCCCATCTTCCACACCACTATACTAATCCCGTGATAAATCTAGTGGATGGATACCTGCTGCATCAACAAGACCAGTTCTGCGGAGCTCTCCGAGGCTATTAACTCCATGTTTCAGTGGTATCGCAATGCCACTGTTTGCTACGCCTATCTTCAGGATGTTCATGATGGTGAGGAACCTAGACATTCAGCAAGTTTATTCCGCCGCTCGGAATGGTTTAAGCGTGGATGGACCCTGCAGGAGCTCATAGCTCCAGGCGTCTTGTACTTTTACTCTTCCAATTGGACAAGGATCGGATCTAGGTCATCTCTAATACAACCCATTGCCGAAATTACCGGAATTCATACTGCATTCTTCAAGACCGGGGATCTGAGCAAGTATAGCGCAGCGCAGAAGATGGCGTGGGCAGCGGAAAGAAAGTGTACACGAATTGAGGATGAAGCATACAGCCTGCTCGGTCTGTTTGGAATCAACATGTCGTTGCTCTACGGCGAAGGCACAAATGCGTTCCATAGGCTGCAGGAGCAAATTCTGACACGGACAGGCGACTATTCCATCTTGGCACATGCAGAGGAAGAGCCTGTATCTCAACTGCGACTCTTTAAACCAAAGACCCTGGCCGTTTCCCCTTATTCATTTCGAGGGTCGCTACGGCTTGAACGTGTGCAAGATTTGTCGGAGCACTTCACTCATGCCACTAGCACCGATATAACAATAACGCCGGGAGGAGTGAGACTACCCATGTGGTTGATTCCTTCGGCATTCTTCCCGGGAAAATTACGCGCAGAGCTTAGCAGAGGCCGGGAAGGCACTGGCAACGGTACATCCCAACTTCACCTCGCATTGCTAGGTTATGGCCCTGATAATGGTGACCTTGTTGCCGCCATCTTACTTCAAGAGATGCAGCCGGGAATATATGAAAAGCAAAGGCTCAAGATGTACGAAGATGGATTCTGCATGGTTGCCCGAGACTTGATGGCAAAGGCGGAACTCAAGACAATCGTTCTACGACATAGCATTGTCCGCCTTCCGGAAGAATGGACTTTTGACAAGAGACACCACCACCTATTTCTAGACTTCCCCCCTCCTGAGGTTTTGGGGTTTTCATTGCAAAAGTCCGCCTCACCGACAAACCTCGTCTCTGATGCTACTGCTGTTGGAGAGGCTATAAGGGTGCAGGCTCGGATGAATAGGCATGGACACCCCGTATCATTTACATTCTTAGATGATAGAGGCTTGGGATTTACTCTGTCTATTTCTAGATTGCCACAGGCTCCATTTATTAACATGCAGCTATCTACTGAAATGTGTCCTCCTACAGGTATGGATTACAAACAACTACCATCTCCATCAGTGGCAGGCCAGCGGCAATCGGGTGGGGAATATTTTTTAACAACAATACTGGGGCTGGATAGAAACACTACTATTGAGCTTGAAGCCTTGAGACAGCAAAGCGGATGGAGCGTGCAGCTGAGGATTCCTGTGAGCCGCCAACCTGTTTCTTCCTATTCACCAACCTATACTACCACTCGTACATTCGAGAGCACAATAAGCGATACTACTACACTAGATACTTCATCTAACCATTTACATACGTGGCTTGGGCATGTGGCCACAGAGCACTACACTTCCAAGTATGTTAAGCTACGACACGAGTTATCCGATGCAGCATATTGGGGCAATTGGCCTGTCCTGTTTGACAGGATAGAAGACGGCCGCCATATGTACAACGAGTCGTGGGTCAACGCACCTAGAATGAGTATGTCAACCCTCAGGCCATTGCCAAAGAACGAAACTAAACTATTGCTAACTGTTTCACAGAATCGATTCCACAAATTACTTCGTTAACCATGTGGACTCCATTACACCAGGCGGTCTATATGGACGCTCCCATGGATGTAGTGCAGAGACTTATAGATCTCGGCGCGTCACGTTAGCTCATTTATTTCTGCACAATTATCACAAGATATAAACTAACTGCAACCCAGGATCCCTGAGAACGAAGCAGAATAGCTTTGATGTTGCGCCCGCCCAGCTGACGCCTCTCGATCTCGCACGGCAAATAGGCCGGCTGGAACTTGAAGAAATCCTACGACCTGTAAATGAAGCTGATATTTCTCCTGAGGTATTACACAAACTGGAGACGCATTTCCACAACCTTATACATCTCGAGGCGGGCCCGTTTGTCAAAGAGGCCAAGCTATATCTCCCAAACCTTACATACCTCATGGAGCTGGGCAGCGATCAAGTTTGGTTCCCAATACAGTTGGATTATCAGTCTGCGGTAAGTGTATCTATTTTACATCTTGATCTACCTTTGATAAGACGCGCTGACGGTTTGGATTGTTGATGTAGGGCTATATGTATCAACTTATTGGACAGGAACTGAGAGTGAAATCAATCAATATACAGGGGGAGGACGATGAAATATCGTACAAAATCGTGGAAGACGGCGTGTCATGGATCGATTAGTACGCTCTGGTAGTATATTTGGCCTACAAACATCCACTAAAATCGCTAGCAAGGACGATCTCGGAGCCGCGACCCGTGTCACCGCTAGATTTTCAGCCTTCTTTTGCAACATGTGTCGTGTTTTGTCTCTTGGCAACAGCCTCTTCACCGTGCACGCGGAGCCTCAGGACGACGTCAGGGGACACTTTTCTTCACTTTGGCGCACCTCCAGCACACTACAGACGATGTACGGGCGTGCGTTAGCGGGCTCTCGGGGCGGTGACGGACCCCGAGAGGGACGGCACCCGCGTGGGGCCGCCTCTGTTTTAAGCTTCCTGGCGCCCTCCGCTATGGATGCCTGGTAATCTTTTGCAGGCAGCTGTAATTTTTTAATGCAGTTCAAGAGGGGCATATTACAGGATCGACTGAGGATATGTGAAGAAAAAAGAGGAAGAGTACATGCACCACATCAGCCACATGTGGCGCGGCACAGTAGGCCAACTGTGTATAGGCAGTACCAGACTGGGGCGCTATGCATACCAAACTGGCTAATTACGACGAATGAGCCATAGTCTCTACACAATTGTCCCCATTGTCGTTCCTACAGCTCACTCTGGAAATCCAATACCGGATTTGCTCTCTCTTCTGTCACCATTGCACCGGCCCACCATCATCGCCCTCTGTCACACTATCAGAAATTATTGGCCCTTCCGTCGCAACCCTCAAGGCACTGTGCGAGACGTGCCATGCGCTGAATGAACTAGTGCAACCTATTCTATATCATTACCCTGATATCAAGACTTATACGCCGTTCTTTAAAACAGTCACGGAACGCCCTGAGTTGGCTGCCAGTGTCAAGATCTTGGCTAGAATATACGACTCGGGTTGGAATTGGGCGAAGCCAGGACCAGCAAGACATGACAACGAAGACTTTGCATATCTGATCAGGTTGGCTCAAGGTCTTGGGCTCAACGATAATGCAGAAAATTGTGTTGATCACTGGGCTGAAGATGATGCCAACTTTAAGCGCTGCTTCAGGTTCCTGGAGGACACTTCAGACCGTGATGAAATCGGGTATACGATGGACATGGCTCAGCAATCCTACTTTTGCCTCCTCACTGCCTTACAGCTCTCTATCCTGCCAAATCTAGAATTTCTGTCAATTGACCTCTACGATGGATTAGACGGCTTTGGATCTAGACTGCTAAATAGTGGCGAACTTCTACTACCATACCCCTACCTGCCACAAGTTGTTGCAGCCCACCCCAGTCATTTTGCAAGGCTCAGCACTATTGTTTTCCTGAGTCCATATCATTATCGACAAGATAGTCTTGGACTGGAGCAGGTTTCTTTTTTATTTCCTGTTCTAACTAATAATCGAGTGGCCTTCTTTGACCGTTTGCTTGGTGAAAAGGATAATCGGTATCAAGAACCACACCCGCCTGCTCCTAGCCCCGAGCTCGGTTGGCCCGCTCTACCTTCTCTTGAAGAGATTTACTTTAGTCCATGTGCACGCCCAAGCGACCCCGCGCCGCTTGTGGCGATATCCAAGCTGATGCAGCGCTGCTCTCAACTAAAGAAGCTTGTCTACTGGCATAAATATCCGGGTCGGAAGAGTCCTAATTCATTTTCTCCTATCGCATTGGTCGAAGCTATCCTACCTGCAAAGCATACGTTACTACACTTGGAAATGTATTGCAACAGTGCAAAAATCCCACTCTTTCCGATACAGACTTTAGTCGATTCCCGGTTGAGAGAATTTACCGGACTAAAAACGCTCGTGGTTGATGAAGAAATCTTTTGCCAACACTGGCTGTCAGATTCATGCCAAGACTCGTGCCTTGTTGATATTCTACCTGCGGGTGTCTCATCACTTACTGTCCGGATACATGACAAGTATAAGGTAGTGCCAGACATAGTCCGACTAGGGCGAGACGTAGCCTCGGGTCGCTATTCACGGCTGTCCCGTCTCCAAGTATACGTGCTCCGTGATGTTGCAGGACCCTTAGATCCTTACAACTTTGATGAACTCTTGGATGTCTTCGACTCGGAGGAGTATTTCTTGTATGGTGTTCAGTCGGGTCAGTGGCAACAGGCTATACAGGCCCTGGCAGACACAATCCGACCAACGGTCGTGCAGGCATTTAATGGCACAGATGTTGCAGTAAAGGCGGAATATCTCTATGAGGTAACAGTTTCGGAAGAGCAGAGATTGTAACCAAAATCGAATTGAAAGCAATATTGCGGCCGAGTGACTGGCGACAACATAGAAGTACTTTCCACGAGATGGGACATTAGATTATTCGCACTGTACAAGCCACATTTGAGTCAAACATTGGATGTACCTATTTTCCTAATGATTGCCTGAACGCTCAATTGGGGGAAACCCTGTACTTGGCAAGCCGTCTTCAGCCGCCTCCAGCGTATCTCGCATCGCAGGGTTGGTGCTGTCTATCGTTGCCATCCTGGTAAATTGACGCGCAACACTGATGACGGCTGCCTTACGCACACGCTCTGTGAGGAAACGATATTGGCGTTCTTTTGTTAGATGATCTTTTAGATGAAACGAAAAAGTTTATCGGAAAGGGAAGCCTAGTAATTGCCGTCCACTGTAGACAAAGCGCTGTAGCCGCTTTTGCTTACCTCGTTGCCTTGAAAATCTTGAACACGCGTATCATCCAGCCTCTACAGAGTACTTCGTAGGTGCTAGACCAGCGTGGCATTTGGTGGGTTACAATGCTTGGCCTACCCAGTATTGCCTGTTCTGGCCATTTGCAGCGCTGCCTTTTCATTCATTAGTACGCTGTTGGTGCCGCTGCCCCGCTGTAGCTCCACCCGTATTCATCGTTCATCGTTTGGGAGCTACCGTGGCGCACCACCCCCCGTCAGGCGTGGCCACAACGCAACCTCTTCCCCTAGCTGGCGTGAAGTTGCATCAGCTGCCTCGCTTTCGTTCATTTCCAGCGTGTGTTTTTATTTCTTGGATTTCCCGCGTCAATTTTTTTTTTTTTTTTTTTCATATTTTTGTGTCTTCAACCTTCTTTATTGTTTTATTGTTTCGTTTGTACATTTCCTATTGGGCTTCCTTCTCTACTCCTTTTCTTCTTTCCTTTTGTGTCCTCGCACCTGTGCCAGGTGTCTCAGCTGCCATGGACGACACCTCCAAAGAGAGGTCACCCTCGCCCACGACCGAGAAACCTCAACCCGCCAATGAGCCCGTCGACGATCAGACAAATGCCAAAAAGGCTCGCCCAGAACGTACAGCATCGTTCCAGGATTATATGGTCAGTTTCACGGCACCCACATATTCTATACAATTTGAAAGTCTGGCTTCTAATACGGCCAACATGTGTAGCGAGTTTTCAAATATGCTACCGCATGGGATTTCGTTGCATACGCTGCAGGCATCATCGCCTCTATTGGTGCTGGCGTTACTCTCCCACTCATGAATGTTGTCTTTGGTAATTTTGTCGGCAGCTTTAACGACTTCGGTAACTTCGCCGATCCCAGCAACTTCGCCAACCCTGGCAGCTTCAAAGCCGCCTACGACAAGAAAGTGGCAGACTTTCTTGGCAAACTCAACCAGCTATCGTATGTTGCAGCCACCTACCCTCCACGGCCTAGCAGCACTAACAAATTTCAGGCTATACATGTTTGCTCTATTCATTTGCCGACTCACTCTGAACTATATCAACAAATTTGCTTTTCGTATGATTGGTATCAGGATCTCTTCAGCCGTCCGACTTGCCTATCTTCGAGCACTATTTGCTCAGAGCATCCACGTCCTTGATTCTCTACCCCCTGGATACGCCACTACCACCATCACCTCTACGAGCAACACTTTACAGCTAGGAATCTCAGAGAAACTGGGTGTCTTTGTAGAGTTCAATGCTACAATTGTTGCCGCTGTCGTCATTGCCTTTGTGCGAAGCTGGGAGTTGACTCTCGTTACTGCTTCTGCCATTCTGTTCATTATGATCAGTATAGGCGCCATTCTGCCCCTCATCGTTAAGCACCACGGCCAAATCTCAAAAGTGAGTAAGCCCATTCATCGTCTCCGATTAGCCTGCTAAATAAAGCTATATAGTCTGAGGCGAAAGCATCAGCTGTTGCTTCTGAAGCCATGGCGAGTCTGCGTATGATTGCAGCCTGTGGTGCCGAATCCAGGATAGCTAAAAAGTATGCTACATTTGTCGAACAATCAAAAGTTCACGGCCGAGCAATCAGTCCGTTGATGGCCCTCCAGTTTGGCCTCATTTTCTTCGCCCTTTACTCCGCTTTTGGCCTCGCATTCTGGTATGGCACCAAGGCCATTATCGAGCACCGAGTCGATGACGTTGGAACGATTGTCGTTGTTCTCTTCTCTGTCATGATGGTCCTATTTTCTCTTGAGCGAACATCGACGCCACTTCTTGCTGTTAGCAAAGCGACAATTGCTGCCTGCCAATTTTTCACAGTTATTGACGCCCCACGTCCTGATCCTGGCCACCTTCAAGATCCTCATGTTAATGCCTCTGAGGACATCATCCTTGAAAAAGTCACTTTTGCCTATCCCAGTCGACCTCACGTTAAAATCCTTGACGATTTGGATCTACGGATTGAAAAGGGAAAGATCACTGCCATAGTTGGGCCATCGGGCTCCGGTAAGAGTACGATTGTCGGTCTTATCGAACGATGGTACAGCTTGAAGGAACAGTACGTCGTTGCCAAGGCCGTTGAGCAGAAAAAGAAGAAGAAGAAGGGAGATGAGTCAGAGTCAGAGGATGCCGAGGCAAATGCCCAGGAAGAAGAGCAGACTGGTCCTCCTATTCCCCTTTCGGGATCGGTCAGTACTTGTGGTCACTCACTTGACGAGATTAACATCAAATGGTGGCGATCACAGATCGGTTTGGTTCAGCAAGAACCCTTTCTTTTCAACGAGACAATCTTTAAAAATGTGGCAAATGGTCTCATGGGAACACGTTGGGAGAATGAAAGTGAAGAAACGAAGCTCGAAATGGTGAAGGAAGCCTGCAAGGAAGCCTTTGCTGACGAGTTCATTGACAAACTCCCTGATGGTTATAACACACTGGTTGGTGATAGCGGAGCAAAGCTTTCTGGTGGTCAACGCCAGCGTATAGCTATTGCCAGATCAATTGTTCGCCAGCCCAAGATCCTCATTCTTGATGAGGCCACCAGCGCCATCGACGTTCGCGGAGAGCGTATTGTGCAAGCTGCCCTCGATAGAGTCGCCAAGAATCGCACCACCATCACTATCGCTCATCGTCTTTCTACTATTAAAAAGGCTGACCGAATTGTTGTGCTAAAGAAAGGAAAGGTTGTCGAGTCCGGTACGCATGAGAGCCTACTTGATATTACCAATGGTGTCTATTCTGGTTTGGTCAATGCTCAGGCTCTTTCTCTCGGTGAACCTACAGAGGCAGATGAGGCTTTGGAAGCCGAACCGGAAGACCTTGCACTCGAGACAACCAAAAGCGCAGCTCAGTCTGTTGGTGAACAAGACAAGCCCAAGGATGCCAAGGAGAAACTTCGCGGCCTCTTGACAAGCTTCGGTCGACTCTTTTATGAAACCCGCAGCCATTGGTACATGATGATTTTGACCATTATATTTGCGGCTATTTCTGCCTCTGCAATGCCACTTCAGGCTTGGTTGTTTTCCAAAGTTATCACCATCTTCAATAACAAGGAGACTCTGGCAAGCCAGAGCAACTTCTGGTCGAAGATGTGGGTTACTCTCGCAGCTGTCGTTGGTGTCGGATACTTTGGCACCTTTTTCTTTTCCACTCGAACCTCTGCTGTCATTCGTGCCAAATATCAGATTGAGTATTTTGACAACATGCTACACCAAAAGACATCATTCTTTGATGAGGAAGATCACTCCCAGGGTACCATGACGTCTCGAACGACGTCCGATCCTCAGCAACTGGAGGAACTCATGGGAGCCAACATGGCTAGTGTATATATGGGATTTTTCAGCTTGATTGGTTCCATTGCTATTGCCTTCTCCTTTGGATGGAAGCTCGCCCTTGTCTCGTTGTGCATTGTCGTGCCAATCCTTCTTGGCTGCAGCTACTGGCGCCTCCGATATGAAATGGTCTTTAACAAGATGAACGACGAGGTGTTTGCTGAGAGTTCCAAATTCGCCTCTGAGTGCATCGGTGCCTTCCGAACCGTCTGCTCCCTCACATTAGAAGACGCCACCTGTGCCAGATTTGAAACGCTATGCCACAACCATGTTGTCACTGCCTACAAGAAGGCCCGTTGGGTGAGCTTGCTGTTTGGATTTTCTGATAGCGCCACACTGGCTTGCCAAGCCCTCATCTTTTACTATGGTGGTCACTTGATTGCCAACGGGGAGTATAGTACTGAGGCATTTTTTGTCAGTTTTATGGCGGTACTGAACGCCGGAGAGGCAACCGGTCAGAGTCTAAGCTTTGGGCCCAACGTTGCCCAGGTCAAGGCCGCAGCCAACCGGATTCTTAGCCTACGAGACTCTCGACTTAGGGATGATGTCTCCAATTCCGAAGAGATCCCCGATACCAAGGGTGGCGTCAAGATTGAGTTGGACAACTTGCACTTCAAGTATCCCACACGCGAGACTGCCGTCTTCAAGGGTCTAAGCCTCACAATCGAAAAGGGGCAGTTTGCTGCCCTAGTTGGCGCATCTGGCTGCGGTAAAACAAGCATCATCTCTCTGCTCGAGCGATTCTACGACTTGGAAAAGGGCCAGATTCGGTGCAACGGCAAAGATATTACTGATATTAACATTTACCAGTACCGCCGCCACCTTTCTCTTGTCGCCCAGGAAGCAACTCTCTTCCAAGGCACGCTTCGCGAGAACATTCTTCTTGGTGTCGACGATGAAACTACTACAGACGAGCAGATGCACCAAGCGTGCCGCGACGCGTCTATTCACGAATTCATTGTATCTCTCCCCGAAGGATACAATACGAACATTGGCTCCAAGGGTGTAACTCTCAGCGGTGGTCAAAAGCAGCGCATCGCCATCGCTCGCGCCCTCATCCGCAATCCTGACATTCTGCTGCTCGATGAAGCAACCAGCTCTCTAGACTCAGAGAGCGAGAAGCTCGTGCAGGAGGCGTTTGAGCGAGCCGGCAAGGGCCGCACAATGGTTGTAGTTGCGCATAGACTTGCGACTGTGCAGAACGCAGATGTCATCTTTGTGCTTGGCGAGGGCAAACTGCTGGAGCAGGGAAGCCATACTGAGCTGCTCAAGAAGAGGGGTGTGTATTGGCAAATGTGCCAGAACCAGGCCCTCGATCGATAGAACGATACGGTGTGCCGGGGTAAAATTTTGTTTTATATGGTTGCTTTGTTTTTGGCAACTGGTGTTATTCTGGGTACACTACACTCAAAGCATTTGTTATCTACGCCTCTGTATTTATTGTACATAGACAAAAACGTCAGCTAATTCCCCTTCTTCTGAAATTGAACATGGTTTTCTGTTTATTCGAAGTGGCACATCTATTCTTGCTTATTCCACTCGTGATCCAGTACCTGCAGAATCTCATGAGGGTGTGTCATGACAAAGTCGTGGCTGCCAGGTAGAACCTTCCAGACAACATTTTCCTTGCCACCAATCAAGGGCAGACCGTCGTTTTCGTAGTCGTCCTTGGAGATGATCTCGTCTCTCTCAGCCAGCAAGATGATGGTGGATCCAGGCTTACGCTTGGCCAGCGAGCGCCAGACATCGTGGCGCTGAACCAGCGGCGCATAACGAATGCAAGACATGAAGGAGGGCACGAAGCCGCGGTGGTGCGCCACCATCCAGCGCACATACTGCGTGACCTTATTCTCTAGTGGCTGCGCGACTGCCGCTGATTCGGGGCTACCTAGCTCCGCTGCAGCAACTTCGATGCCGGGAGTAGTCGGCAAGCTCTTGGGCAGCGGGTTCTTGGGCACCTTGCGCGACGAAGCAATGGGCTGCTGGAGGCGCTGGCTTGTGATCTGGTGCAGGATGGCCTCGGGGATTGCGCCGGACGAGAATACAAAGCGTGTTATTCTGCCAAAGCGCTCGGCGCGAATGAGTCCGGCCGGGGCGAGCAACACGAGACTAGAGACGAGGTGAGGGAATGTGTCTGCAAAGTGGGCTGCAATGCCGCCTCCGAGTGAATATCCGACGACGCGAATGGCGTTGTTGCCCGTCCATGCGAGCTGGCTCGATGCCAAGCACAGAAGCATCTGGGATACATATAGTCGTTCGTCGTGGGGGAGGTCGCCTACTCCGTCTGTAAAGCCGCGGCCAAAGAGGTCCTGAGAATGGGGAGTTAGAGGACAGAACACAGCACAAAGGTGTATAGGATTCACTTACGAATAGCATAACGCGGCAGCCGCGCTCAACGAGGCCGTTTGCCAGATGTGTGAGGGTCATGCATGATGTGGTGATGCCGTGAACAAAGAGGACCTTTTCGCCGTCCTCGGGGCCGAATTCGTAGACGCGAATGGAGCCATACTGCAACAATCACACCCTGGTTAGCCTAGTTTCTGTATACTGTAGTACTTGGCATCTAATACATACTGGTGTCTCGACGTCTCTGGCGCCTGGGAACTGGTCGGGCTGGTATGAAAGACACGCGACTTCCTCCTTCTTCATGCGAGGCAGCGTCGTCTTGAGCGGACTCTTGAGGACCTTTGCCCATTTTGGCCACAGGATATCTCTGGACACAATGAATATCGTCGCAGTAGCAATCGCAGCTGTCGTGGCCACGGTTACGGGCGATGCCGTCCAATCCGGGCTTCCTGAGCGGAACGCCCACCAATGCGAGAGTGGTGACGCCATCGTTGGAGAGGGGAGGGGGAGCCGGCGTTGTTCGTGTACGGTTTGGTCGTTGTAAAGAAACAAGAGAAAGGAAAAAGTAGTCGAGAGATCGAACGAAGAAAGGAAAAGCCGGTGTTATAATATCGCGTGTTTTGGAAAAGGAAGAAAAGAAAAAACGAGGCGCAGGCGAAAGGAGGGCGAGACAACAGGAGGAGGGAAAAGCACATGGGAAAGGTAATGTAATGTGGTGTCGCTCTTTTTTTTTTGGTGCAGCAGCCAGTGACGTCTCTGTTTGCTCCCAAGCATCAAAGTAGGTACACTGCGGAGCCTACGGAAGAGAAGATAGTAGTGGCGTTGGGCGCTGACGTCGTCGCGGACAGTGGGCTGGCCAATGAGTTGCAGGGGCGGCGTAGCGTGGCTGCGTTAGCGCTGTGAGCCCAGTTGCCAGTGGATCGCCTAACGGTTTGGCTTCAGCATATAAGCGAAGAGGGTGCTGAAGAGAGTTTTACAACGGCGAATTCATATCAGATAGCATAAAATGAAATGGGTTTTTGGCATTCATGTCTCCTCATAGAGCTTTACTTCATCATACAAAAAAAGTATATACATATACACACATTATATACGGCGGCAGCAGCAGCCACAAAAGCTTCGCCTAGCTCAGGCCAACAGCCCATGCTGCATCGCCCAGCTTCTGAATCAATCCGCACAGATTCTCAATAATGTGAGGCGTGCCGTGCTTGGGATTGCTCACGTTGGCCCGCAGGATATCCTGCACCACCGTCATGCACGTCCGCGTGCTCTTGAGCGAGGCCAGCTGCACGCTGCCGTCCCGCGCCGACTTGGGTCCCCGGATCACCGGGTTTCCTTGTTCAAAGCCGATGAATCGGTGGGCCGCAAGCGAATCGGGCCCGTCCAGCTCAACCATCTCTGCCACCGTGTTGCCGGTGAATGGCTGTCGCCCGTTGGCTCGGCCAATCACACCGTACGTCCACAGCGCCAGCGCCGCGTGATGGCAGGCTACGGCGTAGAAGCCGACAATGTGGTCTTCAGGGAACTCCTTGGCGTACCGCAGCACTTGGCCTGCGTACCAGGCTGCCGAGCGCGCATCAGAGCCTGAAGCCCATTGCTGGAGAATGGGGTAGATTCGGCGCGCCTGATCCTCGCCTTCTTTGCCGGAGAAGAGCTGTAGATCGTCGAGCGAGATGTGCAGGTTCATGAGCAGCAGGTTGAGCATCATGTGCTCCTGTGGCGTCACGGCGTTCCAGTCCGAAGCGACAAGCTGGAACGTCTGTAGATCCTTTAGTAGTTCCTGATGGCGCTGGTTCAGAAGCATAGATGCTGCCGTCGCAGGTGTCAGTGTGTAGGAGCGCACTCGGTGCACGGCGCACATTTGGCGGTATTCCAGAATGAGTGACCAGTAGCCATGGATGTATGCTGCAATGGACAGCTGCGTGTCGATACGGTTGGCGTTTGCTCGTAGCAGGTGAATGTCACGCAGCACATCGCCAATGCATGGAGGGCGCTTGGTTTGTCCGCCGTGTCGCAGTATATACTGCTGCTTCCACTCTTCCGCCGTCTTGGCGAACCACAGTTCTTTGGGTTCAGGCAGAGGGAGCGTTAGTTCGGAATAGGACATACAAGGATTCGTCAGCGTCGTCATTGTCACTTGCGATTCTCGAATATAGCAGTGGAAGACAAGTCTTCGCCACTCCTCGCGCGCAATCCATGTCTTCCATTTTGCCTGGAGTTCCTCGCCCGTGTCGTCGGGGTATACGTGCATCATCGGGTAGTAGGATCGCTGGAATTTGCCACGGTATCGAAGCATCTGCAGTTCAAAATTAGCGGGTGTAGAGGTAGAACCTTACATAGACGTGAGGACTTACAGTCACGGGAATCACGAGATGGCATTCCGAAATTTCCATCTTGCGGCGGTTGCCACTCCACAATCCTATATCCTGCCATAGCACATAAGCTTGTAGTAGTCCAATGTCGTGGATGGCCAGGTTGTCTTCTTCAAATCTCGAAGGCATACTAATTCGTACAGCTTCCTGAACGGCATAACCAAACTTTGTCAGTGTGGGCACCGACGAAATAACAGCTCCTGCTGCTGCCGCTCCCGCAATCCATTCTGGGTATCGGCTGTTGAGCTTCATGGTTGGGAAATGCAGCCAGCCGGTTACCATACATGCCTGTGACGCCAAGAATATGTGAATCATGGTCTCCATGAACTCGGAGGTTGGAAACGAGCCTGCTACACGCTGGCTGATGGAATCGGATCGACAGGTTGCCAACATCATTGCCAACACCTTGTCACGGCTGGTGTGGTCTAATTTCTCTCGTGTTACTCGCTCTAGGCCCTTTCCGCGACCTTGAATGTTCAAGCTTGCTGTATCCCTCGCGGAAACCGGTAAATCGCCTAGCTGTCCAAATCCGGTGTCGATATGTTGCCGCGGCTGCCAGCGCCAGGGCGATTCCGTCCAAACTTTGACAAGATTTTGGCGCATCTGAGATATCTCGTTGGCTGTCTCGGGTCGCAGGCCAAAATCGTTCATCGGCATCATGGGAGCTGACCCGTCAGCTAACGGATCCAGGTTCCAATAATCCAGCAGGCCAAAGTCCATATCCGTCAGCTCCAAGCTGTTGTTGCTGCAAAAGTCAAGCACAGCCATGTTGCTCTGGTTATCAACGGGTCGGTTGTTTATTTCTGTCGGGGTATCAAATAGCACATCGCGGAGGAAGTCGAAAAAGGGAACATGGTTAGGATCGTTTCTCATCGGGGGTGGCGGCTGCGGTTGTTGATGTTGCGGCGTGAATTGAGGCATCGGTTCTGCAGGACCTGTAATATGTTAGTATAGTTGATTTTGCATGTGACCGAGATCATGAATCGCCCATGGGAGATTTACCTTGCTCAGGGCCAGTGTCTGGTGTAGGCAGTTGGCTTTCGTCGTGTGTAGCTGAAGGGTCGCCATTGTTTGAGCCGGGAAAGTGCTCCTGGATAATGTGAATCTTCTCCGAAAGGCTGTTGAGATGCTGAGTGGCGGCCTCGCCAGCTTCAGACAAGACGCATTCTAGGCCTCGAGAGGTACAGCGCTTGCATGGTTTGGCCTCTTCACACTTGACTCGAGCAGCAGCGCATGGCCGGCAAGCATACGAAACTCTACCAGAGCCAGCTGCTGCGACAACTCGGCGGCGCTTTGCAGCAGTATCATTAGCGTGGTTGGCGACGTGTCTGCGCAACAGGTCCTTTCGCGCAAACGTCTTGGAGCAGATTTCGCAAGCGAAGCGACGACCAAGAGTGTGCGTCTGGACGTGGCGGACAAGATGTTCGGGGCGCGAGTAGGAACGGCCGCAGTCACGGCATGCGTAGAGATTGCCCTGTGATGGATCTTTCTTTCGAGGCTGCGACTGCGACGCTTCGGGCTCGCTCGACGCAGATGGTGCTGACGCTGGCGATGTTTGCGTTTGGCCCGCCGTGGAGGAGGTGGATGGTGACGGAACTGGAGGCGGTTGAATGGCAGCCATTGGCAAGCCAAATGGTACTGATCGTGACATGTCCGTCGGCTGGATGAAAGATTGTGGCAGTTGTTGCTGGTGCTGCTGGTGAGAATTGGAAGACTGCGGTCGGTTATCTAGCAACTGAGACAGCGACGGGCCAGTCATTCTTGACAACAACGCGCAGTCGGGGCTTGCGTGGCGACGAGATGCCCCCAGCGACGCTGCATTCACGGGTTTTGGTCGAGTCGCGTGGGCGCAGTGGCTGTCGGGAGGAGGAGATGCGAGCTTGAGGTAAGAGCGTCACTCGATCTCTGTCTCGGTGTGTTGGGGGCCGTGGTGATGTCGGGCGGCGTTAAGGCCAAGACGGAGCGAGCGAGTTGCAGCGTAGCCAAAGGCCGAGCCGGAGAATAGGCCGGTGTTGCGTTGAGACTGGCGCAAGGTGAGGATGTAGAAACGATGAAAGCGAAGAAAGAGAAGAAAAAAAAACAACGCCCAACAAGGTCCAACGAATGCTCAGCGAGGGATCAGCGGGAGAAAAGCCAGCGTGGGTTACCTTGGAAATAGCGCTGACCAGGGACCCGATTAAAAATGAGCGGCGGCGGTTGGTGGCGCTGAAGATTTGCCAGTAAGTTGAGCGCACAGGCTGTCTTTTAGTGGATAGCAGTGCGGTGGGTGGGCTGGATTTAGCGGGTAGCCTGGAGAGTTTGGCCGATGAACAATGGGGGTTGATGTTGCCAATTGGTAGTGCTCATATTAATATTTTGGAAACTTTGCGCTGGAAGATTGGATGATATTCTCTAGTTTCTAATTTTTCATGCGCGCACACACATCCTGGAAATCTCATGTACTGCGCAGACGGCACTTGGCCGCCACGGCTCTCGCAACACCCAAACAGCAGATCATCACCCGCTACCAGAGTCAGCTCGGTCCCTTGGCGGCCAAAAGAGTCTAGCGCTTTTTGCAAGACTGCCACCATCTTTCAGTGGCCTCCAACTGCGCTAAAGCCGCCCCCACTCCCTCCCCCCCTCCTCTCTAAGCAGAGATCGGGGAACTCGAATCCATTCGGTGGTGGGCTTGCCGCTTTGCTTAGTCTCCTCGGCTTGCACCGAGTCTTGATGGCTGACGCAAAAGTGGTGTCATCGCTACGCAAAGCAAGCAAGTCGGCGTCTGCCGCCCGTATATGAAACTTCGGCGATCGCTTTCTCGACGGTACACCAGACCTCGAGTACAGCGCCGACATGGTAGCTGCAGCAGCATGAAGAAGAAGAAAGAAAAGAGCTCCGGGAGAAGCCGCATCGCAAATAGCCGGGTTGTACATCTCCGCTGCTGCTGGGAAACGGGTATCTATGCATCTAGAGCTTGATCCAAAAGCCAAAATACAGGGCTAATCGGACATGGTCCCATCAGCCGCACTGCTACGACTACGCACGGGACGTTACTCTATAGCTGATGCACAAGATGAGTCTGGAATCTGCGTATCAAAACAGAACTGGTTACTTATCACTTAGAAGGATATATTGATGTTTCTATTATACGCCCCTTTTGATGCTTAGCGGGAAGACTCTTGGTCTAGAAACCCTTTCCCATATGCTGCAATAGTACTCGCTGTTTTATAGTTGCGACACAGGACAGAACCACCACCTTCAACCGCCACCAGCCTTCACTACCCATGCGAATCCACGTAATAAACAATGTCCTGCAGTAACCACAGTAGACAGAAAAATATCTCAATATTCTCTTACATCAACCGCGTTAATCACTCCTCTCAGTTACTACTGCTCAACCGTGACTAAGCTTCACTTTTTTTTCTTCGGATTGCGCCACCCGCCACCACTACGAGCCACATGCCAGGCCGCTAGCCGCACCGTAGCTATCAGGCACCACAACTGCCAACGGGCTTGGCTGCCAACTGACGCAAGGGTCGCGTGTCGGTCTCAAACTCACCCCTCCTCCTCCGCTTCGTAACCGCCTCAGCATTCTCCCTCTATCAAAATAACCTCTCAGCAGCGTCTGTACTGCTCCGCTCCGTCCAAAGTTACTGCCTGCTGCCCTAAACCATGCCGTACACCGCTCCGTCGGCGGCCAACGGCGTCAAGTGAGTTTTGCAGAGCCTGCAAAGCCAAAGCGAAAGTGTAATGCCTAATGCTCACTTTTTTTTAAATGATGCAGCTCCCTATAATAGCAAAGACGGCCCTTTTTACATCTTGGTCGACTTATCCCATCTTTAACAAGCAAGAACCCGAATACCCGCCATCCGTGCGACAGTATCCGAGCTCTCCAACATGTCAGGCTCTGATACAGATGGAAGCCTGCCTCTGCATCAGAGCGGGCAGGCTTCCCCCGTGCAAGACCCTACGACGCCATCTATCGATCCCCAAGAGGAACCCACGATGGACGATGCCGAAGCTGCTCCAACTATAGATGGCAGTGATAGTAGTGCTGACCAGGTTGCAGCCACGCTGCAACACCTCGACCTCAGCCCTACACAAACAGCATCAAACGAAACGGCTACAGACATTGCCAGTGTCCCGGTTTCACAAACACCACCGTCGGACGAGCCACCACCATACATATTTCCCCAGCGAACGTCTTCAATACGATCTTCAAATGATACCTACCCGCGAAATGAAGCTGCTGGTGCAAGTACAGATGATGCTGGTGCTGGTACTGATGTTGGTGCCCAAGAATCACCAGCTCCCCTCGCCGAATCATCTGCCCCAGTCACCACAAGACGAGGAACTCTACGGTCTAGCGTATCTAGCAGATCAGTTACGACCGCTAGAGGAGACGACGCCTCTCAGCATTCCCTCGCCCAGCGCTCGTTGCGACGAAATACGTCCTACGAATCACAAAGACGAAGGACCCAGGATGTTGCACTGCCTAGATGGCAGTCCGATGCTGAGGTTACTTATTGCCCAATTTGCAAAACACAGTTTAGCTTCTTTGTTAGAAAGCACCACTGCCGGTACGTAACCGAGCCAGAGAGTAGGGTGATTTTGTGTTAATCGCTAACATACTGTAGCAAATGCGGTCGAGTTGTTTGCAATGCATGTTCACCACATAGGATCATTATACCCCACCAATACATTGTTCGACCCCCAGGAGCAGACGTCAATGTCGGTCTTCACCCTACGCTCTTCGTCGATGGCTTAGGGACAGGCTATATGGATGCGAGCGGAATATCAGGAGGAGAGCGTGTGCGGCTCTGTAACCCATGCGTCCCAGATCCCAACGTCGCGCCGCCTCATAGCCCAGCTCTTGAACAGGGCTCTGGAAGAATGTCACATCGACGTGCAAGGAGTAGCATTAGTGGCATTGCTCCTAGCACAAACGCACGTCTCCATGACCCTGACCATTCGGACTCCAGCTCCGGTGACCATTGGCCCAGATCTAGAAGTATTACAATGGTATGTATAGCACCTTCAGAGACAGGAGAAGCAAGTGGCTAATCTAGTCAACAGGGTCCCTATGCACAGATTGGAGCAAACGAGTCGTCTCGGGATGCGATGCGCGCAAGCTCATCTTACCACCAGACAGCTCGTGAACGATTCATTATCGCAGCACAGAGACAGGCGGCGGAAGCGTCGTCCTCAAGACGCCGCCCACTACCACCACCTCCTCAGATTGCAGAAGAAGACGAATGCCCCATCTGTCACCGCGAGCTGCCGTCCCGAGAGCTCCCCGAGTTTGAGACTCTCCGAGAACAGCATATCACTGGCTGTATTCTAGAGCACAGCCGGTACGGCAGCCCTAGAAACGCAAATGCAACAACGAATGATTCGTCCCCAGCACCCGTTGCGCCTCGCCGTAGTGGCATGTATACCTACAAAGCAACGGAAAAGGACTGTGTGGATGATGCAGAGTGTACCATCTGTCTGGAAGAGTTTGAAGCCGGTGTAGGCATGGCACGACTAGAGTGCCTGTGTCGATTCCACTACAAGTGTATTTCACTGTGGTTTGTTAACCATCCCGGCCGGTGCCCTGTTCACCAACATGATGGTTTCGGGTATTAATGAGCAGACGGCGGATGTGATGTCGGTTTTATTTTTATTTGTTTTTGTTGTAATTACATTCTGGAGAGGTAGCTTTGTTTTTGAGTTTTTGGCCATGTGGGAAGCAAGCGATTTTTGTGGTTTTTGTACTTGGGTGCATTTATACATATACATACATTTACAATGAGGTCTCTACTCGATTCTATGTCCGTATCTTTAAGCTCTGGTGCCGACCCCATCATATGACGACACTACAAGGGACGGCTTACGACACATGGGTATACTTACGTGGGTACAGACAGCGCCTCACAGCTTTGCGCAGTAGAAGTGCTGAAGAAGGACGCATCGTCGGCAATCGGCCTCCAGGGTGCGTGCTGCTGCGGATATTCGGCACCGGACGATAGGGCATTGCAGCGGGGGGATAAAAAAAACGTGGCGTGTTGGGTTGGTTGGCTATCAACGAAAGCGTTCAGTACGAATTGACCAGCATATTTTACGTTCTCCCGCCTTGAATCCTATTTCAATTGCATCGTCATTTTTCTCTACAATGCTTTTGAAATCTCCTATCCTGTCTTGTATTTTCTGTTCCCCGACGTGGCTGGGCCAGTCTCGCCCGTGCAAGCTCCCTCTTCTGTGGCTCCCTCTAAATTTACTGGGCTGTGTTGGCGTGGAGTGGTGCTATAGCGGGCCCCGGTGGCTGCATCTAGGCCGCTGTAAAGTACCCAGTACTCACTGTAAAATGTGAGACCATGTCAAGCTGGGAGCCCCATTTTTAAAACAGCCGATCTCAGCTGGGACCGTCGAGGCCCGCCAAAGGGTTCGCTAAGAGAGCGTTTTACTGGAAGCGCTAACGCCTTAGGCTAGGCAGGTCTGAGAATCAAAGGGCGAGGGGCTGGTGCTGGTGCCGTCGCTGTCGTAGACAAAAAGGCATGTGGCAATGGAATCGCCTTGCTACTGATGCACCACTGTTACGGCTTGCAGTTTCATAAGACTGCGAACAGGGACGCATTGGTGCAACCACATCTTAGTATGTACAGTATTGCACTGACGTCAATGCAGAGCCAGGGAAGAGCTAAATTATCTGGCTATCACTGGATCATCACCGTGTGGCCTTGGTCGCCAATCCCTCTGCGCCAGGTTTTTTTCTTCCAGGGCATTTCCCCGAAAACCACTAAACCGGATTGCTAGCGGTGCAGATCCGGCGCTACAAGGGTTTCTCGGGGTGGTGTGTGGCTGGTGGGAAAAAGAAGCTGATGGCAGTGGAAATCATAGCCAGCGCGACAAGGGTAGAAGCTACTGTGCTGTACGTACAGATTGGTCTTCCATGGGACGCTTGTTTGTCAATTGGTCGGGCAGAGTCGATGCTATCATGATCTGTGTGATGTCATCTTCTTGTAGTGCTCTCGATGCTACGTTATGCCCATCATTGTCCATCACAAGCTGCCTGTATTTGCTCGCAAAGGTTTCTGCTTCCTTCTGAATCCCTAATCTAAATGCTGGGCAAGCTAATCAAGCTGCACCCCCCAAAAGTCTCTTTTCTATGGAAGAAAGAGAGAAAAAAGACCACACCATCCATACCACTAGCCCCAAAAAGAAGCTCCAGTTGCACGGCTCGGCACCACCTACAGTGGGGTTCCAGCCGGCTTCAGTGGGGCGCAGCGGGCCTCAAGCTCCCCGCCGGGTGCTGTAAGCGTGCTGCAACGACGTGCGTGGCTTTACACTTTCCGCTCGATTGGGACAGGCTGTGTGTGTATCTGTACAGAGTACACCAGACGTATTGCTTTCGTGCAGCGCACTACTGTAGAGACCCTTGGCTTTTTTGCAGTGAACTGTGCTTGTCTTGTGGCTTGCATTTGCATCGCCCGCGCGTTCTGTATTACGCCTCTTTTGCCAACTGATCCACCACGGCCACGGAGCTCCCTCGCTTCTGCCGCCCGCCAGCTGCCCAACACCTACTCGCTGCCAGCTGCGCCTGTGCTCTTGTCCGAAAACACCAACACACTAGCAGCCAGCCTTTCCCTTTTCCCTTCCCTCTTCCCTTTCTTCATCCCGCACCAACCTCCATTCCCTCACTTACCCTTCCTCTTTTTTGTTTTTTATTTCCCTTAGCTTCCCCTACAGCTCCCTAAAGCTCTGCCATCTTCCTAACCTGCTCCCGACAGCTGCCTTTCGCGCTGGCCAGCTAAAGGCGATCAAAAAGTCTCGGAGCTCCATCGTCACCCCCGCCCCGCTAATCTTAAGCCAGCATACCAGAAGCAGCTTTTCCAGGCCAGTCCAGAGAAAGACGCTGCAAGGGTGTGTTTTTTCCTTCTTCCGTCTTCAAAAATCTCCATCGCCCTTAAGCGAGGAGAGCTCAATTCGACGTCCTTTCGTCCATTGAAGAGGACAACACACTACCCCAATTGCCCAGCTGCGGCGTCGTACGCCAATTGACTCAACTGCTACAGTGCGACGACACCGACCACCAAGCGACGCAAGCCCCTCGCCCATCATGGCCGATCAGCGCGAGATCAAGACCCAGGCCGTCATGCAGGCTGCTGCCGACCCAGAGAGCACCATCACTGCCAACGATGCCCAAAAGACAATCGTGGAGGAGTCCAAGAATGCAGGCATTGCTGCCTTCACCTTTGACCCCGATGCCACGCCCGAGCAGAAGCGCGCACAGGCGCAAGCTGTAAGTTTCCCACCTCCCGCTTTGGCGCCTTAGTGTACCGCCCACGCAGTTGTGGCATCCAATGCTAATGCGATCCTAATCATAGGCTATTCCTGCCGAGCTTCGACAGAGCCGCCCAGAGAGGGGTGCTGCCATGGTCACTGACGTGGACGATGGCAAAGGCCCGGACGAGATTCTGCCTGAAGCGTCCAAGGAAGGCGCTCTGGATGTTGCCAGAGACAAGACTGGCAAAATCGCCGTTGGTGCCGATCCCAATGCTGAGCCCGCCTTTGCTCGCACAGGCTGGGCTCCTCGCCTCGGATGGCCTGCCGAGAAGCCTGGCGAGGCCAGCAGCATGCTAGATCACGCCACTTGGCTCGAAAGCCGACTGTCGGACAGGTTCTATGGTGGTAAGTATTGACTAAACGCGCTCTTTGGTTTGCTGCGTTGCTAACTCGAAAGCTAGATTGGTACCACAATACCGGAATCATCATTTTTGCCTGTGTTTCTTCGTGGCTCGTTGCTGTGTTCAATGGCGGCCTCGGCTATGTCATTATCATCATGGCTATTTGCGGCACCTACTACCGAACCTCTCTGCGCCGCGTTCGTCGCAACTTCCGTGACGACGTCACTCGCGAGCTTGCTCTCAAGAGACTCGAGACTGACAACGAATCCCTCGAGTGGATCAACTCCTTCATGGTCAAGTTCTGGCCCATTTACCAGCCTGTTTTGGCCCAGACCATCATCAACTCCGTCGACCAGGTTCTCAGCGCCTCTACACCTCCTTTCCTCGACAGCCTAAAGCTCAAGACCTTCACTCTCGGTTCCAAGCCTCCCCGTATGGAGCACGTCAAGACCTATCCCAAGACCGAGGATGACGTTGTCATGATGGACTGGAAATTCAGCTTCACCCCCAACGATACCGCCGATTTGACCGCCAGACAGCTCAAGAACAAGATCAACCCCAAGGTTGTCCTTGAGATCCGTATCGGAAAGGCCATGATCAGCAAGGGTCTCGACGTCATTGTCGAGAACATGACCTTCTCTGGTACCATGAGACTCAAGATCAAGCTCCAGATCCCCTTTCCCCACGTTGATCGCGTCGAAATGTGCTTCCTGGGCCGCCCCGAGATTGGCTACGACTGTAAACCCCTCGGTGGCGAGACCTTTGGCTTCGATATCAACTTCATCCCGGGTCTCGAAAAGTTCATCCTCGAGCAAATTCATGGTACCCTTGGTCCTATGATGTACGAACCCAAAGTATTCCCCATTGAGGTTGCCAAGATGTTGGCTGGTACTCCCGTCGACCAGGCTGTTGGTGTTCTTGCTGTTACTCTGCACGGTGCTCAGGGTCTCAAGAACACGGATAACTTTGGAAACACAGTCGATCCCTACGCTGTCATTACCTTCAACCGCCGCCAAGAGCTTGCCCGAACCAAGACCATCGAAGACAACCCCAACCCTCGCTGGAACGAGACTCACTACCTCATTGTTACATCTTTCAACGACTCGCTCGACATCCAGGTCTTCGACAAGAACAACATGCGCAAGTCCCGAGAGCTCGGTGTTGCCCTTTTCCAGCTCGAAAATCTCGAGCAGCTGCACGTCTACGAAAACGAACGACTCGATATTGTTGCTGACGGTAAAGCTCGTGGTGTTGTCAACTGCGATCTCCGTTTCTTCCCTGTTCTCGAAGCCCAGAAGATGGCCGACGGCAAGATGGAGCCTGCTCCCGAATCCAACCAGGGTATTCTGCGCTTCACCGTTGAGCAGGCCAAGGATCTTGACGGCAAGGGTCTCCTCGGTCAGCTTAACCCATACGCCCAGCTCTTCCTCAACGGCAAGTCTGTCCACCAGACCAAGAAGCTTAAGCGCACCAACAACCCCATTTGGGATAACGGCTCCAAGGAGATTCTCATCACCGACCGCAAGAAGGCTAAGCTTGGTGTTACTATCAAGGACGACCGCGATTTGGCTGGCGACACAACCCTTGGTCAATACCAGATCCGCCTGGATGATATTCTCGACTGCATGGACCAGGGCAAAGAATGGTACAGACTTGCCGGCACCAAGGAGGGTCGTGTCAAGATGATGGCTCAATGGCGTCCTGTTGCTATTTCTGGTGTTGCGGGCACTGGTGGATACACCACTCCCATTGGTGTGTTGCGCCTGCATTTCAAGAAGGCTACTGATCTACGCAATTTTGAGGCCTTTGGCAAATCCGACCCGTATGTCCGGGTTCTGCTATCTGGTATTGACAAGGGACGAACTGTCACCTTCCGCAACGATCTTAACCCTGAGTGGGACGAGGTCATTTATGTGCCTGTTACTTCAAATCGCGATCGCCTTACTCTTGAGGTTATGGATACCGAAAAGGTTGGCAAGGACCGCAGTCTTGGTCTCGTCGAACTTTCTGCTGCTGATTTGATTCAGCAGGGCGAGGATGGTCGCTACATGGTTCACGACAAGAAGACTGTTCGCGAGGAGGGCCTACGTCTGAACGGTAAGGGCATTGCAAAGGGCACGTTGGTATACACCGCTGCATTCTACCCAACTCTCAATGTTGCCGACCCCGAAGAGGATGAGGAAGAGGAAGCTGCCAAGCACGGCGAGAAGCCAAAGGAGACCAAGCCTGTGGCTGCCGTCGCCGGTGATGCCGCCAAGGCCACCGAAGCGACTGCTAAGACGGCTGTTGAAAAGGCAAAGGACGCTGTTCCTGCCACCCCAGTGGATGCCACAAAGGCAAAGGCCAATGTTCCGGCTAACATCGACACTACCATTGACAAGGGCCGAGCCAGCTTAGAAAAGGTTGCCTCCCCTCTTTCGCCCACATCTACCGCTGGCCGACCCTCTATTGATAGTGTTGGGCCCCCTAAGCTGCGCCTTACACCTGAGGAGCTTGTGAAGCACGAGAGTGGTCTCCTCATCTTCCGCCTTCTCGAGGCCGAGATGCCTGACAGCCACAATCACCTTGAGATCTTTGTTGACGATATGGCCTATCCCTCATATGTCTCAGGCACTGCTACTAACAGACACCACAAATTCGACGAAATCGGTGACTGCTTCATTCGCGAGCTCGACTTTTCTCGATTGACTGTCAAGGCCAGAAAGAAGGGCGACGACAAGGACCACACTTTGGCTTCATTGTCTGGCAACACCATTGATACCCTCAAGCAATGCTTGGTAAGTCTTTAAAATATACATACTGTATGTATACAATGTTACTAACAGCGGCGAATAGAACAACCCCACCACTTTGAAGCTCAAGTCGGACGATGGCAAGGGCGGCTGGGTCAAGGTCAGCCTCCGATATATTCCTGTTGAGATGAAGCTTGACGCCAGTGAGAGCATCAACAACATGGGTCAGCTTCGCGTTGACATCTTCGATGGTGTAGATTTGCCTTCTGCTGACCGCAATGGCAAGAGTGACCCGTACTGCAAGTTTGAGCTCAACGGTCAAGAAGCCTTCAAAACCAAGGTCATCAAGAAGACGCTGTCCCCAACTTGGAACGAATCGTTTGAGGTCCCAGTCACCTCGAGAACGGCAGCCAAATTCAAGGTCAATGTCTATGACTACGACTTTGCTGACAAGCCCGACTTCCTCGGTGCCGCGGATATTCGCCTGGACCAGCTTGAGCCGTTCAAGGCCTACGAGCAGTCGTACAAGCTGGACGGCAAGTCTGGCAGCGTCCGCATGCGTATGCTTTTCCGACCCGACTACGTCACCCGCCAGCGCCAGGGCACATCCACGTTCCAAGGAACCTTTGCGGCTCCCACCAAGATCGTTACTGGTGTTGCTGGTGTACCCCTCAAGGGCGGAGTGGCTGTGGCTGGAGCTGTTGGCCATGGTGTCGGCAAGGGAGCTTCCTTCTTGCGCCGCGGCATTCTTGGTAAGAAGGATCGCGACGAGATGAACTCCTCCACTTCGGATCTTACTGAGACGGCCAATGACGCTCCTGGTATGCTCAAGAGATCTACCGGCCTCAGCGAAGCCAACGGCAACGGCGCCGCCAAGGATGTCCCCATCCCATCCATTGAGACGCCTTCAGTAGAGTCATCGCCCATGCACAACAGAACGAAAAGCATCGCTGGATCCTCCATCCATAGCGCCCTGGCCACTGGCGTTTCATCCGGCACCGCTTCCTTCACCGTTGTAAATGCCAGTGGATTCCCTGCGGACTCCAACTTGTACGTTGCTGTGACTCAGGTATCGCCCAAGGAAAAGACAGTTGGCAAGACCAAGCACTTCAAGGCGTCCAACGGAGAATGGAACTTTGACGAAACTTTCAAGATTTCGTGCTCCCCGGATGCGCAGTTCAAGGTTGAGGTCAAGGGCAACCACACATTTGGTAGCGATGACGACTTGGGCGAACACGCCTACTTTGTCGATGAGACCGGCGCTGGCGGCCCCCGAGAGCTGACAATTGGCAGCGGCAAGGTTACCATGAAGAGCAGCTTCCAGCCTGCGGAGCAGCAGCTAGGCGTTAACGACAGCCCACGCTCGACGCTTCGCCGCAGCTTGTTGAGCAAGCGTGAGCCAAGAGCGAGCGTGAGCCGAGAGTCGACACCCAACCCTTAGGCGGGTAGTGTTGTGAGAAGGAGGAGTGTTTTCCTTGGAAGGTCTAGGCGGCCGTCGAGGTAATGAATTTTGAATAGGGCGATACCGGTTTTTAAACCAGAGAATAGTTTGTATTGAGAGTAAATGTTTACTTTGTTTATTGTTTTTCTTTTCTACCTAAGCTCTCATCGGTGTCTGTCTCTATTCCTTGTCCTTGTTCAGCATGCCAACCAGCACGTCTACATCGTCTACTTCGCCAGCCAAGGCTACCGAGGGGCCGCGCCGGCGAAAGAACTCAGCTTCGAACTCTGGCGGGTAGAAGCCAGCGTATTCCCAGTCGATGATGGCCTTGATGGCGAGAGTGTCTGGATCGACAATAACGTTGTTTGCAGACAAGTCATTGTGACAGAAAACCAGGTCCTTTGTCTCTCTGGGACGCAGTCTCCATGGCCTGCCGTTAGAGGTCCGCATAACGCGATATGGGGGAAGTACCTATAAAAGCGAGGCGAAACGACTTAGTTTAAGAAAGAGTGTTAAGGATGAAGATGCTTACGGCTCCTGTTGGTCCGCCCCATATGTTGGATTTGAGTTCCTTGAGGGTCTGTAAGTGTGTCTCTAGTTCCTTTGTTACAATCTCTCGCTGCGCATCTTCTAGACTGGTCATTTCGACGCCTTCTACATATTCGGTAATCACATATGCAGCACAGTCGTCTTCAAAGCATGTGTATAGTTTTGGTAGTGGAATGGTCGTGTGCTCGGTGAGGTAGCGGATGCAAGCGCCTTCGTTGAGCACGCGTTCGGGGTTGAATAGCGGGATGTGCATGTATCCATTGTGTTTTTGCCATTCAGATGGCTTTAAACTGCGCTTAATGAACGTCTGGCCGTCGCGGTAGTATTTCTTTTCGTGGGTGACGGCGAAGCAATGTTCCTCCCGCATGTCGTTAAGTTGTTGGTTTGTAGGTGGTGGCATGCTGTGGCTCAACGCAACTATAAGGTATGTATATGCATGTAGAGATTTCTTGTTGTAGCTGAATAAATCTATAGGCGGTTTTATGAATATTATTGAATAAGAATCGAATTTTATTTTATTTTTCTTTCGAAACCATCGTGTCATGCGTGTCACGTAGTGCACGGCGGCTAGTATAAGTGAATGCAAGCTACCCGCCTGCTGTAACAGCACTAGCGAACCAAAGTGGCAAGTTGTGGCACGGCAGCCCGTTCCTGCGGTGGCACGCCCGTAAGGCAGCAAGGCACCAACTTGCCCACGCACACCACCCACCTAGGCTCCCAGGCGGTGGTACGTACCTTTTTGGGTCGACAGCTTAGCTAACCTGTGGTTTTTGGTGACGCGCGATCCAGAGCTGCCTGCCTGCAAGTGGACGACACCTCATCAGCGCCTACGCAACTCCGCAACCTGCTTCCATCCTTTGCGCCCATCTTGACTTTGAGTGCTGCATCATTGAAGCGACGACTTTGACGACTGCCAACATCTCGATAAGAATATCCGCCCAACCCGCCTGCATTGACTACGAGACCGCCGCTGCTGCAGACGACAGAGAGCTCCACGCAAGCGATCACGGCGACAGGATCATCCTATCCAATCAACAAAACAGCCGCACGATATAATCCATCACCTCCACCATGGACACTCTTGTCACGAAATACAGCAAACCTGCCTACGAGCGCACGGCTGCCCTCGAGGACGATGCCTCGCAGGAGCTGACGGATCCTTGGGCTAGCTTGTCTCTCAAGTTTGCCATGCCCCCCATTACTCAGGTATGTCTGGTCTGCACTGCGAAATCAGCTAGCTGTTCCTCCAGAAAAGAAAGAAAAGACATTTCCTAACATCGTAACTCTAGCCCGCCCAATGGCTCCGCGCCGCCACCGACGACAGATCGAACCCCAACTGCCCCATCAAGATTGCCCACGGTACCACAACACTTGCTTTCCGTTTCCAGGGCGGCATCATCGTTGCCACCGATTCGAGAGCTACTGCTGGCAACTGGATTGCCTCGCAGACAGTCAAGAAGGTCATTGAAATTAACAGCGTCCTGCTCGGCACCATGGCCGGTGGTGCTGCCGATTGCCAGTACTGGCTTGCCTGGCTCGGCATCCAGTGCCGCCTGCACGAGCTGCGCCAGAAGCGCCGTATTAGCGTTGCTGCTGCCAGCAAGATCCTCGCCAACCTCATCTACAGCTACAAGGGCATGGGTCTGAGCATGGGCACCATGTGCGCCGGTGTCACCAAGGAGGAGGGCCCTGCCCTGTACTACGTCGACAGCGACGGCACAAGATTATCTGGCAACCTGTTCTGTGTGGGCAGTGGTCAGACCTTTGCCTATGGTGTTCTGGATGCCGAGTACAAGTACGATCTGACCGACGAGGAGGCCCTTGAGCTTGGAAGAAGAAGTATCTTGGCCGCTACTCACCGTGATGCCTACTCTGGTGGTTATATTAACCTCTACCACGTCAAGGAGGAAGGCTGGGTCAAGCATGGCTTCAACGATACCAACCCCATCTTCTGGCAGACCAAGCTGGAGAAGGGCGAGTTCTCCAACGTCACGAGCGCGTTGGAGTAGAGCGACGATGATGGCAATGAAAGATAACAATAAATACACTAGAAAAAGAACAAAACGAATGTACGAGGGCTGTGGAAGAAACTACTACTCAGACGTCGTAGACAGGCTGTTTGAAAGACGCGTCGTCTTCTCATTTGAGGCCCGCTTACGGTTGACCTATATAACTTGTACAACAATACAAAGAAACAAGAAGCATTTTATGTCCATTTCCATTCTTAATTCTGTGATTTTCTTGCCCAACCTAATGATACACTATTGTAATGAGACGTTGCTCTGCTGTCGTCTCTCGCTAATGCTAGTAGTACTAATATACTATACTATACTCGTACATTTTATAAAGTTACACCTAGATGTCGGACATCCTATTATACATATATTTTGTCTTTTGTCATCATCATTCAATAGGATCAACAGGCTCCTCCTTGATCCAGTCATCCACACCAAGCAAGCCACACCCAACATCAGGGTCCATCGGCCACTTACTCAACGGCACGGCCTTGAGATCCGTCGTATATCCTGCACGGTACATCTCCATACCAGCCCACGCAATCATAGGTGCATTATCCGTACACAGCTCTGCGGGCGGTGCCACAATCTGTATATGTCCGAACCCGCGCACATCCAGCGTCGACCGCAGCACATGCATCAAGAAGCGATTACTCGCTACGCCGCCCGCAACAACCAACGTCTTGACATCGCTCAATCCGGGAACATCCTCGAGTGCAATACATGCGCGGCCAATGAGATGCTGGAACGCCGCGCGCATGGTATACCGCGCCAGAACCCGCCGCTGCTCGACGTCCATGTCTGGGTTCGCAGCCGCAATCTTGTGCACGGCCGAGTGAATACCCGCAAACGAGTACGCGAGCTTTCTGTTCTCGCGGAACGGAATCGGCACTGTCCACGGATACTCGGCAGGCAGGGTATCGTTCATCTCTTGTTCTCGTGACCGCGCGGGAGTGAAGAAGTCGTATGAAGAATCAGGAAAGGCAAACGCCTCGAGCTCCCGGCCGTACATGACGTCCTTGCTTGCAGCGAGGACGGAAGCAGGTAGAATCACGCGGGCTGTTTGGTCGAGAACGTTGCCAATAGCATTATCTCGTGTAGCAGCGATGATTTTGTGCGAGAGCAACGACGATGACAGTACGAGTTCCGAGTGGCCGCCTGATACGAGGAGCGTGAGGAAGGGGAACTTGGGGTCGACAGACACCGGCGAAGCAGCGTTTGTCTGTGTAGCGGCAATGGCGTTTGCGAGGCGCGGCGTCAGCGCATGGGCTTGCATATGGTGCACGCCGACTAGAGGCACGTCCCACGCTACAGCGAGACCTTTCGCGAGTGTGAGCCCGACGCTGAGGTTCGTCTTTATGCCTGGTCCGCGCGTGGCAGAGACAAAGTCTGGGCGGTTATCTGGCAATGGGATGTGTGCGCGTGCGCGGCGTACCATTTGCGCCAGTGTCGTCTGGTGCCCGTGGACAGTGATGTTGGGGGCGATGCCATGGAAGGCTCTGTTATCGGAGGCGATGCGCTCATTGAATAGGATTTTAGTCTCGTTGGTGCGCTGTGTGTGTGAGAGGACGGCGACGGCGGTGTCGTCGCATGATGTTTCGATGGCGAGGGTGACAAGCGAGCGGCGGCATGGCGGGAGCTGTGGTTGCGCCCGCAGTGTGCGGGATATAGGTATTCGTCTGAGCATTGATGCGACAGGCAAGCAACCACCGCTTACGGAGGAATGTTGCGTGTGTTTGTGAACTGGTGGTTGGTGATGCTGAATATTGGAGGTCGAGAAATCTGGAGTGGAGGACAAAGCCATAGGGGTCAGTGTCGTCACTGGTAACTGCACAAAAAGTGTTGCAATGGTTCACGGAAATTTTAGATGGAAAAATTGCTATAAAATGCTAATTAGATAAAAACTATACTGCCAATGTTTAAAATAAATTCAAACAATAAAAAAACGCCAATATAATGCATCTTCTGTTGCGTCATGGCCATATCCTTCATACGTATATATCCTTCGTATATGTATCCATGATCGTTATAATGCGTGTAACAAAAATATAAAAAAACGAGTATCCTTAGTTCACACCAGAAATCCAATTAACCCATTCACACTTGCATCCGCCAGTGCCGCCATCGAAACCGCCGTACTTGGCATCGCCCGTGGATCGCGGGTTGATCAAAGAGCCGGTCCTAGCCATGTTGTTCACCAACGCTTTACCGTTCATAATGTCCAGCTTCTGGCGACTATCCATGGGCCATTCCCATACAAGCTTCTTGGTGCGGTCGCCGCCATGAGTGTCCAGAGTCATGCTCACGGGGTACGGCATTGTGCCAGGGCGGATAAGATCCGTCTTTTGGCTGCCAGACGACGGCTTTTGGCCGCGCGTGCCAATCAAGATGGAGCCCGTAGAGTCGAGCTTCTTCGTCCAGATACGAACAAGGAATCTTGTCTCGCTCCAAGTCGTAAGAAAGTTGGCTTCGCTCTTGCGGCAGCCGCCGTCTTCGTCCAAAGGCACGTTGGCATCGTCGGTTCTGTTGAGAACCTCGACAGACTTGAGGTATATGGTTCTCGAAAAGTACGTGTAAAATCCGTAGTGCTCAGTGGGAAGACCACGGTCAAAGAGCCGCACGGGTTGTTGAACGGGTTGGGGAATCATGACAGCTGGCGCGGGTGTGCCGTCCTGTTCTAGCGTTGGTGCTGGTGCAATCTTGGCGATGCCGGCACCGGAGGTCGGGTCTTGTCTTTTACTCAAGCTTGGTGTACCAACCGTCGCATTCACCGAAGGCAAAACACTAATGTAGAATGGGGTTGGCTCGCCGGCCTTCTTGTCCGACCGGATACCGTCGGTTGTGTCGCCGAGGAAATACATTTCATTGAACGAGGGTGGTGCTGGGCTCGACACAAATGCCTTTGTAGCATCTCGTGCTCTGATAATGCTACTTGCAATTGAAGAAAAGCCGATTCCTCGTCTAGAGACAGGTGCCGCTGGAGGAGCTTGACCGTCGGGTGTCTTCCATGATCTTGCGGTGCTGTTATCCCATTGGATCTGGAAGACTATGGTGGGTTGGTTAGGCTTGAAGGGAGTGTTGGCGGCCTGCAACTCCTTAGGAAGCGAGCAACTCCAAAGCGTAGACGGCTCAGTGCAGCTGCTCACAGTTGCGTTGTTTTGAGGGCCGACAACAGTAAGAACACCAGTTGGCATGGGAGGGAAGTCGGTCAGGTTAACCCAGATAGACGGTTGTTGTACCGCTGGGTGTGGCCGGCTAAGTACAACAGCCAAAGCAATAATAAGAATGAGAAGGACAGTGATGCCAAAGCAGAGACCAGCCCAGACTCGGCGGCGCTTTCTGCCTTCACGACCAGAACGACCAAAGCATCCATTCTTAGGGAGACATCCACGGCCCTTCCAGAATCCACCTAGTCTGCGAGCCAGGATTTCTTCTTTCTCATGACGACGGCGCTGCCTTTCACCCCGATGCTCCCGACCCTCAGCGGCATACGCATGTTCTCGAGGAACCCAGGTTCCAGGGGCTCTAGTGTGCATTGCTCCGCGGAGAGAAGGTGTATAGGCACGAGGTGGTGCAGTAGGATCTGGAACACTTCGCTGCGATGTCATGGTGCCTGCAAGGCCAGGCGAGGCAGGTCGGGGAGAAGGTGGGAATTGCGATTGCAGAGGATGACCAGGTGGGAAGACGGCCCGGTAACGAATAGGCTCGTTGGATCGATGAGGAGGCGAATAAGGAGGAGGGTTGTCAACGGTCGAAGCAACATCATTAATCATAATGCGAGGCTTCTCAGCAACTCTAGTTTCGTATGGTGCTGATTCCACAGAAGATCCAGCAACACTTCCGGCAGCTTCTGACAATGGGGGCGAAGGTCTTCTAGGCGTTGGTTCTCGAACAATAGGTACGTTGGCGGCCTTGAGAGAAGGCTTGGGTACTTCGAGATGCTTGGTATCTTTGCCCGGGCTGCAAGGGTTCCACGATTTCTCATATGCTGACGCAACTGGGGATTCCTTTGGTTGCTTTCGGCTGGAGAAGGACATGTTCTTCTCTACAAAGGGGGATACAACATGATCCCACCAACCGTTGACCCTAGAACTGGCACTATCCGGGGTCTTGGCAGCTGCCTTTCCTTTTCCGTATTGTAGTGGACTCATATCATCCTCTTCAAAGGCAGTGTATGGTGTTTCAATCTCCGATTCGGCCTTGCCAAACTCCATGCTGATGATTCGGGCCTTTTGGGACTGTTTGAAGCTTTCCGGCATAGCAGGCATGGGTGGTGCATCCTTGTTGTCCATGTTACTCTTTTGGATAGCAGTAACCTGCGAGTAGACACTCGAAGCGGGTCCAACTCTAGGAGGCGAGAGGTTGTTTCCAAAAGAAAATGCAGTTTCCGGAGTATCGGGTGACCAAAACGACTGTTGGTGTTGTTGTTGAGGGGTAGTAGGTGCTTTGCTACTCCCAGCATTGGATTGCATATCCTTGGGCAGGATCAAGTATGGATTGGTTGCTGTCTGGGGCTCAGCTTGAAGGCGTCGAGCATGCTCAGGATCAACTTCAATACCAATCATGATGGGTGCGTCGGATGCTCCTGAGTTGAGAGCCTGTGCTGATGGAGGTGAGATAGCAGACGCCGGGCTCTGCGACTTGTTTCTCTTAAGCCAGTTCCAGTTGCCCACGGATGCTGAAGTCGGTTCCCCTTCGAGAGCCCGCAGAGCAGCCGCATCCACAAACTTGCCCTGGTTATTGTAGGATGGCTTTCGTTGATGAGAAGGCTGGTTCTGGCGACGAAAGGCAGACATGTCGGTAATGAGTTTGATGCCAGCCTTCGCATTCTGGGCCTTTTGACGCTGGCGGGATTTGAGTCTCTTAATCTTAACCCCAGATTGTCTAGATGCCCTGGCGGCACTGGCTCTGGCGGTAGTGAGCTGCTGAGAAGCGAGAGCACCAGGCTGGGAATGGGAGTATTGCTGGATAGAGACCTGCTCGCCCAGCTCAATGGGGGTGACAATCTCGTCATCCTCCCATTCTTCCCAGTCTTCCCCTTGATGGGATGGCATTATGGGCGGTTTGAAGTGTATGGTATTTGTGTGTGTCGGTTGTCGTATAATTTATTATTGTGTTTGACAGTTGAAGAGTAGTGTTGTGTTGTTGCAGAAGTTGAGGGTGTCGAGTTTGACAAACTGTGTGGTTTTGAAAGCGAACGTTTAGTAGGGAATGTCGGCAGAGACTCGACAAGTGAAGCTGGCTCCAACTTAGTGGTGTACTCTGTTATAAAACAGCGAGAAGAACAAGAAACAGACAAAGGAAAAAGAGTGACAAAGGGGAACACAAAGGAAACACTGCACAACCCCCAAGAACAGTGATTTTCGTGGTGACCTGTTTCAGTAAGTGTAAGAGAGAAAGTGCAAGTTTTTCACGGACAGGCCATAGGACACGATGGAATGGGTGGGAGGCGGGTAAATTGGGCGTCAAGTGTATTGAGTGTCTGTATGGAACAATAGGCACACGACAATAGAAGCTGCACTGGAGCAACCAGGCCGCCACGCGTGGATCGGTGGGACTGCTGCTGCACCTCATGCATAATGCGTGAGGATGGCGGGCGGTTAATAGGCCAAGAGGCAGACATGATGGCAAATCGCAGAGCGGGCGGCGGTTTGGTTGGTCGACGGTAGCAGAACAAAGGGAATTAAGCGCCGTGATGTTGGTGTCTGGCGGTTTGATTGGCGGGCAGCGTAAGCGCCAGGAACGGCAAGAGCCAACAGGGGATACGATTGGCTGGGGCGGGGGAGTGGGCGGGACAATGGAAAATCCAGGCACGAGCCGCTAACAACTACCCGGTATAGTGAATGGGCAAGTTGGGGGAAATATCCAGTATAACCTCGTAAAATTATACAGTGATGAAAATGCTGTCAATTGGTTTTTATGTTACATTAGATTGTAAGTATCACTCATTTTGTCGAATAATATGGTATTTGTATGCCATTTGGTGCAGCGTATCAGCACCGCTAAGTCCTCACTTCAGAAGCGTTCAAATGACACTCACTTCAGCTGCAGAAAGACACATGTGATTCACCAAAACAGAGATGAGCTACGAAACAAGAGTCACTGCAAGATACAAGAGAAAAAAATCAATACACAGCACACTCCAGACCAATCGTGATAAAACAAATAGGCTAACCACGCTATGTACGTTTAGTGGGCCACTGAACGGCGGCGTTGGTGTTTTATTGTTTCCATCAGCCTAGAAAACCCAGCCATTGTTCGCTTACCTCTGACTCGATTGAACGTTATAACAAAAAGGTAGGATGCTCTCTGTCTTCATTTAAACAATAGTCACACTGCTCTACCTCAAGCATTGGCAAACGACACAATGTCAGCCAATACTGAGCAGCCTCCATGGATGAGCGCAAATGATGTTGCGTCCCGTGAAAAGTATCGGGCCTACTGTGCTTACAGAGGACACACTTTGGACGACTTGATCGAGATGGGCTTGGAACAAGGCAAAGACATGGATATACTTCTCCAGAGGCACTTGCTTGGTCAGCCGAACGAGCTCGATCGAGATCACTTCGTTGCCACTTTGGACGGCTATACCTACTTTGGAGAATTTATGTGGTATTGGAATTTGCCATTGACTTTCCCCCCTCGGGGGCTTCAATCCCCGTCTATATGCAAATTTATTATTTGCGACGGTCGTGTCCCTGACATGGACACGTTTGACGGCGATGGCAATGCTGCGATAGACAGATTGTACCAAGAACAGGTGCGTCTCGAGGCCACCAACGATAGGATCGAGAGGGCAAGAGCTGCGATTCGCAGCAGGGAGCAGATTGCGGCATCACAGCTTGCCAGAGCTATGCTCACACATTACAATAAGCAAGTGGAAGAACAAGGCTCTTACAACATCATGGAAGCATGGAAGCTTATTGAGCCGAAACGACCTGTCTGGATTAAAGAGATATATGAAGGAAGCCGCGAAAAGTATGGGTTTGTTGTCTTTGAATCCTCCAAGTTGCGAAATAGGCCACTCCAGGCAATCGTGCAATGGTACCGCACATTTAACGGCCAAAATTGTGTAGATGAAGGATTTCTTACGGGCTACCCACACGCCAGATACACCGTCATGGATGGTGGTAAGTTACGCTTTCGCTGGACGATGCGATGGGAAAAGGAACCTGTCGATGAAGACGACCCGGAGTCGATGAAAAAGTAAGTACCGAAACTGTACTAACCACTTCAAACATGCTAAATAACGTGGAAAATGAAATAGGCGGTTTATGGATCTCGTACCCTCACTGCCGAAAAAGATGTCCAAAACGACCTTTCTGGTCGTTACAGACGACTGCATCTTTCCGGAACTTGAGACAAATCAATTGTGGCTGACCAAACTCCTTCGCTGGCCCAACGATAGACAGGAGGGCAAAATCGCCTATCAAGACCTGCCGCCCTTTTATATCTGGGCCTACGATGCTGCGTGGACGCCGCCAACTGGCAAAGCCGCCAAAGAGCCCTTTGACGGCTACGAGGGCCGCATACGCGTAGACAGTACAGTACTGCTGTCATGGTTCTACTACGCAAGGACATGGACCGACTTGACTATGAGGCAACTTTGGGAAAAGGCAGACCGCAGTCCGCATCAAGTATGGCACGTTCAAGAAAACCTGGCAAATAGGGCAGAGCCCGAAGCTCTGGTATAAGCTATATACATACATACATATACATACCTATATACCATCATCGTTACCCTCTCTATGTACTGATGTACAACTTCCACTTGCTCTAGGTTTTTCCATTTATAAAAAAAAGCTCATTAACAGAGAGGATAGAATTACAATATCTAACTCGCTAAACACGAGAAAAAGAAGTACTTTAGCATCTCAACCAACCAGAAGGCTCGTATCGTCTTAGCCCATCTCTACGCGTTCTCACTACAGAAACCCGTCCCACCACTAACACGCATCCCCGGTAACTGCAGTCTCTTCAGCGGGCATTGTCCCTATTTGGCGCGGTGCATGTTCAATTCCACCCTTCTGATTGGCTGTGGCGCCCAATGTATTAAGCCTCCATGCCCCCTGAACCCCAGGACCTTTTACTGGCGAGGGTTATATTACAATTGTGAGCAGGATTTTTCGACCCCTTTGAGTATTTTCATGATAAAGAAGCCGCAGCTCAGGCTCCCTAGAACGCGTTCGAGTCACGCGAGACGGTAATGAAATAGTTCGGCGCTTCTCTCTCCGACATTCTTGACGGTGAGACAGCGCCGTGCTGAACGCCGGTTGTTGGAGGGTACTGCGGCACCTACAGTACAGTAACAAACCAGCAGCGACAGTACAGTGCTACCGTTCAGTGACAGGACCAGCTGTCAGAAAATTGCCCTTGCTTGCTTTCCCGTCACCATCAACGACGGGAATAAACAAACAGGGCATTTTCAGTGTGTCATTGGCCGCTAGAACGGGCAGGTCAGCGGGTGAGAAGCACCGAGCTTGCCGCTTTGGAAAATACAGACGACAGACAGGGTCCCCAGGGTCAGCGCAGCAGGTGGACACGCTGTAATTACAGCAATGGAGGGGGTCATTTCGGCGGTGGCGCAGACAACGGCAGCCACAGTTAAAAAAAAAACAAGGCGCCACAAGGGTACTAGATTTAGCGAGCTTGGGCGATGGAGGCGCTGGATATTTTTCTGTCATTTTACAAGGCGTGGAAGGACCACCAGCCCTACTGTAACCAACCAGCCAACAACTGCCCCCTGAATGTGCAAGTGAGCAAGCCGCAGCAGTAGCAGCAGTTCAGTGCATTAGCGCCGTCTTAGTGGGTGCAGTGATGTGATGGCATGGGGGCCAGATAGCAGACAACGGCTCGCTCATATAACGTACACGCACAGATGCATTGGTGTCTAATTTCCAAAAAGTCACAAAGCGCGAGACAAGAAGCACTGCACACGACGGAATCCGCAGTTCGCGTCTTTGTTTCCCATTGTTGACAACCCCTCCTGCCAGCCGGTTGTCGACAGAGACATTGAAGGCCGAGAAACAGAGACATGCTTCTGCGCCATCGTAGGGGCGTGTGAATGTGGCTCTTCTAATACTGAACGGACTGCCGCTGTCTGGCTGCTTGGCGAGGCTCGTGTGATTTGCTTAATGAATCGGCCATTCCAATTTGGTACTATTATACTTTTTGCCAATACTAGGCTGAGTCTGAGCACGCCACCCCTCCTTTCCAATGTGCCGACAGCCTCTATAATACGGACGCCTCAACGGCAGTCTTGTGCCAGCACAGCGGCTGCGGCTGCTGCTCGTGTTTTGAATATTTTCAGACCTTCGTCTGATGATGGCCTCGCAAGATATACGAAGAATGACGTTGTATTTTCTTGTGTACCTCGTTTTTCGTGGGCTTCCCCTGGTAGACAGCGTTATTTTGCCCAGGATTTCAAACCCACCGGCTCCCCACTATCCGCTACGGGACCCCCCATTTACACGTTTTCAGCGCTGTTCGCCGCCTGAAAAAAAAAAAAAGGGTGCCGCCGAATAGTGAGTTCCAGCTGCTGGTGCTGTTTGCGACAAACCGCCCGATAAGGAATCAGGCCAGCCTAACGTAGCCCACACGCCCCCCATTCGCGCCCCCTACGCCTGGCGCTATTCTGTGAGTTGACAGACGTGATATTTTCATAGGAAACATAGATAATAAGAAAATGAAAAGACAGAAATCACAACTTGTAGTTACAATAGTCTCAATTGGTTTATCTGAATAAGCAATTCTCGCTTCCATTACCTCTCTAAGAAACCCTTTCTTGCTTCTTCTGGCGGGGCTTATCTTCGCCCAACTTCCCCTATACAGAAGCAGCGCCCCCCCCCCTAACCCAGCAAAGCAGCACACTGGCAGCAGGCCCCCCATTGGACATCGTGGCCACAAAAAAAGTCACACACCCCCGTAGCGCAGCTAACGAGAGCTTGCAACCTCACCTGTGCACCCCCTGGGCAATCCTCCTCTCAGGCTCTGGCTTTCAGGAAAGGTCCTCTTTGGTGGTTCCCTTATCCTTCGCTTCTTCTTTTTTTCTTCGTCACTTTGCCAAAGCAGCATTCCTGTTGTCGACATCGACGCTTCCTGCGACTTTGTTTTCTTCTTCTTCTACTGTTGCTGCTAGTGCTTCCTCTCTCTCTGCACGCGGAAGCCTCCTTTTCTTCCCTACTATTTTGCTTTTTGCCGCGCGCCGGCACCTAAACGTCGACAAAGCCTTGCCGCCATCCGTCCAAAAACACCGGTTTTGACGACACCTCTTTGCTTTACCCGCAACCCGAATCCTCGCGACCGACCGCATATCCTGGCCTTTTACCCATCGTCGTCACCCCATCGTCACCGTGGCGCCCTCAAAGCTTACAGCCGGCTCCTCGAGCTCTGTTCACGACAAGCCGGTTCAGTCTCATCATCGCCGCCGTTCCTCTGCTGGCGTTACTCCTACAGACGAACGCCCCGGCCACTCGCTGCAGATTCACGCGCAGCTTGCCAACAAGAAGGCCCTCTCGCCCATCATTGGTATGTCGTTAAAAACCGTTTTATGCTTTTTTTGCACATCGCGCAAATCATAGCACCGATCATCCCTACACTTTTTCCTCTATTTTTGGGCCGCCGCAGATCAGATCCCCTGGATGCGACACCGCCTGCCCCGTTGGTTTGGCTCGGGCCTCACAACACCGCCTCGCCCCAAAAAACGCTGTGAACCCTCACCTTGGCACCACACGTGGCCTTTCATGTCGCGCAATCAATCTTGCTTTTCTCATCTTGCATACTAACGATATCTCTTCCTCTTCCTGCAGGCACGCCTTCCGAACCAATGTCTCTCTCCCGATCTCCGTCGCCGGTCCCTGGCGGCGGCTGGGCCAGCCCTGGCCTCAACATCAATAGCGGACGCAATAGCCCCAATAGCTCGACGCGGTCGGGCAACTGGGATTCTTCCAAGCGATCCAATGGCGCCAACGGCTTCCCTTCCTTCTCGACACAGAACCAGGGCTTCTTCACCCGCCATATGCGACGCATATCCGGCAACCTCCCTAGATTCCAAAACGGCGATGTCAAGGGGGGCCACCAAGGTCCTTCCTACGGCCAAAATATCCCTATTGTCGGCCGATTCGTCTCGATATTCAACCGCATGGGCCGCAAGCTCAAAATGAGAATCTTGATTGCCCTGGGAATCCTCCTCTTTTATATTATTCTGTCAAATACCCGTAAGTCTTTTTGGAGTGCCAGCCATTGGCGCTGCTGGCCGCAGTTCGCTAACAATATTCGCAGCCTTGTTATACTGGTGGCGCCGAGCCTCATGGGGAGGCGGCGGTGAAAAGTTTGTCATTATCCTTGCTGCTAACGTCGGTGGTGGTGTCATGGAGTGGAAGGGTGCTCGTGAATGGGCCATTGAGCGTGACAGCGTCCGCAACAAGCGCAAGTACGTTAACCGCTGGGGCTACGACCTCGAGATTGTCGACATGAGCACCAAGAAGCGATATGCCCACGAATGGCGCGAGAGCTGGGAAAAAGTCGATGCTGTTCGCAACGCCATGCGCAAGTACCCCAAGGCTGAGTGGTTTTGGTGGCTCGACCTAAACACCTTCATCATGGAGCCGTCATACCCTCTCCAGAGCCACATCTTCAATAGCCTCCAGAGCAACGTCTACCGCGATATCAACGACTACAACCCTCTCAACATTACCCACCCATTCTCCGACCCATACCTCGACCCTGTTTCGCTCAGCCCCGTTGGTGATGGCAACATCAACTCGGTCAACCTCTTGCTCTCGCAGGACTGCTCCGGATTCAACCTGGGCTCGTTTTTCATGCGCCGCAGCGCCTGGACCGAGCGCATGCTTGATATCTGGTGGGACCCTGTTGCTTATGAGCAGAAGCACATGGCTTGGGAACACAAGGAGCAGGATGCCCTTGAGTCCCTCTACATTAGCCACCCTTGGGTGCGCCAGCATACCGGATTCCTTCCTCAGCGCAAGATCAACAGCTTCCCTCCACAGGCTTGTGGTGACGGCACCGGCAAAAACCACACCCAGTTCCACTACCACGAAAAAGACCGCGACTTTGTCGTCAACATGGCTGGCTGCGAATGGGGCCGCGACTGCTGGGGCGAGATGTACCACTACCGCCAATTCTCCTACTGGCTCAACCGTAACCCTTGGGAACGCTTCAAGGAGGACTTTGTCGCCGTTATCTGGTTCCATTTGACTGGCCAGCGTGTCATCCTCTAAATCATGCCACGACGACGCGAATAAAATAACACACCGACCCAACCAACCACACAGGCGCAAATATAGACCCTGCAGCATCTGTGGTTGGAGCGATGCGACGACTACGCGATTCCGAATACTCACTCGTTGATCGAGTCGAGCCATAAATAGCGGCAAACGCACAATTCGCACCCCCATCTCATCATCATCCTGTCAAATATTGAAAACCTTTGTTTTTTCCTTTTCCGTTTATGTTGCAACTTACGAATGCATGTGGATGGCCAATGATGCCAGATGCGAAGCCCAGAGGGCTCCGTGTCAACTTTCCACGCCATTATTGGCGCTTCTTTGTATATCCCCTTTTCATCTTCCCTTCTCGACCAGTGCCCTTTGGATGGCAAAATGCAGCGTACTATTGGATGGACGAGTTTTACTGCTACGCAGCAGGCAAGCCCAGTCAGCTACGCGCAACCGACATGGACCTCCGGTGTTCTGGATACTATTTTACAATTTTTTTTTTTTGGATTACACTACGCATTTACTTGTTTTGAAAAAAAGAGAATGAGGAGGAAGGAATAGATGCATAGAATTTCTGTTGAGGGAGAAAAAGCTGTACCCGGGGACGATTCACTGTTAATGTCTTTTTATTATTCTTATTAGCCCTTTCTTTGAAAAGAGCTAGTTGTTACACTTTTCACTTTGATATGGAAATAAAAACAATGCCATGGCGGGCAAATGCCATGCTCGCCAACCTTTGACTTTTGCACTGTCCTCCTCTGCAGTCGTGAATGTGTGCTAATAGTAGTAGTAGTAGTAGTAGTGCTCGTGCCCAGCTTGGCAATGCGGTGAACCTATCGGATAAAGTGGCGAGAGTTCACGGACTTGGAGCTATTGCTTCAGATTGGATCCCGTGAACTTTGCTAGGTCGTGTGGCGGCGGATAGCACGGCGACAAAGAGATAAATGTATGCCCCGATGAGCTTGGGCGGCGGCGGCCGTGGGAGGTTTCAGGACGTGCGGTCCGTGTAAGTTGGGCGGGCGTCGGCGTGGACAAAAGGCAGCACCGCAGCCCATAGGTAATTATAGAATATCGTATTCCAACATCTTCCGAGCCTGGCGCTTTGTTTTTCTCGTTTGGTTAAATTAACTTTTAAATTTAATTTGAATTTTGGAGCTGGGAAGCAATCTAGAAGATTGCCTCTTTGAGTGGGAGGGAGGCCGTCGTGGCCGCATAGCCCGATCAAGCCGGCCTCGTGCAGGCAGAAGAAGGAGAGCACGTTTTTAAGATTACAATTGCATTGTTCACAAGTACTGTTTATAATAAAAAAGAGGATAAACCAACTTATCAAAGACAGTTTGGCTGGGGCGGTGCTGCCTACAGCTGACCCCATCTGGCAGTCACAGGTATACACACATGAAGAGTATGGATTGGCATATAAATGCCTTGGGACAGTATAGTGTGTTACGGGTCCTGGGTTTTACGCAGTGAAAGGTACGCATGAATCAGAAGAACTGGCCCTCATCTCCGCGGTCCTGCAGGGCCAATCGGTACGGATGTTTCGCATAATTCTGTAAAGGTGCGCAGGATAAACATGTTTTCTACGGCAGCGGAAGCATCTGAAACAAGAAGCTTACCCCCGCTAATGTCAGCCGACTTTCCTTCTCCAGTGAGAAGGAAGATCAACATCGACTGGTAGCAGTTACAACGCAAACGGTAGGTGAGTGGCAGTCTGTGCGCGAGTGCGAGGGAGGACGGCCATTCGGCAGCCATTGGCCAGCAAATGCCGGCAGTCGTAAAAGACGAGCATCGAGAGAGACAGAGTGCAATCGCATCACCAAAAAAAAATGGCTGCTTTTTACCGGCCGCTAGAAGCAGGGCGCTTACACAGTTCCCTGTTGGTGCAGTTGCGCAGAGTAGCCGCCCATGACCCTGTTGGTGGATATCGCGAAGCTGGGCATTGCTGGCGCGCGGCTACACAGTGGTGACCATTTGCTGGGAAGCGGGCGTCACGAAGAGTCTCCTGACCGACGTTGTGTAGACGCTTTGAAACGGCGGGGAAAAGAACAGACTGAGTGACATTTACGAGAGGCTAAAAAAGGTACTACCCAAAAAGAAAATGGGAATAAAAAAAGAAAATAGGGCACGCACACTGCAGAGGAATCCCCATCCCTTGCCTTTGGAGGGGGGGATCGTGCCCGCTGCCCATGCAAGTGCGCGTGTGCAGTGTGGCCTGTGCGATTATGCAGCGTCGGTATACGAGAGCCTTCAGAAAGACATGGAATACGGGCTCAAAAGATAACATGGTTAAACAAAAAAAATCATGAGAAAAACACGCAAAAACACGGCATTGTGTATCCGGCAATGCCAAGTATCAGCATTGGACGTTTGATAGCCACTTATTGCATGTTGCGTGGATCCCAGATAGCGCCAGGTACGAGAATTGTGTGGAGACGGTCCAAAAGCGGCTAAACGGAAAACGGCAGCATATAAACGGAAACTAAACAAAAGGGAACGAGCCGAAGAAGGAAGAAAAGGGGAGGGAGCGCTGTGAGTGGTGAAGAGGAGGGCCAAAAATGTGAAACGAGCCCAGGAGGTGGATTGACAAGAAAGAGGGCTTGAGTGGTGCAGCGTGCAGCGTTGGCGTGTGCGTGTGCGTGGGGACCGAGAGCAGACAAGAGAGAAAAGAAAAGAAAGGGCATTCAGAAGAAAGACACGAGGGGGGAATGAATGGAATTGTAAGTGACGTCAAAAAAAAAGAAGAAAAAGAAGAACAATGTATGTCTCTAGTGTTGGGACAGCGACGATTACCAAGGTGGCCGAGACATGTTGTAGAAAAAGGCGTGGGCTGCTGCCGAACTACCCGTTCGCACGTCTGCACTTCTTTTTCCCATCCTCTCTGATAGTATTTTTTATTCACGAATAAAAAAAAGAAGTAAAAAAGGTTCATGGCACTAAGCCTGTCCAAAGAGAGTAAAAACCGACGCCCATTCATGCAGGGGAAAGCCCGTAGGAAACTAAAAAAAGGGGCAGCACAGTGGACGTTCAGCGGTTGAGATCGCCGTTACGCACCGTGATTGGCTGTACAGCTCGTCTCAGATGCGGCGGGGCAGCTGTTTTCCCCTGGCGCGCCGCCCACCCACGCGCTGGAATGGGGGCACCTGGCGCCAGCTGGTTGGGTAACACTGACCAGCTGGCGGCTGCGAACCAAAAGAATTAAAAATATATGTATTATGCAAAAAAAAAAAAAAAAAAAAAAAAAAAAAAAAAAAAAAAAAAAAAAGAAAAGAAAAAGAAAAAGAGAACAGAGAACAGAGAACAGACCAAACAATGCTAATCCTCGTTCTACCCACTCACACTTCTTTTTCCTTTTTTTTCTTTTTTACCGCCCGCTGACTCTTTCTGCTTGCTAGCCTGGGGTGACGGCGGGATATTTAGACATCCACATTCCCATCGGCGGCTTGTCCTCACTTTGTTCGTCGTTCCTGTCTCACCTCTTTTCTTCTCGTGTCTCGCAGCATCGCCTTTTTATTCTCCGGGCCAATCAGTGCCCATACGTCCCTCCTTTCTTCAGTCTTTTTTTGTCTCTCCTTAAGGAAAAGTCGCTTTCATTGTCCCGCTGACCAGTGACTGACACCGTTACCACGGCTGCGTCTGAACCGGTTCACTGTCCTTAAAACACCATTTGCATTCTTGCGTGAGACTGGCTTCTCTGCATTCCCTTTTTCTTTCTTCTCTTCCCCGCTGTCGTCATCGCTTGGTCGATTATCAATTCAGCTGTCTTTCTATTTTTATAAACGCTTTTGCATTCCCCTTCCTGGTCCAAGGGTCTCTTTCTTATCCCAAACCGCTCCGTGGCTATTGCTACCTGATCCCGCTGAAGCGTCACATCTGCTACTCACCACCTCTTCACCTGATACCACTATCAGTTTGACAGGTTTGCTGTGCACTGCAGCTTCAGACAAAGAAACCAGATTTACGCTTTCGAGCCGTCTTTGGATATTTTAACCCCCAGCATCTGCTGTTGCTTCCGATTCTTAGGGTGTCAAGACCCTCACTTACACGCTTCTTCTTCTTCTTGCTTTGCTAGCAACACCACGAACAACAACCATGCACTTCTCTACTCTCTTCCTATCTACAGGTGCCTTGCTGGCCCGAGCCGCATCTGCCGGCTACGTCCTCACCGACGATTACGAGCCCAACAACTTCCTCGACAAGTTCAACTTCTTCACCGGAGCTGATCCCACACACGGCTTTGTCGAGTACCTCTCGCGCGCCGATGCTTCGGCTGCCGGCATGGTTGGCCCCTCCGACTCCAAGGGTGTCTACATGGGTGTAGACAGCAAGACCATGTGGCCTGCCAATGGCCGCAAGTCGGTCCGCATCGAGTCTACCAAGACGTACAATGGCGGCCTCTTCATTGTCGACATTGCCCACATGCCCAGCAACACCTGCGGCACCTGGCCCGCCTTTTGGCTCTTTGGCCCCGACTGGCCTGCCTCGGGCGAGATTGACATTATCGAGGGTGTCAACACACAGGCTCAAAACTCTGTCACTCTTCACACCTCCCAGGGCTGCACCATGTCCAACGTCAACACCATCAAGTCGACCTACTTTGTCGGTTCCAACTGCGGCGGCACCAACGGCTGCGGCCAGCACACTATGGACAACCAAAACTACGGTGCAGGCTTCAATGCTCTTGGCGGCGGTGTCTACGCCATGGACTGGACCCCGGAGCGCATTGCCGTCTGGTTCTTCCCTCGCTCCAAGATTCCGGCCGACATTGCCTCTGGAAACCCCAACCCCAGCAACTGGGGCCAGGCCGTCGCCAGCTTCACCGGCGCCACCTGCGACATTGGCAGCTTCTTCAAGGAGCACCAGATTGTCTTCAACACTGCCTTTTGCGGCGACTGGGCTGGCTCCAACTGGTCTCAGGACCCCGAGTGCTCTGCCCTCGCCCCTACCTGCCAGCAGTATGTCGGCGGCAACCCTGGTGCTTTCAAGGACGCCTTTTGGGACATTCACAGCCTCAAGGTCTACCAGCAGGGCAACGGTGCTCCGGCTCCGGCTCCGGCTCCGGCTCCCTCTGCTGCTGCTCCCGCTCCCAAGCCTGTTGCATCTGCACCTGCTGCACCTGCTCCTGCTCCTCCTGCTCCCAAGCCTTCTGCTCCTGCTCCCCAGCCTACCACTCCGGCTTCGCAGCCCTCGTTCCCTGTTGACCACAACAACGGCCAGTCTTGGAACGGTCTCGGCTGGGCTGCCAACTAAGGCTAAGGTGACAGGCTTTTTGTCACTTACACCCACCCACACGAATCACGACCTTTTTTCTGTCTTTGAGCATTTAGCGGCTTGACGATGATGATTTTCTTTTCTTTTCTTCAGTCACAAATCTTTTTTCTCTTCTTTTCTTTTTACATCCCCTTTTCTGGCTTGTATCTACCTTTTTTCCAAACCGTTTTTTTGTGTTGCTGCTGGTTTGTCTCTTGATTGGGCCAAAGCAAACGCACACTTTTCTGTATCTAGACTGCCTGGTCACTGTTGATGGGGTCCTTGCACAAAGTTATGAACTTGATGGGAAGAAGATGGAGTTGTTCCCTGAATAGAACTTTTGATGAACTTTATGCATGTGTTCCATTTGACGCTTTTGTGATTTTCGTGACGACTACGACAACCACTGACTTGAGGCAATAGGTAAGCCAACTTGCCCCTTTTCTCTTTTTCTTCCTTGTAAGTATCAATCCATTTGGCAATAAGAAGGATTTATCTTCTTCTCTTTTATTTGTGGTGAGTATATGATGGATGGCGGGTTGTAAGTTGGGTGTAAGTGGTGTAGGTATTCCCGTGTTAGGTTAGCAGTTATAGCTAGAGGTTTTAGGTACATATAGATTCACCCCAAGTAGTCTTATCTTTTTACTTTACTCTTTCAAATTCAATACAAGATAATATCAACAATTCTCCCTCTATTTTATTTTTATATTATTTTTTCTCTAATATCACCTTTTTTTTAGTCTGTCATGTCAAAGTACATCGGGTAGCTGAACTTTTAACCCGTCCCCCCCGCAAAACCCGCAAAACCACTCTCGGCCAATCAAACGCCCCACGCTCCGCAGCGGCCACACGCTAAATCGTCCCGCTGCTCCGTTGCCACTTCAACTACAACGACAAGCTAAGCTTAGCTCCCCGCTCAAAAGCGGCCCCAAAATTACTGTTCTAGTTTCGCATTGACGGCGCCCTCCTTTTCTTTCCTCCTCTTCAACTCGCCTCTTTCAATACCAATTTCAATTCTCGTCGCAAGACCAACCACATTTCGCCCATCATGTCTGCTCTCGGCCTCGACCTCACCAAGAACCTCTCCTACTTCACCGTACGTATACCCCAGACTTTCAACAATTGGCGCCCGCAATGCGACGGCCCGGCTTCCTTCTGGAGGGACCAGCACTTTGCGTGCATTCTGCTACATAACCATTACAATATTGTCCTGCTTTTTGTACTAACTGCTTTCCGTTGCATAGATCCCTGCCGTCTTCATCAGCTGCTTGGCCCCTCACTCCTACGCCATTGCTACCGCCTCCCTCAAGGTCTTTGACAATGCTCAGCCCCGCGGCTTCTTGGACGCCGTTGCCAAGAGCGAGACCCTAGACAAGCCTGTACGTATCATTGAGCTGCCTCTATAGCAGCAGTTGCTGCTGCTGCTACTGCTACTATTGGTTAACTAACCATTCTTCGTCTCTCGCTAGACCAAGGCTCGTATCATGCGCGCCGAGGGTGCCTCTGCCAACGGCTTTGAGACCATTGGCCTCTACGCCGCCGCCGTTGTCGCTGCCAACACTGCCGGTGTCGACACCAAGTTCCTCAACTTTGCCACTCTTGGCTACGTCGCCAGCCGCTACGCCTTCCTCTACACCTACATCATTCTCGGCGAGAACCGCAAGCTGTCTACCCTCCGTAGTCTGATCTGGGGCTCTGGCATTGCTCTCATCATGAGCCTCTTCATCAAGGCCGGCTATGCTATCTCCAAGTAAAGCGTTCACTTGTACGTGGCAAAGAGAGCAAACGTGCGATATAGGCCCATAATGTCTGTTATATTATCCAACGACCTAGATATCCCCAGAATACCTTAAATATGTACAATATTAAAACTAACAAAACGCTAATGCTAATCCGAAATCGTACTTTTTGCTATTAATGCTCTTCGTCTCGAGTCGTATTGGTCGCTGGCGGTGCAGATGTATCATCACGAATACGCGTTACAAAGGATGCTGCGACTAAGACAAATAGACCGCCCATAGCTAGGACAATGCCGAGACTCTTGTCGCCTGGTGTGCCGCGTGGCTTCTGCCAAATCTTAAAGATGATACTAGATCCTACGTTGGCTATGATTTGCGGCGCAGCAATGGACATGTTGTGTATGCCCATGATGACACCCGCAGCGTCTTGCTCCTCGTCCGGATCAAGAGGGTCGAGGTCCATGCCGTCGGCTGCATGTACGCGGCGAAGCTTGTTTGCTCTTTCAAGAGCGTCACGGCGGCTGATTTCAGCGCTGATAATGGCATACGGAGCCCATAGCGTCATCGCCCAAGTAATTCCAGCAATACCAATCAAGACGGTAGCCCCTTGTACGGACGTAACAACTAGTGTACAGAGCATGGTGAAAGAAAAGAGAATGAGAGAGAAGAACCAGGCACGTTTCAGCGTAAACCCTGGGATTCGAAGATGATCCACAGGCGACTTCACTTCCATACGCTGTCCGGGCCGACCCCCAACTGGTGCCTTGTCATAAGTTGGGGCGATGAAGAACGGCAAGAGGACATTGGTTAACAGGCTGACAATGGCATTGACCAGCAAAGCAAAAGAGCCGATTCGTGTGGCTTGCTCGTACAGCTCGTCAATCTCCTTGGGTGACATGTGTGGATTCTCGCGCAGAAACGGCTGCACATAAATCTCGCCAATATAAGACGATGTATAGAAGAGGAGTGGGAAGAAGCCAACCCATCCAAAGAATTGGACTTGGCAGACACGCATCACCTGCGGAGGAAGCCGCTTAATAGACTTGAAAATGGACAGGAAAAAGGCCACAAGGCTCGGATTTGTGCCGGTGATGGGCGAATTGCGCGGATCACGTTCCTGGATGAACCAGCAGCTGAGGAAGATGCTGGCCGAGAGCGCAATGCTAGCAATGGCGCAGAGAATCTGGAACTGCGTGCGGCCAAAGAACCACAGCGGCCCCGTTAGGCGTACATAGCCGGCAATGAAGCCGATGATATTGCCCACGCCTGTAAGTCGGCTAGCCATGGCGTTAGCCGCCTCTTGCTGGTGCGCAGGGCCGCAGTCCACAATGAATGCGCGCACTGCCGCTTGCACCGTATTGATGGCCACATCTAGCACGTAGATTCCAATCACAGCCACCACGATGACGGTGGTCTTGACACCTGGCGAGGCGGCATCGGCGCCAAAGATGCCCAGCACCGTTTCCACAATCTCCTTGGTCCAGGACAAGAAGAACAGACCGGCCACTGTCGCCACGGATCCACCAATCATGAACGGCTTCCGCTTGCCCATTGGAAGACGGCAGTTATCACTCAGTATACCAATATACGGCTGCACAAGCGTGCCAGTCAGCGGTCCCGCGATCCATACAAGCGCCATGAGAGACTTGCTTAGGCCGAGAGACAACAGATACGGTGACCCGTTGGACAGCTCGGCGGACCAGGCAAGCTGCAGACCTCCAATGCCCAGCGTTAGCAGGATCAGGAAGCCCACTGACTTGGTCTCCTGCTCGTCAAATGCCTGTGAGACGTGCACGCCATCGCGTATAAGTCCATCGTCGGCGGTAGCAGCTAACAGCGGAGACGCTTCGCCATTGTCGTTGCCGTCGCCGTTGTCTGCGGGGCCGTGGGTTGTAGCCTCGTGGGGTACTCTGGTATCATTGTCTTCGTTCCATGGATTACTATCACCGTCGTCGTGCTGCGGCTTCGAGGTCGCCATCGTTCTGCGGCTACTCCTGGCACGGCCCAGGGTGAGGGGAGATGGTACTGTCAACGGCTGCTCACTGGCATCCAAGCTGGGCTATTTTGCACGCAAACTGCCGAGACAGGATTATTGGGTGGTCTCTGTGAGAATGGAACGTCGTTTCTTTCGTTCGGCTTCGTTTAGCGCTACGGGAGGGAGCTAACTAGCTACAGGTACGAGAGTGTGGAGTTGAGCTTGCTGGTCACTTCAGTCACGCTTAGGGGGCGGGTGAGGCGCAAGGCCAGGGGACTGCAGGTCACGCGTTGGCCATGGTCTCAGTGGTTGGGATGCTTGATTGGTAGGTTGTGAAAAGGGATCCCTGGGCCAGCTGAGGCTGCAATGACGACAGCAGCAGGTAGTTTGTACTTGGACAAGTTAAAAAAAAAAGGGACAAAAAAAGAATAATTAAACGATAACCGACGGAAAGCATCGCCGTGCAAAATGCTGCTGCAGCCCCGTTGGGCTAATCTTGATTTCATGGCCCGTGTGTGGTATGCTTTCAGTGGGCGGTGCGTGCTAACAAAGGCGTCACAGCGACGTCATTGTTCTGCTGGGTGCAGTGTAGTGCAGCTTGGCGAGACGATGGCTGGGTACCTCGTGGAATGTGGAGCTGTGCATGGCGAGCAAGGTATCTATCTAACAGTAATAATTTATGACCAGGGTGTGGGGGCGCTGCGGCGAGGCGGTTACGTGGATCGGGATTCGCTGTAAGAATCCGGATTCAGTGGGTGACGGAGCACTGTACTGACTGGGACTACAGTGTGTAAGTTGCCGCAAGCGCTGTGCTGGGCTGACCGAGTGCAACATTGACACATGTAAGACAATGAATAGTTTGAGACGGACCAGCAAAAGGAACCAGGGTGAGTGAGCGAGGCCGCTCGAGAGTCAATGCTGGCTGTCTTTGGTCTTTTTATTTTTATTTTTGCATTTTCACATTTTAATTTGGCCGGGACACGCCGAGGACAACCACCCAAGCCAGGCTGTCGGTCTGCATTTGCATGCAAAAGGAGATGGGATCTGGCCCGGAGCCACGCTAAACTAGGCTCTCACACCGATGAATGTGTGATCGACCCTGCCTGCTCATTTTGCTAGCAACATGGGCTGAAAAACGAGTGTGTTCGGCCGATTCAACGTGACATGCAACGTTAAAGGCACACACACGCGGCGCATGGGAATCAAAGGGCCCTTCGGACACAACAGCCTATCATCGTCACAAGCCACCCCAATCACGGCGGCGAAACTGGTTTGCCCGAGCCGCAGGGCTTTTAGTTTGTCTAGGCGAACAGATATAGAAGAAAAAAGCAAGAAAAAAGCAATCGAAACAAGAGACGCAAACGCAAAGCGCGCCACTCGCCGCTGTGACGATGTACTGATGTATGGGCGTCTTTGCCCAGGTGTAGTAGTGGTGTCTACAGCACACAGAACCTGTTCTTTCAGCGCTTGGCAAACCCTGTTACAAGGGGGCGCGCGTGTCGCTGGCTGAACGCGAGACGGACTCGGACAGCGGGTTTGGCAGTGACGTCTTGTACTGGCTGGCTAGCAGCAGCACGCATCCACCGTTATCTTCAGCGCCCATTGTCCACTAAAAAAACACATACTGGAGAGGGCCCGTCAGCGAGACCGAGCCACCGTCTGCGCAAAATTGTTCCGTCGGGAACCCCGGCCGCGCTAAGCCCAACTCTGGACCAACCACAGCGCACGGAAAGCTTCGGGGCAACCCTGCCAGCCCCGGCGTTCCGCATGGGACGGAAATCGAAGGAAAAAGGTGCCCCAAAACCCAGGTGAATTGCACCAGCCCAGCAGGGTCCCGCTCCAGGTGAATTGAAGAAGGGAAGACAACACCTGCAGCAAGCAGCTGGCAGTGCTGGCTGGCTGGCTGCCTAGAAAGAAAGCGGGACACGCGGGTCTTGTTCTACAAGACGCATTGGTGACGAAGCCCCAAGGTGAAGACAAACAGAACGGCGCGATGCTACCATAAGCCCGCCTACCAAGAGGCTTTTCTAGAACGCGGCAAACGATGCAGAGTTTTTCTTTTTTTTCGTCGGTAGCCGTTATCGTCGGCCCGGTGGAAGCAAGCACACCATCTTTTTTGTGCTGCTGCCCATCTTACGATTATACGGCGGAATCAACGCTTTTTCGCCTCCCCGCCTGGCCCGGGCTAATGTGTGCTTGTTGGTGGCTTGTCCTAGTTTTTTCTTGTTCGTAATGGGAAATGCTGCCCCCAGTATTTGACAGAAGGGGGAGGGTACTTGTTCCGTGGCAGTGTTTCCGCCGTGCTGGCTTGTACCTTCCAGCACTCCGGGCAACCCGCCTTCGTTCGTTGGGGGCGCAAGAACCGCCAAAAGGCCCCAAAGCCGACGCTTCTATTGGGCGGCCCTGCATGCAGACTCCGTTATGTTGGCTCCGTCTGGGCGAACCCCACGTCCTGGCCTTTTGCCCCAGCTCCGGGTTCCAGGCTGGAGTTCAGTGGGGTCCAGTCCGTGTCTTACAGGGGGTGGTGTCGTGCTACCTGTCTGGCTGCGGCGCTGCATCGGCGTTTCCAGGGCCTCGACAGCGCCCAGACACCCCAAAATTAGCCCTGCAAACGTTGCCTCTCGCTCGCCTCCTCCACGCCGCTGCGCTACCCTTCCCCAACAGCGAGGAGCGCGATTCATATAATTGTCCGGGCCCTGCTCCACCATCAAAACCAGCCTGGTTTCTTCTCGTCTTTTGTTCCTCTTGGCTTTTCTTCGTCTTGTCTATTTCCAATTCTGCTTGTGTATTCTTGCATTGAACAGACATCTTCAACCAACAACACCCCGTTTGCAGAACATACCAGGCTTCTCCTCGCCTCGCCTTGCCCCCCAGCCCCAGCCTAGCAGCGTATATATCGCTCGCCCTCCCCAACAAGCAACAACCAACACATAACCAACCCCCAAAAACCCACTCACAATGGCCATTCGCGATCGTGTCCGCCGCGCCCTGCGCAAGTCCGAGGCTTCTGATGCCCTCTCGCAGACAGAGTCCAACGGCACCACCTCCACGGCCAACACCAGCCAGTCCTCCCAAGGCGGCTCGCCAAAGAAGAGCTCGTCCAAACTCTCCCGAACATGGACCTTTGGCTCCCGCGACAAGACCAAGGACAAGAAGCGAATGCATCCCAGCGAGAAGCCTCTGACTGCCCAAAATCTCCGCCACCAGGAAATGCTCAGCGGCTTCACTATGACTTTTGGCGCTTCGGATCCGGATCAGATTGAGAGCGCCTCCTTCATCGGCATCAGCCCGTGCTGCACAAGAGCAGGCAGCCGCCGTGGCTCCATCAACCTCGATTCTCTCACTGACGATCTTTCCTCTCTCACCACCGCTTAAACAAAAAAGTTTTTTTGTTTTGTTTTTTTTTCTATTGCATATACATGCTTACTGCATATACAACAACACCAACACTGCTCTTCAAGAGTGGTTCTCTCTCTCTACTCGGGCTCTCCGGCTCGCTTCATTCTCCGCAGCAGCCGTAGCCTCCGCTACATGACTATCACGTCCGCCACGAACACACACACGTCAGCTATTCTTATTCATCTATTTCCAACTACGGCATAGGATCGGATTTTGTTAGAGGCTTGGTTCATATTTTTCAAAACACTGGGAAGCGCTCCAACACAGTTACCAAGTCTCTTTTTGGGTTTTGCAACAACAATACAGGGATTATTTATTATATTGGGAGTATCTTCGGTCTTTTTAAACTTTGATGAGAGGCGTTACAAGCAGGTTGGATGGAAACAGGCATCCTCCGCCCAAAAAAGGAACAGATTTTTAGATTTAGAAAAACACTCTAAATGGAACTCAATCTAATCATGAAATCACACTTTTTGCAACGTGATCCGGGTCTTACCGCCATGCCTGCCACATGCCACTCACGCCTGATGTACCGATGAATCACTGCCAGCCAGGTCTGCCAGCTGCCAGCTGTAGCGATGAATGTGTTGCATCACCATCGTTCGATATATAACACTCAGCCATCCCAATCACCATCATCATCTTCTTCCTCTGCCAAAATGAGGTGCTAAGCCAGCTGCCCTGACTGCCATCTTCAAAAGCCTTCACAATGTCCTCAAAGTCGCTCTACGTTCTCGAGACCAAAGCCGTGTTTCCAAGATACAAGCTGCCCGAGGTGATGAAAATCGTCTTCGAAAAGTACGACCACTACAAATTGGGCTGCGTGGATGGCGTTGAATTGGGCAGGCTTATACGGTTCAGCATTAATTTTCGGGCAGCTGTGGCAACCACCATCAATCTGTGTGCGGCGATATTAAAAGAGGACTCGCAAGAGCTGACGACGTGCATTGATATTATCGAGATGTGCACCGAGGTCCTCCAAGTAACAGGCAAGTTCTTACATTCAATACAAACATGAAGCACGGCACGGAGGGTGCCCGAGGAACATCAACTAACGGCTTACATGCAGACAGGAATCCGCCACGCGCGGGATTTGCCCTCATGAAGCTACCGTGCGAGATTCGATTGCGAATCTTTAGATACATGATTGACTCAAACTTTGAGACTAACGCAGTCACTCCGGCCAAGAAGCGAACTAGTTGTCGATGCCCGCGGCCAACCACGATACAGCCCTTCCACAACCACAAGACTAGGCCGCTCTCAGCGCTTCTCGTTTCTCCTGTGGGAAATGAATTCGCTCAGGAGTTATTCCGGAGCAAGTCGTTTCACTTCAAATGTAACTGCGACCTCCATTTCCACTTGTCGAGACAGCCACTTTTCATGCAGAATGTGAAACACATCAAAGTGCACTGGTGTGGTCCGCAATCTGACCAGGCCTTTCGCTTACTCAACAACTGCCGTCGGCTTGAAATTCTAAACTTGAAAATATCGGCCTCATCGGTAGAATATCTCAATATGCGCTCCAGCGTAATGCAGCCATACTTTCCTCACATCTTCCTGCGGCCGCGCATTGTAGATGCCCTTGGCATGGACGAGCTGCTTCAGATACGCGGTCTGCAGCATGTCGACGTCATGGCAATCAAATCACGTACAAGCAATAGAAATTTTGAAAGCGACGTTCTCAGCCTTAGCATGATTCTTGAGGACTACTTGCACGGGAACAACTTTGTTATCGAGGGCGACGACTAAGACGTGTGGGTGGTTGGTGATGATGGGAGACATCTCAATGCAAGAACGGTCCGGCTACAAGTAGAACTCGGCCCTTAGCTCCAATCATATATAGTAGGTGTTTCGCAGTGCTTGATAACAGTAGCACCTGGTGAAAATAGTTCGTAAATTGGGCCGTACGCAGGTATATATGAACACATAGTAGCATATTCAAAGCCCCCTTGCAAAGGGATGTGACAACAGATAAATTACGAAAGACTTCATTTGTGAAAAGACACTAAAGGTTCCGTACTCAAAAAGCATTGCCTGGAGATTCTTCTTGTCTTATGCAAGTGCAAGCACGAGCATCCGGCTCAAGATCAGCCCGAGAAGACGGCTGATCGAGCTAGGCAAAAGACGACTTTGGTGACAAATTTCACGCGATTTCTACGAGATCTCTTACAGTGTCTGCTCGTGTCCATCACCGTGTAATGAAGCAGCCATTCGTCATCATGTATAGACGAGGTGCCAGGTGAGGAGAGCATTCCGTAGGGGCCAATTGAGGTTGGCAACGTATCCGTTGCAGCAGCCAAAATTGCTGCCATATCGCGACAAAGGACGCTAGAGAGAGCGGTTTGGAGGAAAAGCCGTCACTCGGTCTCTTACCCTTTTGGCGGACGCTGATTCGCCAGGCGCCAATATGCAACAATCCGACCAAATTAGCTTATCGAGCGCACCACTTAGAAAAAAAGTGGTGAGTACGTACCCTGAGGTGAAAAGTCACGTTTTAAGTCACGTGGGCCACAAAATTGGTGCGGCACCAGCACTTTGCCCTACTCGAGTACCCACAGGCTGCAAAATTCCACCACGTTAAGCGAGCGCAGCCAATTCTCCGCCGCCCTCTTCTCCCAATCTCGAATTCTTCCCAACCATCGACGTAAGGCAATCTTTCGATAAAAGTTGCCCATCATGTCGCTCGTTTCGAGTGAGAAGTCGAACTTCCAGTTCGTAAGTATTATCTAGTCGTTGCACTGCGTCTTTCTTTGCCAGCCAGCTCGTCGCCGTCGACGAAAATCCAGAGCGAGTCGTCAAACCTTGAAGCACATCTCGAACCACGAAAAGGGTGTTTTTTATTTGCGTCTCTTTTATACAGACAGACAGATCGAATCGATACAGTACTACGACAACAACATGCGAAAACAGGGGACGACTCCAATCAATCGACGCTGCGAGCTGGCCTAGCAATGGAAAGAAAAAAGTTTCTGCAGAGAATGCAGCACGGCTAACATCATGGTTCACAGATCTTGCGTCTTCTCAACACCAACGTTGATGGCAAGCAAAAGGTCATGTACGCCTTGACCAAGATCAAGGGTGTCGGTCGCCGTTACTCTAACTTGGTCTGCAAGAAGGCCGATGTCGACCTGAACAAGCGGTACGAATTTATCCTCTCCCCATACATATACCCGACGAACAGCTGTTGCTTGCTCACGTGGTGCTACTGCTCGTCGTGATGTGTATACTTTTTTATATAATGTGCTGTTAAAACTAACATGTGTATACAGTGCTGGTGAGCTTACCTCTGAAGAGCTCGAGCGTATCGTCACCATCATCCAGAACCCTACCCAGTACAAGATCCCCTCCTGGTTCCTCAACAGACAGCGCGACATTGTCGACGGCAAGGACTCTCAGATCCTCGCCAACGGTGTCGACTCCAAGCTCCGTGACGATTTGGAGCGTCTCAAGAAGATCCGCGCTCACCGTGGTCTCCGTCACTACTGGGGTCTCCGTGTCCGTGGTCAGCACACCAAGACGACTGGTCGCCGTGGCCGTACCGTCGGTGTCTCCAAGAAGAAGGGTGGTTAGTGGTGATGCGCATTGGGTCTTTCTTTGGCGTGAGGGCTGGGTTCTCATATTTCTGTTTTTGAGAGGATTGCTTTCCGGCATTATTGAAGCTAGGGCTTTACTCTAGATCAGAGTGAAATGAATCAAAAAGCATACGAAAAAAATAAATTTAAAAAAAAACGTCCTGTTCCCCTGATGCTTTTGCGTGATAATAATGGCGATGAAGCGATGTGCTGCTGATGCAGAACAGAGTTTATATTAAAACTCGAGACATATATCACATTCGCCACTGGCACATTTCTGCCAGATTGACTTACCAAGATTATGGACAATATTTTATATAATAGTGAGCTTGTTAATGGTCACGAGAGCACATACCCTGTAAGCTCTCGTGTGCAAATTAAGACTAGCCAAAGGCATCTCATCCCCCAATATAGCACGCTTCAAACACACGGTATGGGTATCATAAACGTCGTCAATTCGTATGTACTATTTTAAACTTTTCTTCTAATCCTCATGGGTCACCGTCATATCCAAAACTTCCACTCGTCCCTGTCCCTTGGTCTCATTGCCAATGAAGTCAGACAACGCCTTGAATGCACCAGGCTCTACAAAGCCAACAACCTCCCACTCGGAGCCCATGACATCCTGGCTCTCTACTTGTTCCACGTAGCCCAAAATCTTGTCCTTGACAGTTCCGGGGGCCTTTTGCTGCTCGCCATCTTCATCCTTGGCGGCGGCCTTGACCCCAGCGCTCTTGACAGCCTGCTTCAGTACACTTGTTGTGCAAGAGATACGGAGTCTCATGCGAGCTCTAGCCACAGGAATGGGCTGGTGTGCAATCAGAGCCTTCATGGCCTCAAGAGCCTGAGACTTGGCACTCTTTGTCGTCACGACACCGGTCCAGTTGTGCTCGCGCTCCTTGGGCTTGGGCGTAGCCTCACCCTCTTCACCTGCAGCAGGCGTAGCAGTGCCGCTGCCTGGCTGTTTATCTTTGCTGGTATGAGCCTGTGAGCTCAGCTGGTCAAGGGCCTTTTCAATCATGCCGGACGTGTATACTCGTTTCGTGCGCGGGTCGACAAGCTTGCTCGACACTATGCTGATGACTTCATTGTGGACTCGCTCCAGCTGTGCGCTGCGCTCCTTGGCGCCGACTTGCAGCTCGCCCTTCTTAAGGAGTTCGAGGATAATGTCGTCAACCGTCTTGCCCTTACCAAAGGCCTTCTCGAGGTCCTCCTTGGGTGCTGTCTGGCCCTTGGACACGTTGAGGAAGACGTTGGGGATCTGGAGGACATTGTCGAGGTCCGTCTCGATTCCGGAGCGCCACTCGAGGACCTTGTTCTTGTAGCATGCGATTTCGAAGCGCTTCTTGCCCTTCTTGAGCCTCACAAGCGACACGTTTGTCAGCTTGATTTGGTTGGACGGCTGGTTGATTTGCGCCGACATGGTGGATGTTTGTTTCTCTGTAGTGCTGTAGGTTGGCTAGCTGGCAATATAGAAAAGAAAAGAGGTACTGTATTATTTGTAGGTTTTAATTTGGGAGGAGGAAGGTTGGGCAGCAGAACGCTGTTGTTGCTGCTTGGACTTGGGTGTATTTTTGTAGCCCCGCTATACATCGTCACAAAGATTTGCTCGTCGCCCCGCCTCGCACCTGGGTGGCCACATTGTTGACTCACACACGCCTGACGGCCGCAGCAGCATTTAGTCAGATCCGGATTTGGTGAGTCTTTGCAGCTGTTAATTTATAAAAAGTGCGTTTTTGGTTGACTCTTGAAATTCATAGCCTCGTCTCAGGTTATCACCAATCTCCAACATGGCCTCCGTCGAAGCAACGAACCCCGCCCCCGCGGCGCCCATCACGGACGAGCAAGCGGCTGCCGACAAGACTGGCAAGCAGGATATCAACCCTTGGTCCGTCAGCGGTGAGGTCGATGCCGATGGCAAGGTCAAGGCCATTGACTACGAGAAGATTATCAACGAGTTCGGCACCAGCTTGATCGACGACGCTCTGCTCAAGCGCTTCCAGGATGTCACGGGCCAGAAGCCGCATCGCCTGCTCCGACGACAGGTCTTCTTCAGCCACCGCGAATTGACTCGCATCCTCGACCGTTACGAGAAGAATGAGCCCTTCTTCCTATACACGGGCCGCGGCCCTTCTAGCGACAGTATGCACATTGGCCACACCCAGGTGTTTGACTTTGTCAAGTGGCTCCAGGACGTCTTTGACGTTCCTCTGATTATTATGTTGACGGACGACGAAAAGTTTTTGTTTTCCGAAAAGAGAACCGTCGACGAGGTCATTGGCTACTCCAAGAAGAACGCCAAGGATATCATTGCTGTGGGCTTCGACCCCAAGAAGACCTTCATCTTCTCTGATTTCGAGTATGTCGGCGGCGCATTCTACAAGAACATTGTTCGCTTTGCCAAGCGTGTCACATTCAACACTGCCAAGGCCATCTTTGGTTTCGACGGTAGCTCCAACATTGGCAAGATTCACTTTGCCAGTATCCAGGGTGCTACCTCATTTGCCTCTTCTTTCCCTCACATCTTTGGCGAGGATGAGCTCCGCACAAACGCCATCCCCTGCCTGATTCCCTGCGCCATCGACCAGGACCCCTACTTCCGTCTGACAAGAGACTGTGCTGTCGGCATGAAGTGTGCCAAGCCCGCTCTTATTCACATGCGCTTCTTGGATGCCCTCCAGGGTCCCGGCTCCAAGATGTCTGCCAGTGACGAAACCTCTGCCATCTTCATGAGCGATACACCCAAGCAAATCCAGACCAAGATCAACAAGTACGCCTTCTCAGGTGGCAGAGAGACCGTAGAGGAGCACCGTGAAAAGGGTGGAAACCCCGACGTCGATGTGTCCTACAAGTACCTTGAGTTCTTCCTTGAGGATGACGACAGACTCAAGGAGATTAGAGAGGAATATATCAGCGGCAAGCTCTTGACGGGGGATCTCAAGAAGATTTGCATTGAGGAGGTCCAGAAATACGTCGCCGGTTTCCAGGAGAGACGAGCCAAGGTTGATGAGGACGTTGTGAAGAACTTCATGTCCGTCCGACCTTTGGAGTGGGCCGGAAACCCCAAGCTACCTCGCACCGACCTTGTTGTACCTGTAGTAGCTCAAGGCGATGCTGCCGCTGTTGGTGCCGCTGAGGGTGATGGTAAGCTGAGCAAGAATGCTCTTAAGAAGATTGAGAAGGAAAAGCAGATTGCTGCTAAGAAGGCTGCCCAGCAGGCCGAGAGAGATGCCAAGGCAGCTGCCGCAGCTGCTGCTGCTGCTACACCCCAGTAGGGTTGTAGATTTAAATATAAAGTAAATAAAAAGGGTACATGTAATTCTTTTTGTTTGCACAATCTACAGTGGCATGTTGAGCTAGACGAAACCCCATGCTCTTTGTTTACATGTGATTTGGAGCTGTTTGTCGCTGACAAGGCCTTGTAATAAATCGTGGTAAATCCTAATAAATCGGCAGTGAATCGACTACATGATGCTAATTACTATTAGCCTGAAATAGTCTTCAGGGTCTATTCCCTTATCCACAGGGCGTCCTGCTGCCTTTTTAACTTTGGCCTAGTGGTTGAAGCGTGCGCTGCAGGCAGCGGCCCGCCACCTTTAGCGGGGAGTCACGTCACCAAACTTTTTTTTGTTTTGTTTCCGCCACCTCATCTCCTCAGCTTTTGCCCCCCTCCAAGCTTCTCTTCCCCTCTTCCGCCAACGCTCTTTTTCCTCTTTCATTCCTTTTATTGAAAATCTTGAAAGCTTGAAACAGCAGCCATGTTCGTCCTGCGCAACGGTACGTGATTTTATTTTTATTTTTCAGCTTTTGCAGTTATATGCAGTGTGTCTGCCCAGCTTCTGAAGAGGCGGTGGCTGCAGGTAGCGTGCCTGTGACGACCCCTCATTGTTTACTTTGACGACACTGGCAACCACACGCAGCCTTCTTGCAAACACGGCATTTAGACACGCCCAAACTAACTTTTGACCAGTCGGCAAGCTGATCTTCGGCTCCAGCGCCCAAGAATCCATCATCGAGCTTCCCCAGGGCCAGCTGTACCTCGTCCGCCCGCTGTCACCAAAGGGCTACTCTGAGCTCATCTTCAAAGACTCGGCGATCCGAATCCGACGCACAAACCAAGACTTCAACTACCAGCTCGTTGTTCAACGGGCATTTGAGGAGGGCGAGGAAGATCTCCTTGCTGAAGAGGAGGGTGAGGACGCCGAGATTGACGCTCTTGCTAGCGAACGCGACGAAAAGACCTTCCTTCTCGACGAGGCCTTGCACTTCCGTGTCGAAGCTCGCGAAGGCGGCGACAAGGTCCTTGCTTGGAGAGATCTCAACGGAGACAACGGTGACCTCTATGAATTTGTCTGTGACTCTGCCGTCAACACCAGCGAAATCCAGCGTTTCCTCCGCGCCGCCCAAGAGTGCCAGTACGAACGCAAGTACCGCAAGCCCAACACCACCGCTTCCGAAGAAGACTTAGAACAGTTTGAATTTCACGAGGAGCCACCTATTCCTCCTGCCAGCCCCCTCAACAGCCCTTCTATCCAGCGTTCTATGGATGCCATTGACGAGATGGCTCCCAAACAACAACCCAATGTCGCTGCCAAACGAGAAGCCAAGGCTGCCCAGCCCGAGGAGGAACAAGAAGAGTCTCATGGCTACGATGCAAACAACCCGCCCGAGGCCCGCGAAATTTATGCCTCTATCCCCGCCGAGCTTCATTTGTACGACCCTCAGCCCGGCCACTTTGTCATGGTTGATGAGTCGGTCGTTGCCACCGTTAGCGAAGTAGGCAAGTGGGAGTACTGGCTGCAGGTTGAGAGCAAAGCCAAGGCTTGGTTGGGAACATCTGTCGTTGCAGAGTTCAATCCCGTCTTTGATTTTGAGTACCTGAGCTTTGTCTTTAACCACTTCAGCGCCGATGGTACGGCCAGATCCTGGCTTCTTCGATTCAAGGATCAGCCGACTCTCGAGAAGTTCCAAGAGGCCATCATGCAGGCCATTTGGGAAAGACTCAACGAAACCAAGTGGCAAAAGATGCAGGACAAGGAACGTGAATACGTTCTCGACTCTATGGGCGATCTCACCATGGAGGATGCTCCAGCCGAAGGTGATGAGGAGGAGGAAGACGAAGAAGAAGACGATACCGACGATAACGAAGGTCTTCGCAGCGATGCCTACGATTCCGAAGAGGAGGAAGCGGAAGAGGAGAGACGTGCTGATGGTGACGTCAACTCGCAACTTGCTGTTGGCTACAAACACGACAGATCCTTTGTCGTTCGCGGCTCCAAGATTGGTGTCTTCTCTCATACTGCCGACAACCGCCTCAAGTTCCAGACCAACATTTCTAAAGTTACTACCCCTGGTGGTAAGATGATGAGCCCCAAGAAGGTCATGCTTCACAACCAAGATCGCGATCTCGTCATGCAGAACTCTGTGGATCCGAACAAGCTCTACCGCATGGATATTGAATACGGCAAGGTTGTTGACGAATGGAATGTCCACGATGACATCCCCGTCGTCACGTTTGCTCCTGAGAAGAAGTTCTCTCAGATGACAGCTGAGCAAACATTCTTGGGTGTTTCCAACAACGCCCTGTATCGCATTGACCCTCGCTTGGCTGGTCACAAGCTTGTGGACAGTGACATGAAGCAGTACGCCTCCAAGAATGACTTCTCTGCGCTCGCTACTACCGAGAAGGGATACATTGCCGTCGCCAGCAACAAGGGTGACATTCGTCTGTTTGACCGCTTGGGTATCCGTGCCAAGACCCAGTTGCCAGCTCTTGGTGACCCCATCACTGGTATGGATGTTTCTGCTGATGGTCGCTGGATTCTGGGTACCACACGCAACTACATCTTGCTCGTGGATGCCCAACAAAAGGACGGCAAGAATGAAGGCAAGCTTGGCTTTGAAAAGGCCTTTGCCACTGACCAGAAGCCCAAGCCCCGTCGTCTCGCCCTCACCCCCGAGCACGTTGCCCAGTTCTACCACGAAACCGGCAAGCAGATCGACTTTACACCCGCCAAGTTCAACACAGGTGAGGGTGCTGAAGAAACCAGCATCATCACTGCCACTGGTCCTTACATTGTGGAGTGGAACCTGAAGCGTGTCTTGCGCGGCATGAAGGCGCCATACAAGATTAAGCGCTACGAGGAGGAGGTCAAGGCAGACAACTTCAAGTTTGGCTCAGACAAGAACGTTATTGTTGCTCTACCCAACGAAGTCAACATGGTGGCCAAGCAGAGCTTCCGCAAGCCTACCAGAGAGAGCATTATTGGCGATGTCAGACTCAGCGCCGGACCCAGAAGCAACACCCTAAGCACGCCTGCAAGAAAGAGGCTGCAGCGAGAGGACATTGTCAACTCTCCATACTAATATTTTATTACTTTTCGTTAATGTTGCTGCTGTCCTGGGATGGCGGGATAGGAATTCCGGAGGGATGTTAATGACAGGACATAGGACATAGTTGCGATTTACTGATACCACTTTTTCCCCTTACCCTTCTTTGTCTCTTTTTTTATTTACACAATCAAGTAGATAGTAATACTCAGTCACGATACTTTGAGAAATCTCTTCACATTCCAGAAAAAAAATCGTAGTTATTGTGATTGCTAGTGTAAAGCCTCCACCTGCATGTTCGTAGCGTCATTTCCATCTAATAACTGATAATGAATAACAAAGGAAAACTGGCCGAGATATGAAAAAAAGAGAAAAGTCATAACGTAGAAAAGAAACACCGTGTACTCCTGCTGTTCATGTGTATTTATAGGGGGGCCGTTTGGTTGTTCTGCAAAGTGTCTTTGATGTGTTGCGTCTTCTCTAATCCTCCAGATCCTCTGGTCCCACGACGGCGCCTTGGACGTTGCGCAAAGTCTTGGCCTTTGTGCTTCCGGCGCTCAAGCGTGTCATTTCGGCAACAAACGAGGCACCCCACCAAGCACTGGTGTACTTGAAGACGTAGCGCTCAAGCTTGCTGTAGTTGGCGGCGCGCTGTTCAGGGCTCATGGTGACGGCGTCGTGGATAGCATTGGCAAGTTCCTCCGTGTTCCAGGGGTTGACGATAAGAGAGCCGTTGAGGGACTGGGCGGCACCAGTGAATTCGGAGAGGATCATGACGCCGTGGTTCTCGCGCTGAGTGGCAATGTACTCGTAAGACACGAGGTTCATGCCGTCACGGGTGGAAGAAACCAGACAGACATCGGAAACGGCGTAGAGCGCAGTAAGCTCCTCAAAGGAGACAGACTGGTGCAGGAAGTGGATTGGCATGAATTCAATGGTGCCGAAGCGGCCGTTGATGCGGCCGACAAGCTCGTTGACGACGGCACGCAAGTTCTGGTATTCTTCGACATCCTGGCGCGAGGGAACAGCGACTTGAACTAGGACAATCTTTCCAATCCACTCTGGGTGTTCTGTGAGGAACACTTCGAGAGCGTGGAGCTTCTGAGGGACACCCTTGATGTAGTCAAGACGATCGACGCCGACAATCAGCTTTACACCCTCAAACTTGCGTGTAAGAGCAGCGATGCGTTCCTGGACCTTGGGCGTCTTGAGGCCCTCGACAAACTTTTCAGGATCGATACCGATTGGAAAAGCGCCGACGGTAACGAAGCGGCCATTGTATTCTACACCGTTGGGTGTGGTTGGTGTGCCGACAATGCGAGAGCACGAGGACAGGAAGTGGCGCGCATAGTCGTAGGTGTGGAAGCCGATAAGATCGCAGTCGAGCAGGCCGGTCAGAAGGGGTTCACGAACGGGAAGGATGCGGTAGATTTCCGAAGACGGGAACGGAGTGTGGAGGAAGAAGCCAATCTTGACGTTCTTCTTGGAGTTGCCGATTTCCTCGCGCAGCATCTGGGGGAGCAGCATAAGATGGTAGTCGTGGACCCAAATCAGATCGCCGTCCTGGACATCCTTGATGACGGCCTGTGCGAAGAGGCGGTTGACTTGTTGGTAAGCTGCCCAGGCGGATTCGTCAAAGGTGATTTCTCCGGGGTGGTAGTGGAAGAGCGGCCAGAGGATAGAGTCTGTTTAGTCTTGTTAGCTTTCAGTCATAGTTATTAATGGTCGCTCGAAGACGCACTAGAGAAGCCGTTGTAATGACGGTCGGCAAGCTCGTCATCGATAAAGACAGGGTGGGCTCCGTATTCTTCCTTGAGGCGGTTGGAGACGCCTTCTACCTCGTTCTCGGGAATCTCAAGACCAGGCCAGCCGTACCACTGGAAGCTGGTTGTCTTGCTGAGACCCGACAGACCAGTGACAAGACCGCCCGAGGACATGGAGAATGTGTAGCTGCCATCGTCGGAGCGCTTAATGGTGATGGGCAGGCGGTTGGACAGCAGCAGGAGACGACCAGAGGCCGGGGCGTCTGGCGTTGTAGACATGTTGGCTGTGGTGGTGTTTTTTGTCTTTGCTGCGGGGTGCAGCTGTGAGGATGTTTCAGTTGAAGGAGGGGGAGATGTCGATGTATGCGGCAGGACAGCTGAAGTTTATAGAGTTGGAATACAGAGCGCAAACAATCAAGTCGGCAGACACAAGCAGTTGCTGCGGGAGTTGCTGAGCAGAAGAAGCGCTGATGACGCTGATGATGGCCAAGTTTTGGAGTTGAGGCGGGGGGAGAGGGGCAGCAGAGCTTCAGCTAGTAGCTTTAACAGCGGGTGGCGGGCGGGTGGGCAGCTATCTGTTAGTGCTGGAGGGGCAGCTGTACTTGGGACAATGGCCTTTGTTATTTGGCGGTAACAAGGGCTGTGCAAGGAGGGGGGAAGGGTTTTTTTTTAGCGCATTGATTATGCAGAAAGAAAGAAAAAAGATAGCGCAGCGTCCATGCAGGCTTTGCAAAGATACGATTGGATCTGCAGTGCGCGTGGGTGAAGCACGACGGCCCAATGGATGACGGCGTTAGGCTGTCGTGACGTGCAGGGGGTGGGAAGAGAGCAAGTTGGTGATTTATCTCGGGAAGCAAGGTGTAAATAGCAATATTAAAAATTGGACTGGCATCAATTGATCATACAAAAACATGATTTCAATTTTAGTATATTTTACTTTTTCATTATTAACCATGTTTTATTTTAACCAAGGCAGCGGGCACCACTAATACCAACTACCGCCCGCTGCCTCCAATTTCTCTATCGATAAGCCCAGCCTAGGAAATTTTGTCGATGCCTTCGCCGCAGATCTCGCCTCCAACGTCCAATTCCACAACCAGCCACTCCGGTCGCGTCTCTTCACCCGCGCGGCTGTCCCCGACGACATAATGACTTCAGACACCCGCCAGGACTTCAAGTCCCTGCAGGAGGGCGTCCAGAAATACCTCGTCGCCGCCGTCAAGACAGCAAACCGCGTCGCCGCTGAAGATCTTTCCTTCCAGCGCACTGTCCATCCCGATGCCGCCACCCACCTCGACGAAAAGTCAGCGCGCCTCCTGCGTCTGTCGACAAAGCTTCTTCAGGCTGCCGGCAGCGCATGCGGTGTCAAGGCGCCCAAGCTTGAAGATGCCGAAGACATTGAGATGAAGTGGCAGGGCATCGTGGATGTTGTCGATTCCGTCTTGGAAAAGGCCGACACGGCGCTCGACGAATACACTGGCCTCATTAAGAGAAGAGATCCAGTATCGGAGGCTGCTAGCACCAAGAAGCCAAAGTCTACCAACAAGGTCATTCGAAACGCCAACGTTGTCAAGCCCCAGCTCTCTTTCCAACTCAAGCCCGACAACTTCCCTACCGGGCCCTGGAAGCCTATTCTTACCAGCAAGCCTCATGCGTCTGTTGCGTTTCAAGACAGCTTCTCCACTACCAAGGATGAAAGTGGCGAACAATACCAGCACCCATACGTCGCCGAGATCACACAGATGACATATCCCGATCAAGTGTACGAGGTTGCCGAACCCATCATGTACCAACCTGTCGATACCACAACGGCCACTTGGGTCGATACGTATGAGGGAGTGCTCGACATGCTCAAGCACTTGAAAAAGGCAAAGGAGATTGCCGTCGATCTGGAACACCACGACTTTCGTACATATACTGGTCTTGTTTCGCTGATGCAAGTGAGCACCCGCGACCAGGACTGGATCGTCGACACGCTCCAGCCTTGGCGCCACAAGCTGGAGGTTCTCAACGAGGTTTTCGCCGACCCCAGCATCATCAAGGTCTTTCATGGTGCCTACATGGACATGATTTGGCTGCAGCGTGATCTGGGTCTTTATGTCAACTGCCTCTTTGATACCTTTTTCGCATGTGAGCAGCTCTACTCTGGGCGCAGTCTCGCATTCTTGCTTTCCAAATTTGTCAACTTTGACGCCGACAAGCAATACCAGCTTGCCGATTGGAGAATACGCCCTATCCCTGAAGAGATGCTTTACTATGCCCGCTCCGATACCCACTACCTCCTCTACATCTACGACCGCGTTCGCAACGACCTTGTCTCATCATCAGACAGATCAAACCCGGAGCTTGACTACATCGGCATAGCTCTCCAACGATCAAAAGAGCTATCGTTGTCAAGGCATGTACATGCCGACTACAACGAAGAGACTGGCGAAGGCCCTCGCGGATGGTACAACTATGTGCTGAAGCATTCGCATCTCGCCTACAATGGTGTCCAGTTTGCCGTCTTCCAGGCCATTTGGAAATGGAGAGACACCCTTGCGAGAAAGGAAGACGAAAGCCCAAACTTTGTGCTGGGAACGACAAACGTGGCTGAGATTGCGCGCGTCAACCCGCCAGATGCAAAGGCTTTACACTCTCTTCTCCCCCTCACCGCACCACTGGCTAGACAAAGAGTCAACGCCATTTGGGATTGCGTGCAAGAGGCTCAGTCCAAGGGTGGTCCCAGCCTGCTGCAATTCTTTGCAGTCCAAGCACCAGAAGGTGTTACCAAGGCTGGTTTCAAGGGCTCGAGAGAAGTCACTGCCCTGCCAGATCTTGATGGTGCCGTGGCTGCAAACCGTCTGTCCAAGTCGAAGCTCTTTGGTGATATGCCCATTAGCAGTATTTGGGATGGATCCAAGCTGGTGAACGACGTTCAAGAGAGCCAGATTCCTTTCCCTTGGCAAAAGTTTGTAGAGTCCATGGAAGACCTGGAGGAAACCGAGGCTGTGGTGGTTCCCGAAGTGCCCACAGCTGACGTCTTGGAAATTACACCGGCTCAGACCCCAACGGCCCCGGCCAAGCGTGCTCAACCTGAACCTATAGAAGATGAAGAATTCACATTAAAGAAGGGCAAGAAGAGAAAGTCGGACGTTACAGAAGAAGAATCTGAGAGCGACGATGACGACGACGATGAAGAGGAGGAAGATGGCGATGAAGATATGACTGGAGACGGTGTCATTGACGTGGACGATGAAGCTGCCCAACAAAAGGCTGCCCTACTTGCTAAGAAGGAAAGAAAGCGTATAAAGAAGGAAAGACGCCAGCTGGCTGAGCAACGCCGCGAGGCTAAGAAGCAGAAGAAGAGCGAGCAGCAGGAGACTACAACAAAGAGATATGACGCTGTGCCGTTTGACTACAGCCAGGCATCGTCGGTATTGCATGCTAGTCGATCTGCAGCCAAGGATAAGGAGGGTGACAGAAAGGACAGGAAAAAGAAGAAGGCATTCAACCCATACGCTAAGAGCTCGGACGACGGTGCCATCAAGGGCGCTCGAAAGCCGATGCCCATCAGAGGCGAGAGGAGCGCTACGTTTAAGAAGTGAAGATGGGGAGAATTCTTGGATTATATGGAACATAGAAAGCATTGCTGGCGTTATATTTGTATTTTTTGAGCTGAACAATGTCACTATTCGTTTTCCGATGTTAATAATGCAACGTATATGTTATTGAGTGAGGTGCTAATAAGGCAACTGGTTCTGAGTGAGGGGTTGTTGTCTACCGACTGCCAACTGAAGATGCGCAACCAGTGATACACAAACACGCCTTTAGAATAGAAAAAATTGTTGTATTTTGAATTAAATTCCGCTTATTATGTTCAATAAAAATTTGACAGTAGAAAAGGCAGATCTGGTATGAATTGAGGTAAAGTGTTGTTGTTGTAAAGTCACGTGATATTGATCTTGTGCTCACGACCTCCCCGAATCTGGGGTCGAGCTTCATCTGCAACCTCACGAGATTTCCCCCGGAATCTGCACCGCTATCTGTACCTGAGCATCCCATCACGATGGATTGCATCTATAGATCATTTCTAGGAGATGCTTTATTAGCCCTTACTTGGCAGACAGAGACAATTCACAGCGACGATTGAAGAGAGAGGAGAAGAAGCAAGAGGCACTTGTTAACAAAGAAAATTTTGTTGTTCGCAAGCCGATGCAGTACACCGAGTTGGAATGACGTTTTTTATTTTACAGACTGCGTCTCTAGGAGACATGCATTGGGTTTCCCCCGACTCTATGACAAAAGGGCAAAAACAAAAGACGGCCCTCCATATACAAAAGACACCGTCCCTTCCGAATTCTATTTTCCGTCTATAACGTTCCCGGATCTATTTTTTCCTCTTCTCAATATTGGTTCGAGGGGGTTGAATATAATAATAATGCGGCCGACAGAACAAACTTGCCGGCGATCGCACACAAAAGCATCGCTACACTCATCCCCGAGATATTAAGAGATGCATCCCTTTGAGGGTATCAAAGGGACCCAGACGCGCCGTGGGGTGAAGACGCTTAGGTGAACTTGGCCATGAGGGCAACCATCAGGTCGAAAAGACCAATGGCTTCGACGAAAGCGAAACCAAGAATGGCGTAGGAGAAGAGCTGGCCACGGAGGGCGGGGTTGCGGGCAACACCGTTGAGGAGGGCAGCGAAGACGAGACCGATACCGATACCAGCACCGGTAAGACCGATGGCGGCGGCACCCATACCCAAGTTCTTGGAGACCTCAACCATGGCGTTGGCAATCTCAGAAGAGTAAGCGCGGCGCTGGAAAGCGTTGCGGGTGGTGGCCTGGAGGAGCGTAGTAGCCTGCTGGCGCTTGAGGGTCTGGAGAGGAGAAGCAGAGCCTATTGCAAGAGTATGTTAGCCAATTGTGTCTTTGTGTATTGCGTGTTTTTTTCACTTGTATGGGAAGCTTTTCAGCCAACACCACAAGATGAAAAAATGGCTCATTGGTCGACAGAAAGGGATCAATTGGATGCATATGAGGCCAATTGATGCCAATTGATTGCCATTGAGGCAAGCAAAGGCTTGGTCGATGAGATTTCGATGAGGAAGATTGTCGATGAGCTTGAAAAAATCTCTCAGCTATACGTACCAGTGATGGTGCGCTTGGAAGCGGCGATGGGGGCACGCATGGCAGGGCGGACAGCCTTGGTGGCCATCTGGGCGGCCATGCGGGAAGCGACAACACGGGAAGCCATTGCGAAGGTTTGTAAAGGTTGTTTTGGGGGAGAGGAGATGTGGTGATTGAGCTTTTGCTTTGGTGGGATAAGGAGAGAAGGAAGAAGAGAGAGGAGAAGGAGGAGAAAAGGTGTGGGAGAAAAGGGCAGAAGAAAAGAACTGGAGCTTCGGGAATGGAAAAACGGAGGATCCACCAGAACGGCAGCAAGAAGTTTGATGAGAGGGAATTTGGGGGACGGGGAAGCGGTTGACTGAGGCAGAGAGGCAAGCAGAAAGGTTGTTCTGTCTACTACGACGAGGGAAGGGGACGGGGACCGGAAGGACAAGGCCTAGGGTGTGTGGGCGAGCGAGGGCAGACGGGGGGAGGGGGCGTGTGAGAAAGGGCCTGGGAATGGAAGAAGAGCAACGAGGAAAAAACTGGCGATGGCCTCACTATCCAGGTTGAAGGGGCGAATTTTTTGCGTGTAAGAGGGCGGATGTGATAAGAAGAGGCATAGTGGTGTGGGCCGGGCAATGTCGGAAGTGGAGGGGGGTGTGGGAGTTTTGCGACGCAACCGGATCCATCCTCGATCTTGAGAATTTTTTTATTTTTTATTTTTCTGGTGATGGCCTCAGGTGAGAAGCCAGCAGCGAATGGCTGGGACCAGCCAAAAAAAAAGGAGCCCAAGGGGTGGAGGAGGAATGGTTGGAATTGATGCCGTTTCGGGACTAACGGGCCATTTGAGTTTCGACTACAGTGCAGTTGCTCACTGACAACTCTACGAACGTACGAAAGATATAAACAGACCAGTATATCCCATCTCTCGATGAACGGCTCTCTCACTCTCTACCAGAGCAATCTGCCAAACGGGCGTCTGCGTTGCGGCAAATTAAGGCGCCCCCCAAGAGATAGGAGACCTGAGTAATGATGGGCTGGGCAAGGCTTACAGCTGACTGAACAGGACACCATCTGGCTGTGCAAGTTGTCTCCGGGCAAAGAGGCCTGGTAACTTGTCTCGCATAATTTGTTGATTACAGCCGTCTTTTTTATTTCAGCTGAAGCCTGCAACAAACAAAACACCGTTGTCCTGAATTCTGGTTTTACTGTACGTACAGGCGGCTCTGCTCTCATCTAGACGCCGCCGTTTACAAAGCCAGATGGCTTTCTGCCCGAGGCCAACAGCAGAAAAAACTTTTTTTGGTCGGTTCTGCCGCTTTGGGAAAGGAGAGGGTCGTGTGGAAGCCCGTGATTGGCCAGCTGTCGCTTCCGGTAGCCGCAAAAAAGGCAGCAAGGCAGCAAATGCCTGCCAAAAAAAAAATTTGAGATGCGAGGCGCCACCTAATCACTGGAGCCAGGGGTACCTGCATGCGCTAGCAAACTGGGCGCTGCAGCAAGTACCGAATGCCTGTAGAAGGCCGCCAGAAGATAAAATAGCGCGCGGCTGGGCTGCCTGAGGAAACCAAGGTGCCGGGACAGGGCTGCAGTAGACACACACACTTTCTCGCTCACACATGCGCGCTATTTCCCTAAGGCAGGGCAGGGCCAGGCGAGGCATATCTTTATTTTTGGCCCGGTAGCCGAGAGAACGCTGCAAGAGAAAACAGACAGGGCGCCCACCAGCACAGCATGCCTTCTGAGGACAAGGCAATACCACGGCGAGCAGCATAAAAAGAATAATAATAAAAAATGACGAGAGCCAAAACAAAGAACCAACCGCAGGGGACGTGCTAATCACACGCCCCGTCGAGGAGGAAAACCATGACACGTGGGTGGGCCTGCTGCGCAATGACACCATTTCCTTCGGTACCAAGCAGCGAGGTGAAAGGGGGCAAGGAGATAGCGAGAGGCATGCGCTGTATTTTTGGATGCAAAGCGCTGAATACAGTGTACAGCGTCCACTGGAGAAGAGCATCTCTCAGAAGGGCTAAAGCTGCTGTGTTGTTGTTGGAGCTCGAAATGCTCACTACGGCGCATCCATATGAAGGGGACAGCACCAGCAACAGCAACAGCTATAATAGCGGTAGCATCTGCACTGTAGGCAGCCAGGCAGGCAGGAGATAAGTGCTCATTACCACCACCGCTGCTGTCACCTGCGTTTGCTGCTCAATTGGGTGCTGCAGATAGCCCCCATGTCAAATATGGCTTGTATGGTGCCAGGGGGTGCACTGCAGCAACACCAACAAACGCAGCAGCAAACGCAACTTGGCAGAAGAAAAACGAGGGCATATTGATCAATTGCTTTGCCTTTGTTGATTCCAATTATCTCGAAATTTTGGGGATTTCTTTTCGCCTGTTACACCCATATATCTTGTTCTCTCTCGGGTGCTCTTCCCTCGGGCCGCCCGCCAAAACAATGGTGTGTCTAGCGGCCTATCGACTAAGCCGCCGGCGCCGCCTCTGACGGGAAGCTTGTTTAGACCGCCCGCCCCCTGCTGCTATGGCTGCTGAAGCTTGTTGCGCTTATCCATTACTACGCTGCGCAAGTTGCCGGCACTAGGCAGGGGTAGCTTTGACTAGGCGGCGTAAGGCTCGCTCTAAGCTCGGCGAAGGCAAGGAGAAAAAAAAGTCCGCCGACGCCGAGCTGGCGGCTAGAGCGAGCTTCTAGAAGAATTGCAAGCTGCTCGCGCAAAAACTGGCAACAAAAAAGAGATACTGCAGCTACAGGATCAGCAGAGAAACAAGAGACGAAGAACAGATGAGGTTTCGCTACAGCACAGCTCTCCAGTGGCCGAGCTTCCAGTTCCAGAGGGCGAAACAGCGCACTGGGCGAGAGGGAATTAAAGGGATACCTTGATAGTGGGCGAGGTTCGAGGTTAGCGGTCCCATACTGGTCCTCCACCAGAGGAGTCCCATGATATCCATCCAAGTCTCACAGTGGGTCGACAACAATGGAGCAGCGCAACGCGACGAAATACAAGTGAAAAAAAACAAAGGGTTTTTCTGTCTGGTTTACGAGAAACTATTCGATTTTTCTATAGTTTTTTCGACTCTGATATCACAAGTCCCGATGGCCTGCACATCGCTAGTTCGTCTCCCAAGAATGCATGAGGTTAGTTGTTGGTGGTGTGCATGTGTGCGGCGCACGATCCGACTGGCCCATATTAACTAATTAGGCAGGTTCTAGAGACACGCCCTCCGGCACGAGAATTAGTCGGGTCCGCTTGGGTTCTTTTTTTTCTGATTTTAATTGTGCTTTATTTTGGCTGGCGAGTGGTATTGCGTGCTGAGGCTCATAGTGAGATGAGCATTCAGGATAGCAGTTCCAAGGGGAAACGACAGATCGGGGGGAGGGGGCACACAGATGGGGGCGAAAGATATGGGGTTTTCTTAAAGAACTCGTACCAGCCAGGTGCGGGAAAGGTTAAAAGAGAGGCATGAAGAGTGTGTGTATGTGTGGCATATAAGGTTCGATACACTCCCGCACCTCCTTCACGCATGAGGCCGAGATTGGCGATGTGGCCTGGAGGAGTGGATGGTTAGCAGGAGGAATGCATGGCGAACTGACCTGCTACTACTACTACTAACTTCTATACTGTAACACTAACCAGTGTAGTCGGGTTACTGACGAGAGCAGCCGCTGGTAGTGACAGTCACTCACTATACAACAAACAGATCAAGACATCCGATATCAGAAAAGACGCCGCTTGTACACGACGACATCATGCCATTCTTTATATTACAATGCAGTGGGGGTATCATACAGACATAAAACTCGTTACAATCGCAGATGCAGACGCCCCGGTTACTCGTCCTGCTCATCCGCGTCTTCATCCTCCTCCTCGGCTTCTTCCTCGTCCTCATCCACCTCGGGCAGCGCATATCCCTCTGCAAAGCCGTCTGGGTCGCACACCTTCTCCAAGTTGATTCGGTGCAGCGCAACGTGCCTTCGAATGGCTTCCTTGTCGACTCTCACCCGTGGCATAGTCTTGACCGGCTTGGGCTCTTGCTCGGTTTGCTCTTGGTCCTCGTCTTCATCCTGTGGCTCAACAGGTACCGCTTTGCCTGCGCCGATGCCGCCATCTTCCATGATGCCCATCTCACGTAAAACACCAAGACAGTCATCACCAAAGATCCACGTCCCGCGGCTGACGTCGTCCACGTCGATAATAGTCTCACTGTCCGTTGTCACGTCCAGCTCTAGCAGCCAGCGCGCAATCTCGCCAGTCCAAAACCGCCTGTAACCCTTCTTGCCTAGGTCCGAAATAGGCTTCTCGGGTCCACCAAGGATGCCCTCGCGCTGCGAGATCTCGTAGGATACGCCCATAAGCAGAGCACCGAGTCCTTTACGCTGCCACGGGGGGAACACTAGGATACACGCAAGATTGTTGTTGTCCCATGACATCTTCTCTTTCGAAAAGAAGCCCGTGACCTGTGGGATCGGTGTTGGTGTAGACGCTGTGACGGGCGGCGTGTAGACAAGTAGTAGATAATTGAAGCCCGTGACGTCGAAGAACACCGACTTGTTGTCGAGGAAGAGCTTTGCAAAGAGCGAGAGGTTCTGGCAAAAGAGCTACACTCCAGCGTTAGTAACCGTGATTCCATTGGGACAATAAGAAAAAGACTCACCCCGTCAACCTCGCCATCTGCTTCCCAGACACTCCATTCGCCTTCATCGCGAACCACCTCTTCTACGTATCGTACTCCTTCGCCACGGCGCTTCTTCACGCCGGGTCTCTCCTGCGCAACAAGCACCTTTCGAACTCCCCTCGGATGTGTATAAATCTTGCGACCTGGGATCGTGCCTTTTTGCTCGCAAGCCCGCAGATGTCCCCACCATGTAACAATCTCCTTTGCGTACTTGAAACAGTGCGGACACACATAGAGCCTGTCCAGCATCGCCGTCTCGCCCTTTTTATGGTGCTTCGCATCGTAGTCCTTGGCCCCGCGGGCACTATTCCCCGACGTATCTCCCAGCACCTCTTTGCCGTAGTAGCTCGGATACCATGTCTTGAAGCACAAGTTGCCCAGCACCACCATGTCAATATTGCGGTCGGCACTGAGTTTCTTTTCCACGACGGGCGGCTTCGGCGCTGGTACGGGCGTCACGGACGGCGGGATCATTCTCTCGACTCGTGTTGCCGGTAGTCTTTGCTGCTGCTGTTGTTGGGGCTGTTGTAGAAGCTGCTGCTGCTGTTGTACCTGCTTGCCAAACTGCGGCGGTGTCTCTTCTTCCGCAGCAGGCCGGATATTCTCCTTACCAAATCCTCCACTCGTCGCCACGATGCCGCTCATCCTTCCGCTCTTTTTTCTCTGTGACTGTTGCTGCTTCTGTGGCTGCGGCTGCTTCTTCACCTGCTGCACTGGTGACGTCGGAAACACAGGCAGCGGTACCGGGGTAGCAGATACAAGCTTAGGCGGGCTGTGCGTGGGTATCGGCGGCGGATACACGGGCGTCTGACGCGTCGGTCTTACAGCTGCTGCGGCTGCTGCTTTGCGCGCAGGATCGGGCGAGGGCGAAAGGTTTCCGTCGCCACGCTTGCGCTTCTGCTGCATCGTGAAAAGAAGAAAAGAGAAAAAAGAGGAAATTCGGTGACGCTGTGGTGGAGGCGGGCCAGGGTGCTTCGACCGGGTGTGTGGGGTGAGTTTGCCTGTCGGCGAGTCGTACTGTGCTGCTGGCACGGCCTGCGTGTTTGGTAAAGGTTTGCTTGTGCTTCTGCTGCGGGCACGCGCACTGTGGTGGTCGTGCAGCTTGCGGCGGGCAGCAAAAGGGCAAGTCGTGAATGGTGCTTCTCTTTTGATGAGTTGTGAGAAGCGGGATGCTGTGAAGCTACTGCCGGTTACTAAGAGACACCAAAGGCGCGTTGGTGATGGCGCTTCTTTGGTGTCTGTCACGTGCAGCTTGCCGTTTCCTCAAGGTTACCCGGGAGAAGGAGCTTACAGAGGTGTGTAGGAGGGCCCAATTGGGTATTATATGTAGTTTATGATGGGCTATGTAGTTTCTGTATTTCTTCAGCTTTGGATATTATATATTGGGTTTTAGCTGGCGTGGATTGTCACGTAGCTGGATATGATGTGTTTGTTGCAGATTAATAGCTTGGCTTGCAGATCATGCAATAGCAAAGTATGTACCTGACAAGCTTCATGACAGCCCATCTAGAGCACGTGGTTCTACAAAATATACATACAAATCACCAAATAACCCAAGATACACAGAAGGGCACCAAAAACATGATAGTTTAATATTTTAAAATAATTACGTAATAATCTCGATCGCAAAGTGGTGAGAATGTCATCGTCACACGTGATCGCCTCAACCAAAACTTTCCCTATAGCCAAACGACGAAAAGGCATTGCGCTCCAAAAGAGAGCTTATGGAAATGCACCAAAGTAATTAGAATATAATAAATTTGCATTGTAATCGTCAAGTGTATACCGCGTGATTCCTCACACGCTCACCACCACACTCACTACTCACTGCTACTCCCTAACATACACACCTTCTGCTTTCCCCTAACCTGGTAACGTATCTAACCTGCATCATGCTTTTTAAATACCGTCAAAGTCGCCACCCAAGTCATCGTCGTCCAAATCACCCTCTTGGATTTCCTTGGCCATCTCCCTCTCGCGCTCACGTGCTTCCTGGGCATTCTTCAGCTCGAGACGGTGTTGGTTCATGGGGAAACGCATAGCCTAGAAAAAGGAGTATGTTAGTTAAAAGAACGAAAATAAGAGGGACGGGACACGTACCTTGACGCTCTCGTCGTGCAGTGCCAAGCATGCTCGGATACGGTCGTGGAAGGCCTCGCCAGGCTCCCTTGTAGCATAGACATCTCCGACCTCCTTGCTCTTCATGTATCCATGCTCGCGGTCGAGCGTAGCCTCAATCACACCGTCGCGAATGGCCTTGGCGACAATGTACTCGGCAGACTCCTCACTACCGAGGTGCAGGCGGATACAAATGTCGCGTAGCGAGATGCGCGAGTACGACAGCGACATCATGCGGATACCAGTCTTGATGACGTTTTGGCGCAGGCGCAGAATCAATGTGTAGGTGCCATCGCGGCGGAACGTCTCGGCGTGGTCGGCAATAGCTGTCTCAAAGTCTTCCAGGTTACCGACACGGACGGCCTGCACCAGGAGGAAGTAAGGGTGGAGGGCGTCCTCGAGCGCGGGCTGGCGGAAGGTGGCTCGGTCGGGAATATCACCCATGAGCAGCTCGACAACGAGCAAGAGCTTTGTGGCAGTCTGGGAGAAGCCGACGGCGCAAGGGCTAGAGGGAGCCTTGCGTGTGGCGGCGGTGAGATGCTCGTGAGCTTCCGTGTAGCGGAGCTGGACAGCGCGGATGCGGCCGAGGTAGTAGAGGAATCTGGCCACCTGGTTGTTAACAGCGTTCTCAGGGAACTGGGTGTGCGAGACGAGGAGATCGGCCTGGTTGATGTGCGAAGTCAGCAGATAGCTGCGCAGCAGCAGTACAATGACGGATGCCTGCGTGTCTACGTCCTTGCGCAAGACGGCGGTGCGCAGAGCAGCCAGCAGCGTGGGGCGGATGGCGACAACCGGAGACTCTGGTGAAGGGGCGAGAGGAGCAATGTGCTCACAGAAGAGAGAGAGGTAGAAGAAGACCTTGGCCGACAGCGAGTCGAGAGTGCGGCGGTTGAGCGACTGGATGCGGTCGACGAGGTGGTGGGAAAACTCGACACCCTTCTTGTACTGCTTGTTGTCAAAGAGGTACACCTGAATCAGGATACCCAGGAACAAGTCAACCTCGGGAATGATCTCCTTGGGCTCCTTCTTCGCGCCGTTCTTGGGCTTGGTCGAGTCGACCTCCATCTCTTCGGACGCACGGAGCGGCGTGCTCTCCTTGCCCACGGCAGAAAGCAAGCCTCTGGCGATGTTGCTAGACGACGACGCGGCGGGGTATGTTTCGGCAATGGCTCTGGCAATAATTTCGGGGGTGAGGCGTTTGCGGACGAGTGAGATGGATCGCAGGGCTCGGAGCGAGAATCGGGCATCGAAGAGGGCGACGGCGCGGTCCAGCAGAGCAAAGTTGCTCTTGATGTCTAGATAGTTCTCCCAGTTAACGCTTATATCTTTTTTAACCTACACTTAAACAAATAACGTACCTGATACGGCCTGCTCAACAGGGTCAACCTTGGGCTCCTCGGCCTCCTCGCCACCCATGGCGACATCACCGTCAGCGTCAGCAGCAGCTGGTGTCTTTGCTGCTGAAGCAGGCTGCTTGGCGTTCTTGGGCGGGGGGACAACAACGGTCATCTCCTCATCGGCATCCTTGGAGGACTCCTTTTTGGTCTTTGACTTGGAGGCGTCCTTCATGTCGACATCCTTGCTGCTGCTCTTGCTCGGCTTGCGGCCATGGCCCGTAGGCTTGCCACTGTTGTGCGGGGTCTTGCTAGGCATGGCGACGTCTCAGCTGGGCTATGGAGAGGATGTATTTTATTTTATTTGGTTGTATTCGAGGCTGTTTGACTTGTGCCAGCGCCTGCGTGACGAATTGAGATGGGGCGGACGGGCCGATCGATTGCTTGTCGTGTGCGGCGCGCTTACGGCACTTGCTGGCTGCCTTGACGGTTTGCTGGCCGCAGCTAAAAAAGGCGGGAAATCGGCCGAGTGGTGGTGGTGATGATCAATGCACTGCAGATGCGGCAAGCTGTGCAAGCGAGGGCTGCCTGCGGCGGTAATGGAAGAAAAGGAGAGGAGGGAAAAACGTAGGCAAAAAGGGTCGATGTGGTGGTGATGGCGTCGTTAAGCGGCGGTCATGAGGTTGAGGTGGTTGCTCCCAAGGTGCAAGCAAGAAATGGGCCAATAGGAGCGCAGCAGAAGGTGGGCTGGTGGCCAGGCAAAGTAGGCGGCAGCGGACGCGCGTGGGCTTTTGGCCTGGGTTGCTAACTTAGCTCCCAAAGCTGCTGAGGTAAGCAGGCGATGTGTCTTGTGAAGCTTGCCTCTGTGGAAGTATATAGAAGGCGACATAAAAAAAAGAGGAAGAAAAATAAAATAAAAATAAAAATGAGAAGTCGAACAGAAAGGATACATTAGAACTCTAGAAATAACAAAAAATACAGATAGGGGGCTGCTTGATAGAGACCATCTACCACGCTTACACAACCACCAATACATACACGACTTACATCACACATATACAACCACATACACAACAAACAATATGACAGCCAAAAAAAAGACAATTACAAATTTCACTCTGTGTATTCCCATTTGTGCTACCGAGATGTACTAATTTTTCCTTTCTTCTTGCTCTCGAGCTGGGCAATCCCACCCCCAAACAAAGAAACCCTAATACCGAAAACGCCAGTCTTCCCAAAAAAAAAAGAGATCAAAAGAATCGAGTGAAGGAAAAAGAAACAGTGCTACCCGTAGGTTAATTGCGCGTCCATCATTATGCAACGTAGTTCTTCCCCTGTGCTTGTCCCATATAGACAAAAGGCCTCCTTGACGACGTTTAGTCCGACTTGCCAGGCATCACCTTTGCCGCCTGCACCGCACTCATCTTGGCGATCCATCCCGGCGAAGGCTGCACCTTGCGGATAGTGCGTAGCTCATCTGACGAGTAGCCCGGTACACGAATGTTGTAAGTGCGTTCTAGCACGAGCTGAATATCGCGAATCTCAAGCACCTTGGAGCCGCGTTCTCGCGAGTTGCGGCATGCTGCATTGAGTACGTTGTCGACAAATGAATCCGCCATGTTGAGGACGCTCTATAATATCTACGGTTAGTGATCCAACGATGGTAAAAAAATCTCCATATTTCACATACCTCTTCAACTTCGGGAGTAAGCAAGTTTCCTTCCTGGCCCTCGGCAGGGGCGCCGGTCACTTGTCGGACGAGCTCGTCCAGCTTCTTCTTGCTCAAGACGTGGTCGCTAACAGCACGATGAGTATACACGGGGACTCTGTTCACGGCAGGCTGGTTCATAACGCCGCCAATGCTACCGCTGCCTTGCGACATGGTAGGTCGTCCGGAAGCAACACCACCACCCATGCTGACACCTTGAGGCACAGCTGTTGCACGCTCTGGAAGCTGCTTCTGAATGGGCATCTTGGATTGCAACGGAACCTGCTGCTGTGTAGGGTGCGCGTGTGAATGGCCCTGTTGGCCGTTGCTGGCCGCTGTGTTTTGGTTCATGGCCGTGCCTCCCATGGTGGTAGGAGTAGATGCAGCTGCTGTCGCCTGGCCAGCGACGGCGCCGGGAGTAGAAGCCGCGCGTTGGTTTGCCAGGCTCATGGCCGCCTGGTGGCTCAGTGCTCTCGTGCCACCGGGTGCTGTCGTGGGTGTTGCCGACTGCGGAGTCTGCACACGACCGGCGGCAAGATTTGCCTGCTGTTGCGCCTGCGCCTGCGCTACAGCCGTGTTGACGGGGCCTGGTGCCTGCGGCTCTTGCTTAATAGCAGCTCCCGCTTGCTGGCCAATGGGTCGCGCTTGCGCCTGCCCAGTCGGCGTGCCGTTAGCAGCGGCTCTGTTAGCAGCCATCTGTTGCGCCTTGGCAGCGTCGACGGCAGCGTTGACCGAAGCAGCTCCGGCCTGGTTGGCAGCCGCCGCGGCAGCAGCAGCTCGTTGGTTATTGGCGGCAGCAGCAGCGGCTGCGACATTGGGCTGCATAGTAGAAGCCTGTGCATTACCCAGCATCTCCTGCTGCTTGCGCACGCTCTCCACCCACTTATGTGCATCTGAGTGCAGCTTGAGCTGCTGCTCACGGCTCGTCTTGTATCGCGCCAAGTCGTCATCCTTGAGCGGGTTGCCAGCCTGCGCGCGGTCGTTAAGTATCTTGTCCATTGCAGCGACCTTGTTCTTGCTGTTCTCCATTGTCATAAGTGCCCTCGCATATCGCTCCTTCATCTCTTCAATCCACTTGGCGGCGTCCGCGGGGTTCTTTTCAGCCAGCTGAACAGGAGGGCGGAACGTCATCTTGGCCACATACTGCAGCAGGTGATCCGGGATCTTGGGTCTTCCAATAGCCGCAGCTGTGGCAGGTGTAGCAGACGCTGCGAGCGGCGCCGCTGGCTGACCAGGACGGTTGGCAGCAGCCGCGAGAGCAGCAGCAGCCTTGGGGTCGTTTGCTCCGCCAACGCTAGGTGTGCGCTGTTGCTGTTGCTGTTGCTGAGCGGCGGCTTGGGCGGCTGGATTGGGTTGGCCAGTGGGCTGGACGGCTCCTGCCTGGCGACCTTGTTGGGCTGCTTGGTTCCTTCGGGCCTGGATCTTGCCAATCAGCATCTTGGAGAAGTCGATAATCTTAGTTCGGGCGGCAAGTTGATCGGGGCTGTTAGCGGGCGAGTTATTGACGCGGTTCCAAAGACCCATTAAGCCCTGCTCGTATTTCGTCTTCTCTTCGTCGCTGAGGAAAGGCAAGTTGCGGATCTGTGCCGGCTGGTACATGGGCGGCTTGGCCTGACCCGGCGCGGCCTGACCGGCCTGTGGCTGTACGGGATTCATGATGTCGAGTCGGTGTCGTTAATGTATCGGTGACAGTCGTGCGTGCGATACAGTCGAGTTGATGGTGGCCGTGAACGGTCGGTGTCGTCCTCCAAAGGGATAGGCGTCGCAGCAGAAGACGATGAGAATTATCAATGCACGCCCAAGATAACCTTTTGATGAATCAGCAACACGACCGAAACTATCGCAGAGAATCAAGCGGCGACAAGCACGGCGTCGTCGGTGAGTGTCGGCTTGATGATGCACTGTCGCATGTCGTTCGCCCATTAGGCTGGGGACGCGGTCGGTCGTGGAGACGGAAAATTCCCGGCCAATTGGGATGGCTGAATAAGCAGAACTTACCGTGTAAGTCGACGGTTGATATCTACTGTTAACTACAGGTTTCACATTTAATCTGTATTTTTAATTTGATTTAGCTACTTATTGTTATTAGAAAAATGTTGAGTTAAAAAAAATAACAATTGTGGCAGTCTGTTTGCGGGGTTGCTGAGTACATAGTCGTCTCACTACTGTTTACCTTTGATACCCTCAGTAAACCGTTCATAAAGGACATTAGAAAAATGAAAGAAAGGCAAATATGAAAAAGCAAGAAACAAATTTCAATTCTAAACCATCGCCGTCTATGCAAAAAAAACTAAAACTAGAAAAAGTCAAAAGTCTATATGTCTATATGCCCGAAAAAGATGCTGTTCGACTCATAAATCGTCCATGTCTATAATTTCCATTCTCGCGTATGGTAGTTCGCGGGAAAGCGCCTGATTCGCTTCTCTTTCGTCTTCCCCAGAGCTAGGCTCATCCAGCTCGTCGATCCTTGGTTCTGGTGGATCGTGGAAGAGCAGACTGCCGCGGTGCTGCCTCTTGCGCATTTTTCTGGCACTGAAGCCAACGTCGTTGACATCCAGGCCACCACCTTCCTCTTCAATATCTGAGTCTTCGCTCAGCTCGCTATGTGTTCGCTTGCCAATGCTGCTAGACATGCTGACGCGGCGGCGCCGTCTTTCAGCCTGCCACTTATAAAAGGCTTCATTTTCGAGGTCCGCAGCCGTATCAGGGGACGGCGGTGTCCTTTCTTCGTCGGAAGAAACTTCCTGACTGCAGTTTAGGTTTCGTAGATCGGAGAGTATGCGGATTGGAAGCTCTCGGCGGAACATGCTCGCTCTAGAGGATCCTCTGCTGGCGCTAGCGAGAGATTCAATCTCGGCAGGGTAGAGGATTTCCCTACCGCCATCGCTCGCATGCGCAGCTAACTCTTCTAGTGTAAAAGTGCAGATGATCTCGGTACTGGCCGAATGTACGACTTGGATAGTGTGGCGGGCGCCGAGGATGGGGCTACTGGGAACCCTCTCAGCTTCATCTGACGAGTATGGCTGCTCCAGGTCTGATGGGATATGCATGTCATCGTCCGCCTCTGATTCTTCTTCGTCGCTGATTGCATCGTGGATTTCTTCATCTTCGTCCTCATCCTCGTCACCATCTTCATCTTCATCTGATTCATTTTCTTCGTCATCATCATCGCTGTCAGACATGTCCCGTCTGCGCGGTGCGTCTCCCACCACTGGTGGCCGTCGGGACATGGGAGCTTCTTCTTCAGAAGAGCTATCGTCATCTTCCTCCTCCTCGTCTGATTCGTATGCTGAGGATGAGGTTGATCGAGGGCTCAGCTGCTCCGGCCCAAAGGGCTGATAGCTAAACTGATGCCCATTGCCCGTAGGCATGATATGCGGATCGCGGCTTAGTGAGGAGACATTCTTGCTCAGAGGCTGTCGGGTTATGGCGGCGCTCGGCTTTCGCGAGTGGAGAGGGGAGACCGTTGGGGTATCGGGAGGAGAAGCGGGATCGGTTTTCTTGGAGAGGTTGGTAGTGGTAATGGGCGTTGACCGCTGCTCCGCTCGCTTGGCCAACGGCGCGGGGCGGCCTTGAGGCATCCCGATATTGGTTGCGGCGCTGGCGACGCCGGCGATTATGTTGGATTCGATGAAGAAGTGATAAATTGGCCCAGAAACTGCCGTCTCCCTGAATTTGGGGGCTCTTTGATTTCGGCTCGGGCGCACCGTGATTCAGCTGACAGGTTCTGCAGCCTGCTGCTTCAGCCTTGGTCGCCCGCTGCTGCCAGATACTGGCTAAGGTCGGAGAGGGATGAGTTGGTGTTGGTGGGCAAGCAAGACTACGTAGCAAGGTGAACAGAAGCTGAGAAAAGGAGTCGAGCTGCGAACTTCATTGCCTCTTTTTTTGTGATGATCAGGGGCTGAGGTTGCAATGCGTCTTTGGGGGTGGTTGGATGTTGCTAAGGCGTTTATGCAGCTGGAGATGCAGCTAGCTGTGCACAGTGTGTTGAAAAAGTTGAGTGAGGTACGCGTGCAAAGGGGAGCGAAGACGATCAGCCGCAAGTCTCGAATATTTCCGGGACAAGCGGGCGGTAAAATAGAACTAGGCTGCCGACGTGCGTTATGTGTACTGTGCGTGTCAGTCTGTTTATGAAGCTGGGAAGAGACGGTGACGATGTCGCTGGCAGAAGGAGGCAGCTTGGAGGAGCAGACAGGGCAGAGAAAAAAGAAACCCGGCAAAAAACAGCGCAGCGCAAAAGGGAGAAAAAGAAAATTCGAGCCGGCGCGAGAAAATCCAGACATGCAATAATACAAAAAAGCACATGCATAAAATGTGAGTCAAGTAATGCAGGTGCACGCAAAAAGAGCCGCACTAATAGGGCATCGTCTTACTCTTTGGGCAGCAATGAGACAGGGCCCTTGCTCGTCGGCAGTGTCCAGGGCGGGCTGTCACCATAAGACGCTGTAGCGGGCGCTGTAGCACCATCTTGTTAGCGGCCTCTGCAACTCTGTAGTGGCGCTGTTTTAGGGATGTTTGGGCGCCGGTTGGTGGGGTCGGTTGGGGGAGAGCAACGTTGATTACAGCGGGCCCATCACGTTCCCCGCTGTAAACTACAACACCACAGCCGAATAAACATCAACGCGATAGCACCGGCGATATATGACGACACAATCGCTGCAAGAGCCGAAACCTACGAGAAAACAACTGCAAATCTGATCCTCGATAGAATTGACGCGTAAATACTGGTTTAATTCTTATACTCTCGGTCTGCTGTGTTGCTCACGCGCCAGCACCCTCTCCACACATCATGGCTTCACATATTCTATCCCACCTCGAGCAAATAGCTTATTCCTGCGAAGGTATCGACTCTCTTCAGTATGTTGAGCGTTTCTCCTCATTCTATCTCTGCAATATGCTAACAAGAATAGCTTCTCTGCCCCGAAAATCTTTGCAAACTCTCTTCTCGCAAACCACGACATTACATCTCTCATCCGCGATACCGAAGCACACGAACGAGCCCTCTTTTCCGTACCACCGCCACCACCACCTACAGCACAAAAGCCTGCAGTCCGGAGCGCCAATAAGAATGAGCGATCAGAAGATGCCGAGGCCGAACGACCTAAGAAGCGCCGCCAAACTGTCTTCAACGTCTCATCTGGTGAAGTGACAACTGGCGCGCCGACAACACGCGGTGGCGCGTCCAACCCTCGAAAGCACACGGCAGTTGCAGCAGTATTAGGCGGAGAAATGCACGAGCAACTGCGCAGAGGTGAAATGGACCGAAAGGGAGACGTCGACGTGGAAATTCTGCTCAAAGGCGCAGAGAAGCTCTGCGGCGTCTACGATTTACCAGGAGCCAAAGAGCGCATAGCCACGCTGCGGGCGAAGCACAGAAATGGCTCCAACACAATGGCGTACTACGATGCTAAGGTGGCAGAGCAGTCTGAAGAGCTGGCCAGCATGAACAAGGGCTTTATGGACGAAGAGGAGCCAGAAGAGGAGCCAGAAGACGACGGTGAGGAGATCTGGACCGAGGAAGATCTGAAGAGGGAAGAAGCAGAAAGCAGGGAGCTTGAAACAAGGAAAAGAGACTTGCAAGTCAGGTTGCGGGCCATGGAGAAGGACCTCGGAGGGCTGATGAGGATGTAAAGGCACCTTTTTGGCACTATAACGCTTGTATGAAATACCCCATGTACGGTTAGGTGGTGGCGTAACACGTTTATATACATGTATGAAAACAATTTGTTTACAATCTTATAATTTTATTATATTAAAAAGTTTATATCATTGTAGTGTCTTACGCTGGACATGTTGCGTGGGTGTTGTGGTAGTCCGCCGCTCCGCCCACTCTAACGGCCCCACGTCTAACACATCTGATCCGCCACCAGCGACCTCAGTTTCGCCTTGCAACATCAACATCACCACAGTTGGGATCCCGCATCGAGAGCGATAGCGCCTGAGAGCGTCAATTCAGCTACATCGGAAATGATTACAAAGTTATAAAACCGAAACCATGGCCGAATGCTCGACCGGTGAAGCACGGCAGGATCTGCAGAGCCGAGTTCTACAAAGCACTTTACAAGAGGTCGCTGCGAGATCCAAAGACGACAACTCGTTCTGCTGTGTGATTTGCCTTGATGCAGTCACCGACCAGTGCGAGGCTTCTCCATGCGGACATGCAGACTTTGACTATGTTTGTGGGCTGAGCTGGCTGCTCCAGACGCCGCTATGCCCGCTCTGCAAAACGCCTGTAACGTCGCTGCTCCATGGTCCAGCCGGACAGGCAGACCGTCCCGTTACAAAGATTGAGCAAATGAAGGACAAACCGGCGCCGACTTCCGGAAATCGTCACGGAGAAACGAGGTCAAGCAGGGCTGCTCTGGAACAAGTGGAGAGGCGCCGCGCACGAAGACAACGCCCCGGGACCAGCAGGCGCTACGAGGGAACTGTTGAGATTGGGGAAGCGCTAAGAAGACGAAAGAGGGTCTATGAAAGACTCCTTTACTCGAAGCATGTTGGATCCAACCGGCTATCCCGCTATCGAGAGCTCACACCACAGATGTTCTGCTCTGACGAAGAACTGGCTTCTCGAGCTCGCATGTGGATTCGCCGTGAGCTTCAAGTCTTTTCCTTCCTGTCACCGTCAGATGATATCTCGGAAGGATCGCGACCGCGTAACGCTGCTGATACACGGCGTGCCAACAATGCCGAGTTCCTCCTGGAGTATGTGGTGGCCATTCTCAAGTCAGTAGACATTATGGGAAGCATGGGTCAGGCAGAAGACATGGTTTCAGACTTTTTAGGCCGAGAAAACGGCCGACTCTTTCTACATGAGCTCCGTGCTTGGCTAAGGAGTCCATTCGGAAGACTGGAGGACTGGGATCGAGCCGTACAGTACTCCGAGCCTAATGAGACAGGCCAGACGCATACAAGATCCTCGAACCGAGAAACTAGCAACAGAGAAAACAATCGAAAAGCATTTAAAGGGGATTTTTATAGACCTGGAAGACGTGCTGGGCCATATGAGAGAGCTCCACGCGGGCTTGAAAGGTCAGCAAGAGGCAGTGCTAGCTGAGAATGTATGGTGGAGGCGTTTTATAATGAATGATGATACCCTGCTGTTTTATTTTATTTTATATATACACTACATGTAATATATTGTAGCCTTTTTGTTGGTACATATAGAAGGCGTTTAAGCGGGTTAGGGTTGGAGTTTAATAGCCTCGACGCGTATCGCGATCCCGCGTCTCCCCACTAAAAACGGCCTGCCGGTCAACCCAGGACGTCACCAAAACACTAAACAAAGCCATTCTTGCTGATTGCGCCAAGTCACAAAATTCAATGGTGTATTATTGGCTGTGATATTCAGAGCCATGGACGACAATACCAGGGCCAAGTACGAAGAAAAGGCCAAAGAGGCCCGTGCCTCTCTCAAGAAGTGGGAGAATGACTGGGCTGACGGGCACAACGGCGCCAAACCCGGCCGCCAGGACATAAAAGACCATCCCGATATTGGTGAGTGGGATTTCTCAAAGGCGGATGCATACTATGCTTACATATAGCAGCTCTACAGTATAAAGAATACAATAAAATCCGCGAAATCCTTGCTGGCAAGGTCGCGCCACCGAAACCAACCGTCTCCCCGAAACCTCAGAAACGACGATCCGATGTCCTCCCTGCCCAGACGCCGGTAAAACGAAGCAGGTTGACAGAGACACCGTCAAAGCCTGCACTAGGAGCAGACCTCATGATGAATAGCCCGGCCATATCCCGAAAGCTGTTTAGCCCAGCACCAGTCACATCTATTGGCCCTACACCGCAACGAGACGGCCGCGTGTTAGGTCTCTTTGACTTGCTGGTCGATAAAGAGCTCGGGTCACCGTCAAAAGGCTCCATGATGTCACCGAGTAAACCGAGATCCAACATAAACGCCACACCTAGCAAAAAACGCAGCGCAGTCGACGAGATTGCCCTCGGCCGCACACCAAAATCCAACAGCAATCGAAACAGCACCTTCATGACACCGCTAAAGAAGAGAGACGACAATGCTGGAGGAAGAACGCCTGGCTCCATTTCCAAGACGCTGCAGTTTGACACGCCGGCTTTTCTGAAGCGCCATTCACTGCCTGCCGTGCTAGAGAATGCAGCAGACCTGCCTGCGCCACCGCTACGGCTGCCCAGGAAGCCTATTGTTCGCGGACTAAGTGAAATTGTTGCCAGTCTTCGCAAAGTGGAAGATGACCAGCTTGACGAGGACCTGGAGGCTCTCCGAGAAATGGAGAACGAAGAGATGGGCGAGGGAGCGACATCACTGCCGCAACTGCCAAAACTTAAGCCAGTATCGCCGGACGCAAGTATTCTTGAGAAAGATAGTCAGGCTCTTCCTCTAGGCGGTTTCGACGACGAAGGCATGTATGATAGCTCGGATGAAGAGCAGCTCGGCCGGGACGGGTTGCCTCTCAAGGTGTTCAAGAAGAAGGGTCAGAAGAGAACAACACGCATCTCCAACATGAAGCCGATGCAGAAGATGAGGCCCGCTGCCCTCGATGAAAACGGCAACATTATTGAAGGAGCCGACGAGGACGATAAGGACGATAAGCCGAAGAAACCTAGAAAGGTCAATGAGCTGGCCCATGCAAACTTTAAGCGATTGAAGTTGCGAAGTAAAGGAGGTAAAGGCGGTCCGTCGTTTGGTGGGCGGTTCCGAAGACGGTAGACAAGAAAAGAAGCACACACGGCATGATTATGACATGGTAGGCTACGGCGTTTATAGCGAGGCATTGGTTTATTATTTTATTACCACAAGGGAATTGTCCATTCTTGATACCTGGACTATTTGGTGTTTGAAAAAAAAACTGTGATGTGAATGCGTATATTGCTACGGCGACAATTGCCACCTGCTGCCAGCTGCCAGCCGCCAGCCGTAAGGCTAGACGCGTTTAGCACGCAACACTGCAGTAACTACAGGCCAATTGTGTTTACCTGTAAAGCGTTTGTATACTCGTTTTTTTGGGCATTCCCATTGTTGCTGTCGTAGCTCTATAGGCGTCCTGGTTAGCATGCATCATATTGCTGTGAGTTTGGCTTGGCTAGTAGCAGCGAAACACATACTAAATAAAAAGACACAGATATAGATTCAAACATGTATCCAGCACAATCGCTGCAAAAGAAACGACCTCCAAACCCGTCGTCAACACCCAAAGCAAAACGAATCGCTACTGAGTTGGCTGGGAAGAAACATCCATCATCGCCGTTGCCTACTGACGACAAGTCGCCGCTTCAGGATGCAGTATCTCCAGAGACGTCAGCTAGGCAAGACACAGCAGAAGAAGAACAGAGTAAAGGTGAAGATGAGATACCTGAAGAGGTATCCCTCTTTGTCACTGATAATGAGTCTACTGTCGTGGACTCTGCCAGCATGGACACTGGGGAGTCGAGCATCTCTCCATCGCCGTCTGATTCCTATGTACCACCACCCACGAAATCAAGGATACGGATCTGCCGCTCGGTGACGCTCCTCCTCTCTCCACGGTCGAGCTACGAACCTTTCGAGCCCCCCGCACAAGAGATCAGCGAAGCAGAGTATCTGATTAAACTGAGGCTCCAGGTGAGCTCGAAGACCAAGGTTGCACGACTTCGTGACTTTGTCGTGTATTGTGACCATGTCAAATACCCCATGGAGATGAAAGCTCTGAACAAAATCGACTCTCGGGCTTGTGGTGTGCTTTACTTTGACGGCATTGCTGCGGTTGGGGATTCGGAGTACTTTCTGAGACGGGTGCCTATTGGAAGGGTACGGATTGATCCATTGGGGCCAGATGCGTCCAAGGCAGCAGACAGTCTATACTTGTACTCTCAAGAGTCCGGATATAAATCGACTGTATATCATCTTGGATCCCCGGCCAAAGAATACCAGAGGTTCTACGAGCCGTTTGTTTGGCTGGCGCAGCTGTCAAGATACTTTGTGTCCTTTCTCCAGCAGACCGCTGGTGAAATATCGCTCAACAGCTTTCGATTGCGGTTCTATGATTGGATTAAGAATAAATACTGCGATCCAGATACAGAATTATGGTTGAGGCAACATCCGAGCCGTGACTTTCGTACCTCGATCGCATCTCACCGAGATTTATTGGTACAACAGGTTACCGCACATCTGGGAGATGACTAGGCGTCGTCTTCACAATCACGGGATGTTGAGAATGATCTAAACCCTTTAAAGGTTACCCAAGATGTGCATCAAAAGAAGCGAACGATTGCGAAGACGTCTGTGACCAAATACATTTACGAATGCTTCTCACATCTGCCGCACGGACGCAAGCTACATGCGTTGGACATGAGTGCAGCCTCACTGGCCAAGCATTTGGCAGTAGTCGAGCAGCAGAAGAATAGCCAGCCGCGCATCAAATACAGGAAACAGAGTACAGGATCGTTGCTATCAGATCTTCAGGTCGGAGATACCATTTCCATCAAGCGAGACGAAGAGGGCGAAAGCCTCTGGGAGCGCGAGGAAGCACGTGGATTCGATGATGTAGACCGATGGTTTGCTATGATAGTGCGAATTAAAGAAGAAGATAACAGAGGCCGAAAAAAGTTGGATGTTTTATGGTATTACCGGCCTGTGGAGACCATTTGCGGACTAATGCAATATCCTCACGGAAAGGAGTTGTTTTTGTCGGACCATTGTTCGTGTAAACAAACAAGAAAAATCACATCAGACGAAATACTGGAGCTACATGATGTTGATTTCGGTGGAAATGAGGATACAACCAAAGAATTGTTCTGTCGTCAAGTATACATCCCGGATGATAGGAGCTTAGATATCTCTCCGCCAGGAGCATTTTGCTTGTAAGCACACAGGAGGTGTTGGAGATTGCCCTAAACGACAAGCTGGAGATACCTATCTTGTGGTGATGAATGGGCTTGATGAAGTAACAGAGCCTTGTGAGCTGGTTTGTCGAGTCGGGGACGATACCGAGCGAGGATTCCGAATGCGACATCTATTTCGCCGGCGAGATGTCGACTCGGCCGCATCCAATGCTCGCCCAAACGAGCTAGTGTACTCGGAAACGTTTGTCACTATATCAGAAGCGAGGATCATAAGCCCCTGCAAAGTCCGATTCTTTCTTCCAGGTGAAGAGGTTTGCACGCCATATGACCGCGATGGGACGGCCTGCTGTTTCTTCATAACTCATCGAATGACAGATGTGCCACCCCTGGAATTCATCGAAATCAGCCAAGTCCCAGAATCTTTTAAACAGGGATATGAACCGAATGATACGGCTATACCCAAGTTGAAGGGCCTAGACTTGTTCTGTGGAGGAGGCAACTTTGGACGCGGCCTTGAAGAGGCCGGTTTCATGGACTATAACTGGGCAAACGACATCAGTCACGACGCTATGCGAACATATATGGCCAACGTCAAGCCCGGGTCAAGAATCAAGCCATTTGTTGGGTCAATTGATGATCTTGTGGCATCCACACTCAAAGGAACGTCTCGTGACAATATACCATCCATCGGTGAGGTCGATTTCATTTCTGGTGGGAGTCCGTGTCAAGGTTTCTCGGCCCTGACAAATGACAAGACCGCTGACGTACAGCTGAAAAACCAGTCCCTGGTTGCGGCATTTGCATCTTGCGTTGATATCCATCGACCAAGATATGGCGTCTTGGAGAATGTTACGGGAATCATTCAAAACAATCAACATCGTGGTCGTGATGTTTGTAGCCAGCTTATATGTGCTCTCGTCGGCATGGGCTACCAGTTGCGTCTATGCTATACGGAAGCATACTCATTTGGTGCATCTCAAAGGCGTGGACGTATATTTATAGTGTTTACAAGAGGCGGTCTTGAATTGCCGAAGCCACCATTAGAGAGTCACACAACCCCTCCGACAGGCTATGTCCGGAGCTTTGGACGACTTCCTACCGGCGAGGGAATGATTCAACCTGGCGACGATAGACCTCGGCCGTTTAGATTCCGAAGCGCGCGTGAAGAGTGCAAAGACCTGCCACCTATCCATGATGGCAAGGTTGATATATGTGTGCCATTTCCTGACCATCGCATCCCCATCGGTATGACAGACACGCTGCAGCGGCGAGTTGTGCGAATTCCAATCTGTCCCTATGGGATGAACTTTTCCAAGGCATTCTACGGCGAAGGTGGAGTGAATGGGGCGAAACCTGTAATCCCATATTCAGATGGTACAGTGTTTTCAGACAGTCTCCATGTCCATTCGAGCAAGACGGCGCTGAACGTGTCGCGTCAGTCCAACATGCTGGGGCGCATGTATCCAGATCGTCTCATCGAGACAATTGTGACAAAATGCAGCCCAATGGACGCCAAACATGGGAGGGTTTTACATTGGGAAGAGCCTCGTGTCATTAGCTTGATGGAAGCTCGTAGAGCCCAAGGGTTCCGGGACGAGGAGATCATATTGGGCACGCCAGACCAAGCATATCGGATTGTGGGCAACAGCGTTCCCCGACAAGTGGCACTGGCGCTTGGGGTGTCCTTTGCCGATGCGCATAGGACGAAGCTTGAGATTGAATTGGGTAACCCGGCTGCAAATAGCTATGATACTGACAAGGGCAAAAAATTGGTGCGGCGACACCCGGATGGGAGCTCGGAGGAAGCCGAGTAACGGGAACTTTTTGATATTGTGGCGTTGGATACTGGATATCGTTCATTCTCTATATTGTACTTGGTAGAGGTATATTTCGTAACCTAGAGTAGCTTTCTGGTAAAATAAATCACGTTTGTCTCGAGCTTCAACAGGGGCAGCCCCCCCATGTACTGGACAAGGGCCATGAGTGTTCAGCGGCGTTTTGCAGGGCCCCAGCAGCCTTCCCAAAGAGGCAAGTTCTCAAGCCTTCGTGCGGCTCCACGTCGAAAAGCTTGGCTTGAGGCCGTCAGCCGCCACCGGCCTGATTTTTGGCATGTTCCGTGCTTCCGTTGGGCTTATTGTTTGTTTGCTAAAGTAATGACAAGGTGTAATTTCTGCACTGCGTCTGGTACGTAAGAGATGGTTACTGTACCTGTGATTTTTTCAATAGTTTGGTTTTCCACGGTCTGTCCCGTCAGCACCCCTCACCAAAGCTCGCAGGATCACGAATCGCTGCACCTGGCCATAGCTGTGACCAATACCTTGCTTTGCAGTTGTGCTGACCTGGTTATGTCCATATTTCTTCCCCCAATAACTACTCGTTTCGCTCGCTCCCGTCGACGGTTTGGCTGGGTCGTTCCTAGCGGGTACTTGGCCAAAGTGGATTTAATTGCAAGGGGTGGTTAGTGGCAAGGGTCGTTGAGGCCTAGCGCTGTTTTGTGCCTTCTAGAAGCGTGGCGCTTTTTACACTTTTTTTCTTGAGCGGCGTTTTGGTTCGTAGTGCATTTGTATGAATCGCCGATTTAGTTGGGACACTCTGGTCTATTTCCGCGGCTTCCGGTAATTCAATATTTAGTTACAGGGGTTTGCCAGCTGTCGTGTACTATTACAATGTTGGTTGTACATTTTTTTTATTTTTTATTTTTTATTTTTTCCATTTTTCGCTCTGTGCTGTGTTTCGCAGCTGGCACTGCCCAGGCTGGGACAGTCAATTTGTTGACAGTTGGTGCCAGCTGGTGGAGGCCAGTGGCGTTGTGGGTGGTGGCCGGATGCGGCAGCTGCGAACTCGGCATGTGTTCGATGCCCGGCATGTCCAGCTTTTGGATAAACAACCTACCTGGGCTTGGCTGCATAAAGTTTATTCCTTGCAGTTACGGGTGAGAAAGTTTTGGCGGAAAAAAAAAATGAAACGCATGTGAAATGAACCCAGAAGGATGGTAAGCCCAAACATGAAAAAAAAAGCAACTGTCCCTGGTCGTCTCAAGTGTGCCAGTCACACCCTGAATGGTACTATTCCCCTTTTTGGGCCACTGGACCTTCAGTACCTTGACGGCGGTACCCTCTTTTTATGGGCTCCGATGTTGGTTCTCATGCTGCCAAGTGCGCCAGGTGTGCCAGTTGCGGCAGCTGGCGGAAACCTTTGGACTGGCGATTTTGAGTTTCAAAACCAGTATACTGTGTTCTATTCCATACAAGTTTCGAATCGTGATGCCTTCTACATGCACACACATTTGGGCCACCTCCAAACAAGCAACGCCTCTTGCCACCTCCCTCGCTTTCTCCAGTCTCCAACTTCCTCCTCAGCGGACGACTCCACCATAAACCTGGCAAGCTCCACTGCCCACTTCCGCATAGGTCCCTCTGGCCGTGTCGCTGCCTCTGCCTTCTTTAGCGCCAGCCCAAGTCACATCTCACATTTCCACTCACATCCAAAAGCACGCATCTGCTGCTTCCGATCTTTTCTGCAGAATCAAAGAGCCGATGTTGGGTTTCGCTGGCCATCTTCTCTCTTTCCTCCTTTTTCCACTTCCATCTAATTAATAATCTCGGCGCACTCCTTGCGTCAAACGTCTCTCCCATCATCTACGGACCTCGTTCGACGCAGCATCCCAACCACTACACTACACCTGCAGCAACGCACGCCCACCCCGCCAATCCTTCGCATCCTCGACATACTGTATAATAATTAATCCCCTCTATAACGCATAACCCGACCTCGCGGTCCGCCCTTTCTCCACGTCAGCCAACCGTCTTCCCGAGCCGCCTCGTCTCTGAAACAAGTCACTGTCCTCAGCATCGCCTCACGCCCAAAGGTTCCAAAACCTTGTTCCCTGTCTCAGCTTTCTCTCGCTTCCCCGGAATTCCTCAGCGCCGCCTCCTTTCCTTCTACAGCACCGTTGCGCTGTGTGTTGACTATTACTACCAATAACCACAGCGACATCCTTGCCCGCAAACTCGTCGTACAGCCGCTGCAGAGCTCCCCCTGCCAACAACCCGGCTCCCCTCACGGACGCAACAAACCTCCGACTACGATTCGCCGCCTGTTTTATTTTGCACGAGCTGGCCCTGCTACCAACTGCAAAGCCGAGTTTCGGGCTCACTTCTCTTCACCCGTTATCATAGAAGCTCCATTGTGACACACGCGCCGCTGCTCCAGGTGGTGGCTGACTGTCTACAATCGCTTGGCTGCTCTGAACGCTATCGTCACTGCGCCGTCCCGCGATCGAATGCGCAATGACATACATTGTAAGTACATCAGACACACATGTCTTTTCTTTCTTGTCTCTTTCCTTAGCAAGCTTTTCTGCCCTGTTTCCTCCCGTATTGGACGTCCCAGACACCCGGAACTACCCCAGGCATATCCGCTAAATCCATGACAACCCTGGTTCGCCTGGCACGCTTTTTGCACACGGCGCAACCACCATGCAGTACAACGCACCTGTTATGCAGCCAGACGCAGCCGGACGCAACCACCTTCAGTCTTCAGCCCTCCCTAAAGAGCCTTGACATTCTTGGACAGATTTTGCTTTTTCCTCCCGCTCGTCTATGCAGAGTCTGTCATCTTTCCACGCCCACTGCTAGTGCGCCGAGCTGCTCGCTACCATCGTCAAGGCATCGCCACGTTGGGTGTTGCGACCGCGGGCCGCCAACAAGCCATCATCCCGTCTGCTTGCCATGGACAAGTAGCAGCCAGTCATACGGCAATTTCAGCCACACACGCTATGTCCACGCTACGTATAGCACACCGCCCATACATCTGCGGCGCGAGCTTGCATAGCTCATTTAGCTTGGTCGCCTTACAGCTCGCAAGTGAAACTCGTTGCTGTTTCCAGGCACACCAAGCTTCTACCGTGACATCCGGCGAAGCGGCTAGCTGCCCAGGGCCTGTGGCCCGTTTCCCCGACTGCTTGGCTCCCGCTGCTTATTCGTTGCGTGCGCTATTCTCGGCCCGTCTCACTACGCTGGTCAGCTGTCGCTGGCCCATGCTTTTGTTTGCGCTCGCCGGTTCAGACTCTTGTTCAGACCGGTGTATCTCTTACAAACGCCGCAATATGCAGCCTTGGCTCTTTATATTACTTTCCGTTTACCCGTCGTCTACCCCCTTCCTCAGAAATCCTACCTTTTGCCTTCAAATGACGGTCTTCGTCATGTCCCTTGTTTTTCATCCTCTCTGGTCCAACTTCACGACGCCACTTTCAGACTGCTTTGTAGCCGAGACTCGATGCTAATCCCTAGCCTTCAGCTTTGCCTCGCGCACTATTGCGACACACATGGCCCGACACCGCTCATGGTCACTGAGGGCTTGCCGACACCATGCTCTGTCTGCTTCGACGAAAGCTCCCGAGATGACCCTCCTCGCTCTAGCCCACCAAACCAGGACGCCCAGCTTGCGGACGCTATTCGCAGCGTAAATCTCAACCGCAACTCGTCGGGTATCACCTCGCCTCGCGACTCCCAAAGCAAGCGCACCTCCATTTATTCCTCTAATGCCGACTCAGTCACATCCAACGCCTCATCCTCGACAACCGCCCCCGAGACGCCTCCCGAATCCCCAAGACCGGCCTTTCAGCAGCCCCGACGGACCGACTCGGGTTATCGTCGCACCTACGACGAAACGGTGACTCGGAAACAAGGCCCCTGTGATAACTGCGCTATGACGTTGCCTCGCCGCCAGGCTGGCGTCGGCGGTTCGGATGACATGGCAAGCTTGCGCGGGCCTACGCTTCGCACTCGTGCGCCAGCGGAACGTGTGTACGGTTCCCCGGCGCAGTTGGCGTCACCTGCTCGATCGCAAGCCTCGAGTGATACCGACGGCGAGAAGGACGTGTCACGGCGCCCGCGTAATAGAATTCCAGCGCAGTCCGTCAGCTCTCGTACCACATCATGCTCGTCTACGTCCACGACCTCGGAGCGGGCTTCTTGCCATGTGCACTATGTCGATTACACCTCCACCCACGAACCCTTGCTCGCCACCTCGTTTTCTTTGATCCGTGCCTCTTGTCTGCGCGCTCTCTCGTTTGAGACTCTCCCCCGCGCACCCTCTACGTCTACGCCAAACGCCTCCCCACAGAGCAACGGTTCGGCTTTTGTGACCACCCAGAGCGCTGGATCTGCTGCCACCGGTGGCCCCATTTTCTTCGGTGATGCTCTCGCTGGATATACTACTGCGTACATCTTCCGTATTCCCGATGTCCATGCCCGAGGTCACAAGCGCGTCTACGCCTTCTTAGCCCTCAGCACACACAAGGAGCGACTTGCCATGAAGACTTTTGCCGTTCTATCCAACGCCTTCCGTGACTTGGCCAACTGGATTCAGCAGCTTGCCGAGGCAGAGGCTGAACGAACTGCCGAGTCACAACCGGGATACTCTGTCGGCTTGGACCGCCCTGTGCTTCAAGCATCGGCCTTTGACCCGCCAGCTGCTGACCGCAGTGGGAGTAGTTTTCTCACTGGCGGCCTGGGTCTCTCGCGGCGAATGGGCCCTGGTGCACCGTCATCCCTCAAGGCGAGGGGTTTGGCTGAGCTCGTTGGACAGCCCGACTTCTTCATTGAGCTGCACAAGCGTTTTGTTCACCTCCTGTTTGAGGTTGGCGTCACCCTGAGCTCGTAACTCGGTGGCTTTGGCGAAGCATATCCACCCCTTATTCGAGATACCCCCCCTTTTTGTCACCGACACGATGTTGGCCTGTATACATGTTTCATCTTTCTTGTTGTTCTTTTTTTTTTCAGTATGGTCCTGAGGACCAAGACCATCATCACATATGCCATCTACATCCTTGGAGATGGCAACGTGGTCGCATACCAGCAGCAAATAGTTTTGTCAAAGCGGACAGCCTCCGCTTCTGTATATGTTACGGCCTTTATGTGGACGCCGAAGCGTCTTTGATTAGATTTTGTTAAGGGCTTACGCCTGTAGGATAAGGAAATGGGTCCATGAGACAAATTAATAGAATGTAATTAATACTTTTTCTCGCAATATGCTATTCTTCTATTTACAGTGATGACCTTCTATGTACATCGTGATGTTGTATATAGTGGATGTTGCACGGTCGAGGGTGGAAGACGTTGGACGTATAATGAGAGTAGCAGTAGGAATGTAGGAATAATAAGATTTTTCACATTGAATTCATAACCACGCATATTCTATTGATGCTAGTATACACTCTTCCCATGTTCTTTGTTTATTTATTTGTAAAAGTCAAACTTGTTATCCTCGCTCGTTCCCTTGACCTGGCTGGAGTAGGCATCCTCCAAGTCGCTCTGGATAATGTTATATCTGTTCTTGCGGACGGCTCTGAGACCGGCCTCTTGCATGATGGCAGCAATTACGGCACCGGAAAGAGGGTCGTTTCGCACAATCAAGCTGTCGAGGTCAACCTCCGGGGCGAGGGACATCTTGCCAGCAATCGTGGAGAAGATGAGACGGCGTTCGCGGCGGTCACGCAACGAAGGGAACTCAATCTTACGATCAAGACGTCCAGGACGGAGAAGAGCAGGGTCGAGGGTGTCAGCACGGTTGGTGGCCATGATGACCTTGACGTTGGAGGTCTGGTCGAAACCGTCCATCTGGTTGAGCAATTCAAGCAGAATACGCTGGACTTCACGATCCGCACCGGTCTGGGCGTCGAAACGCTTTGTGGCAATGGCATCGATTTCGTCAATGAAGATAATGGAGGGCGAGTTTTCGCGAGCCATGCGGAAGACGTCGCGGACCATGCGAGGACCTTCGCCAAGGTACTTTTGGACGAATTCGGAACCGACGACACGGATGAAGCTGGCAGTGGTCGAGTTGGCAACGGCCTTGACAAGCATGGTCTTGCCGGTACCGGGGGGACCGTAGAGAAGGACACCGCGGGGAGGGTCGATACCAATCTGCTTGTAGAGGTCAAAGTGGGTGAGGGGCAGCTCGACGGCTTCGCGGATCTCCTGCTTCTGCATGTCGAGACCACCGACATCGGCGTACGTCACGTCGGGCTTCTCATCGGCGCCAAGCATGGCAATGGAGGAATCGGCTTCGGGAGGGAGGATGTCGACGAGGGCATTGGAGTGGCGGTGGAGGGCGACGGAGGAGGAGGGCTTGAGCTGTTCGCGGTCGAGCGTCGAGAGGATTCGGACAACGTAGTTGGAGCCGGTGCTCGATTGGACAATGCCGGTGCTGTGGAGGTGCTATTAGTATATGTAAAACAGATTGGGTAGGTGGAAAAGCGCGTACTTTTGGTCAATCGCTTCCATGAACTGGCCAATGACTAGAGGGACACTCTGGATGCGCTTAATCTCTTCCTGGGCACGAACGAGTTCGCGCTTAAGGGATCTGTGGTGGTGTTAGCATCGCTGGGGTTGTAATTGCGGCGAGTAGAGCAACGAACCTTTGCTCATCCTTGATGTATTCCTCTTGCAGTTGGATATATCTGTTGCGTAGATGTCAGCATAAGCAGCAGAGGCAACCCGAAGGGCGATGGTGGTTGCTACGCACTCTAATTGACGCTGGAGCTTCTTGAGGTTTGCATAATCATCGCCTCCTTCTGTTGAGACACCCTCGAAGTTGTCAATGGTCGGGATAACGGAGGGCGCGGCCTTCTTGAGGGCGGCCACGGGGCTCTCGACAGCAACGTCGCCCATCGTGAGAGAGCTGGGAGCTAGGTGTCTGTGGGTGCGGGCGTAATATCGTTAATGCCAATGGCAGGCGTATTCTGTGTCGTGCAGAGAAACAGGACAAAAGGGCGCTGTGCGGGTGGTGGTGATGGAAATTCCAGCAACGTGTGTTGTGGTGTGGTGGTGCTGATGCGGTGCTGATGAGTTCACCAGGCCACCAAAGAGCTACGCAGCCTGTCGCGGCCTGGGCGTGGCGGGTCGAATGTACCTGGATGACTAAGAATTTTGGGAGTGTGGGTGCACGTGACCTGTCCTTGGGTAGGTGGTGCTCTAAGGCATCGTTTATGATGGGAGTATTTGCGCTGGAAAGTAGAAAAAAAAATTGAAAAGAATCGAAAATTGAAAAAATCAAGTTTTATTTCATTTCTATTGTCAATTCTGCCTTGCAGACTTTGTCTCGACATGGGCAAGGTACTACTAGGTCGATGAGAAACGAACGTAGGCTGCGGCGTCTCTAAGCAGGTGTAAGTTGCGAAGCGCTGTACAAGCGCCGGTATGAATCACCACGCCGGCTTCTACAAATGTAAATATCGTGTAAAGGGCTATTGATAGACATGCTCATGGGCAGACACAAAATACGGAAAATGCCAAGTCACGATTTAGCCCTTTCAGTGGTGGCAGTAGCGGATCGCGGCGGCGCATGTGTGGCACACCCTCAGTCTGCCCAAAATCTCCGAGATTCACCTAACCACAGCTGCTACTTGCTAGTATCGCCTCTCCATGCATCTCGTCCCATAGTGTTTTTGCCTTGTCTTAAATCACACCATTCCCGGTGGCTCGCGAAAAAGCCGTTTGACTTGCGGAAGAGAGAGTCAGGTGTCCGATTGCGGATAGCGTCCTGCCGCTGGTGCATGTGATTAGGCGGGGCCCTAGCACCTCCAACTGCAGGCGATGACGGCGTTTCCCCAGGTTGATGCACCAAAACCCCACGCCGCCTGTTTCTTATCGGGGAGTGCCCCCCAAAACGGGATCTAATGCAACAAGGGGAAAATCACTTGTAAGAAAGAGAAGAGCATCTTTGGATTGAACGAGCACTGTACTGTAAAAGAGTAAAAACTAAAAAGCCAAATCTGCAACGGGATTCAACACCTTGTCCTGTTTCCTCCCCTCCCCTCTTTCTTTGGGGGCCGTTGTTGGGGCCATGCCACACAGCGCCTTCTGTCTTTCAGCACCCAACAAGTCCCCTGTAGGCTGCCTATCCTTGCTGGATGCAGCGCACCACCGCACCGCACTGCCAGGCCTGGCTTGGCGCATGGCGTTTTTGGGGGGTTGGCCGTCTTGTCACGTTGACTGACTCCTCGCCCTTTGCCGGTTCAGCTGTTGATGCGATAATGAAATAAATACAATAAAGCACGGCTGTCTGCTTCTTTACCCACTCTCTTGTTTCCTCTTCCTCCCTCTTTACCGCCAATCCACGCTTTGTCTCCAAACAAACCAACATCGCTTAACGCAGCGGTGACACCACACTGCACGGCTGCTTGCTCCGCCATTCCCACTGACACTGTCACCGCACTCGTGCCAGCTGCCCAGCCGCCGCTACTGCCTAAGCCCCGCATCCACTTTCACGCTCTGCCAGCTGCCCGCCAGGTGCCCTGCAAGGTTTCCCTCAAGGTTTCGACCTTGCCCACTGCGTCTTGACTTAAGCTTTCAACTCTTCCGATTAAATACTCGCGTTCCGTCTCTTCCATTTTTTCTTGCGTCTTTGCACAAATCACTTCAAAAATTCGGCCTCGTTGTTGTTCGTCGTTTGTCGTCTCTCGTTAGCGTCTCTTAGACTTGCCGTTTTCCTGCTCTCTCGTCTTCAGAACCAAAGTTGGACACCAGCCCAAGCACACGCTCAAAATGTCGTCTCAGTTCATCAACATCCCCAAATCTCGCCCTTCTTCTTCCACGTCCTTTAGCAGCTCGCCAAAGACTGGTTCCTACAGCTCCTGGTCCAGTGCCTGCTCAACAACGTCCACCTCATGTGCTTCGTCACCGTCATCGGCGGCTAAGAGCCAGCGCCGACGACCCAGCCTACTTAGTGAGTCTCCATCCACATCCACAGCGTGTCACGCGACGCTGCCTTGCACTGCCTGGTCCTTGCATTTTTGGTGTTTTGCCCATTTTTGAAGTTGGGCCGTTGGAATTTAGCTCTAACATTCTGCTTTTCTAGGCACTTCGTTTACAAAGGAAGAAGCGACTGTTATCAATATTGGCGAGCCCGAAGGACCGCCTAGACTAGTGAGTTCCTTCAGTGGTGTCAGCACTATAGACGGTGCTGCATAGCCGCCCACTTCTGGGGGGATGTCAGACGTTAATCGTGACTTGCAGATCTCGTACCTATCCTCCAGCCAGGGCTTCGACTGGAACCCAGGTTTGTTTAACCGAAACGCACTTCGGGTCTCCATTTGACTGACACATCCTAGAAATCTTTCTCCCTTCATACCTTGACTGCGACTACACACCTCTAGAGAACCGCAGAGAGCCTGTCCATGAAATTCGACTCACCGACGAGGAAATGCAGGAGATGCTGCCTCACTAAAACTTGGCACTGCTGCGGTTCCGGGACCACCGACCCTTGGACATGACCAACTCGCACCGAGGCACATGGCACGCCTTGCATAATTCATGGACAGACCATGGACATCTGGGCGTAACTGCAACCTGGCCAAGCGCATGGTTTGGTCTTCCAACTCAAGGTTTCAAATATGCAACACCAATACCTTGTCGCCTTTACATCCATTAAGACACTGGCATTGTCTTTTTTCAGGCGTCATTTTTTTTTTTCGTCGCTGTCCCGGTTCGCAAGGGACTACCCAGCGACTTGTCACATTATTATTTATTTTTCCTTACTTCATGGGCTGGACTACCATTGGCGCTGCTTTGGCCACATGGTGACCCAGACCACGCATTTTTGGCCACACCACGGTCTTATGGACCGCGGCTAAGCCCCTAGACGATTGATACGACTTTTACGGTGGAGTTTATTGGGGGTTTCTTTGAAAGGACCAGTGTAAACATTTTTCGCCCGGCCTTGATTTTTCTATTTTCTAGGCACGGGTTGGCTTTACTTGTTGATATTGTTTGTTTGTTTTTTCGGTTTGGCTGGCACAAATATGGGCGGAGTTCTTATGTCTTTGTGAGATGTGTCTATACTATAATACACTCCTCTTCCAATCTTAGCTTCGTTCTGATGTCTCGATGGCGCACATACTCTTTTGTTTTGATGTGCTAAATTGCATTTTTAGGCACCAAGTGTTACCCGCGGCCAAGGTACAACAGCTACTCTGGCCTAACGAGAAGGGCCGGGATAGGACGCAGTCGAATCCCGATGGGATCCACCCGATGCCCAATCCCGGGGTATTGGGCGATACTATCAGATGCATTAGATTGGCGACTATACAGAGGGTAAGCAAAAGTTACAGGTAAACTCGTTTTTGGTCAATCTTTCAAATATTCTTTAATATATATTGTAAAATTAACTTTTGTATCAATCCTTGTACAATATCATGTGTGATATAACGTAACGGTCTCAACTGAGTATATTGACAACCAGCTGAGCGACTACTACGAGTATCCGAAGATGAAGAAGAAGGGATCGAAAAGGGGCTATTCTAGCTAGCTGGAATAGCCTCTTATATGACTTACATGGGTCCCTTGCCTAGATGGTGTCACGATCCGCTGGATCGCTCTATAGTCTGTCGGTCACAACACTCACGACAGTCACGATGTCGAAATAGTTGCTACGCGACGTGTTCGCTTGCTAGGTGGCAAATAAAGAAGTTTCAACAACAAAGTGTTTGCCAGCTGGCAAAGGAAAGCCGCCAGCTGGCAGGACCACAACAACCTTGTATATAAATAGAGAAGTGAACTGTAGAAGGAGGAGAAGGATTTGTCCTTCTTCAAGTTTGTTGTCTTCTTTCTATCTCATATATAGAACAGTTAACAATAGCATTATGTTTGGCGAACTTTTCTTGTAATACCTAGACAGCTACGTGACAAATGGTCGACAGCTACCCGAGACCTCCACGGGCCTAGCCCGTTTCATTTAAATACTTTATAAGTAAGTTATCGAGTTTTTAGATGACTATTATATATAAAGGTTGTGTAAATATATATTTAGAATACGTTTGTTGAAACCTGGACTACTTGTAACTTTTGCCTATTTACTGTAGATCAATAGCGCGCAGAAGTGAGGTTATATTGCTCGGGTGGATGGCAAGTACTCCTCCTCATATATTGGTGACCATAGATAGAATAGCTCTGGTGCAACGGCCCTATCTTCACTCTCAGTCAACGCCACGATGCTTATCTCGGTGGCCCTGTGGATTTTCCAGGATAAACGATCAAGCCTGATGTATAACAAAGACGAACTTGATGTGGCAATTTTGAGAACTGCAGATGCATAGTTTTCGGCTGGATACTCCCTCCAGTCGTAGCTTAAAAGGAAGAGTCCCTGCAGATTTGGCAAGGTAGCTACCAATGCCACGCAGCCTTCTAATTCGGCACTTCCGTCTACTACAAGTTCGGGTACTGATAGTGGAAGTGAGAGGTTTCTAAGAAGAATTTGGCCGTGCAGCTGATCAAGCGTGGAAACATAACTCTCAGCCCCGTCCCAAACTGGCAACCCCAGCTCGTAGATGACAGCGCTGGGATGTTTTTGGAAGAGACTGTATAGGTTGTGTTCGTCATCAAAATTCTCATCGTATACGTTGTAACAGGCGAAGGAGAGCATAAAGTCTCGTGACCCGTCACAAAAGGACTCGATCTTCTCCCAGACCTCCGCGTTGAAGTCTTCGAATTCGAGTTTCCGCAGTGCCGGCGTCTTTTCTGCCAAGAGGAACTCAATTCGAGTCTCGAAATGAAGAAATTGTAATATCCTGAAGAGATGAGCACATTAAAATAGCCCGGCTAAGCAGTAACTTACTGGTTGAAAATGAAGACTTCCTCCAGCGCGGACAAGTCGAGGACCTTTTCAATACACTCTAACGAGGGGCAATAGATGTAGGCATCTAATCTTAGCCTTTTGAGGCGTAGTCTATGCTTTGTTTTGGTCGCATATATGTCGCAGAGACCGTCGGTAAACGTCTGAAGCTGATGTGGTCCACTGTCCAACGTTAGGGCTCTCTCATAAGTGGCCAAATTTAGTGATATGATGAGGCTTTGTAAGTTTGGACTCTGTGACAGAATATTGGCAATGGCTTCTTGCCACGGCGGAAGGTCACCAAACATCTCAACAAGGGCCAGGGACGTCAGATTGCTCAAGGCGCGAAGATGCAGTTGCGGCCTACCAAACAGTGGTCCATGCTTGGCCCAGACTTCAGGCGGGTCATCACGTTCACAGCAGCTGATGCCGATGGCTTCTTGTGAGCCAAAGGATATTCTAATGCGGCGCAGTGTAGGTGTCTTGGACAACTGGTCCATGACATTGTGCGACATATCGGCACCCGTACTGCTGCACGGGGAGTTAGACCTTTGTTTGTTGAAAAGGGCGCAGGGAACAGCAAGCATACCAATACGATTCGAGGTTGGATGTATGCTGCAAGATGTTCAAGAGGCCCTTGTTCAAACCATGCGGCGCAAATGGCGTTTCGGGGCTACCCAGATCGTCGATGCGACTGACAAAGAGCGACTTTGTGAGCGCCCACCGTTGCGTGCCATGGTCTGGAACATTGGCAGTGCGACTGAGGAAGTGCTTGCTTGCTGGTGGAAACGAGACGCACTCATATAATAAAGACTTGAAGAGACTGTGAAGGGCCTTGTTGACGCGACAGAGACTTGCCAGTGTGGCCGTGTCCCTGTCAATCTAAAAGAGGTAGGATTAGAAGAGCCTCTGTCCAGTCTGGAAAACAGAGACTTACACATTCGAGGAATAGCAGCCGAAGCTCTGGGAGACGCAAGAATTGCTCGGCCATTGTGGTGATGTTGCGCCGGGTGCGTTTATAAGACGGGCAGCGCGGAGCAGAGGAGGGGCAGGTGCAGCACAGGCGGGGGATTATAGTGAGTAAGTGGTAGTGGATACAGTGGGTAAGCAAAAGTTACAGGTAGTCTTTATTTCAACCAACGCATTCTAAATATATATTTACACAAACTTTATATGTAATATTCATCCGAAAACTCGATAAATATAAGGTATTTATGCCATACATAATATTCCACTCAAAGATTGATTAAAGACATAATGTTAAAAGTTTTAAAAGATTATTTGAAAGATTAACTATAAACGAGTCTACCCACTCTAACCCAAATATACAACCAAGTACCAACCATTCATCGTCTAATTCTTTTTTTGTCATATTAATTTAATTGGAAAATTTATGTGAAGATTTATTGTATTATTTCGCAGCAATTTTACTACATATTTTCTTTGTCAATATTTCTAAACATGAGAGGCATAGACATCACACAGAATGTTGTACATGAAGAGGTAGTAGAAGAAGTAATTAAAGTTCATTATATTTCAAGTGGTAGGTAGGTATCTCAATTAAAGTACATGACAGGCCCAGCCAGTGGCGCGTCGTCGTCGTTCATAACCAGAACAAAAAGAAGCTTTCAACCGTAGCAACACTTTACTTGTCAACAGTGAAGCTGAGGTTGTCGCAGTGACCCTCGTGCCAGCAGGTAGAGCAGTAAGGGTATCCAGCGTAGCCGTGGTCAAAGTCGTAGTACGGAGGGCCGTAGAGAGGGTATCCGTAGTCCCAGCCGTCGCCCTGACCGGGGCCGTTGACAGTCTGGCGCTTCTCAACCTTCTTGTGAGGGCCGCAGCAGTGACCAGCCAGGCAGGCGTTGGGGTTGGGCGCCTGGGTGGTGTCAAAGACCTGGCGGTTGTCGGCGTCAGGAGAAGGGGCCGCAAGGGCAAAGGGGAGGATGGCGAGGAGGGTCTTAAAGGCAAGCATCTTAGATAGAAGATGGAAGAATATGTGGTTTCTTGTGAGATAGGAGGAGGAGGGTTTGGGATACAGAGCGAAAGAGTGGAGGGGAGAGAGGCGAGGGATTCGGAGATATTTATGCATACGGACAGAAAAGGGAAATACAACGGCTAGAGTATCATGGCCATCATGAAAACTGTATGAGGAAGAGGGAGGTATGCTGCGTTCCTGACAGAGTGTGGTTGCTGGTGCGGGTCGTCGGTTAGGAAATTAAGGTGTCGATGTGGTCTCGAGGGTCTGTCTGAGTCGTTGGAAGCTCTTCGTTTGAGAGGGGTTTTGGTAGAAGATGGTGTATTTGGTGAGTACATGTGATGCGTACATTTGTTTTGGCTTGCCTAGGATAGATGGCTGGATGTAAAGACATGCTGTGATGGTCGGTTGTGCTGTTTCAACAGGTTTTGGTCGACTTTCACCGGCACCATCTCGATGGACTCTCTCTATTTTTCTTCTAGGGTTAGAAATTCCCCGCAGCCATCTGTCTGTTGCTGCTAGAGACGGCGGGTAGGTGACTGGAATTCTGCCGTTACGGAGGTGACTGCGGCCTTGTCTCGTCGGGTCGCCTGCGTCATTGGAATGCTGGGCAGAGGGCTGTCAGATATCCGAGAGGTGCGGCTGTCGTGGGGTCTTGAGGAGCTTCTGAGGGATATAGAAGACGAGTGGTGAGAGGATTCGAGGAAATTAGCGAATTAAATGCAGGTTATGAGTGAGGAAAGATGCATGTCGGCGTTGATCGTGGGGATGGAGGAGGTGGTGTTTTGGTCACGTATTGAGTCGTAGAGCAGGTAGCCAATCAGACAGGCAGAAATGCAAGCATCTAACGTAACATTCAGCAAAGTTTCAGTTTATAGAGTATGAGAGCTTTCCTTGTTATTTTGGATGTGGTATTATGATATTTGGAGGGCTGCAAGTATTATCCAAATCATAGTGGTGGAGTGTGTAAGTGGTCAATGTGTACACCGTCGAACACAGTTGTGTGTAATAAATGCGCGTAGAAACTGTGGAAGATGTGACATATGTTCAATGTATGCTTGGATAATTCGCAAAGCACAATACCAACTTTATTCATGTAATATTTTACTCAATTTATGCACAGTAGTCTGCCATTTGCACCACCTGCGCCAGCTGCACCACCTGCCAAGTGCCCGCCCCGGCCGCGACGTCATTCTGCCAGGCACCAGCCGCCGCTAGCGGCAGCCTTTCCAAATTTCGCCAGGACGACATTCTCTGCCCAACTTCATCACTCCGAATTCCTCTTCACCACCAGCCACAATGGGCGACCCCAACAGGCCCATTGCCATTAAATTCGGCTCCTCGGCGCCCTCTTCAAAATCAGCCAAATCAAACCAGCCGTCTACGGCGCTGGGCAAGCGTCCGCGCGCTGGCGCATTCGGTCACGACTCGGACTCGGACGACGATCAGGTCGGCAAGAAGGAGGAAATCACAGGCTTCCGTGCCGATGGCGCCGAGATTAACGAAACGAGAAGAAGAGAAGAAGAAAAACAAGTCAAGAAACAATACGTCATCGAGAGAATCGCCAACAAAGACTGGCGCGGCGAGGCTCGAGCCAAGCAGAATCAGAATGCCGCCGCCGCAATCGTCGACGACGAGCAGCCCAAAGAAATCAAATGGGGTCTAACAGTCAAAGACAAGAGCACAAAAGCAGACACCCCCGAGTCAAATCAAGCCAAGCCCTCAACATCAGATGCCCGCGACGATGCTCCGCCAAAGTCTGTCGATGACCGCGCGATGGACGCCCTCCTCGGCAAGACGGAGGAGAAGAAGCTCGTGATCCCCGCGCTGACCGAAGATGAAGCATACCAACGAGATGCCAACGCAGCAGGCGCCGACTCTACACTTGAGGACTATGAAGCAATGCCCGTGGAAGAGTTTGGTGCAGCACTGCTTCGCGGCATGGGCTGGGACGGTAAGAGCGGTACCAAGAATGAAGTTAAAAAGCGCAAGCTATTCCCTGGCTCTAGCGATGTAGACGCCGAGCTGGGCATCGATATGGGCAAGAAAAAGGGTAAAGTCCGCGTTGGCGACTACCGACGCGAGGAGGAGAAGCGGAGGGCGGAAAAGGAGAGCCGAAAGGAGGGGAGCTACAAGAGCGAGCGAGACCGCGAGAGGAGAGAGGAGCGCTACGAAGATCGACATCGAAGCGATAGACAACGGGACGACTACCGAGACCGCGATAGGAATAGAGACTACGGCAGAGATCGGGACAGGGACAGGGATAGAGATCGTGATAGACGGAGACACGACGACCGAAGGCGGTAATTTTACGATGGACAGATCATTTACTTTCAAAGGAGCAGTAAGAAAAGGAGAAAAAAGCGTGCATTCATTTGTATATTAGAATGAATTTTTTGGTAGATTTGTTTTTGGAGGACAACCAACCCTTTTTTTTTTACATATACGATGCAGGCGTCTCATGAATGAACAGAAAATGAAATCAGATACCAAAACAAAAAAGCACAAAGATATATACGTCATAACGCGTAAAACCCCTATAAGAAAAATGAAATGTAAACAGTCACGGCCAGCCGTTGCCATTTTACTGCAGAGGGATCCTGCGCAGAGCATCGCGCAGAAACTCGAGTCGAGCCACCATCTCGCCCTCTTCCCCATCGTCCTTGAGTGCTTTTTGCAGCTTCTCACTTGCAGCCAGCAGCGGCTCTACGTAGCGGTGCTCAATGGCAGCAGGCATGCCAGCAGGCACGAGGTCCTTGTGCTTCTCTGACGAGAGCAAGAAAACGGCAAAGTTGGCAACTTGCAGATGATACGGAGATCCCTCTGCCCAGAAAGACAAGAGCTCGGCGGGCTCGTTTTCTGGGAGCGCCGTCAGGTCCGGGAACAGCGTGTACTGCAGACTCTCGAGGCAGTCTGGCGAGGCGAAGCGCGAGTCGGGGGTAGCAGCGACAATCTCGTCCTTGAGCCACGTCACAGCGCAGGCTTGTAGCGTGGAGAACATGCAGTTTTCAATGAGGTCTTCGAGGATCGAGAGGCGGTCGTCCTCGGGGGCTGAATGGAGCACGTGGCCGGCGAGTGTGGTGGCCGCGTTGCGTACGCGGATGTTGGCGTGGAAGACGGCGATGAGGGTCAGTAGGTGGTGGTAGGCCATGAAGTCGGGCTGGACGTCAGTGGCTGTGACAATCTTGCCGTGGGTGTGTAGCCAGAGCGCAATAACAACGAGGGCCTCGACAGTGCCGCTGGACGAGGTGATGAAGGTCTGGGGGTCGGCGAGGAGGGTGGTGAGCAGGGTGTGGTGAGAAGGGAACAGGGCGAGGTTGGGGAGAAGGTGGTGGGCGTCAAAGACGTCACTCGAGAACATCCAGTACGCGAGAAGAGAGACGTAGCCACCAGTCGAGAGGGCGTCAATCGCCGAGTCTTCTAGCGGATTGGTGTTGACGGGGCCTGTGAGTGTGGTTGTTACTTGGTCCTTGGAGAGTTTGGCAAGGCCGAGATCATCGGCGAGGCCCTGTAGAACAAAAAACAGTTAACAGAACGAAACATGCCAAGTTGGATAGAGAGAAACTTACAGCGAGCTGGCCGATGAGGTCGTCGCGCTCCTTGAGCTCCTCGACCTCGTTGTACGCGCGCATCATCGTGGGCCGCCCAGGCACAATCTTTTCTGGGTACGTGTACTCGAGGAGTCTGCTTGCCCACTCGAGCTCGTTGGAATTGACATAGGCATCAATACAGCAGGTAATAAAGGCACGCAGCAGGCGCTGGACAACTTCTTGGTCGCTGACGTCGGCTGTGTCTGCTTCAGGATCTGGTGCCGACTCGGTGGCCGCTGACTTGGTTGGCAGCGTGGCAATGACGGCGCTTGATTTGCGTGTGGGCAGAGGTGGGCGCTTCTGGCCCGACAGCGAACGAACTAGAGATATAACAGCAGCCGTTGCTTCAGGGGACCCGGCGGCATATGCTCTGCGAACGGTGTCAAGCGTCGTCTGGACAAAGCGCGAGGGGGCTTTGACTTTAAGGCGCTTGTGCAGAACGGAGAGCATACCACACAGCGTGACAAACTGCTTCGTCTTCTTCTCTGCGTCTTCGTCCTCGCTAATCTTGTCCAGCGCCTCGAGGACCTTGAGGATCACTTCACGCGGATTTCCTAGGCGCGCCACCGTATCCAGACACTCTTGGCTGTCCTCGAGCCTAATGAGCATCTCCACAAGGTCCCAACCAATCTCGGACGTAAGTTCGACATCCGACTTGAGGATATCGTGGACTTCTGGCAGGATGGACGGCTGCTGAGTGAGAGACATCTCGAGGAGTGTGAGGTACGTGGCGGTATCTGTGGCGGGGGGCTTGTTCTGCTGGAGCTTCTGTATGAGCGAGTCCTTGTCCTCTACAGGTTTCGAGTCTTCCGCCATGATGGAGATGTGGTAGTTGAGTTAACGAGTGACGATATCAGGTGATGATGATGATGGTGAAGAAGGAAGAAAAGCAAGAAAAAACGTGGCAGCCGAGAAAGTTGGCAGTTCGTGCAGCTGGCGGTTTCGTCACCACAACGCCACGGTTGCCCATTTTGCCCCGCATTCACCCCTCCAGCCAACGGCCGGGCCGCAGCCTCGTTTCGCTTAGAGCATTAAAAGCAACAAGCAAAGTTACAAAAATAGAAACACTAGCAAAATAGTATGAATGACGTGGAAAGAATACATTAGATTGTTCTTACATACATGATGATATACACCCGGGTTAACAGAAAACGCCAATACCAAACGAAAAAAGGCATCCGAGGCCACCCATATAATTCATACAGAGAATGTAACGCCATTCAAAAGCCATAATATGTCAAACAAAAAGTAAACCTCTTCCTCCCTCTCTAAATGCGAGACGCGGGCCTGCTAGGCTTGCTCGGGTTTCTCGTCCACGACCACTTGCCCTTCTCCTTGAAGTTGCCTGCCATGGCCTCCGATACAGAAATCGGCTCTTCCATAGGCACCAGCTTAGGGTGTGCTCTATAAGGTAACACCTTGTTCAATGACACCGGCTTAGCCTTGGGCGGCTCCGTCTTCTTGACACTGTTGATGAGTTCCTTAAGCTCAGCGTCAGTGCTGACAATTTGTGCCTTGAGCACATTGATACTGTCGCCAGACTCTTCCTGGATAGACTGCATGACGGGCACCCGCGGCGTGTACTCAATCTTGTCCAACTGTGGTGCGTGCTTCGCAGGGACAATCGAGTCATCCAGCTGTGCTTCCACGCCCTTGGAGAGCAACAAATTAATATCCAAGCTCTCACCGGGTGGGATCGCATTGGGGTGGCTTGGCGTGATGCACTCCATGTCGACTTCCTTACGCAGAACGTGGTCGATATCAATGGCAGAAAAGTACGCGCACGATTGCGGCAGGTCGTCAATGCCCATCTGCTGGGCAAACATAGCGCGTGTCCAGACGTTGGCTACCTGTAGTGCCATGGCGGCGCGGTACTTGTCCTCGTTCTTAACAAGGTAGCGAATCTCATCGTGCACTGTAATGGACAGGCGCATGTCAATGTTGAAGCGGCGGGCCAGGTAATCCATCGACACAATCAACAGATGCAAGTAGTCGACACCCGATGACTGGATGGCCCAGTTAATGCGCGACGTCAGGTAGCTTCCCTTGTTGAGGAACCGGCCCATGAGCGCTTCCGTGATACCAGCTCCCAAGACGGGTGTTCGTGGGCGCTCCTGCTCGGCAAACTCCTCCAGCTTGTTAAACACAAACGATTCGGTACCACCACGCCAAAAGGGGCGCTTGTGGATGGTCTTGCGGTTTGTCTTGGTACCCTTTGTGCTGCCGTAGAGCTTAGAGGCTACTTCAAGCGTCTTCTTCTCTGACAGCTCTGGGTTAAACTGCCGCAGTAGGGTCGCCGCAAACTTGAGACCAGCTCCGTAGATGCGGCCATAGTTGAACACCTTGGCGTCGTTTCTGGTGATGCCGAGGATCGACGCCGTGCGCGAGTGCAGATCAGTGCCCGCTGCCTTGGTTCCTTCTAGCGTCATAAAGCCCACAGCGTTGCCGCCATGCAGCTTAAATGTTGCGTCGCCTACGAGACTGGCAATCCAGAGCTCCTGTGAATCCACATCGGCTCCCACAAAGCAGTAGCCTTCAGGTGCTTGGACCATGGCCTTGAGCTCCGAGCCCACGCGGTTCTTCTTAGCGTTGCTGGCCGTCAGCCATGTGTTTTCTACCGCGCGTCGCGTAATTGTTCCCATAGGAATGAGCTGTGGTAGAATAAATCCTGGTTCGTCCTTGGGGTTTCCGTTGCGTTGAGAGCTGGGCAGGTCTGTTTCGTGGACGACAAGTTGCGATGTGATTCTGTCTCGCGCGCTAATCCAGTACGAACACGACGCATTCATTTCCAGGGCCTCCTTTGCATAGGAATACTCTGAGGAAAGGGTGCCGTTTTCGAAATACGAGAGGTAGCCCTTGGCCATTGGGTTGGCGCAGCGAGATGTCGGTCCATCCTTGTGGGGAAGCTTGAAGTACAGGTGCTGATAATCGTCTCGTAATTTCGAATCCGTCTCGTCAAACTCGCATGCAATCATCTGCTTGGAGAGATATTTTTCTCTGTTTGCACGTTCTGTTCTAAACGTCCAGCCGTACTTGTCGGACCAGAACAGCGGGTTGCCATCCCAGGCCAGCCTGAGCAGCAACGGTGCAATGCGTGTACGCACCGTAATGTTTATGGGAGAGTCGTTTTTCGGGAATAGGTCCTTGTACCACTGTGGCATGCCAGGCTTCTTTTGACGAGCGGCCGGTCGAGGAGGGTCACCCTTCTTCTTGCCCTTAACCATGCGAATCTCCTGTCCGGACCAGTCCAGCTGCTTCATCCAGGGATCCGTGCTCCATTTCGCTTCGTCGTCTTTAATCTCAACAGCCTTTTCTGCGAGTGCAACAAGTCGCTCCTGGACGGCCTCGTTGAGCTTTTGGTAGACTGCTTCAGCATTCGTAATATATTTTTGCCATTCCTTGTTGACGGGTAGGATAACTGATGCTAGATGGCGGAGGGCGGCAAAGCTAACTGGGTGTGGGCATGTTTCCAGGAAGCTAGGGAGGATAATTTGGTATATGCGATGGGTAATGGCGACATCGGCGGCACAGTAGTCAAGCAGTTGGTCGAGCTTGGCTACGATTTCGTCTCGGTTAAGGTCGGAAAAGTAGTCGCGATCTGTCTTGTCAATGGTGACGTTGAGATGAAACTTGGCGACATCGCGCAGAGAATTGACGGAGCTTCGTTCGACCCAGAGCTCCTCCTCTTCATGCATGCTTCTATTGCTGAGCATTTCGGCAAGCTGGTTATCGGGGGTCTCGGTAGCAACGCGCTCACGCATCTCTCTGTTCTTCTTGTGCTTCATCCATGTTGGGCGTTGCTGTGAGCACATGCCGTTTACCGCAACATGGAGAGACATGGTATCGATAAAGGCGGTGCGCGACTGCTTTAGGTCGTATTCTTCAAGAGTTCGAGCACGGTCATATCCAACATTGTGGCCAACTACAAGGCGGTCGACGGTGGCATCACCAAGAGGAATAAGATGGGTATGGCTGTCGGATTCTCCCAGCAACCACGGCGAGATCCATGCATACCAAGCAGTAGGGCTGGCGGCGCATGCCATGACGGAGAATGGGCTTTCTTTCCACATGGATTCGGTATCAAAGCAAATCATCTCCTCATTGGGGGCGTCAACCTGCTCGGAGCGGCCGTCGGGATAGTACTTTGTCCAGCCGCTCCGGCGCACCCATTTCCTGGGCTTTGGAGGAACGCTGGCGCGCGCAAACTTTTTGGCATTGGACAGGTGAGGCTCGGCACAGTCCATGCCAAGCTTATAAAAGTGTTCGTCAAGAGTGCGACCTTGGAGCTGGGGAAGGTCAAAGGCGATGGGAGCTGATGTGTCGGAGTTTTTGCCATAGAGGTCGTGTCGTGTGAGGTGGTCCTTGGAGAGCTGGACAAGGTGTTGAGGGGTAGGTTTAGATCCATCGGGGAAGATTTGGTTGAAGACATGGGCGCTAAGCTGCTGCACACCGATTTCGTTGTATCGGGCTTGTGAGGGGACTGGCGCAAAGGTTAGCATGCCCCGGAGCAAAGAGAGCTAGGCTAATACACACGAGCTAGCGACTGTTTGGATGTGGCGGCACCATCGTTTGCGACTGCGGCCAGCCATCTTACACGAGCTGGGCCAGTCAGAGGCCGCGAAGCCGACGGTCTAGCAACGTGTAAGAGCTGGGCCGGCGCGAGTCGATGTGCGCGACCAGCGGCAGGATTGAAGGCCCTCATGAATGCTGCATGTTCTGTTTGCGATGTGTTTGTTGATGGAAGGAGAGGCGGTGCTATATTATTGCGCAGTAGAAAAGATACAGATGCTAATAAGAAGCAACAAGAGAAAGAGAGGGGAAGCGAAAGGAGGGGAAGGGAGAGGAGACGGGGAGGAGGTGGATGATGATGTTAGCGTGGTGTTTTGGCGGGGAGGCGAAGAAGGAAGGAAAAAAGGGAGGGAGAGTGACGCTGCAGGCGCTACAAGGGCCCGATACAGTGGGATTTAGTGGGGGGGGGATTAGAGTGGTGCTGTAGGGGGCGTAGGGGGTGTGTTTTTCGGTGGGTGTAGTTGGAGGGGATAGATAATTATAGGGAATTGCAATATAATTTTCAAGCACACTACACTATCGACATTGTGGTATTTATATACTCAAAATACATCGTTGGGCTTTTATATTGGGTAGTAAACGCGAGTTGAAGTCGTGGACGCGTCTTCACGTCTCGCGTTAATTGGTGTAACTAAGTGTGTTGTCTGTACATATGTTGTAGTTGTTCATTAGCCAATCGTCAACTAAGTAGGCTTTCTTAACCGGCAAAAAATTAGGATTGATATAGCTACTCATTGTATACACCTTTTATTTATCTCAATATATTTAAAACACAACATCTTTCCTTCAGCAGCAATCGCCAAGCACCTTTATCTTTTGCAGGTGTTCAGCTCTTCAGTTACACTACAGCCAGTAGGGTAGGTACAGTACCTGGTGTGCTGCCTGCGCGCGCAGTGCCTGTTTAGCGGGGCTGACCATTTTAGCCACCCACGCCACAACACCGCGGTCACAGTCCGTGATGTGGCGTGGGTATTTTGAACGTCTGCCATACAAACGCCCTCCATTCACCACGACATCTCGCCTCAACCACGCTCCCGTAGCCCAGGGACACGCACATATACTCTACGAATAGCTTCTACTTACTAGAATAGCCCGCCATAACCATACCAAAACCCTCCACCGGCGCCCTCATGACCGTCTCCCACGCCGACATCGCCACCCGCCCTAACGACTCCTTCACCACATAAAACCCTGAGGCACCCGCCGCCTCGTAACCCCCCGCCGCCCAGCATGGAGTCCTCACCCTTTCTTCTCGTCGAGGATGAGGACGACGTGCCCCTTTCCTCCATACCTCAAGAGACCAGCGAGGAAATCGTCCACATAGACGAGCACAATACCCGCAGCCGCTCGCCGCGAAGAATGAGCCGCCGGTCACAAACTCAAACACACACTCGCCACACCCGCGCCCAAGTCCATGACCTCACGACTTCCTCACCATCACCGCCTACACAACCAAACTCTCCCATACAATTAAGCGCATGGCCCCCACATAGAAGTTCCCGCCAAGCCGCCGACAACCACAACCCCGACAGCCCTAGGCACCGCTCTCCGAGTCTCTTTGTTCGCTCCGATCCCTCGAGTCCTGTACCTGAGGCGCAAAGCTCCCGTAATTACTACCACAGCAGAGCATGGTCTCCGACAGACCAGCTTCTTCAGCGTCCCGAGCCTGCCGACCAAGAATTCGTCGACCTCATAGCCGAACAAGACTTCTCCTCTCCCTCCGCATATCCACCCTTCACTGCCTCCAACGATACCGTTATTTCTCCAACCCAAACCGAACAGCCGCAGAATACACTGCCTCCAAGGCTTCTCACAAGGACAACAACCGACCTCACAGCCGTAAGCGCCGGTGCCAGCGAAACACCATTCATCTCCCAAGATACCGCCGTAACCTCGTTTTCCGACAGCATGACACGGACAAACTCATTATCACAACCAGCAAAAAGAGTCAGACACGCCCAATCCCCCAGCGTAACACATCACCGCAGTAGCTCTCTTGACGACTTATTCGGCAGCCCAAAACGTGAACATCCGTCCAAGGGAAAAGATATTGACCCCGACCTGCCCACCGTTGATCTGACGGAAGCCACGCAAGTCCCCAAGGACCTGCTGAAACCCATTGTCGACAAGCGCACCAAGTTGGCCGCTTTTCAATGCGTTATTTGCATGGACGACGTTACTACGCTAACAGTGACCCATTGCGGTATGTTTTTGGCTTGTATATACATCTGCATCCATTTTCTAACATGTAGTCACCAAAAAGGCCATCTCTTCTGCGCCGAGTGCCTCCATTCGTCCCTCCACGTTGATACCACGCGAGGCAAATGCCCAATGTGCCGCGCCAAAATTGACATGAAGGAACGCAACGCATTCACGTCCAAGACTAAAGGATACTGGCCGCTGGAGTTGAAACTCATGACCACGACAAGAAAAGGCAAACGTAAGCTGGATGAAATCTCATAGAAGGTGGTAGAAACGATACGGAGCTAGGAGTTTTTGGCGTTTTTCTTGTTTTTTGAGCATACTGAGCGCGTACAAGCGCATGCATTTGGCTAGCACTACTCTATTTCCTGTCTACTTAGCGGGCGCTTGCTAGGGCTAGCATTTTCAGTTTTTACGCTGTACATTTTTCACGTTCAATCTCTTTTGCATTGCTCTTTCGTGGTATTACTGCGAATTGCTTGGCCTCTGAAACCGTTGTTTACTGTTGCTCGCGGAGAGGCGAGGCAGCCGTCGTAGCCTTGTTCGACTAACCGCTTACTATACCAGGATCATCAACAGCCTCGCGCACAAACCTCAGCCTAGGCAACACCACGCATCACGAGGACACGCCTTTAATTATACGGATACCGAGTGCGAAAATACGACTTTTTAATGTATTTAGAAGCAAAAAGAAGACGAAAGAAAACAACACGCATTCTACCCAAGGCAATTATAAGATAAAACAAAAGATAAAACCAAGGATTATCCTCCACTAACAAGCAGTAAACGCCGGTGAGATACTGTAATTCCCCATATGCTTGTTACTACATCTCAATGAAACCATCCGTTTGACTTTTTAGGCTCGGGAAGCGCCGCGTCGTCGTGCTAAAAGTGAATACACATGTTAGTGTCCATGTTGTAAAGCAAGAAAATTTTCACGTGCCGCCGTAGCTGCTAACACATAAACATACCTCGAGGAAACCTGTTGCGGCAATGACGACAACCATGGCGTCTGCCAGCTCTTCCACCTTTTCTTCTAGGCCTTGGTCCGCCTGACCTGCGCCAATGCCAGCACTGCGCTTCAGCGTATGTGTCACCAGCATGCGGTGGTCGCTGAGGAACTTGCGGCCCTGCGCCACGTTGTTGCTGCCGCGGCTGAGTACCGCAGCGCCAACAATGCGAGTCACCTTGGCCAGCAGGTCGTAGTGCTGCTCCAACGCGTGGCTGTTGCTCTCGTCTACCTGGAGCTCCGGGTCCACGGAGAACAGGTTGGACAGCTCAATCGACCGGAACAGGTTGGCGTACAATATGTACTTGGAGCCGGGGCGTGTCTGCGCAATCTGCAGTATGAGAGCCAGCAGCGCGTTGAGGTGATTCTGCTGCTCCTTTGTGCCAGTGGCAAACACTCGGTGCCACTCCTCCATAATGTCGCGGATCGAGTCTACAAGGATGCCGATAAAGTTGAGTCTGTTGAGTGTTTCCACAACGTGGTAGTCGTTTTGCGCCTTGCCCATGTCAATCAGCGCATTGAGCAGGATGTATGCGGCCGCCTGACAAGTAGGATCGCCAGAGTGTGCGTCATCGCAGACAACGTTAATCAGACGCTCACCGTAGACTTGGACCGCCTTGATGGCCTTGACGGTGGATGTCGACGAGCCGTCCTCGGACACTCCCGTTAGGTAGCGGTAGCAAATCTCGTAGTAGATGGTGCGCAGCTCAGACGAGCCTGCCCACGAACCAACGGCCTGCAAGCAAATCTGGAACAACTGGAAAAGCTTGTCGCCAATGAGGTTGCCAATGGCTTTGCTCTGCTTGTCCTCTGTATCGGTTGCCTTGAGATCCAGGTGAGAAAGCATAATGCGCGCCAGCTTGGCTAGGTCGAGCGCCTCGGTGGGACGGTCAACGGCAAAGGCCTCGAGACTGGGTAAGATGGCCTGGAGACCTTGCAAGAAGAAGGAAGTCTTGGCCGTGCCCTCGTAGTCGTTGCATTCCACCATGACCAGCAAGAGTCGGCTCCATGACCGGAGGACCTTGAGGCTCTTGGCGCTGATTTGCTGTTGGCGATCCCATGATAGAATATGGTCGATAATAGACGTCTCCTCACGTTCCAGAGCGACAAGCTCTTGGACAGAAATCACCATGCCTGGCGTCTGCATCTCGCCGCGTTTCAGCAGAAGAATCTGCTTCACTCGCTCCACGTCACGGACTCCGATCTGGTCCGCGTCTGTTGTAACGCACGTCGACAAGTCTAAATCGCTGTAGAACTGTAATGGAGGCAAAGCTGTATCCCAAAGGCCATCCGGTAGTAAGAAGTCGTAGAGATCAAATATTGTCGGTGTTTGGATGCGCTCATTGCCTTCGCCAATGATTTGGCCATTGAGGGCCTCAAAGATTCTTCGCTTGATGCTGGGCATGCGACCCTGTGAGATCATGCACAGTTCCATGGCGAAATATTCCAATGTAGTGCTTCGCAATGCCAAAAAGTCCACAAGTGTTGAGGCACCATCTGTTACTGGGAAGTATGGTGCGCCAAAGTGCTGGCCCTCCCACGGGAGATCCGGTTGGATGACGGTCTCGCGCATCAGTAAGTGGAACAGGAACTCATTGTCTCTAAGCTCCTCAATGACAATTCTGGCAGAGAGCGGAGAGCTCCAGAGGATTTGGAGAATGGCCATGATGCGTGACTTGAGCGACACTAACCATTGACGCATTCCCTGCACATCGTTCGACGGGAGCTCGAGCAAAAGTCGCAAAATTCCATGGAATAACGAGGTGCGCGATGCAAAGGCTCCCGAAGGGTCTACAGAGAGTGAATCGACACCGCACTTGAAGCCGAGAAGTAGGTGTGCAATTGTTGGTTGGCGTGGTGTGGCCTGTAGGCATTCGTACAGGAAATCTAGGATATATCGCTTCGTTATGTAGCTAGCGGACTCCGCTTCTCGGTTTGGCTCTAATGGTGCCATCAACTCGTACATGAAGGATCTGGAGATAGCTTCGTGCTCGCCGTTTGCTTCCATAGCAACAACGGCCTTGTTTCGTCGCGCGTTCTGAGGAGAGCCAGACCATTGAGCTGTGATTTTGGGTGATGCTGCCATCTTTTCAAGAAGCTTTAATGATGACAGAGTGAGGTCTGGGTGGCCCATGCCGCAGAAGGTACCTAGGTCCACTACCAGGTTCAATCTGGTAACCAAGCCGTCCTCAAACGACGCATAGCCGGCATTGGCGACAGGCTGGCGATGCTGGTTTGGGTTCATCTTGATCAAGGGGCGGACAAGGTCCTTATATGTAGCCTCTAGGTCCAATACCTTCGAAACTACCTCCACTGCTCTCAGGATACCGAGGATGAGGGGGGAGTCCGGGGATGCGTTTCCAATCTCCACAGGATCGTGGTGAATGGCAGCGAATAAAGCAGTCATCACCTTGTCGTTGTACATCCATTCCATGATGCGAGCAAACGGATGCTTCTTGACATACGTGGCCAAGTCTGTTGCCGCAATGACCTTGTCGATGTTAATGTTTGTTTGGTTCGCCAGCACGATCAAATCTTCATTGAATGTAGACAGGCATGTAAGAATGAAATCCAAACATGTTAGTCGCAGCACGCGTGTCTGGTGAACATCCTGGAGATCCTGCAATTTGGTAGCAAACACGAGGCCGATAACGAAGTCGACGTATACTTCTACGCCTGGGTTTCTCGATGTCGATCCAAGGTTATCGGAGAAGGGGAGAGAGTCGTTTAGGGAGCTGGTATCCTTGGCTGGCGCGACAAGAGCTAGGAGGAACTGAATAAACGACTCTGGGTCTTCAAAGCCGTTGCTCATCTCGTCCAGGATACGGTCCATGGATATGACAGGCTGAGCCTGGACTTGGCGCTGAGGCCCAGCTGCGGACGCAGCATACCCTCCTGTAATCCAGTTCTCGAGGCAAGCCCACATGAGGTGGCTTTCTTGCAAGGACTTGCGTGTCATCAATGCCTTGAAGGCTGTAAAGACACAGCCTCGTAAACGAGAAGGAATGGGGCTGCTTGCTAGCTCAAAGAGCATGTCTACAAGATTGTAGCTGCCATTTTGTAGTAGGTATACTCTCGTAGTCTCGCTTTCGCCTGCTAGCTTGCTCATGAGCCGGAGGTAGCATTCCAGCATCATAGCGGATTCCGGCTCAGTCTCCACAAGCTCGGTCGTTGGTTTATTCGCGCGATATCTGGTGGAGGGAGCCGGCGTAGGCTTGTGGCGAATTTTCTCTGAGAAAAACTCCAACTCCTTGAAGATTTGGGTCCATGTAAGCGATTGGGCTCGGCGCATCTTTCCCGACGAGTGATGTCCCTCATCAAGGAGGAATTCGTGCGCAGCCGTCGCGCATTCGTCGTTTTCAGATATCGACTGAAGCATTTCGCAGAACGCGGCAACTAGAGGCGTAGAGGCCCGTCGAGAGGCCCAGTGCATGAAACCTGCCAAGTTGCTGTCCGGATCGGACCAGAAGCTAGATGCCGCCGTCGGCCTACCCTCATAAGCGTAGGCAATAATCAACAAGAAGCGCTCCAAGTCCAAGTCTTGTTCGTGAGCCTGGCTGAGTTGGCGTTGCTCATCTTCTTCGACGCGAAGCTTGCGGAGGACATCGGGGAGATTGGAGATAAAGGCATCGACAAATACCTCCAACTGTGACATGAGAGAGGTTTGGAAGAAGTCGGAGAATTGGACAGACTCTGCAGCAAGGGGAGTTGACTTGCGTTGAAGCCATTTTCGCATAGCCGTTCGTACAGAGTCATGCCAGTCTGGAGGGCGCACATCGCCAGCTATCGACAACAAAAAGTCAAAGGCGCCATCCTTAAGCGATTCTATGAATCGTTTTGATCGTGCGCGGTCTTCTTCGTCTAGATCGGTGCCTGGTGGAATCGCTGACTCTGGAGGGTCGTCCAAGTAAAAGCCACTATATTCAGCCAACCACCATGCTCTGAATGCAGCCTGCAAATGCGGTAGCGGCCATGTCGGCTCGTCGTTGCTTGGAAACAGTTTTTGGTTGATTTGTCTGACGGTAATGAGATCGTAGCCGCCCTCGGTTGAGCCGAATACAGAGATGTATGATCCCAAAGCGGGTATTAAGTGAACTGTTTCATCCTAGTCAGTAGTGTTTCTAAATAGCATGTCGGGGTCATCATGCCATACCTAATAGTGTGTCGTATTTGTCCACTTTCTTCAACATGTTGACAAAGTCAAGGAAATCATTGTCTTTGACTTGTCGTTTTTCGATGCTACAAGATAGGATAATGCCGAGCAATTCGTGCTGCTGGATAAGGCTGACACGAGCAAACTCAATTGTTTCCATTTCCTCTTGTCGCTCACCAGCTTTGCTCTGGTTGAGTGCTTGGGCGGCGGCGATCTTGTCGCCCAGCTTCTGCAACCATTGCCGAATGTCGGTCATGGAAGCAATACAGCGAGCACTGTATCGTTTGGCGCCAACGGCTGTCTGGAGCAATCGTGTTTCGACGTAGACTTTCATGCCATCCAACGCGGTAGAGTCCTCATCTTCATCTTCGTCGTCCTCGGCGTTTAAAAGAAGGCGCAGGATATCGAGGGCGTATTTGCGCTGTTGATGGAAGCGAATTATTGCGCATTCGAGCAGAGATCGACCGAGCATAGAAGGATCATCTTGTGAATCGAGGAGCAATCGTGCGGCGCGCAGTTCGTCGAGGTCAAGCTCGTCCGACAGGATAGTAGCGTCTTGCTGAAATTTGGTGTTGACGGAGAATTCCTCGCCATCGATAGTGATTTTACCTAGAAGAGCATAATTAGATTATTGCCTGTATGCACAATTGCTACAATCTGCCGTTTCCTACCTGTTTTCAACGCGTTGCGACTTTGTTCATTCTTCTGTGGTCTGGTCCAGAAGAGCTCAAGCTCTTGTTCAAAGATCTGCAAGAGAGCCTCATTTTCGATGATACCCTCTCCAAAACCCTTATTCAACGCCACCAGGTCCCTGTGCAGGGCCTGCAGCGCATCCAATGTCGTAAGTTCGGCCATGCTGTGGGCGGTTGGCGTCTAGTACATGATGGGGAGAACTTGGTGTCGCAGCGAAGATGACCAGCAGTTCTGCGGCGGTCCGGATGTAATTCGAGGGTCTGCGACGCGTCGGAGAAGAAAAGCCGCGTGTTTCTTCTCGAATAATTTTATTGTGAAGCTCGGCTGGCGAGGATGGACTAGATGCGGGCAGCACGAGAGCTACTGGGCGAATATGAGCTTTTGCTGGTAAACAAGTTCCAGGGCGGTGAGGTGATTCTGCCGCGTGTCCCTGCCTCGCCTGTGCAGGTGCTCGACAGCTGGTGGAGCTGCCTGGAGCTTCGCGACAACCAAGTGCCAGCTGCTGCCTTGACTGTCGTCTGTGAATTGCCACTGCTTCTGCAAACAATAAAAACAGTAGACGCCATCTGCGTGTGGATGGCGATGCTCTCTACTTGCTGTACCGATATTTTGCACTTATTCTTCTAGCACAGCGGCTCTTTTCATTTCATTCATTACACCCCAGCGGCATATCCCCATTCGTTTGACGCCCCTTGGCTTTACGGCGATGAGCTAGCATTTATACCCGGATTTACTACCCAGAAACTCGTTGGAGTCTAACTCAACATGGCACCACCTCGCGTTGCAAAGGATTCGCTCAAGAGTCTGAGTGGTAATTTTACAAAAAAAAATTACGATGGCTGAGGCACAACTAACACGCGATTAGACAAGCTTCAGAGCATGGCTTCGGGAGACACCCTCAGCACTGAGCCAATTGAAAGTGAGCCATAGTTTGGACGCGCTTTCGAAAGCACAGGGCTAATTAATTTCAGGTTTACTGCTTGTTCTAAAGAACCCAGTACAGATTGCTGAATTGTTAGTCCTCATCACGTTCGCCAATGATATACCACTAACATGCCACCTCGCAGCTCAAAATTTGACAGTAGCACATTCCATTCGTTTTTTGAGAATCTCTTTCGTTTTGTTCTCGCATCAAAGCGAGACTTTCTGAGCAAACCCAAGTCCAAAACACCACTGACTCGTCTTGCCAAAGCCGGAGAACTGGTCAAAATATCTATTGGGATTGGCATCCCCCGCATTCGACAAAAGACCTTGTCAGCCGTTGTTGACCACATTACCCAGGTGATTGCTGGTCCCAATGGAACTCAAATTGAACCCATTGTCGACAACTATGGCAAAGCATTGTCGGACTTGGTAGCCTTCCCCAGCCATGTAGAGCATCTAGCCACTTCCGAAAAAGCTCGTTGGCATGCCTGCGTTGATTTCTTCATTAGCATTGTACATCGTGCTATGCCCAACGATGCATGTGAATTGGATTCTATGCGGCAAGATTCTCCTCGACTTGGAACGCCAGCTGCGCGATCGATGACTGTGCGAGCTTCGTCTGTCCTGTATTCAGCGCGAGGTGCTGATGTTGCCCGAAAAGGCCAGTTAGACGACGCTTTGGACGCTCTTCAAAATCTCAGCATTGGATCAAACGCACCGATACTAGACCGACTTGATGAGCTAACAGAGGTTGGACTACGCGTTTTGAGCAGTGGCAACGGGTCACTCCACTCTAAGATCGCAAGTTTTGCTATTATCAACAACTTGCTGACAGTTTCAAAATGTGAGAAGGAGGAAGAGACACGCACATTGACCCAGTCTCTAGTACCCATAATTGCATATTGGTGGCGATCCGACAAGTCAGACCGTGATTCTGCCTTAGCCGGCCTTCGGCAAGAAATTCTGCGGACAGTCATGCTAATAGGTCCGCCCTTGGAATATATAGTGTCTAAAATGGTCGATAAAGATACTGCTGATGAACTGGACCAGCTCCTCGACGGTCTTTGGTTGGAATACTCGCGGCGAGAAACGAAGCTCCAGCTTGAGGATATAACATTCTCACGGTCTGAACTTATGAATGGTTACTTGCAGCATAAATTCTTTGGTCTTCAAACACACAGTGCAGAAGCTGAACAAAGGTGGATGCTTGTTAAAAGCATCGCAGCTCTTGAAAATATTCTTTCTAGCTACAGTCTTAAGACCCAGGAGCATGCCAGGAGCGATCCAGACGCAAGAAGAAAGAAGCGCCGAACAGAATTGCACGAAAGCCGGATTTTGAAGCGGTTTAACGCAGGGGATAAAAACATACAGTTCGCCGCCTTACATGTGCTTCCGTTCATTTTGAACTGCCAGGATCTTTTACAGGACGATCTCAACGAGCTACTCCCATTGCTACTGGAGCTCACAAACCATAAAGATTCGCTTGTTGTTTCTTGGTCTCTTATCGCACTCGCATGGTATGTTCAATGAATTACGTATGAAAGCTCCATCTGACATTTCCCCTAGCTGTGCACTCTCATATCACACTCGAACCGAAGCCAGACATTGGAAACAATCTTGGCTAATTGCCACAAGAACTGTGAGCATTTCGGGAACATCTAGAGCGGCTTGCTTTTTGTTGCACGCAATTGCGGATCGAAACATCTTTCCGCATCATGAAATTGCAGAAGACGTCAATGGTATCGTTGCCGCTGCTGATGTTAAAGGCCCTGCTGTTCTTTGCGATACCTCTATCGCACTTATGTCCAAATTTATGCTTCTCCGGAATATGAAACTCCCGAATGCTAGCCATGCAACCTCGAATCATATTATTAGATGGCTCTTTCTACGTTGGAAACCTGGTGAGTGCAGCAACGAGCTATGGCTGGTCATTGACTAACACCCGACAGCTGAAATCTCCCGAGGACCGCCTGCATCGTCACTGGATATCATAAACTTGCTTTGCAACTGCTGTGGAAGCCAGCGTTTTATCCCGGATGAGCAGGCTTTGGTGCCCGGTGGCTCGCTATTCGCATTGTATACATCATTGAAGTCTACCGCAAAATTTGAAAGCTATCTTCTGCTCCTTGAGGATCCCGTCCGTGTTACGACGGGCTCAAAGACAATTCAACAGGATCCCGATAGAACCACTACCAGCAGTATAACTGACAGGACCAGTTCATATGCGACAAAGAAACTGATTCTTGAGCTTCTCTATCCCAAGCTAGAAGAATTCGGAGGCATATGCACTGAATGGACAGTTTCAGCTGGCAAGGGAAACCTTTCAATACCACTTGAAATCTTCGATAATTTTCTCTCAGCACTTCTAGTGGGAGCCCTTATGCTTCCTCATGTTCTGGATATCAATTCATCGCAGGCTACCAGTTTAGAATCTGTCATCCATGACCTGGCTGACCGTGGTATAACGGTAGCAATATCGTCAAGCGAATCAGAAACCTTTATTCATCATTTACTGACACATGTGGCACCGTTTATGCCGCGTATGAATAGTTTATCTATTGAAACTCTTCAAGCTGTTCATCATGGCCTCTATAAGCTACTGATGAAGCTGTCATTTTGTATGGAGGGTGGAAAAATCAGCCAGGACTTCAGTGATATCCAGGATCAAATGGACTTAGACGACGAGTTCCAGTCTCAGAGTAGTAGAACTACAACGGTTTCTACTCCGAATACATCCCCTCGCACCCTGGTACAAGCTCAAACAAGCTATGTATGTTTCTATTCGGATATACAAAGTCGTTTTGGCTTACTCCGAGAATTTCATGACGATGAATCACAGACTGGCTTAGTGCCGGCTCTATTCGTGGAAAAGCTCACAGACCTGTCAAATGATGAACTGCTAGCAAAGTATGCGTTTGTTATTGAGCTATTTTCGTCCGATCTGGTTGCATCTGTGGACACTGCATTGCTCATCATTCAACGAATTGGTAGCATTCTCTCCAAATATGCCTATACTTGTTGCGAGATATGTCTGGTCACCTGCATTGATATTATAGACGGACTCACATCAATCTGGCGACAAGATGATGATAATTTGAACGGCGCCGTTGGGGATCTCTACTATTATTTGGTAAACCAGGCCCTTCCATCCAACATGCTATCACCAAGAGCTCTCATATCACTTTCATCGCTTCTATTCACATTGCTGAAGGTATATCCGGGTTATGGAACCCAGCTTGAATTGGATTCTTGCCGAACAACCCTATTTCGTATTATGGAAAATACACGCATTGAGGTCAAATACTTCATTGCTGATCGTATAGCAGACCTTTTCGATCTGTTTATATTGGCCGTACATGACGAAGTATTTGTTGATGTTCTGGATCGACTTCCATCTGACCCGGCGCAGACATCTGGAATCGCTTATCGTCTACTTGTCTTGACCCGCTTGGCATGCAAGTGGCCTACTCTACTACGGAGATGTGTATACCACATTTTCGAAACCCCTGGAAAGGTGCAAAACGCCAACAAACACGCTGAACGCTGTATGAACGAGATATCAAAGCAGCTAAAACTTGACTCCGCTCGAGACTTATTTAAACTCTTCTCTCGCCAATTGCTGTATACTTGGATGGAAAATGATAGCCCCGAGAGCATACCGTATTTCGTCTTCGACTTTGACGATGTATCGGATTTGCTTAAATCCGCAGAGGCAGATGCTGTTGGTTTGGCTTACATGCGAAATCAGGACACGACACAGCGGTTTATATCAGAGGCAACCGGGAAAAGTAAAGTTGATTCCCTTAAAAACAACTTTGCAACCTCTCTGGCTTTCTCTATGGTCCAGATAGCATCTACGGCAGCCGGAAAAGACCATGGGGAGCTAGCTATTACAAAGGCACTGGGGAACAAAGCTTACACTGAAGCAGTTTACGTCAATTTTGTCGACATTGTTTTTGCATTTCTCAGTCTCATCGATCAAGACGACTCAGTCGAGAAAGTGCTCGCAAAATTTCCTGACCTGGTGTACGCTAGTAGGAACTTGAAGGACATTCTGGCAATCTCACATTCTCCGTCTCAGCTCCCACCTAATCAACAGCCAGTCTTTCGCGCCAAGTATGTCATATACGAGCTGTCACGCCTCTGTCAAGGTACGCAGTTCCAGCTTCATGAACTATGGACCCCATCGCTTGTCGTATCTGTAGTTCGAAAGCTGCTTAATGCTGTGCGTCCAGCTTTAGGATCATTACACGCCTGTTCAATTCTGCGGAAGATTCGTCTCGTCGTTGCACTCGCAGGAAAAGTCGTTTTTGACTCATATTGTCTCGAAATGCTGTTGACTACTACCAGAACGTTTGTTGTTGACGGCGAGTGCGCAGATGATGCACTCGGGCTCAGCCAATATCTGCTTCTTGGGGGACAGATGCATCTTGAGAAACACCCATCTCTCTTGGCTGGCTACAGCCTCTCTACACTTGTTTCCCTTCGCGTCTTTCTCGAATCTAGCCAATCTTCCACAACACAAGAGAGTCAATTCCGTGCGACGATGCAGAAAGCACAAAAGTTCCATGATTGGTTTACGAAATATCTTGCGAACGCCAATATCACCTTCAACTCTCAAGTTCAGAAAAATGCATTTTCTTCCATTACACAGGCTGCTGGCTACACACGCTCTTCTGGTAATGCTGAAAAGAATACACATGAAAGCAATCTGCTTTTAAATATCTTGGGCGATGAAGGCTCCGCAGATCAACTCCTCGATCAGTCATCTCGTAAGCTTGCATTGAGTTTATTGTGTGGTGACTTCTCCATGCCTGCTCAAGTCACAGATGATATCATTGATCAAGATACTAAGGCAATTGAATACTCATCTGCGGTATTCAAAAGTTGTGAAGCTGAGGGGCTCAGCCAAAACTACCTTTCATGGGCTGGTCGCGTTCTGGGCAGAGCTTTCGCAGCGTCGGGGGATTTACCTGACGACCTGTTGTGTGAAACAAAACTGCAGCAGTACGCGAAGCTGTCCCCCAACAAGAACGGGTCTGAAATGGGTATCTTGAGCCTCTTACAAGAGCTAACGGCTAGCCCCGATACTGAATTTGCAGGACTTGCTGAAGCTGCCCTTCGGTCCGCCGTTTCCATCGCGCACGCTGTAGAAGACTCGCCACTCGTCGTCGCTTGCCAGCGAAGTCTGCGCGAGCCTTTGTATCTTGCTTCGAAATGGAACTTATACCATTCACCACCATCTGAGAGCGTCGATGCCAGCTCATCAACCATCGCGAGGTCAGTTTGGCCAGATGATATTAATTCACCCGATTGGGCGCGAAATTTGTCTATCTATCTTGTACGCTGTGTATCAGATTCAACATTACTCAGCGTTCTACAACCGGTGCTTGATAAAGTACCGGGATTTGCGTCCAAAGCATTGCCTTTTATTGTCCACCTCGTGCTTCTCTTTCAAAGCGGCGAGCAGCCAGTTGTAAGACAGCTGCTATCTGATAGCGCGAACACATGGCTCAAGACGGTTACTTCTGACAACGAAGACGGCGTTAAACTACTGCTCAATACGGTCTTATATCTACGGACTCAGGAGTTTCCAAATGAAGCTACTATTGCCGACCGACTTGGTTTTTTGAGTTTAGATTATGGGCTTCTTGCCCAGGCAGCATCTCACTGTGGCATGTACAAGTCAGCACTCTTGTTTATCGAGATTGCTGCTTGGCAGTCTAGCAAATCCTCACGTCGTACCTCAACCTCTATACCCCAACAACTGGATCAAAGGGAGACGCTTTTGTCTATTTTTGAAAATATTGATGATCCAGATGCTTACTATGGATTACCCGAGGAGGCCAATCTAGCCAATGTTCTTGCCCGAGTCGAGTATGAGAATGAGGGGTCCAAAACACTTGCATTTCGAGGCGCACAGCTTGATAGCCACATTCGGATGAACGATAGGACAGCGGCTACAGATTCACAGGCTCTTGTAAATGCGCTAAGCACACTGGGGTATGCTGGCCTCTCTCATTCTCTTCTACAGGTCCAGCAAGATGCTGACCCTACCTTTGCCTCCATCGAGAGTACCTACAAAGCTGCAACAAAATTAGAGATGTGGAATCTTCCCGCGATTTCAAACGAACATCACTACGCGGTGAATACATACCGTGCATACCAATCTATCAGCAGTGCGACCAATGAACTTATTGCTCAAAATGCCGTCTACGATGCGCTATCTTCTTCTATGAAAGCACTGACAAGCCATGGCCATACCAATGCTAGCACTCTCCGCAAACAGCTAGGCGGACTCGCTTCGCTAACTGAATTGGATGAACTTCTTAACGTTGCCGATTCGGCGAATCTTGATATGATCGCATCGAACCTCGATTCTCGAAGCCAATGGATGCGGCGTGGAGTCTACGACGATGTGAACCAGATCTTGTCCTCTCGAGGAACTACGCTCAATGTGCTGGCTGAGCATTCCGACCTAGTCGGTAGCTCTAAGGTACCGAAAGCTACGTTGAGGCAGATGCAAGTCAGCTCACTTCTTTTATCGTCTCAGATTTATAGGTTCCACAAAGCAAATCAAGAGTCCTTGAATATTTCCACAGCCCTATCCAATATGATTCCGGCCTGTGAGAAACTCGATCTTCACGTCGATGCAGCTATTACCATTGAAATTGCCAACTCGCTCTGGGACCATGGCGAAATTGGATCATCTATCCGCATGCTACAGTCAGTTGATCAGAAATCGCAACTTAATCGCCAAGCAATTCCTGTCAAAAGAGCTGATCTCCTAGCTAAGATTGGTCATAAAGCTTCTGTCGCTCGATTAGAGAAACCAAGAGATATTCAGAAAAAATACCTGGAGCCTGCGCTAAAGGACTTGGATGGAGAGAGCAAGACGCAAGAAGCTGGCCTTGTTTTCCATCAATTTGCCAAATTTTGTGACGAGCAACTGCAGGATGCGGACGGCCTGGAAGATCTTGGTCGTCTCCAAAGCTTGAAAAAAGCAAAGAGTAATGAGGTGCAAGAGCTGCAGTCTCTCATAGCAACAACGAAAGAAACACAGTTGCGAAAGAAGTACAACAATGTGTTGGGAAGAGAGAAGCAGTGGCTTGAACTGGACCAGCAAGAGCTACGACGTGTAGAGCAGACCAGGGCAGAGTTTATCAGGTTGAGCTTGGAAAATTATCTGCTCTCGTTGGCTGCATCGGACGAGCACGACAACGACGCGCTTCGTTTCACAGCACTATGGTTGCAGCGGCCAGACGATGAAGTCACCAACAAAGCTGTCTCTCGTCACTTGTCCAAAGTACCAACTAGAAAGTTTGCTGGATTGATGAACCAGCTGACATCTAGACTCCAAAATGATGGGAGCCCTTTCCAGAAGCTGCTCATGGAATTGGCGTATAATGTTTGCAATGATCATCCCTATCATGGCATGTACCAAGTGTGGTCTGGTACAAATGCAAAGATTCAACAAAAGGACCAAGTTGCGGTGATGAGAGTCCGGGCTACGGAGCTGCTTGCAGAACGGTTGACTAGCAAGGAGAGTTCAGCTAAAGTGTGGACATCAATATCCAAGACAAGCCGATACTATCATGCATTTGCTATGGATAGAGACGAGAAGCTCTACAAGGCCGGAAATAAACTGCCGCTCAGAAATTCTCCCAAGGGCCAGAACCTGATGAGTTGTCTTTCTAGATATCCAATTCCTCCGCCTACGATGCATATCGAGGTGAGCGCAACGAGGAATTATTCGCATATCCCCATGGTGGCCAAAGTAGATTCGACTATGACGATTGCATCGGGAATCAGCGCACCAAAGATCATCACACTTGTAGGCACTGATGGAAAACGATACAAGCAACTTGTTAAAGGTAGCCACGATGATCTGCGACAAGATGCTATCATGGAGCAAGTGTTTGCTGCCGTCTCCTCTGTCTTGAAACTCCACCGGACTACACGTCAGAGAAACCTGGGCATTCGAACATACAAGGTGCTGCCTCTAACAGCATCTTCTGGTCTGATTGAGTTTGTGCCCAACACTATCCCCCTACATGAATTCTTGATGCCTGCCCACGAAAAGTACTACCCACGAGACTTGAAAGGATCCTCCTGTAGAAAGGAAATATTCAACGTTCAGGGGCAATCAGTTGAAATTCGAGTTAGTACCTACAAGAAGATTACGGAGCGATTTCACCCAGTCATGAAACATTTCTTCATGGAGCACTTTACAGACCCAGATGAATGGTTCACTAGGCGTCTAGCCTACACACGCAGCACAGCAGCTATCTCTATTCTAGGCCACGTCCTGGGTCTTGGCGACCGACACGGGCACAATATTTTACTGGATACCAAGACTGGTGAAGCAGTACATATTGATTTGGGTGTGGCATTTGAGGCAGGACGAATTCTGCCCGTACCAGAGTTGGTGCCTTTCCGTCTCACTCGAGACATTGTGGACGGTATGGGAATCACGAAAACAGAAGGCGTTTTCCGCCGATGCTGTGAGTTTACACTTGATGCACTGCGAGAAGAACAATATTCGATCATGACCATCCTGGATGTGTTGCGATATGATCCTTTGTATACGTGGACCATTGCGCCATTACGAATGGCGAAACTACAAAAGAATCGTCATAATGACGACAACGCGGCACCCGAAGAGTCCATTGCCGAGAATGCCAAGAAGGAAACAAAGACGACATCGACTTTGAATGAGCCATCAGAGGCAGATCGCGCCTTGGAAGTTGTGAGAAAGAAATTGAGCAAGGCACTGAGTGTGTCGGCGACGGTGAATGATTTGATCAACCAGGCCACGGATGAGCGTAACCTAGCTGTATTATACTGCGGCTGGTCAGCCTATGCTTGAGTTGGATATTGTGGTGTACGATTGTGCTTAGGCGATAGACTCGCTTTTTTTGTATTTGGTTTGCATTTCACAGCGGTTGTATATAATAGACTAGGAAATAGATTGTCTGAAGACTTTCAACGATGTGAAGATGGGACCTGCCATGTGGTTTGTTTCGCAGCTTTGATGCCAAGCGCCATCTGCATTGAACTTGATGACATCCCCGGTTATCGACCATTAGACAGGAATCTATAATACACAATGAGCGAAGGCGGGGAACTGGTACTCTACTAGCGTTATCACCGATAGCGCCGCTCCAAGCCCCAGTGCTAGTTTAGTGCAGGATAGCGTCCTTGGTTGCCACCACACAGTGCTACAGCGTCTGTCCGCCTGTAACCCAGCACCAAACCCGCCCCACACCCACTAAAAAAAAGTGACATAACCACCAAAGCTTGTCCCGCCCTTCACGCTTCGCAGCATCATTGCCAGCTTCCTGTTTTCCATCCTCTGCACCACGTTCCAATTCCGCCCTTCGATAACATCAAAACGACTTCATACCCGAACCGACCCCTACGAAGCACGACCACACACAGCCATCTGCTCTGCAGCTAGTCTCGCCTGTCCCCCGGAGCTTCCTGCAGAGGCATCATCACAAGCTCTATGCAACACGACGCGGACCAGACATCACCGTCACGCCGTCGCCCACGTCTTCCCTCCTCCTCCTCGTCTCCCTTTACCGCAAAGCGACCGAAATTTGCCGACGAACCTAGCATGGTCAGTCCAAAAGCTAAGGGCAAGCTTCCCGCCGTTGCGGATGCCGATGGTGCCGGCCGCCCATCGGCCTTTCAACCACACACTGGGGCCAAGAAGCTCGTCATTAAGAATCTGCGCAAACCGGCAAACCGAGAAGCCCAGGTTGAAGAATACTACCAAAAGACCGCGGCTGAGCTGGATGCCGCATTGGCTGCTATCCTCTCTGGTACTCGTCCAAACGCCCCTCTGGAACGACTGTACCGGGGCGTCGAGGATACGTGCCGCAGAGGACGCGCTGATGCTGTCTACAAGTTGCTAAACGACCATATTATTGGGCATCTACAAGCAACGGTACTTAAGAGAATACGTCAAAGAGGCGACACGTCGAATGTAAAGGTCCTTGCCAATGTGCTCGACGAATGGAAAATATGGAACAAGCAAACGGTGTGCAATATACTACGAGAACGCTGTAGTAGTGCTGTAAACTAACTTCTTACTAGGTACTTATCCGATCGACGTTTAGCTTCCTCGATAGAACATATCTGCTGCGCGAATCCCTGCCTTCGATCAACGACATGGCAATTACCCAATTCAGACGGATGTTGTTCCCCTCGTCATCATCAACGAATCAGAGGCCGTTTGAAGGCGATGTCGTGAAAGGAATTTGCGACTTGATTGAAGCAGACAGACGTGGGAATGATGCTAGAGATCCAGAGCTGCTGCGAGACTCCATAATGATGCTCTATGTTCTCGGCGTCTACACCAAACACTTTGAACCTGTGTTTTTAGCCACGTCCAAGGGGTACTTCCAAGAATGTGGTACAACATGGAACATGTCGAACTTGCGGGATCACATTGATTCCTGTGAAACTCTTCTACAAAGAGAGGACCATAGGTGCATGGCATTCAATATTGACAGCACCACTGAGAAACTACTAATGCAGACCGCGCACACCGTTCTGATCGAGGAGTACGCTGACAAGCTTCTGCATAAAGAGAGCTTGTCACAACTGTTGGAGGATAAGGACATACGGTCTATGAAGGGCTTATATGAGCTGTTGAAGCTTTCCAACCTGCAGCTGAGGATGAAGCAACCCTGGGGCGAGTATGTCAGAGTCACTGGTGCCAGCATCATTGGTGATAAAGAAAAGGGTGAGGAGATGGTAATTCGTTTGCTTGACCTACGCCGAAGCTTGGACTTGTTTATCAGAGACTCTTTTGTCAAGGATGACGCCTTTTTGTACGAAATGAGAGAAGCGTTTGCCAAGTTCATGAATGACCGGCAGATTGCCTCCTGTTGGAACAGTGGCACTTCCAAGATTGGTGAAATGACTGCCAAACACGTTGATATGTTGCTCAGAGGTGGATTGAAAGCTTTGCCTAAGCAGCTGCTCTCTGATGTGCAGGATCGTGCCACTGCCGAAAAGGAAGGTCTGTCGAGTACTGGCGACGAGGATGCAGAGCTAGACCGTCAGCTTGACCAAGCTTTGGAACTGTTTAGATTCATCGAAGGCAAAGATGCCTTTGAAGCCTTTTACAAGAAGGATCTGGCGAGACGTCTGCTCATGGGCCGCAGTGCCAGCAAAGACGCTGAGCGAAACATGCTCACAAAGCTGCGTGGTGAATGCGGTGCCAACTTTACGCACAACTTGGAGCAAATGTTTAAAGACCAAGACATTGCAAAGGATGAGATGGACTCATTCAGAGAGTATAATGAGTCTCTGGGAGAAGATAAACCATCCATTGATTTGCAGGTCATGGTTTTGTCGGCTGCCGCTTGGCCGACGTATCCCGATGTGCCTATTACGGTGCCCGCAGCTGTCGCGAAGCAAATGGAGCGATTCGATGGCCATTACAAGAGCACACATACTGGCCGTGCATTGAAATGGAAACACTCCTTAGCGCACTGCTCGGTCAAAGGTGTCTTTCCCAAGGGCTCCAAAGAGTTGTTGGTGTCTGCTTTCCAGGCCATTGTGCTTCTGATGTTCAACAGAGTGGGTAATGACGACGCCCTGTCGTACGACGAGATATCCGAGGGCACTGGTCTCAAGGATGGTGACTTGGAGCGTACGCTACAATCTCTTGCCTGTGGCAAAGTCCGTGTGCTCACCAAGCACCCCAAAGGGCGCGATGTCAAGACAACGGATACGTTTACTTTTAACAAGACGTTTTCGGATCCCAAATACCGCGTCAAGATTAACCAAATCCAGCTGAAGGAAACTAAAGAGGAAAACAAAGCCACTCATGAAAGAATCGAACAGGACCGCCGGTTCGAGACCCAAGCTGCGATTGTCAGAGTTATGAAGAGCCGTAAGACCATGGGCCACTCGGAGCTGGTGGCAGAGGTCATCAACCTGACGAAGAAGCGAGGTAGTGTCGAGCCTGCTGCTATTAAGAAGGAGATTGAAAGTCTTATTGATAAGGATTATCTGGAGAGAGAGGGCAATACCTATACCTACCAAGCGTAGAAGGGGCCAGCACTTGGTTGCGTCAGAGAGGACTGTTTTACTAATGACGCCATGATTTGTTTAATTTGGGTTTCATTTCATCTTCAAAAATATAATATAAATAATTATTTTTCTCTAAATCTCACCTCGTTCTTTGTTTCTCTTAAAATGTAAGAGAGCACAATGGGCGCCTGTCCAGATTAGGAAATATGTTGATTCTGCTGACTCATCCAGAAAATCCCATTTGTCGCGTGAATTCACGACGCGACTTGTGCGGGACCCCCCTTCGGCTCATGTTGGCATCGTATGGCCTGTGTATGCTTGTGGGCTCCCGCGTTTGTTTGGCCAGGGCAGCTGCCGTCTACATCTTTCCTTCCAGCGGCTTGATTGTCTTATTTATTGGTGGCTGGCACCAAAGAAAAGACTCCAGGCACGTCCTTTTCTAATCAGACACGCCCCTTTCCAACGAATCTCTTTGTTTTACGAATTCACGAATTGTCATCTTGCACTTTCAGCCACCATCTATAAGCTGTACCTTTTTGATAAGGTTATATGCCTGCTGGACTCTTTAGTCGCTGCATTCGATCCTCACCAACCTTCTCCCGCTGCTCCAACACCTCTGGCCTGACGATACGACATCATTCACGCTCCTCAAGTTCCCGCCTTGCCCCTCTTGACATCATGCTCGGCAAGGCAAACCGCGAGTACGAGGCGAACCGGCCGCCGCCCCAGGTACACCTCTCGAAGCAACTGTTTCCTTCGAGTAGTCCTACGCCGGCTAATGGGGACATTCGCTCGATGAACCAAGCCAAGAGGCGAACTGGCCCGCCGGCCTTCCTGCCATCGTCGTCTCCCATGAGCGTATCACGACCACAATTCAAGCAGAGCACACCGAGCAAAGGGAGCAGCGCGCGTGGTGTAGGATCGGCATTCATGCAGTTATATAAGAATCAACAGGACCAGTTCAAGTCGCCCAAGGCATTAGGCTTTGTAGACCTGACTGGGGCCGACTCGAATACCAAGGATCAGTTCAAGAAGGAATTCGATTTCGCATTTGACGAATTTAGCGACGATGATAACCTTGATTTGGACTATGAACTTCCCAAGGCATTGCCAGCACTCCCAGCGAAGAAGCTATCGGACAAGGAGAATATGCCACCCCCAATGTCGACACCTATTTCGAAATCAATGGATTGGTCTTCATCGCCGGCCACCCATTTCCTCCCTCCAAAAGAATATCAAGCCATGTCCACCACTACAAATACCCAGCACGAGCGCTTAGATTTGAAGCGAGAATCGTCGGGCGAGTCTGTGAATGACGCTGGCCCTGTGCAAGTAAAGGCCAAACGACGCAAGTTGCCGGCTAGCTTCAACTCCTCAAAAGAATCTGAACCAGAAGTGGAAATTATTAGCGAACGACCCGTTCATGCTGCAAAAGCACAGCAGACACCAAGCTCAAAAACGCGAGGCTACTTGGATCCCACGGCCAGCGCGATCAAGGAACAGAAGAAGCAGCTGAAGAAAGAGAGAAGTGCAGTAACCAAGCCCGAGGGCGAGCCTATGGTTTCCAAGCCCAAGGTCTTTGATGAAGAAGAGCTCCCAAACTTGAAGCAAGCACAGAATGAAACTCTCACACTAAGCGCGGAACAGCGTCATGTTCTCGATATGGTCGTTGAGCAGGGCAAGAGTGTCTTCTTCACGGGACCCGCCGGAACTGGTAAATCAGTTCTTATGAGAGCTATTATTGCCGAACTAAAAAGGAAATATGCTCGTGACTCAGACCGCGTTGCTGTTACCGCCTCGACTGGTCTCGCTGCGTGTAACATTGGTGGCATCACACTGCACAGTTTCTCTGGTATTGGACTCGGCAAAGAACCAGCTAATCAGCTAGTCAAGAAGATTCGGCGTAACCCCAAGGCGAAGCAGCGATGGATGCGCACCAAGTGTCTGGTTATCGATGAAATTTCTATGGTGGATGGCCAACTCTTTGACAAACTGTCTCAGATTGGGCGTACTATTCGCAACAATGGACGGCCGTGGGGTGGGATCCAACTGATCATTACGGGTGATTTCCTTCAGCTGCCACCGGTGCCTGACGGTGAGCAAAGAGAATCTGTCTTTGCGTTTGATGCAAGCACGTGGGAAACATCTATTGATCATACTATTGGTCTAACCCAGGTCTTCCGTCAAAAGGATCCCGAGTTTGCCAACATGTTGAACGAGATGCGCATCGGCACTATTACCGACAAGACCGTCAATGCCTTCAAGGCTCTGTCACGCCCTCTTTCATTTAACGACGGCATCGAAGGCGCTCAGCTATATCCCACACGCATGCAAGTTGAGGCATCCAATGAGAGACGACTGCGTGAGCTCCCTGGCGAACCACGGCGTTTTGACTCCGTCGACACGGGTGACCCAATGGTGCGCGACAAGTTGCTAGTGAACATGATGGCACCAAAGGGCATTGTTCTCAAAGTTGGTGCGCAGGTTATGCTTATCAAGAACCTTGATGAAACGCTTGTGAACGGATCACTGGGCACAGTTGTGGACTTTAGTGATCAGAAAACCATGGAGGCCCGGTATGGCATGGATGAGGATGTCAGCGGCAATGTTGCCAAGGCACAAAAGAAGCTTAACCAGTTTATGAATGAGGCAAACGGTGCCAAAGCTCCTCAATATCCAGTGGTTCGTTTCATGGCTGCGAATGGCACAACGCGCACCATTATCTGTATTCCAGAAGAGTGGAAGGTTGAGCTGCCTAATGGAGAGGTTCAGGCCAAGAGACAGCAGGTACCGCTCATTCTGGCGTGGGCACTATCCATTCACAAGGCTCAAGGTCAAACCCTGGATCGCGTCACAGTAGACTTGGGACGTGTGTTTGAAAAGGGACAAGCTTACGTAGCCTTGTCTCGAGCCACGACGCAACAGGGCCTGCGCGTACTCAATTTTGAAAAGTCCAAAGTCATGGCACACCCCAAGGTCGTCGACTTTTACAAGAAGCTATATAGTGCAGCCGATGCATCCAAGATTCGTCCATCGAGCATTGCCGACTTCATTGCCGCTAGGAAAGGCGTCAAGAGCACATAGGGATGAAAGTTCTACAGGGATGGAGTTTTAGGGCGATATGGGCATACAAAGGCGTCTTGTGTTTTTTTTATCTTTACAGAATCATTGCCACTTGATACAGACAGAAGCATTTTCCTCTCTTGTTACCAGAAAACATAATGAACATATACACAACATTTTCTTTGGCTGATGCTGTTTGTTGATCTTGTTCCCATTGAGAGTTTGTTTGCGACTACACTTGGATGACTTCCCACGTGTGAAAAAGTTTTTTTTTTTTTAAAAAAAAAAGGAAACTCTCTGTTGCTGAAACTATATTCTTCAATTTACTTTTTCCCCAAAACACATAAATAGCCAGTGTAATTCCATTCCCATTCAGATTTCATAGTGGCCATTAACAGAAGCCAACAGCTTATCGATAGCAACAAAGGGCCCGTGTGCCGGCGTACCCTTTTTAGATTAGTGTTCGGTTTGGAGTGGGGAGGCGCATAATTGCCCACCTTGGCTTCTTCCAAGGCGAAACGGAGTTTGAAACTTGATTTCTTGCTCGCGTGCGGAGGAAATTGATCTTTTCCTTCATCTCCGACTGAAACTCATCTGCCAGCTTTGCTTGCTTTGGAGAGCAATTGACATCTCCGACCAGCAGCTATCGGGCACTGATCGCTGCTGTGGAAAGCGAGACAGCGCGACGCGGGGAGGAAAAGTTTTGCCTTTTGGTCGTTGCTCACAACAACACGTTGCCTCGAGGACCAGACCAGGAGCGAGCGCCGACGACCGAGATAGCAAGTTGCCTTTGATTAGGTGAATTTGTTTGGTGAAGAAAGACGAAGCAGGCGAGGACGACGACGACGAAGAACGCAGCGGTACGAGCCAACACAAATATCGCCGGCATCAGTGAAAACACATCAGGCCGACAGACAAGCGAACATGGCGGAACAGTTTATCGGCTTGCACATGAAGGTGGTCCTTCGGGATCCTCCTGGCTACTGGATCACCGGAACTGTGCGAAATGTGGAAGCAGGAAACAGCTTAACCCTCACTAATGGTAAGGAATGGACAACTCTACACTCGCTACGAGAGATGCTAACTTGGTATCAAAGTGTTTATTGCCGCCACCAATATGCACACTACGCAGATGACAATCAATGCCCACAACATTGCAGACCTCTCGGAAACTGACTACCAGCCTACGCCCGACTTGGTTTCACCGCTGTACAGCCAGCGCGCGACACCAACGCCCACGCAGGCTGCTTTCCAAGATCCAGCGATTCTCAGCATGGCTCGCGCACCGGCTCCCATAACACCGTCTAGGGCACCGGAAGAGAGTCCGGCGCCAAGACAACCTGGCGTGCTGCAGGGTGTCGATTTGCACGGAAACGGCGGCAAGCTACCGCAGACCAACATTCTAGACGGGATGAAGGGTTTGGGCTTGGAGCCAAAGGCATTGACCCCTGACACACACAAGAAACGGACCCGGCGCAACAACAAATCGAGAGGCCAAAACAACTTGGAGGAAAGCCACGTTCAAGGATCCCCTGTGCCGGCCCACAAGAACCACGGCAAGGGCTGGCGCCAAACCCCGATTCTGCAAAGTACCGCTTCCTTCCAGCCGTTCAAGTCGCTCAAGAATGCCGGCAAAGGCCAAAAGATCTTTACCGAAAATGGATGGGCGTCGGAAGATGTCACCGAGGAGATGGGAGAGTTTGACTTTGAGAACAACCTCGCCAAGTTTGACAAGCGGACCATCTTTGATCAAATGAGGCGCGATGACGAAATTGACGATGCCGATCGACTAGTCTCACACAACCGCAAGCCAAAGCCCGGCACTGCTGGCGGCAAGAACCTTCATTATTCCGAGAATGTGCTGGATACGCCCACGGTTGCAGCACCGGCAGCGGACTTTTGGAACAGCGAAGCTGATGTGGATGGCGAACCAGACGAACGCTTGGGAGGTCGGGACCCGCGCAATGGCGGCAACCAGCCAATGCGCCGAACCGACAGCAAATCTGGGCCATCTCGGCGATCACAGTCTCGCAAGGCCAGCACGGTGGTAGGCGGACAGCCATTGGCAAGAGTAAACTCGAGCACGCGCGGAGCTGCGCTCCCGTCGCGGCGGTCTACTCCTCGCTCCGGCCATCGAAGCGCAGAGAGGCAACATCAGCAATACCAGAACCAGCAGCCTGGTTTGTATCTCTTCCCCTCTCAGCGACGAGTAGAGGCGATTTCTACGCTGCAGATGCTGAACCTAGAAAACATTGCGGCCAACGAGCTCGGCTTCAGCGAAGGTCTTATGGCAGAGAACGCTGGACGAGGTATAGCCGAAGTCGCGATTGAGGCCATGTCGGATCCTGCACTCAAGGTTCGGTATGAGCTCGCCGCGGCGGCAGATGCCTCTATCAGCGGCGGAAGCAAGATTGTGATTTTGGCAGGCAACAACAAGTCAAGTATCCGCGCGCTTGCGGCCGGCCGCCACCTGCGCAACAAGAACTACGAGGTTGTGGTTTGCCTGGTGGGCGTGGAGCGAGAGAAGGATCTCCTGGAGGACCTGCGCCGACAAGTACAGCTCTACCGCAGCTTTGGCGGCAAGGTGCTGAACAAGAACGACTTTTTCGAGCATTTGCGGCAATCAACTACGTCTGGCGGCGGTGGTGTTACAGTTGGTGGCGCAGCCGCATCGGCATCTGTGGCTCTTATCATTGATGCGCTCCTGGGCCTGACCATTTCCTTTGAGGAGCTGCGCATTGGCGACCAAGCCAGTGTATACGAGCTGATGGAATGGGCTAACCGTAATGAGGCGTTTGTGCTGGCCGTGGACGTCCCGTCAGGCATTGATCCTACCTCTGGCAAAGAGGCCGTCATTGATGGTGGTCAACTCTTTGTTAAACCGCGATATGTGGCAGCTATTGGAGCGCCAAAGAAGGGACTCCTGGAAGCCGTTGCTAGCCATGCAGAGGGCGAAGGCGAGGCACATGAGGAATGGAAGATGTACGTTGTTGATCTGGGTCTGGGTAATGCCGTCTGGCGCAAAGCTGGTGCCAAGGTGAGAAAGGGCGTCGACTTTGGCGGCGGCTGGGTGGCTGAGATGCGATATGTTGGCGTAGTAGAAGCCGAGGATGAGGATGATTGAGCACAAAAAGAGGAGGAAGGCTGTTTTCTTTTGTCTGATTTGGCGCTGGCGTTGGGATGGGACAATTCTTTTTTTACTCTCTGTTGTTTGAAAAAGCTCGACTATAGTAGCAGCAGCACGATGCGATATCCCTATACACTTTTGTCTTTTTATTGTTTGTTTGATAACCTATACTCTTTTTTGTCTGATAATTTATATGGTAATCTACACATCTGTCCGTTTTGTGAGATCTTCTACAGGCCATTCCGAGTCGTAGTAGGCATTTCTAACGGCGTTGGGTTGGGCGGTACGCTGAGGTTACGCTAGGAGGCGATGCGCCGGCCAAGGCTGAGGTGTCGTCACGGAAGGCTGGACAGGTTTATGAAATTAGACAATCGATCCAAGGGTTTCCGAGACCAATGAACACAGTATCACATATCCCGGCACTTGTTTTCTACACAAGTATCGTTGGATGTTAGCGGCGCATTCGGCTAACACCAAGTATTTTATACAGAGAAGCGAGCGAATGCTTGGCAAACATCACGTGGGGGTATCCTGGCGCCCAGGAATCCGTTCGATCTCCCTTATTGAGATTTCTTGGCAGAGAAGGTTTGCTGGAAGGGCGCTAGGGAGGTTTGAAAAAATCACCAAAGGTAAAATTCGAGTCGGAGGACGTCGAGGACCGGATATCAAAATGCATCCCGGGTCTTAATGCACGGTGCATCACGCGACAGAAGAGCATGCGGAGAACGACTAGATGTCGGGGCTACTTTGGAAAAGGAATATTAGACCGAGCGATGGACGAGCAGAAGCCGGGCTAGAGACGGATTGGGAAGGTAAGGCGGCGGTGGCGGAGCAAAATGGAAGATTGGGTGCTGTGCTGTTGAGATGTTGCGCTGGGGGAGACCCGTGGGTTGGCTGGATATTTGCATCTAGAACTTGTTGTTGTGTGCCGCTGCCAGACGACTTGTTTTTTAATTGGTTGGACTTTCATGTATATTTCGGCTTATGAGTTGACACAGTACTATACAGTATAATGCGTTAACAGGGCACAGAGTAGAATGGAAGATACAAAGATCACCAAGGGCGGCGGTTGAGGCGGGTGTAGGGTGCGTTGGTAGAAGCCATGCACTGTGACGTTGTAACAAGAACCATGTTGGTGTAGCAAAAGCCGTGATGATTTGCAGCCAGTGGCAAATACACAAAAGCATCAGCTGTAAAAATGAGATTTTTTTTTTTGGAAGAGACCCTAAGGCGTGACAATCATCAAGTTCAGCAGAAAACCCAAAAGAAGAGTCCGGGAGTGATGATCCCGAGTGAGGCACACCATTCTGCTTTGCCCGCCCGGCCACCCGCCGTTTAAGCTTAACGGGAAGTGGCCACAGGCGTGTGGCCCTCTTTTTCCACAGGCAGTTAGTATACTGTGCTTTCTGACCACTGTTGGGAACTTCTTTTAAGTAATTGGCGCATACGGAGCAGGCGGGCGGAGACCTGGAAAAGAGGCTGCGTTGCATGGTGGTGGTGGTTTGTGTGTGGGGGAGTGGAACCACAGGACGCCTGCAGTGGAGGCAATGGCGTTTTAAATACAGTGTGTGGTCAGTCTGCAAGTGGTGACGACACTGTGTCTTTTGCTGATTGCTAATTACTGACGCTGGCTGCTTTTCTCTCTTTTGTAGAAGAGGAAACATGGCAATACAAAAAAAGAAAGTAAAAGAATAAGCTTAAATTTGTATTTGTAAAGTTGTATCTAGCATAAAACAATAGAGGGTGGTTTGGTTTGAGGGGTGGTTTGTTGCATAGCGGGTGGTGGTTGGGCTCGCTGCATGAATTTCAATATCCTCAGAATGGCGTAGCACAATGACCACTAGACTGAAATAGGCAGGCTGCGGCATGACCTCGACGACTTTTTATAGTGTGTTTCTGAGAATCAACTGTATTTTATGCTAGAATTCAACGCAATTTTTGTGTTCTTTTTACTGTTCGTTTATATACAGAAAGTATTCTGTGCGCTCTGTGTTATCTTGGTAGGGACACCAACCTGGCTTACAGTGAGTGTCCTACGGCGATGAGCTTGGCGAGTGTGTTGCAGGCGGGTTGCAGGTGGTGGATGGCAGCGCTACAGAGGCTGCCCCCCTCCACACAACGCTAACTTCTGCGCACTGTGCCCGCTAGCGCTACACACTTCATTCACAGCACACCCTCCACACCCCTTCCCTCTGGCGGGCACGTTCCACAGCCCACGGCCGCCCCCTTCCAACTGGCCGCCCGCCTGTCACCACTGAGAAGAGCACACGCCCACACCCACAACGCAGCATCTCTTCCAACCACACACTGTCTGTGTCCTTGTTCCAACTACTGCCATTCGTCGATCCTGCGCACGTTTCCTTTCTTCCCTTTCCTTTCTCACCATCTCCAAATCGCTCCTTTGCCATTCGTCCATTCCGATTTTCCATCTTCAACCTTTTACTTCGAACTTACCGCGACCGACCGACTCGACTCGACTCCAACTGGCTTTCTTCAACGCGGACGAGTCAGCAAACATCACGCCACATCCCCTCCCCCTTCCTCCAACTTTTCTCGACGGCGTCTCACGTACGCACACGAATTACCAGTACTCTCTTTCTCTCTCTCTGTCATAATATCCTCGAATATCTGGTTCCTCATGGCGACAACGACTCCTTGAATTGCGCCGCGCTTCCTCTCCGTCCTCTCGCCCGCCTACGCCCCTTTGCCCAGGACGCACGCATACGCGACGACCAACGCCATCTCCCGCACCAGCCATGGTGCCGCCGCCCGACGTTATAGCCGCTCTGGCTACGGCGACGACTGCCGCAACCATCTGCACAACGACATATATGCCCGACTCGCAACTTGTCAATCTCCCAGGCTTTGAACAACCGCTGCTGCTGGCCCAGCCCATCGTCTTTGAGATCCCGTGCCCCGAAGCACCGCCTGCGCCGCCGCTAGTTGTCCGCGCTTCCTCGCAGAAACAGCCCGACTCCCCAGCGCTCGAGCAAACCTCGCCCTCGCACCGAAATAACCCGCTCCTCCTCACACATACGACACCCTCTCCCCTGGTCTCGTCGCGGTCCCTCAGCAATGGTAGTGCCGCCGCCGTGGGCCACCCGCCCGACCCCAGTCCCTACAGCTCCTTGCCCAGCGACCAAGTCAGCAACTTCCGAGACCCCTTCTTTGCCACTGTCTACCCCATTGTATATACTCTTGCCGCCACGACCGTCATATCCTACATGCTCGTCGTCATGCTCTTCATCACCCCGCGCTCCTTTATCGACGGCGGCATGGTCTATCTCGGCAGCCGCAACAGCTTCAGCTCGGGATCCGGCGGCGCCTCGATCGGTGACCGCCCGCTGCTGCAAAAGATTGCTGCCTTGACTGTGGCTATATCACTCACCATTGCCACGGTAGACTCCATGAAGGTTATCCAGTTCCAGTACTCAAGGAGCTTCCAAAACGCCACAAGCCTCCAGAGCACCGTTATGAGCACCACCGAAATTAAGGTTTCTCGACTTATATCCAGCACGTTTCTCTGGCTTGCGCAAGCTCAAACGTTAATTAGACTCTTTCCGCGACACCGCGAGCGCGTTATTATCAAATGGGTCGCCTTCTTCCTTATTACTCTCGACGTTATTCTCTACGCCGTCAACCTCTTTGTATTTTCCGAATACGACATTGTCAACGGCAAGCAACCAAAGACATGGGTTCACCCAGTACCAGCGTTAACATATGTCTTTCAACTATCCCTTGGGGTGCTTTATGCCGTCTGGGTTGTGTACTATGCGCTCATGAAGCGCCGCTACGCCTTTTACCACCCCTTGATGAAGAACATGTGTCTCATCTCGTCATTATCTATCCTATCCATCTTTATCCCTATTATTTTCTTTATCCTAGACATCACCGTAGAAAAGTTCTCCCGATTGGGCGACTATATTCGATGGGTTGGCGCAGCTGCTGCCAGTGTGGTTGTGTGGGAATGGGTCGAGCGTATAGAAGCCCTGGAGCGTGAAGAAAAGAAGGACGGCGTCTTGGGTCGCGAAGTTTTTGACGTCGATGACATGCTGCAGATCAACGCATCCGAGTTTCCCTGGCTGCGGCGCAGACGCTCCAAGAAGGATGGCAAGGGCGACGGCGGCGACCTGGAACGACAGCCAACTGCAACAGCCAACGGCTGGGCCACGATTCCGCAGCCTAACACAAGCAACAATGACAATAGAAACACGCGCGAGCCAGCTGCCGAGCACCGCTACCATGTTCCTGACATTTTGCGTCCACCGCCATGGCGAGGTCACGGAGCGGCGACGCCCACCCGAACAGACACACCCAGTGTTGCCAGCACCGTTTACGCTGTCCGGTACCAGGGAGTGTCTGAGTCTACGCGCACGCCGGATCCGATTCCCATGGCCCCCTCCGAGTGTCAGCGTACCCAGCGTGCTGTGCCTGCACCAGCACCTGCCGTTATACCCGCGGATGCGTCGTCCAACCAGCGACGGCCGCGACCAACACGCCAGCTCACGCGAGACACCATTGAAGAAGCCAACGAAGAGCGCCGCTCCGAGGACCCGGAAATGTCGGAGGTTCAGAACCCTCGCCCGCGCCGAGCCCGCGGGGCTTCGGTGGTGACCTCGACTGAAGTGATTCGACACATGGGTGACGACATGCTGTGGCATCCACAGAGCGAGCCGCGCGCCCAGTCTAACCGCTGGGATGTCAAGTCTCGCTTTGAAGACTTTGCTGCCAAGCAGTCGGACCGCATCCGAGAAAGGTTTCGCCCGTCGGTGGTGCCAGATGACCTGCCTGTGACGGTGATTCCCGCGCCGCCTCGACAGGGCGCGGCGCTACAGGAAGTTTTGGAAGAAGAGACGCTGCATCAGAAGACGATCGGCTCTTCGGCCACGGCCCATGACCGGGACAGTGGACCTTCATCGTCGGGCTCAGGCTCAGGTTCAGGGTCTGGATCGGGTGCTCCTGGTCACCGTACCGGTCTTGCGCCTATCCCACCCAACAATCCACCTTTGTGGCCTGGTGTTAGACGGTTGGAAGGCATCGAATCAGAGGAATGGATCTCGGCTGATGGCGATGATGCTACGCAGGATGGTAGTAATCATAGCGGCCGTCAGTGAGGTTGGCATGTTCTTGCGATCTCAAGACCAATGTAGATAATCTTTTTGTGTTTTTATATATAGCGAGGCGTTTTCTAGGATCAAGGACTTTGATCTACAATTTATATCCCCTGCAGCACACCTGCCGCATTCTTTTATCCTTTACACTGATTTCCCATTCATATGCATATGTAACGTTTGTGAAAATGAAGATGACTATTTCCCTGTAAAATTACATGCTTCATCCAAGGTGAGAGATAAGGCATAAATATAGAGCAGTGCTTTATCTGAAGGCACGTAATGGCTGCAACTCTGACCATTGTATTATATACTGCTCTGTGTGCCAGAGCAAGCAGGCGGCTAGCGGTTGTCAATCGGCTGCCAGCCAGATCGGGCGCCCACCCCCGCCAGAAAAAATTCCCACCCACCGTCTTTGACCGTTCACGCTTTTATCACGCCATTCTCTCATCGCCACTTCACCAAAACCTACCACCGTCGCTGCTTTTTGCTAAAGAAGGAGGCTACGACAGTTAGAAAAGAAAAGAAAATGGCGTACGGTTCAACGGATTCTCCGTCAGAGGACGATTCTCTCCTCAATGGACACCGTGCGGAAGAGAACGGTGATGGCCCCAAGACAGCATGGACGCAGGTCAAGGCCTTCTACAGCGAAAACATTGGCTTGTTCTTTGTGTTTTTGGCACAAATGTTTGCATCGATTGTGAGTTTATATCTTCTTTTTTAAGTTATAGCGAGGCAAGAACGCTACTAACATATGCATCTACCCGTTGAAGATGGCCATGACTACTCGTCTGTTAGAGACGGGCTTCGACACCAAGTTCCACGCCCTGCAAATCATCTTTGTCCGGATGAGCATTACAGCTACCATTGGTTCTATATATCTTTGGCGAAAGGGCGTTGCCGACTTTCCCTTGGGGCCTCGTGGTGTGCGGGGACTCTTGGTTATCAGAGGATTGACTGGCACGGTGGGCTTATTTGGACTATATTGTGCGTTTTCTGTTCTTATCCAGAGTGGGCGTATGGATGGCTAACGTGATTCTATAGACTCGCTGTCGTTTTTGGATATTGCCGATGCAACAGTCATTACCTTCCTGGTCCCCACGATTACTGGATTCGTCTGCTGGGTTGCCTTGCGGGTGAGATCGATATATAGCTCTGACACTAGATGCAGAAGCATGGGCTAACATAATTTACGTTATAGGAACCGTTTACAGTGAGAGAAGCGATTGCAGGCATCATTGCCTTCTCGGGCGTCCTCTTTATTGCCCGCCCAGCTTTCATCTTTGACAATCTGCCCGGCCACAAGAAGCCGCAGGGCTCGGCGCACGTCGCAGGCGGCATCTTTGATCCGGTGCCAGCAACACCGGCGGAACGATCTGTGGCTGTCATCTGTGCTGTTGTGGGATCTTTCTGTGCTGCCGGAGCGTATGCTACCATCCGCGTCATTGGAAAGAGAGTACATTCGCTTGTGAGCGTAAACTACTTTGCTGTCCTCTCGACAGTGACGTCGTTTTTGGCTCTCATTTTGCTGCCGGATATTGGCTTCAAGATGCCAAAATCTACAGCGCAATGGTATGTACTTCTTTTCGTCATTGTCCTGCCGTGATAATTGTATGACATGTAAACTAATCGGTGTGTAGGTTGCTGCTCTTGTCCATTGGTCTCTCGGGATTCTTGCTGCAGGTACTTCTTACCGAGGGCTTGCAGCGGGAGAGAGCGGGACGCGCCACCAACATGATTGTGAGTTATACTGCATCCCACAACGTACCACTATTAACTGAAAATCTTCCGTATTTTGTAGTACACACAGCTTGTTTGTGCGCTGGTCCTAGAGAGAATCGTATGGGGTACCACACCACCCGTAGAAAGTTTTGTTGGTAGCGCCCTCATTATTGGCGCTGCTGTCTGGGTCGGTCTGCAAAAGAAGAACCCGCAGCCTGTAACTGCGCCATCGTCTGACGAGGAGGAAGCATCGTCTGGTGCTGCCGCTAATACCCCTACTCGTGCTACTGATCGGCCAAATGAGCAGACTCGCCTTCTCCAAGATGAATAAATGGCACCCTGGTCACACAAGAGCTGGCCGACGAGCGGGAGCCGCCCGGCCCACGAGTAATACGTCCAGGAAGTGATACATCCGAAAACCGAAATTGAAAATACCATAAAGTCCGCTCTCTATCTACGTGCAAATGACGCAGCTTGGCGGGTTTGACTGGGGCCTGCAACTCTTTAGACCCAGCGCTATTGGACCGACTGGACCACCGCTACGTCGGATGGAAGCTTAGGGCCATGGGACAGCGGGGGGCGTGGGCTTTGACTACTAATCTCAAGTAGAACTAGGGCCTATGAAGTTGCGTGCTAGGTGCCCACTTCCAAGACAAGCCCTGTGGGATTAGCCTTTGGAGCTTGGCCGATTGCTTAGTATGAAGACAGCAAAAGAGTTGTCGTGTTAAAGGGAGGAGATATGCTGCTCGATTCCATTGCCGCCCGATGCTACCGACGTGGAGCAGGATATATTTTTCTTATTGGATATGCAATGAATTTGTGGTATTGCATGATGGGACGGGGGCCTCTACCAGTTACTCAAGACAGCCTATATCACTGCCCACTGGATCTGTTATGATTATGCAGCCACCCGTGGTGCCGTTCCCCACATACTGAGACAAAGTACCAAAGTAGGGCAGCGGACTTCTGATGGGCCGTTCTGAGAACCCGCGGATCTTTTCTTTCTTGTTCCTTACATGTTTTGTTGCTTCCCCTTGACAGCATGAGGCAATAGACGGTGCACGATGGTTTTCACAACACAGCTTAAAGACGTGGCTGTGGTGCTGGCCTACGCTGCGACGGTGGCATGGCTGGTAGGCAAGCTGCTTGAATACCTGCGCCATACGGCAAAGGCAAGGACCTTGGGATGCAAGCCTGCACCGCTTGGGCTCGACAGCAGAGACCCGACCGGGCTCATCATCACAATCAAGAGCCTGCGTGCCATGAAGAGGTTCGAGCACCCGGCATGGATGGTTAAGAGAATGGACTTTTTGGGGGAGCAGCTGGGCAGGCCGGCAACAACTATTACGGTATCGCAGCCCTTCTTTAAGAAGAACATCTTTACTACCGAGCCTGAGAACCTCAAAGCTATTTTGGCGACACAATCTAAAGACTTTGAGTTTGGCGTCGGCAGAACCGACAATTTTTGGCCTCTTTTGGGCCAGGGAATTGTAAGTCGTATAATGGGCTGGTTTTTTGCATCTACAAGAGGACGAATTGCTAATCGCCAGGTTATAGTTTGCCTGCAATGGAGAGCGATGGATGCGCTCAAGAGCCATGCTCCGACCTCAATTCATGCGCAGCCTTGTCAGCAGATTGGATCTAGAGGAGAGACACTTGCAGCATCTGATGCAGGTATTAGACGCCAAAACCGCTGGTGATGGATGGACCGACCGGGTCGACTTGAAGGCACTCTTCTTCCGCCTAACGTTGGATTCAGCGACAGAGTTACTACTTGGCGAAAGCACCAACAGCCAGCTGGCAACAGTGGCATCCCAAGAAAAGGAACTAGAGGGCAGGGCCTTTGCAGCTGCGTTTGACGCGGCGCAGAGGACGCTGTCCTTAGGTGCGCGACTGGGCCACAACTATCGCCTGGTTCACACATCTGCCTTTCGGCGCAACGTGCAGATGGCGCACGATTTCGTTGACCACTTTGTCGTCAAGGCGCTAGCCAAGACTGCGGATGCAAAGGACGAAGAAAATGTCCATCCAGACGACGAGGAAGCAACCACAGAGAAGCGATATATCTTTCTGGACGAGCTGACCAAAGAAACGCGGGATCCTGTGGAGCTGAGATCACACGTCCTCAATGTATTGCTTGCCGGCCGCGACACTACAGCATCTGTGCTGTGCTGGTTCTTTTACACCATGGCACAAGAGGACCAAGCTGATCGTTACCAGAAGCTTCGCCGGCTCATCATCGACTCATTTGGCACGTATGCAGACCCGCAGGACATAACATTTGAGTCCCTCAAAGCATGCCAGTATCTGCAGTGGTGTATTAGTGAGACTCTGAGGCTGTATACTCCGGTATCTGTGAATTTGCGGACGGCCGTGGTGGACACGACTCTACCTACAGGCGGCGGCAAAGATGGCAAGTCGCCTGTATATGTAAAGAAGGGGATGGATTGCGTTTTTTCGGTATGTTCTTGTTGTGCTCTTTTATTTGCCGTCATTTTCTAACTCTCTGATTGCAGACACATGTGATGCACACGCGCAAGGATCTCTGGGGCGAGGATGCCCGCGAATTCGTCCCCGAGCGATGGGAGAAGAAGCGGGCTGGATGGGAGTATCTACCCTTTCTGGGCGGTCCACGCGTTTGTATTGGCCAGCAGTTTGCGCTGACAGAGATTGCGTACGTGGTTGTGCGAATCATGCAGCGTGTAGACGTGATGGATGGCAAGGCATCGGGCCCTTTGAAGCAGAGCCTAACACTAACGAACAGTCCCGGGGCGGGTGTGAATGTACGATTGCATTTTGTCGAATAATATCGACCGTAGTAGAGATCTTTATGGGCATCTGGATTTTATACGTACATACAACATAGCAACATCGGCCGGGCGTTCATTTGGGGGACGTTGCATCTTTAGCGGGGAGACTGGATACAACTTATATCATTGTCCCAATACAGCAGGTATTATGATCAACACGGCTACAGATCGAGTCATTCGCCTATTAGCCCATCAATTCCGATATATCTCCGCTGGGACTATGGCCCGACACAGTGATTCGGCCGTTACATGCGCCCCTCTAAACATTGGACGATGCCCAGTGGAGATGGGGACACTCGGTGGTGTTAGCCTCAGAGGGCGCACACGGTACAACGTGGGGAAATTCGGCGTCGGCTTCCATGCCGCTAAAGGTGCAGATGGCGCCTGAATCGCACGGTTTGCCTTTACCGTCTATTGAATGGGTCGGGCTGTAATCCGCAGGGCGCGTATAGTATACATGGGAGCGGGGAGGAGCAACAGGAGCAGCGCGCACAGGAAAAGCAAAGACAAAGCAAGACATCACCACTACTCACAAAAGCTCACAAACTATAGTCTTGGTACAAAATCACAATGCAGCCGTTCCATCCTCTTGTTGAGGACGAAATTGCCAGGGTAACGTTTCTCTATTCTCTACTCGTATAAAAACGATTAGAATATCAAATCCGGGCTAACCACCCAAACTAGGTCGTCGCCATTGTGCGGCCGCTCTTCCCGGAATGCACACTTAACTTTCGCTATGTGACGCTCAAAGAGCCCCCCAAGAGTGTCATGATTGCACACTTGGAAGCACCATCTAGCCCTCTTCCAAGATGGGCCGCTGTACAGGTTGCCCGCACCAACGAGACCGACATGTCCCAGCAGCTGTTTGAACTCACCGTGGACCTTGACAATGACTGCGTCTTGGCCAACGCTCACGTCCCAGGACGCCATTCTCACATTGATCCAGCCTTTATGAAGAGCGTCGAGGCTGCGTGTCTAGCAGATGCCGCTGTGCAAAAGGAAATCAAGACACTCGAGTTGCCTGAAGGTGCCGCTGTCGTCGTCGAGCCATGGGCCTATGCCACCGATGGAATGAATGACATGTCTACCCGAATCTCTATCGTATGTGATCCCCCAGCAAATCTAACGTATACATTGCTAATCTAATACACCTGTGTGTTGTAGTGCTGGTTCTATGCGCGCATGACATCCAACGAGGATGCCAACTACTACGCCTACCCTCTGGATCTCTGCGCCGAAGTCTCCGAGTCACTCCAAGTGACCAAGGTCTATAGGCTGCCCTCATCCGCCTCTGGCAAGATTCACTCCACAGCCACGCCCTTTGACAAGCGCAAGATCCAGACATCCACCAGCGAATACCACCCATCACTGCGGCCTGCCCCGCGAACAACCACCAAAGCTGTGTCCATCACACAACCCGACGGCCCGTCCTTTACTGTTGACGGCAACATCGTCGCCTGGGAGAAATGGACCATGCGCGTAGGCTTCAACTACCGCGAGGGCCTGACACTTCACGATATCCGCTACGACGGCCGCCAGACTTTCTACCGCCTCTCGCTCGCGGAAATGTTTGTTCCCTACGGCGATCCACGCACGCCGTACCCGCGCAAAGCAGCGTTTGATCTCGGCAACGACGGCGCCGGGATCTGCGCCAACTCGCTCAAGCTCGGCTGCGACTGCATTGGCCACATCAAGTACTTTGACTGGTGCGACGTCACATCAGATGGTGAACCAAAGAAGCGCGAAAACGTCGTCTGCTGCCACGAGCAAGACGACGGCATCCTCTGGAAACACACCAACTTCCGCACGGGCAACGGCGTCGTCGCGCGCTCCCGTATTCTCGTCCTGCAGACCGTCATCACTGTCTCTAACTATGAATACATATTCGCCTTCCACTTTGGCCAGGACGCAAGCATCCACTACGAAATCCGCGCCACGGGCATTCTGTCCACGGCGCCCATTGCCATTGGTGACAGCGTCCCCTTTGGCACCGTCGTCGCTCCAGGTGTGCTGGCGCCCTATCACCAGCACCTGTTTTGTCTGCGCATCGATCCCGCCATCGACGGCCACGCCAACTCTCTCGTCGTGACCGAGTCCGCTCCCATGCCGCTCAACGACGACACCAACCCCCACGGCACGGGATACATCACCACCAACTCGACCGTGGAGCGCGAGGCCGGCATGGATCTGTCCATTGAAAAGGGTCGCGTCTTCAGCATCGTCAACCAGGACAAGATCAACAGCATCACAGGGACGCCTGTCGGATACAAGCTTATCCCAAGCTACACCCAGCTTCTGCTTTCCCATCCTTCGTCGTACCACGCGCGCCGCTCCGAGTTTGGCCAGCATGCCGTCTGGGTGACCAAGTACAGCGATGACGAAATGTTCCCGTCGGGCAAGTATACCATGCAATCTGCTGGCGGCGAGGGCATTGCGTCTGCGATTGCTAGCCGCACGGAGAGCGTTGCCGCGCAGGATATTGTCATCTGGCATACCTTTGGATCCACGCATAATCCTCGCATTGAGGATTGGCCCGTTATGCCGTCTGAAAAGATGATGGTTGGCCTCAAGCCTGTCAACTTCTTTGACGCGAGCCCTGCCCTGGATGTACAAGCCGCAGGCTGGTCTACTACTACTGCTACTGCTACTAATGGCCAAGATGCTACTGCTACCAACGGGACGTGTTGCCCCAAGACAAAGTAGATACTAATCATCTTGCCATCTTTGTCTAGACATAATAATGGTCACTTCGTAATAGCATAGAACGCCATAGAAGAGAACTATTTATAAAACACCCAGTCACTTAAGCATAGAAAAGGCATGCCCAGTATAAGATTCAACGGAATAATTCAAAAAAGAGAGAAAACGCCGCACTATCTACAGAGGGTTTGGGTGGCGGACTAGCTTGCGGTAAACGCCTTAAAACGCTGTATATACATAGATATCAAATTCCTTCTACTCTGCCGTCTCGTGAATCGGGCTTCCGTCAAGCAGTCAGCCCGCTAGTCCTAATAACCCACTTCCAATACAGTCTCTGCTGTGCTTCACAAATCCAGTTTAAAAAACAACTCCAGCCTGCGTCAAACAAGGCGGCATAAAGTCAACGCTAACAAAAAGAGAGACAGGAAAAAAATGGAAGCCAGGAGTGGTTGATACACAGACACTATTGCTCGTGGCATGTCTGAAGCCTCTATTTTTCGTCTCCGCGAGCCGTAGCAGCAAGAGCATCCAACTCCTTCTTGGTGTTGAGGTCGGTTTGCGAGCGGATAAACGAGGCACGGTCGTCGGCCATGTTCTTGTACTGGCCCTCCGAGTTCTTTCTGAAGAAGCTCCACGTTGTCGAGATGATAATCATGAGCAGCAAGACAAGAGAAAAGGCAGCGTTCATGATGAACACAACAACGCCAACAACACCGGCAATAAGACCAGGTGCGTCAAACACGTCGGTGAAAATCAGCAGCGCAATAGCATTGAGGAAGTTGACAATGCAAATGGCAATGTTGAACGAGTTGGTAGGCTTGTCCATGTAAGGGTGCATAACACTGCTGGTAATCAGGGCACCGGCCTCGAGAATGATAAAAGCAATGGCCTGCGTAATGCCACTGTTCTGGGCAAAAGCGACAAACATAGCCTTGACAAGAATGTAGGCGAGGAGGGGAGCGATGAAGTAGTAGCCAGACGCACGGAACTGCACGTAGAGAGCACCATACTTGGTCAAGTTGTGTGGGTCAGAGTACAGAGCGTACGCATGGTTTCGGTGAGCAGCAGCCGATGCTCGTGCAATAGCATACACCTTGGCGACACCGTGACCAAGGATCAGCAAGAAGCCCAAAAGGAAGAAGACGGCGAGAACAATCTCGGCAGGGGAATCGCCCTGAGTAAACTCCCACAGGCACAGAACTGCCATCTGAGGGAACGTGATGATGGCGATACGGTACAGGACGCCCTTGAGGACGGTGCGCCACGTGCTGCGGAACTCGAGGAAGCGGTCCTGGCTGAGGACGCCGCGCTTGGCAAGCTGGTTAGTGATGGCCTTGAAAATGACAATCAAGATGGCGGAGATGATGGCAAAGATGCAGAAGAAGACGAGTCCAGTGACGAAGAGGTTGGTCGATTCGATGCCAGCACGGTAGGCAACACGCTGAATGCCAGAGACAACATAACCACCAAGACCATCAGTCTGGTTGCCAGATCGCTTCAGGATATGCTTGACGGCGCGAGGAGTAACCTCTGAAATGGCACGACTAGCGATATTGACGCCGCGCTTGACAACGTGTCTGGCCGTCTCCATATAATCAAGACCGCGCTTTTGGACGTGAACGGAGAGAGTGTCGCCAGTCTGGAAAAGGGTCGAAGGGCTACCTCCCGTGGCGCGTTGGTACCAGGTAAAGATGGTCTGCATGAAGCCAACATTGATAATACCCATGGACCACTGGAAGTCCTGAGTCCACGAAGCCACCAGTGGAGGCAAGTGAATACCGGTCTGGCCCATGATGGCCTGTGCCTGGAAGTATCCGACGAGGGAGAGCGAGTTGGCCGCGATGTGAGCGGCGGTATTGGGACGGCCCAGGGCGCTGATGACGGCGGACGAAGCAAGAGCAAGAAGGGCAACAACGGCGGTAGCCCACTTGACACCGATCAGGTCAACAGTCTTGCCGTTGGTAATGCTGGTATCGATGCAAGCAATGGATCCACCGGCAGTACCATCATCCTTTCGCTCGTTGACAATGATTCGAACGCTAGCATCCAGATCGGGAATGCCGTAGGCAATACCAGGCAACTTGTTCTTGGATCCAGGGACCTCGAGCGTCCAGTTACCAGGCAGGCGACCGGCTCGCATGGGGCACATGCCCTTGAGTTCAGTAATCGTGCAAGGGTCAGCCTGGAGCTTGATGAGGTAGCCGTAGACGAGAATGTGGATATCGAACAATACTTTGCCTTCGTACGCAGTCGTCATGGCCATTTCAAAGGTGGCTGTTTCGTTAATAGGAGTAAAGGCAACCTTGAAGTAAGTGGCTCGCACGGGGGAGTTATCGAGACAACTTCCGAGCGAGTTGGATGTGAGCACGTCGTTTGCCGTAACGGCGCTGGCGAGAGGCGTCAGGCCAGCAAGCACTAGGCTTGCGGCCTTGAGAAGAGAGAAACGCATTGTTACGGAGAGAAGAGAATCGAGGAGAGAGAAATCAAGTCGGACAGCGGCCCGGCCGCAGGTAGGTTGGCGGTTGGCAAGATCGGTTGATGGTGCGTGGATAGATTTGCGTCGCGGAGAGAGATGTCGCGTTTGATTGACGCAGGGGCAAAAATGCCAGGAGAGAGAGCGTGGGTCCCGGTTCGAGTGGTGGTGTGGTGATGATGAAAAGGAAGACGGTGAAAACGAAGGTGGTGAGTCGAAAGAGCGATTATCGCGATACGGCCGTGTCCTCTGTTATTTGATGGAAGAGGAGCAAAATGGACGAGATCGAGAGAGCCGCAGCGGGATGCAGGATGCAAAGGAAGGAAATGAAAGTCTCGTGTGGAAGAGTTGCGATGATGGTGGAGCAGGAGGCAAGACGGGAAAAAGGGCAACACGGGGGGTGAGTACGTACCTTTTGCGTGTCCCAATGTGGTTTAGCGCCGTGGGAAGTGGATTGACATGCGGCCTTGGAAGCAGCGAAATGAAGCCGCCTGTGACAGTTGGTGGGCAGATGGCACCAGCTGGCAGGCCTGGCAACGGGAGCGCCGAGGGAGACACTAGCACCTGGCAGGCACCTGGTAGATAGCTGGCTGTGTAACGAAACCAGTTGGCGATTTTTTATAATTTTATTTTTAAAAAAATTCGTTTCCTACCAACGGCCCTTTTCCTCCTACACCAAACAACAAAAAAGAAAGATGCTACTCAGTCACCAAACAAATACCAGGCTGCGCGCGTGTACGGTGCGCCACAACCTAATACTGCGAACGCCTGTGGAAAAAAAGAAAGACCATTCCTCGTATTCCCACCTTGCGTTTGCCAAGCACTGCCCGCTGCTCTCCACTATGGCCTACACTGTACCGTGCTCTCTGTACAATGCATGCGCGCCACCCCTACGGCACCAGTATTCTTCCGGCGTCGACTGAGCGACTGAGTTTACCATCGCGTTTGTGTTGTGGCTTGCTTGAACTTGCAGCGCGTATGCTATCAAGTGCGACAAACGATGCATTCAAACGCAAATCTTGCGCGTAGATGTCGCCGAGAGTAAGCATCTACTTCGACAGATATGCCTGCGTCGCGACTGAATCAGAGTTGTGGGTGCGAGCGTGAGACGGTCTCTTTTTTTCCTTCCTTGATACAATGACGTGGGCTCTGACACCTTCAGTCTTCTTGAAGAAGATGAACCAACTGAGGTGCACAAAGCCGGCAAAAATATTTTGATTTACATTGACACTGTGGTCCATTCAAACAGTGACATTTTCAGCGATTTAAACCTTTTGTACAGGGCTTCTCTCTCGCGCCGTGGAGAGTGGTGGGATCTACGTCCAGGGTCCGCGTACCTCTTCGAGCAGCGCAGAAACTGGAAATGAAGATAGTGCCTACCCTCTCAGTCAACCAAAATCCCATCTTGTCAATAATAAGCATCAGAGGTAACCAAGAGAAACAGCCATGCCAAGACGAACCTTTGCCCTACCGTGATCGGAAATCGCTTATAGTCTTGGATGGCACAAGACGAGGCTAGGCAAACTGCCTAATTGGGAAACTCGCAATTCTCTCCATGGTGCCAAGCATAGCGCTCATGGCGTAGCAATGTTTTGCTGCGATTGTAATGAGAAAAATGTAAAGGGAAATTAAAAGACAGCACTAACAATATCCGAGGATAGTCTCTAGTCATCTCGTGAACTGCCATGCGAGCGGGTTACGAGCACTCAAGGCTGGTCTATATAATGCTGCCCAGTCCACCTTGAAAGGAGCCAGACAAGTGCAGTAACACACAATACTATCAAAACAAACGATACAATCACTCTCAACTTAATCTCACACAATCTTCTCCATTTTTCAACAGACTTTTAACGTCACTATGAAGTTTCTCCTCGTGGCGGCTCTTACCGCTCTCACAACCGCCTCCGCAGTCGACAAGGTTATCCAAGAGACACACAACTGCATCTTCAACAGCGGTTGCTGGGAGAAGACACTCAAGGCCAAGAACTGCGCCGCTACCAATGTAACATGCGCATGTGCAGGCGATAGTGATGATATCGGCAAGGTCAGAGCTGGCGTTGCCGCCTGTGTTAAACCCACTTGCGGCAAGCTCAAGTCATATTCATGTACGTTACAAATGACAAACCAGTACGATAATCACATTTCTAACTAAAGGACGTACATAGCCCTGGCTTGGGAATTCAACATTGGGACATTGTGCACTGGCGAGGACCCCACGCAAGAGCAGCTTGACAATGCAGCCCAAATCATCAAGGACAAGATGGCGTCGCCACAGGAGAAGCCTACTCCCGGAGGCAACGGAGGCGATATCGACGTTGGCGGCATTCTCGACGGTAGCGGTATTGACATTGGCGACATCATGAATGGTGGAAACGGAAATCCTTCTGGCGGAAATGGTGCCATCACCATTCCCGGTATGACCGGCAAGACCAGCGACGGCGCAGTCGTTGCCGTCAGCATGGGCGCTCTCGCAGCTTTGTCTCTAGCCAGTTTTGCCTTCTTGTAAGCCGCAGGTACTATATCATCGTAGCTTTTTGTACATGTTCCATGTATTATATCAACCCTTTTTATACCTTTTTAGCCAATGTTACGATGTTGTGCTCCTCTCTCTCTGATACCGATTGCGCCACATCTGGGTTTCCTGGTCACGCCATTATATGTATGTTTTACAACCTGCAGGACAGCTCCTCCAGCTCCTACAAAAAACACAAGACAAAAAAGCGGCATCCCCTGGCACATGATCCGGGCGGGGGTTCACAAAAGCCAGTTTGTCTTTTAAAATATCTCACAGAAGCATAATCAGAGTATGCGCTGTTAGTACCAGAGTCTACATCCACTAAGAAGCTGCTATCTTAAGATACGAGCATAGCGCCCGACCAGCCCGCACTTCTCACGCATAATCCTATTTTCCATTGGACGGCAAGAATGCGTCTTGATCAAATGTCTCTGATGGGCCTTGCGGTATCCCATACAGCACCGCCGTATAGATACGAACTGCTCGCGCTGCACAAATCCATTGCCAACATCTCGTCCATCTCAGGCAATGAAGTCGCTGTGGGAGAGCAGCTCATTTCATACTTGACAGCTCACAGCTTCAACACTGCGCGGCAGACTGTTCCTCTCGAGGCTGGCAGCACGAACCCATCTGATCGGCGCTTCAATGTGTTGGCGTGGTCCGGCGACGCCCAAGAGCTGAGTGCAAAGGTCCTCGTGTCGAGCCACATTGACGTCGTGCCGCCCTTTATTGAGTACTCCATCGAACATGAAGGCGACTCGATTACCGATCAAACCCTAATCTCTGGCCGGGGAACGGTAGACGCAAAAGCAAGCGTTGCAGCAATGATTATCGCAGTCGAAGAACTGGAGAAGCAGGCATTGATTGACAAGGGGGCAGTGGGCATGGTGTTTGTTGTCGGCGAGGAAACAGGAGGATACGGGATGACAGAGTTCAACGATTCATTACCTCCGACAGATAAAAGGCCCTTTGACGCCGTCATTTTTGGCGAGCCTACCGAAAACAAGCTTGTCTGCGGCCACAAAGGCAGTCTTGCCTGCAACATCACAGCTCACGGAAAGGCTGCGCACAGCGCATACCCTGAGTATGGGAAGAACGCAAACGAGATGATGGCCAGGGCTGTTGTTGAAATCAGCAAGTCTGACCTGGGAAGCTCCGACCTCTACGGCAATACAACGTTCAACACAGGTGTCTGGAGCGGCGGCTTGGCGGCGAATATTGTCCCTGACAAGGCGACTCTGAGGGTGCTTGCACGTGTAGCTATTGGCACCCTCATGGATGGGCATCTGCTGGTGAAGCAAACATTACAGGAGATTTTGGATAGAATCGACAAGGGAGGGTTTGAGCTTGACTGTCCGAATGGGAGAGGGCCGGTTGAGTGCGAGTGCGATGTCGACGGGTTCGAGCGTGATGTTGTCAACTACGGAACAGATATACCTAGACTTGGTGGCATCTACACCAAATATCTCTATGGGCCAGGAAACATCCGGGACTGCCATGCGCCGCAAGAGGGGTTGACTGTCGGGGAGCTGGAAACGGCTGTCGAAGGCTACAAGCGATTAATTTTACATGCGCTGGGAAACGTAGAGCCCTGAGAGAATCAGAAGATGAAAAAATATATATTCACTGCATTTACTAATCAAGATACGCCAAGTCGTCAAAATATCCAGAATAAGAAAACAAACGAAAATGAAGAATACATAGATAAAGGAACGTTGATGGGCGTCCGCAATCAAATCGGTATCAAGGTTAACAGTAGCTTCTGGCGCTGCTGATAGAAGAAAAGCACTTTAGAACCTGTTTACCTTGTCAGCAGTTTCTCCCATACGCGGTACCGCAGCGCAGCAGCCAGCAGAAGCACTAGAACTGACTTGGAAAACCAGCCTCCAAAGAAGCCAGTGTCGCGACCCTCACGGTCAAAAGGCACCGAGGTCTTGTGGCCCTGGAAGGTGATGATCTTGCTGAGCTTCGAGTCCGAGTACGGAGCGTAGCGGTATCCCAGGATAAGATCCATCCAGAATGGCACAGTTACGACGGTACGGAAGTGAGTAAATTCGTTGAAGCCCCAGATGCCGTGGTAGGCGCCCATGCCGGAAGGTCCGACGCCGCCAAAGGGTGCATCCTTGACGAGCATGTGCAGAAGACAGTCATTAAAGGTAACGCCGCCAGAGTTGGTCTGGTTGAGAATGGCCTCGCGCTCAACCTTGGAGTCGGTGAAGCCGTAGAGAGATAGAGGGTGGTCGTGGGCAGCAGTGTAGTCAATGGCCTCTTGGAGAGTCGCCTCAATGATGGGCAAGATGGGACCGAAAAGCTCCTCGGTCAGGAGGGAGTCGTCGGTGGTGACGTTGTCGACAATGGTAGGGCCCCAGTAGCGTGTCTTGGGGTTGCGGTCGCCGCCGTAGATGACGGTACCCTTGGACTTTTCAAGGAGAGCCTCCAGACGTCCATAGTTCTTGTCGTTGACGATACGGGTGCAGTAGCTGGGCTCAGACTCCTCGCCTGAGAGGAACTGGTCAAAGTACTTCTTGAGGGCCTCGATAAAGGGCTTCTTGACCTTGGGATCGACAAAGATGTGGTTGACACCGACACAGACCTGGCCAGAGTTCATGAATTTGGTGTTTGCAATGCGCTTAGCAGACAAGTCAATGTTTGCGTTGGCAGTGACAATGGCAGGGCCGCGGCCGCCGAGCTCGAGGGTGACGGTAGAGAGGTTCTCCACAGCCTTGGCGTAGATGATCTTTCCAACACCGGTAGAACCGGTGAAGAAGATGTGTGCCCACTTCTTGCTGAGCAAATGGTCCATATCCTTGGGGCCAGCGGTGACGATCTGGATGGCGCTCGAGTCGAGGTACTTGGGGACGATTTCGACAAGGAGGTCCTGGGAAGCAGGGGCAAGCTCAGAGGGCTTGAGGACGACAGCGCAGCCAGCAGCAATGGCTACAATCAAGGGCTCGAGGAGCTCCATGAAGGGGTAGTTCCAAGCGGAAATGATGAGCGACACACCCTTGGGTTCACGTCGAATGACAGCACCGCCAACAAGGTTGAGGGGATCAGTGCGGCGGGGCTTCTCATCGGCCGTCCACTTCTTGAGGTTGGCGAGAGCCTCGAGACAGGCGGCTTGGATGCCAACGACATCTACGAGGACAGACTCCTGGCGATGCTTGTTGAGATCCTGCTTGAGGGCATCGGCGATGCGCTCCTTGTTGTCCTGTAGCAGCCACCAGAGCTTTCGAAGCTGCGTTCGGCGCCATGTAAGGTCTTTGGTCGCGTTGGATCGGAAGGTCTCGGTGACAGTGGCGTGAGCCTACGATACGATTATTATTTGTTAGCCATGAAGAACATTGGGTGGGAGCTTCGAAGCTCGGCAGTGGTGGCGAGGGGCAGCCAGGGCCAGCAGCAGCACACATACCTTGTCGACCTCAGCAGCTGTGTTGTACGACATAATGCTGGTGTAATATTCGTCGCAAGGGAATTCTTTCTTGATGAAAAATCGATTCACTGGAAACAAAAGCACGATGCGTTGTCTCCGTGGTGAAGAGGGAGAGGGGAAGAAGAAGAAACGGTTGGCAGCTGGCAAAAAAGCATAAATGCTCCCATCACAGGTGCTCCAGCTGTGCCAGCTGCGACAGGTGCCGCGGCTCCGTCCTATGCCGTCCCCGCTCCCGCCCAAACTCCGCCTGCGCCGCTGGCGAGAGTTGGCCCGCTTCCCCGCCCCCGAAACCCCGACGTGCATAAGAATGGCACTGCCAATTCAGCATAATGTTGAAATTACAAATAAAAGGAGAGAATATGCAGGGACGTTGGCAATAGCATTAATAGTATGGTGCTAGTATACTTCAACAGAGGTATTTGATTATAAGGTGTGCGGGGTGGATGGTGGTGGTTACCTCGCGCATCGACTATTCCCCGATCTAGCCAAGTAAGCAGCCGATAAGCATACGCACGGTCAGCACGATGTGGGCGCGGCTCTATCATCTATGGGTTGTGTATAAAGAGTGATGGGTATAGCAGACAGAATGTAGTGGTATTGGGTTCTGGTAGAGGCATCTACGAATACAACATGAATGATTGAGAGGGGTATTCAATTGGCTCGTTAACTCAGAAAAGGTGAAAGGACGGGGTTTTATAGTGGTTCGATTTGCCCCTACAGACTGAACGCTGTTTTGGCAAACCGACGGCAGCAAGAGAGTTTCATACTGGATCTCTACAGTTGTCGTCAGCATAGCAAACGTTGACAAATGCCTAATTCAAAAAGTTCTACAACCAACTATCCTTCCTTTTGAATTCACTCTCGTTTGAAATTATTTTGACCCGTCTTTCTACCGTGACTGTTGGAGGCAAGCCAATAGCTGTTTGATGCAAACAACCGCTGTAGGTTAGCACTCTCACATGGCTACCACATCCAGCCGTTTAGGGAAAGACAGAGCAAATTGAGTGAAGCTGGCGAAAAATATAGTAAACAAGGTTTTTAAGAGTCTCGGGCGTCTTTCACATCTGGTCCATGGAGCTAGGAGACTGAAAAAGGGTGTTGCTAACGGGTCCTTTAGACTCGGACAAATGCCGCGTGGGTGACAGCGTCATTGTAGCCAACCCCACAGAATGAAATCTAGATAGGGCAGGCCATTACGTCGAATCTCCTGGAAAGTCGAGCACTGCCTTCTTTGTCGGTGCAAGCGACGAGCTAAAAAGTCACTGAGTCGGTTGGGGACTTGACGTAAAGGGATATGGCTCCCGAAACTCTAAATGACAAGCGTGGCAGGCCGTTGAACCATGCGCCCACCCGTACAATAGACAATGAGGTAAGTGATGTGCATTAGGTCCCCCCAACGATGGTATGCGCCTCTGCAAATCGCGCGAATTACACACTTGTTGGCAATGGAAGGTGGATAGACGGCTCTTGACTCACAACTCCAGCTTTTCAGGGCACAGGGTTCCCCAGTGAATGCGGGAACGAGGCCAGTCTGGGCTCCAGCTTGATAGGGGGAGGGGACGAACGAAGGCACTCATCGTAAGCCAGAATATCCTAACAACCTCTATGGCCTCGCTCCAGATAAACCCCCATCTTCTCCAGTGAGGCAATATATGGGGTAGTGGGAACTATTGTGCAGCGTAGATGAGTTCAGATAGAACGGCCGGCTGACCAGTATAGATGGGTAAAGAAGAGCCTGGGCCACTATCGACCAGCGACTCATGAATGCAATGGCAGTGGCAGCCTTCCATTCTAGAACAATGTCCGCGCCTGATGCAGCGGTTTAGCGAGAGGACCTCCATGCTGGAGAGAGGCAATTAGGGTGCTTGTTGACCGTAGCGTTTCGGTATCACGACTCAATACAGCAGGTGGACTCGGAGCCCGCTAGGCCTAATGTGGAACCCGGCGACAGGGCATTTGCCGTGAGCGGAGGAGGCATCCGGAGTGTGGACAGGTTCCGCGAGGTGGTGAATAAATGCTGAAAATATTTCAAAGAAAATAGATAATACGATAAAGAATAGGAAACAGAATTAAAAAGACAGCGCGATTCTTCTCAGACATAAAAGTCATACAATGATACCACAATATTGTTTGATATTGGGGGCTACCGTTTCTTCACTGCCGAACGCTACGCCTCGTTTTTTCCAGTGCCGACCGCCCCTAGCTTCGAGGCGCCCATTCTTTCACCTACCACATTTAGCATGCGCTACAGGGCAGCTGAAGCCCCGTAAAAGAAGTAAGCGTAATTCAGATCGCCTTGGGGGCGCAGTGCCTAATCTCCAAGGCGGGCGCCCGCCGCCCCTTGTCTGCTGTGACGGTAGCGTAGCATCGGTTACCCCAATTTCCAAGGACTCTTTTTTTCCAGGGCTTTCTCCAATCTACTGTACTGGAGGGTGTGCGCTGTGATTGTCCGTAAACACAACCTAAACAATGGCAACGAGCGTCCCTTCTTGGCTGCAACTGCGAATGGGTGGTGCCGCCTGCAGTGCCTTGTTTGCTGATTACTCACACACCTATTGGCGGTGTTGTTTACTACTCATTTGCTGCTTGTCCCATCTGCATAGCGCCCGTATTAATCGTGGACTTTTCTCTCTGTTTCCCTGTTGGAGAATGGAGCATGTCCAGCGGACGACGCCTCCCCCAACATAAAAGGCCCATAAAGGAAAAGAAGAAAAAGCCCACCTGCCCAAAATGGGATGCTGCTCCTTTGTTGCTCCGCACCTTAAACTCAACTACGGGGACCCCGCGCGCAATATTTCTGGGTCGGTCGAGTCATGGGGGTGGTACGTGAGCAGATAGGTAAGCTACTGAATAGGAAGCCCACGAAAGATGAGGCGCCCCCGCCATCTCCACACGGCATATTCCTTGTTGTTGAGGAGAAGAGACGTAGTAGTAGTAAGAATAAAGTAGTAGAACCGAGTAAGGTACAGATGGGAACGAGTATAGATAGCAGGACTTCCCCCAACCCTGGTGTGCATCTTCTCCAACCAATCTTTCTTTATATCCCCTCTCTTCTTTCTTCCAATTGATCCTTGGTGTTTTCCTGCCAAAGTCAAGTCACAATGAAGCAAGTTGCCACTTCCCTCGCCATTGCGGCCATCTTTGCTGGCGCCTCTGCCACACCCACCCCCGCCGCTGCTCCCGTCGCTCCTTGCGGCCTCATCAAAGCTGCCCAGGCTGCTGGCAACAAGACCGTCTCTGCACAGACTGCCTACGACTGCTTCCGCTCCGTCCCTCTGGGCAAGCAGCAGGGTATCAACCTGGTCGATGCTCTCGTCCCCTACCTCGAGTGGCAGTCTGACGCCACTTACAAGGCCAACCCTCCTGCCTCATACTCTTACCCTGGCTACGACTTTAAGGCCGGTCTCAAGACTGTTCGCGACAACCTCGTCAACAACAAGTATGACTCGGAATATGCCTTCCAGGCCGATCTGTTGACCAAGGTCTTCTTCCCCGGCCACGACGGTCACATGTACTACTACCCCGACTTGATTGCCCGTGCTACCAAGTTCGGCCGTACCAACGCCCTCGTCTCCATCTCCGAGGACGGTAGCTCTATCCCCGTTATCAAGTTCAACGACGATGTTACCGCCCTGGGCAGCAAGGCCCTCCGCGTCACCAAGATCAACGGCGTCGACGCTTCCACCTTTATCCAGAACGAGGCCAAGGTTGGCTGCGGCTCCCAGGATGCGGATGCCTGCTACAACCAGCAGTTTGTCGAAAAGGCCATCGGTATTCTCGGCTCCAAGAAGGGCGGCCATGCCGACAGCGGCCGCAGCTCATTCCTCTTCCAGGGCGCCACCACCACTTACACCATGTCCGACGGTACCACCCGCACCTACGACAACATTGCCACCATCAAGGGTGACTTCAGCAAGGTCACCGATGGCAAGACCTTCTACAGCAACTTCTGCAAGCCTGTTCAGCCTCCCGTCGACAACACCACACCCGTGGCTTCGGTCAACGGCGCCATTCCCGGCTACCCCACGCCTGTCGTGATGACAGACGACGGTATCGTCTCCGGCTTCTACCTCGAGGGCAAGGGCTACGAGGATGTTGCCGTCATCGCCCTCTTTGCCTTTGAGAACTCCAACAAGTACGAATTCCAGGATGTGATTGAGAAGTTCTTCGCCCAGGCCCGCAAGGACGGCAAGACTAAGCTCGTTGTTGACTTCCAGGGCAACGGCGGTGGCTACATTCTCCACGGCTACGATTTCTTCAAGCAGCTCTTCCCCAGCCACGACATCAAGCCCGATGGCTACTCCCGATGGAGAGCTAACGAGGGCTTCCTCGACATTGCCGATGTCTACTCCCAGAACACCGCCAACTACCCCAACTCGACCGCCACAGCCAACAGCTGGTTCTCATGGCAGGCCGATCTTAACACCAAGGGCAACCACTTTACTAGCTTCGACAACAAGTTCGGCCCTGTGACCATCAACAACGACCCTTACACCAACATCATGGCCTACGACCTCGATAACAAACAGACCTTTGGCGACTTCTCCGTTACTGGCTACGGCGATCGCAAGGACGGCTTCACGGCCCCCTTCAAGGCCGAGGATATTGTTCTCCTCTATGACGGCTACTGTGCCTCGACCTGCACCCTTGCCTCAGAGATGCTGCGCATCCAGGCTGGCGTCAAGTCCGTCACTTTTGGTGGCCGCCCCAACAAGAACGGTATGCAGGGTGTTGGTGGTATCAAGGGCGCCCAGGTCCTCGGCATGATTAACATCAATGCCTACATTAAGAACGCTGCCAAGAACACCAATGACCCTGACTCCCTGAAGGAGTTTGCTCGTTACAACTCGCTCCCCTTCCAGCGTGCTACCAAGGCTGGTCTCAACGTCCGCGATCAGATCCTCCGCGGCAACGTCGCTGATGGCCTCCCCGCCCAGTACGTCTACGAGAAGGCCGACTGCCGTCTCTACTACACCCAGGAAATGCTTACAGACATCACGGTTACCTGGAAGGCCGCTGCCGACTCTGCCTTTTTCAACGCCAAGTGCGTTGAAGGTGGCATCACCCACGCTAAGCGCGAGACTACTGCCGACGAGTACATTAGTAGAGCTGAGACTGCTCTCCTCCGCCGTGGCACCAACAAGCTTGCTGGCCACTACCCCAAGGAGGAGCACAGTGCTGAGTGGCTCGATGAGCAGCTCCAGAAGGTCCAATAAAGAAGGATCTTGAAGGACAAACATACTCTGTAAAATAGTAAAAGAGAAGAAAGGACCAAAGAAGAGAACCTTAGAGTTACATAGCAGCGATTTTGCACATAATGACGAATTTGATTTACAAATACATATAGAGGATGCCTGTCCAAGAACGTGACCAAAACAATAGATATTATTCGCGTGTATAATAGTAGTATAGCTACAGTAGCTTGTACACAGGTGAAGACTTTTTTTCCCTGCAGCACATTAGCGTATGTTACGTTACGATGGGGTTGGCAGCCCAGCTATTCCAGACCCAGGTTAGGAGACCTCTAAGTTATGTCCTGGACCCTCTAAAGATATGAGCGGCGCATCGGACCATTATATGCCACACTGCCAACTACCGAACCTGTCTGCATGCATATTGACAGAGTGGTCCTTTCCAGTCTCGGCCTTGCGCTAGCTAATTACCCGGCCATCATTACTACTGCTATACTATACGATCTGCTGAGATTCAGCTTACCTTGCTCGCTCACTCATCGCCCTGCATTGCATCGCCGCGGATAGATCCACTCCATGTCCCCGTAGGCGATCCCGAATTTCACCGGCGGGAATCTTGCGGGCTTTCTCATTTTTATTACATTTACTATATTTAATAAAGTCGACCGCCGCCGTCCTTTTAGACGATAGACTACTTCTTCAACCTATTCTTTTATACTCTACCATATTCATAGATTTGCTTTCAGTCGCCCCCGCCCACCAATCATAATGCTCTCTACACTCCCCATTGGTCTTCTTCTGGCCGGCGCTCTGTCTGCTGTCGCCATTGAGCTCCCCAAGGAATGCCAAGTTCCCAACCCCGTCATCACCGACTTCAAATGGTTCAATGGCTCCTCAAGTCTTCGCTGCAATTCCCCCAATGCCTACACCCGCGGCTACTACTGCTACAACAGCACGCTCGCCAACCCCTGGCTAGAGCCTATCGACCACAACACTTGCATCGACGTCCAGCACGGTTACTGGGTGTACCCTTGTGCCGATTCCAGTATACCTCAGAACCCTCCACCCTGGGGCCACGGCCCAGGAGAAGTTCTTCAATTCGCCTACAAGGACGGCGAAACTTGCCGGCAAGGCGTTAGTGGCGGCTACCACAACTACAACAACCCGGGCCAGGGTCTTACCGCCTGCCGATCGTATTCTGGTGGTTTGGGCTTTGGTTCCTCGTTCTGGGGTTCCTCCAACGAAGCTACGTCCCAGGGCAGATTTGCCAGGGATTTGAACTACGGCTATGCTCCCAAGTGCACCAACGGAAGCAGGATTGCATACCATGCAGAGGGACCGTTTACCCTGACTTGCACGCACGACGAGTTTAAGAATGCGACTTGCACGGCTGAGCCGTTCGAAATCCCCATTACAAGCTATACCATTATTGATGGATATTAAAAAGAGAAGCCAGTATATATGCTACATTTGCGGCATGGTTAGCACGAGAACGCAATAGGACAGTGGGAACTGGAGGGGATACAGCAATTAGAACCTTTATAACATAACTATTTACCCACATACATTACATCATTACGTATAATTATAAAATTAATAGCTATAATACGTGTGTAGGATGTTGTCATCTGTGCGCTCATGGTAGATCAAACACCCATAGCCGAGGCGGGTGCTTTGTTAGGTCCATGTGCCTAGTCTTATGAATTGTCGGATCCAATATGGGCCATTCTGTGTCTGAGCTAGGTATCTCACCAAATACATCAGGTGCAAATTCCCAAACCCCAGCTACCAGTGGCGGAGTGACAGGCTCCATGGCTACTACTGGCACCCAAGACAGGCTATTCTCGTCTGACACCTGTTCTATCCACTCGTGGAACTCTTCATCTTTCCGCTGCATGATATCGGAAAATGCTTCGCGACTAGAGATGCTCGAATTTGGGTCTAATTCGCAAAGAAGAAGGTAACGCATGGGGATATCTCTTGCGACCTTGCAGGCGGCCTTGAATCGGTTAAAAGTGTGCACATATCTTCGCATATCCTCATGAAGCTTAAAGTTTTGCAAACAAGCTTGAATATCCCGCGGGTCGCACTCAATACGCCTGTATATCTGCGCACTTGAAAATACCGGTGTCGCTTGATAGTTATGCACAATGGTGTTGGTGGATTGGATGCGGCTAACAGTGATATGATGCCCAAGGTCAAGCGAGATGATGGAGTAAAAGATTTCCAGACTCGTAGAAAACATGATTGATAGACTCCTTTGAAGTGTAAGCGGTAGGCTGTTTGGGAGCAGACCTTCCAAAGGATTCCATCTGTTGTTGTGCAAGCCCAGTTTCGTCATGCCGACACCGCGCGGGTCATACGCTATAATATCATGAACAAAGGACAGCATTGTGAGATTTGTTTTGAATGCATGGTCAGTTTCAAGCCATAGAATATTCACATCAGGGTTGATATACAAGTATCGTGTCCCGTCGGCGACCATTGCAGCTCTACCAACCTTGACAGGTACTTGGATTCTGTAGATGTTAAGAAACATCTGTCGAGATTCCCGATTCACCTTACCAATGGCAGAGCAAGATCCCTCATCTGAAGGGGCCATGTTGATACAGTACGGGTAGCCGCTAACAATGTTTCCTAGGATGTTGGTAGTTTTGTAGTATGCAATCTGTGGATCGGTGGTCAAAGTACAGCAGGCTGGATCATCCCATAGCTCAATGTGTATAAATCTAGACACGGAGATGGCCTCTCTCCAAATGGCAAGTCTGAGCTCAACAGGCAGACGAGCAAAGAGGGGGAAGGTTGCCGGTGATGCAGCGAATGATTCGTTGAGGAAGGTATATGGCTCAGGTAGTTGTACCATATTGGAAGGTTATATGAAGCGTATATATTGCCCGTATTTATATACAGTAGTTGCTATTGAGTCTCGTGTTTTCTTGTATGTACTGACACCACGAGTGTTTAGGGACAACAAGGCTTCGAAGGCGGTCGCGAAAATCAGGTTGTGTCGTCACCATTAGGATAACCTTTAGAACGATGCACTTCTATACTAATAGCGATGTAAGCTCAATACAGGGTAATTATTATTATATGAAAAGATACAGCCATGTTTCATTTTTCTTCTTTTTGGAGTAATATATGATATCCAAGAACACTCCGTGGCTTTGGTATGGCGGACGTCAGTGGCTCGCAAATGGAATGCTGTGTTTGCATACCAGTTGCTTCAGGCCGTTATAAGAATTCCCCACGCCGCCTGCCTGGATGGCAAATCCACCTCATAATGGACAGTAACATTTGTATTCCATCCTGACTCATTGTTTGCCGTGTTAAAATGAAGACTTTTGTTGTTATTGCTATATTTTCAGCGCTCATTACTGCAGCTGCACCACCAACTCCATGTGATACGTGCCAAGATAATCACTGCCAGAAGACGCTGGGCCCCAAGGGTGTTTACGATTGTATCTATAAGTTTTGCAAAGTCGAGGTGAGACGACAACAATCCCCAGAACGAATTGGAGATATAACACGCTAACTGATATATTCCATATTTAGTGTTCTATTCCAGATGAAGGGGCACCAGATCTAACGACGACGGAGTATAATTAGCTAGCGCTATCTCGATGAAGCCTTTGGCAAGTAATCAGATGCTAATGTAATTCACAAATGAACAGTCTATATGAGGACGTAGCTCAGTAAAACTGTATCTAATTTTAATATAGCTGTTTTAAAATTATAAACTTGTAAGCTTGGTACATTTGGGCGAAAATAAATATGTATAGATTCTTTGTAGAATTCTATTCAACATCACTTTTTCTAGTCCCCTCGAGTTCGTTTTGATCGACGAGGGCTTGAGGATACCCTTCGAGTTCGTTTTGATCGGCGAGAGCTTGAGGATATTTCCTCAACCCCAGGGATGGAATCGGGTGGCGACCGAATATCAGCATTTATAGGTCTGTTTTCGGAAATGTAAGACGACAGATGATGCTCATAGGCCTCCTTCCCTTTTGGAGTGCGCGTTGTCCACCATACGTTCAGTGGTAGTGTGTTGGCTTTGGAGGCAATAGGTCTATGGCCGCTATTAAGAGCCATCAGCCCAAGTGCCCAGATACCAAGATTAACCGTCAAGTTACCCCGACCAGAATTCTCCCATGGGATAGACAGGTATTGCACGTTCCATTGGTCGCGACCAGAGCTTCCATTAAGATAACATCTTGTAACAACTAGCTCATCGGGCGTCATGATACAGCCGTATCGAGTGCTGCTAACAACGCAGTAAGAGAGAACCTGTCGAAAGGGCCATATCCAGTTTCCTCTCCACGCAGCGGGTATTTTGGAAACATCGCTGTTCCACTTACTGCTCAATTTGTTTTCGCCATGTACAATGGGGGTGGTACCATCATCATCACGGAGAAAGATTACCCAGTCGGGCCGCATGGTTCTCTCGGCGTCTTTAAGAATAACCTCTCCCTTGTTCAGTTGAAATGTGATATTAGAAGGGGGCAATCCAAGCTGTTTATGGATAGTTTCAGAACCCTTCTTCAGCGGTTTGCGGCAGACCTGGGCGTTCCACCACGATGTTAAATCATCCACAGCTTCTTCGCCCACAATTCTAGCACACGAGCCAGTTCGATCGCCAGTCACCACGCAAAATGTGTCTTTCCCCTCAAGAATATCGCCAAACGCGCCCATGATGTTTTCATAGCTAAAGTCATACCAAATCTCGAGACTTCCTTTTTCGAGCTGTTTGAAATCTTCGTCTTTTGTGACTGAGCCAGGCTCTTGGCCATCTTTATTTAATGTCGGGTTCTCATGCGTCAAGATATTAATTGCTGGACCTTGGATAGCTTCGTCCATGGGTAAGTTCATTCGAGTTAAATTACTATAATAAAATAACCAATAGCTGAGTTCTTGGTTAACACGATATCGTTATTATATTACAATGATTTTGTATTGGATTTATTTATAGAACGTTCTGTTCGGCGCGTATGCCTTGTAGTCTGAGGCGAAATGTACACCAATCATTTAGCGCCAACAGCCTAGTCTGCTACAACCACTACTACACGCGCTAGACATTCGGCTTAAGGCTTACAAGTATTCTCTAGCATACTAGTATTTAACAGTTCATACTTTTTTTAAACAATGTTTATGCGTTTGATTGATAATTTTTTTTTTAAATTTAGCTACGTTGGGATTTGCGAAAATAATAGTAAGTGTTGTAGTGTAAATGCACGACGACGAGGTCTATGATATGAGCGCGCATTTGTTTCCAAGATACCCCATGTATGACCATATCATTCAACGTGTATTTCATCAAGAATATAATGCAGTACTATGAATAGTTTATTCGGTATAATTCATTCTATTTGGGTTTGTTGGAACTTGTACTCAACAATGGTTTATCTTGCAAATCATTATATACACTTGCACATACAGCCATATGCACAAAAAAGCAACCCAACCTCGTCTCACACCATGATAAAATCCTTCCACTTGCATGCTTCTTCTAGAATAAACGCTAGTCGTTTAGTCTAGTATTGGCTAGTTCGTCTCTTGCATTCTAAACAGAGCAAGTGAGAGTGCATCGTCCAGCATAGCCTTGGGCGGTCTCTTATGCACGGTTAGCATTCTTGTCAATGTGACTTCTGCCGGCATCGGTCCTGGACTCGGCGATCTATCTCTGCTACCGCCGTTTTCGCCTCCTGGTACAGCCAGCGCGCTTCGTCCGTGTCGCACCGACTGCGTAGCATTGCTCCTCTTGATGCCGTTGACAGCAGGGTTCACCGGAGGCGCAAGGCCCTTGGGGGCCTCGAAGCGGCCAGTGGGAGGCGGTGATAGCGGATCGGGCTGTATACTCCTCCTGTCCTTCTTCTTCTCGGTGCGCAGCGTGGTCCAGAGACTCTGGAGCCACTTTTGCTTCTCCTCCGGTTTCATAGACCGCAGAGGAAGCACTTCCGCACCGGCCATCTCACGTGTTGGCCACGGGAAACTAACGGCCATCTCTTTGAGCGTCATGGACTGCAGCTGGCGCAGCACAATGCGCAGCTGCGGCTCAATGTTGGTCTCTATCTTGTATGCCCAGTCATCGCGGCGCTGCAGACGGTCTGCAATCTGCGCCATAGCACCGACAAGCCATTCAATGGCCACAGTGTCGGGCACGCTCTGTGCCTTTTCCAACAGCCAGCCCAGCATCTCGGGCGATCCAGATTGGTTGAGAATAGGGATACTGCGCTTGTCGTGTTCGCGATCCTGCAGTTTGAGGATGAAGCTGTTGTACTCGCTCATAGCTTCCAACGGCATACCCACAAACTTGCCCGAGTTGAGCGCATGTACTAGCTCATCACCCAGTGCAAGGCCAGCTTTGATGCCACTGTTGAGGCCACGGCCGGGCCAAAAGTGCACTGTCATAGCTGCATCACCTGCTACAGCAACAAGAGCGTGAGGACGGGTGATTTTGCTAGTCTCGCCGGCAGGGAGGATATGAACACCTTCCCTTACGGCCTGGACGACAATAGGGATGCGCACAATGTTGATGACCTCTTCCTCCTTGAAACCAAACAGCTTCAGACCGTCAGAAATGGCTGTCCACATGGGGCTGGAGCGGTCTTCTGAGGGTGCAAACACGTTGCTCTCTGTGAAGCCAGGCGGCACAGTACCATCGGCTTGGCGAAGACATCCCGGACGGCCAAAGTGTACCGGCTGGCCATCCAGAGCCACCATCTTGTGCCATTCTTGTTCTGTGAGCTGCATGTTGAGATATCCTCGGCCGTCGTGGTCGCTTGCGTTGAGCAGGTATCGAGTCTGGCCAAGCGTAAGGAAGACGTTGAGCGGTTGAGACCAAGGTAGGCCAGCTGGGCGGTCAAAGGCGAGACCAAGAGCGTAACTGCGTCCTCGCTCGTTTTCGTAACCCTGGAAATATGATTGCCGAACCCAGGACGCCGCACCATCAGCACCAAGCAGCAGGTGAAAGTCGCCGGCGTCACATAGCTCTTCTCGGGTCATGCCACCCGTGTGTAAGTGGATAAGGCCGTTAAACTCGGGTGCTTGGACGCGCTTGAGGAAGCGGTCTTCGACTTTTCGGATCTGAATGTTGGCTGAACCGGGCCACACACGCTCTGGACGGCCAGCAAAGAGGGCTTCATACGAAGGCTTGCTAAGTAGGACTGTGACGGAATCTTGTAGCGTGACAACCTGGTCGCGACGTCGAGCGTTGGCAGGATAGTCTACTGTACGCTTACCACTGGCGTCAAACTTTTCTATCCAGCGCTTCTCGTACATGTGGACTTCGACGTCGCCGCGGCCCTTCTCGGCGAGAGCAATAGCGCTGGCCAGAGCAGTAGGGCCGCCACCGACAATGCACACCTTGAGCTTGGCGGCCGGGTAGTGTTCAATGAGAACTTCGCCTTGAGGAGGAGGCTTCAGGTTGCGCTCCAGCGTTGGATCAAAGAAGAAATCCATGACCTCGCGTGTGCGCTCCAAAACCATCTTATCGCCGAGGTGGCTTCGGATCAGCATATACCGGACACATTGTAGAAAGGGTGTTGTTTCGAACGAGGCATGTCGGTTGCCGTAGATTCGGGTCTTGATAGCACCGGCCATGCAGGGAATGGTGCGAAGGCGGTCATCGCTAACAATCGATCGCACCTCTTCAAAGATGATGGGATTGGGGTCCATTCTGGCCATGCGCAGCAGATAGACTCTGGCGCGGTCGCCGTCATTCATACCGACCTCCTCGGTCCATGCTTCTTTGTATAGACGTGGGAATATGATTTGGTTGAAATTGGGAGCCTCAACCGGTTTATCGCCCAGAGAGAGGCCGCTAAGCGAAACGCTGCGGCGGCGGAAGCCTGAAGGCGATGGTGCTCGGAGGCCGGGCATGGCGGCGAATGTGTGGGTTGAAGGTTTGCGCCTCGATGGTGAAGTAGAGAAACGGAATAATTAGAGATATATCAAGACAAGAACAAGAAGATGGACAAGATACACTTTTCATGTAAAATCACAAAAGATGGCGGTGGACTGGCGTCCGTGAGAAACGGGGGAGGAGGGGGGCACCATTTGTCTGTATATGTATGAGGGGCTACAACCGACGTAATGGCTTTTTGCTTGTAAGTGTCGTTGGCCCAATCTTTTTTTTCATTCTAGCGCCAAGCCACCGAGAACTGGGAACCACAACAGGTAGGCGCCCAACGCTTGTGTGGTTTGCAGAACAAAGGGCCGTGCGCGTATCAGGTGCAGGGTTTAGTCGCTTGCCCCCATCCTACGGCGGCCGACCAGCAGAAAATCACATCCTATGAAACATTGGGGGCTGTGTATTGTGAACAGGACCAAAGCCTGGAAATAAATATCCCCCAAATCGTGCAGGAAAGGCAGAGCGACTGCCTGGTTTTCCTCGAAACTTATCTCCCAAACGAGGCTGTGGGAGGAGCCGCTAAGGGATGGAGTAGCGTCTACGGCGCGAAGCCTGACTTTGGGGGGCTTCATTTTGCATAATACTGCATATTCCCAGCAAGGGAAAAGTGTCATTTCCCACGCATTGCTCTTATTCTCATACTATTAATTACCTGGCCGCTGCGTCGTTATGCGTTCGTCGGGCTTCTTCAGCTCCGTAAGGCTGTGCTGAGGGATATTGGCTGCGGGGGAAGGGTAGCTTTCTATTTTTAGCCCCGCGCGCTGAAGAATACAGCAAAAGAGGCGCCCACAAGCCCCAAACGCTGTGTTGCAGACGACACAGAGTCAATGTGGCGGTAGATGAGGCACTCTGGGAATAGTGTGGCGGTAAGGCGAAGCGCAGTTCGGCTATGTGGTTGGATGCATGCACGAGTTCGTTGGACAACAGCCCTGGTTGTTGTAGGCAAGCTTTTGTCGTGCTTACAGTAGAAGGTTTGTAGTCGGCTGTCCAGTAACACTTGGTCTGCCTCTCTTTTTATATAATACAAGTATGCCTAGCATGATACACTTCGGTTGGTTTCCTAGGCATAAAGAAAGCTGTTGCACAAAATGAACAAAAATAAAGAGCAAAAATACGTGGACAACTCTGTGCGGTTCACAAGTCATCAGAAATCACAAGTGCTGACATGCTTAATTACAGTCTGACAGCTGAAGCTCAAGCTCACCCCGCAAACTAGCCGACATCGGCATTGGGAGAACAACGAAATCTGCTTCATCTTCTTCACCAACATCGCAATTTTTATTAAACCGAACAAATGTCGCAGCCAATTTGGATCGAGACGCATGACTGGCATACAGCCGGAGAACCATTCCGTATTGTCCCAACGCTGCCCGACGATGCACTACCGTCATCCTCCACTGTAGCTCAGCGGCGGTTTGACATCTTGGCCACGCCAAACCACCCGCTGGATCAGCTCCGTCGCTCTCTATGCCATGAACCCCGTGGCCATGCCGACATGTACGGCGGTTTCATCACCCCGCCAAACGACGATGGTGCATTGTTTGGAGTTCTCTTCTGGCACAAGGATGGCTTCTCCACGGCGTGTGGTCATGGAACCATAGCTCTTGGATACTGGGCGCTGCACACAGGAAAGCTCAAGGCCCCTGAAAATGGGCAGGTCGATGTGGTTGTCGATTGTCCGTCTGGCAGGGTTGTTGCTCGCATGGGCGTTGAGAAGGGCAAAGCCGTCCATGCAGACTTTATCAACGTCACTAGTTACCAGCTTTCCAAGGGTTTGCCCACGACTATACCGTCGTTTGGTACGGAACTAAGCGTGGATTTAACCTTTGGCGGTGCAGTGTATGCCACGTTGGACGCTGCACAGGTAGGCTTGGAAGTCAAGCCTTGCAATGTCGCCCGCTTCATCCAGTATGCGCGGGAAATCAAGGTAGCGCTTGGTGAGCGAGCCCACTACGGCAAGTATGATTGCTACGGCGTTATATTCTTCGACGATATTGCTAGCGAGCAAGGCATAGTGACCCAACGAAATGTCACGGTGTTTGCCGATGGCCAGATTGATAGATCTCCTTGCGGCTCGGGAAGCTGTGCGCGTCTGGCAGTCTTGTTAGCGCAAAAGAGGCTCGATACGCAGGGCAAGCTCGTCAACCAGTCCATCATTGGGTCATCATTTGAGGCAACCGTCCAGGAGCTGGTCCAGGGACCGGGAGAATTCCCAGCTGTGATCCCCATTGTTAGAGGCCGAGCTAGCCTAGTTGGAGAAATGAAGTTTTACATTGATGATGCAGATGAATTGCACCCGGGATTCCTGCTGCGATAGAATACGGATTCTATAATTGATGATAGATGATAGCTCTACTGACGATAGCAAATGATAAGTCTACATGTTACTTATAGCAATGAACATTCTAGCAACATAATAAACAGAACCGAAAGACTACACTGGGGAGTGGTTCACAAACGGAACAAACTGCTGAGGGCATGTGGTGTTGGCTGGGGGCACAACACCTGCAAAATATGCCTGAATATGCTGCATATAGCAAACAGAACCACCCTGACTTAGGACCACGTGCTAATAAAAAAGTGATATTTTAGTAATTACTCCTCCTGTATATGGTGCATGAATTCACTTACACCGATGGCCTCTTGCTGAAGCAGGGATGACCCAGGAAAACGAGAGTGCATCGCGCGCGCCCTGTGCAAAGTAAAGGCAATTAACATTCACATCCAATACAGAGTTTCTTTTATAGAATGACAACTTACGACTTCAACGGGGTGACGGGATCGATCGTATTGCTTGTAAATAATATCGGGAACGCCGTCTTTCTCTGTCTGCCACCGATTGTATCTAGAAGAATCAGCCAACCGTTTTTATAAGCAAGTAACCCTGTAATTGAATACATACCTTTGACAACCAAGCTGTCCGGTAGCTCGGGCTTTAGAGACCAGCACAATACCGATTCCACATCAGGAATCCATAAATCGCCAAGGTATTTGCTTCTCGAGATGGCCTTTTCCACAGCCCGTCTAAACCCGTCAACAGTAGATAGGCTGTTTCGTCGATAGGAATCCACGCATCGAATGGCGACGCTAGGATCATCCGTAATAGCTAACCCAGCAAATCTACCTACCAAAGCAGTTGCATTTCCTTGTTCAAGCTGATGAAGGGCATCAGCGAGGATCGGGAATTTCTGTAACGGCGTGTAGAGTGCAGCGAGTATGAAAGCCTTGAGGTCGGACACCGTGACAAGGGCTGGCAAAGTATCTCCGGGCATTCCACTGATGGCGATAGGATGGCTCTGTAGGTTGAGAATAGCCTTTTCCAACCTCTTCAGGATATCGTCAGGAGTCGGTCCCCAAAAGGAGCACTTGTCTTTGCCTGCTGAATGGCAGAGGCTTGCAAACTTCTTCACCGCTGCGTCCATTTGGTCAATACCATCACTCCAGTCATTATGGTAATATTGGTCTGCATCCACCACACCATCGAGAACCATGCGTCCGACGCGATCCGGAAACATGGAGGCGAACGTAGAGCTGATGACAGTGCCGTAGCTCACGCCATATGACCAGAGTTTTGCCTTGGCTGGTGGACGTCCAGCCAGAACCGCCTCAGCCTCTACAAAGGAAAGCAAATCCCTTGCAACAGCTGGCGTTGTGACATAGTACCCGTGCGGGGAGCCATGGGCAACTGCATAGTTGCATCGATCGCCGTATATCTGGGCTGAATAGTACTGGTCCTGCACAGAGTTGGTCGAGAGGTTCGTCACGCCGGTGCTGTGTAGTCGAAGAAAGGTCTGCCTTGCTTCTGCGGCGCCTTGGAAACAATCTAGCTTAGGTCCACTGTTGTTCACACCTCTCGGGTCGAATGACACGATACTGTAGTTGTCGCCGAGAGCGGTGGCGGCAACCGCCTGTGAAGACAAGAGCAGGTCAATACCAGAGCCGCCTGGCCCACCTGAGATGATATAATTAGTATGCCGTAAATTTATGAACGTAATGGGTATTCATACCTGGGATAAGAACGATGCTGGGTGAATCGATTGTCGCATTTTTGCCCGTCAGCTTGACAAAGGCAATGTCCGTAGTGCCTAGACCGGGGTTTGCGTAGTCCAATGGAACCTGCAGCTTGGCACAACTAAGTGTATCAAAGCAGGGGGTCCAAGTAAGATTTGGTGACGCTTGAATCTAGTCCTTATTAGCTTAGTCTTGCACTGTACTTCTGCTCAACTCACGCTCCCAAAGTCATGGGTCGTGGTCGCCTTGCACCCAAGAATCGGCAACAAATATGCAGCATAAAAGGAGGTCTTCATTTTTATATGAATCAAGTCGAAGGAGATTTATTTAGAATGAAGGTTTGTTATTGTAAAAACTCATGGCCATACATGACCATATTATATAGGTCGTTGCTCGGCACAGCCATGTAAACTTACGTAGACTGTACGAAGTACCCGATTGAAACATTGTACAATTTACTTCGTCAGCTGTATCCACCTGTACGAACTATCAAATTATAAGCTTATTCAAACCCATATTTTCTTATTGCAGGCTGATTCTTGATACAGGCCCTACGCAATAAATGAGGCTGTGTTCTGTATGTAGTCCACCTGTACGAACCAACCAATCAGCATTAAGCTCTGACGTATACCGCGGTTTATGTCAGTAACAAGGCGTACTAATCCTCCCTTCAAGATTGTCAAGTATTTGGTTTATAATTGAAGAGATTATTTTAGTTTATTTAATAGTATGATATAAAATATGGTCGTTGTTTTTTTAATATAGAAAGCAAAATATATAGAATACAGGTTACAATAGAAACATCAACTAACAGCGATATAAAGAGCTACAGCTTTCTTAAACTTTCACCATGGTTACCCCAAAGGCCTCATTTTCCACCGCTTTCACGGCGCCAGCATCGTCCTTGATAAACTGGAACTCGCCAAGGCTATTGAAATCGTACAGCCTTTGGTCCAAGTTGAACCAGCTCTCGCATGCACCGTCCTCGTAGAATAGCTTATCCTCCAGTGCGTGTCTCTGCGCATGCGTCGCCGTCTCAAACACAGCTCGGAATACATCCCGGCTGCCCGACACATCTTCACGCGCCTCCCATTGCTTCGAGTGGTCTCTGCGCTTCACCGTCTTTGATGTCGACATGTCAGAAGGATATAGACGGCCGTCGACAAAGGGCTTCTCGGTGCTGTTGCTTGCGTGTTGTATTCCATCGAGACTGTAGAGGGAGATATGTGACAGCACATCAAATCCACGAACAGTAAACTCTCGAATGTTGGTTCCAGGGCCGTTATCAATCGCCAGGACGAGCTTTGACTTGCTATCCTTGTCGACGTATGTTGCAATGTGGCCACGGTCCGACGATGCTTCGCTTCGGGCGGCCTCATCAATGGCTGGGATAAGTGCCTTGACGGTGGAACTGAAGATTTCTGTCGCTGCATGGGGATCCTGTGCAACTTCTTGGCCTCCAGTGAGGACGGAGACAGAAATGTCATAGTCAGGTACTATACCCGCGTGTGCGTGATATTGGCCGAGATCGCCCGTTTTGGTGTACACATCGATAACGCGGCCATCCTTTGCCAGGCGTGTTGAGCGGAGTATCTCCCATGGTGCACCCACAGAGAAGCTAAGAGAAGCTGTGTGTGTCTTGGGCTTCATCCAAGCGCGCGTAGCCGCAGGAGAAAGTAACCGGTTGGCCATTATTGCGTCGGCAAAGGCGAGCATGTCGCTGGTCGAAGAAAACATACCACCAGCCCTGCAACCAATTAGTGACATTCCGTGTACATGGATGGCAGATCACTCACGCTTCAAAGACTCCGAGAGTCCCATTCCACGTTTCCTCTTGTTGGGGAACGAATACACGGTTCTCAAGCGAAGGAATAAACCCTTCAAACGAACTTGCTTTCATACCAGCAACATCAAAGACGGCCTCCTTGGCAAGATCGGCGAACTTTTTACCCGTTGCTGCCTCAAGGACCATTCCGAGCACGCCATAGGCAGTGCTAGAATATGCAGGCGATGTAAAAGGCTTGAAGATGGCTGCATTGCGGTTAATGGTATCCAGAATGTCCTTTGGTGTACACTTTGGCGTGCCGCCAAAGCCAGAACAAGTTGGGCCAGTGCCGTCCACCACAGGTGGTAAGCCCAAGGCCGTCCAGGGAATTTGGGAAAAGACAGCCAAGTCCGTTGCAACTAATAACTGGTCAGTTTTTTGTATGGAAGTAGATGAAAGTGGGCTTACTGCTAGTAGGTATTCCAGAGAGATGAGACGCAAGGGATTCCACAGTGATGTCTTCCCAGTCAAAATGGTGTGCGTCGAGCGACACACTCTTTTTCAAATCAGGAAGATACTTGAGCACCGAGGCTTGCATATCAATCTTGTCACTCTGAAGAGCCACCAGTGCAGCTACTACCTTGGAGAAGCTTCCCACACGGTAAATGGTGTTTTCATCCACCTTGGTCGTGCCAATACCCGACATGTTAGTGGGCGTAAAGTGCCAGTTGAACAGTGGCTTGTCTTCATGGAGTGACTTGACTGCCACACTGACCGCGCTCTGACTCAACAGAGGCTGAAGTGTATCTTGCAGTTGTTTGGCTAGAGCCTCGCCCGCCTGCTTCACAGCACTGTTAGTAGATGGCGCTGTTGGCGCAGGCAGCGTGCGGCCCAGTGGAGGGCACGGCTTTGCGGAAGAGGGAATAGAAAGGGCCAATACGGCCAGTAAGGTAGTTGTAAGCATTTTGAATTGTTGTTGTCTTGTCCAAGATTAGAGAAGCGATATGGCGGGATATATTTATACTTGTGCAGACGCAGACAAACAGCATTCTGGCCGTCGTCATCTAACAGGCGGCTCAACTATTACGAATTCTGCACCATCGAAGTGCGAGGCTCTCGATCCGACGGCACTGCCTCCGCATCCCGAACCGGACACTTTTTCTGAAGATTAGTATATCTGATTGGTGAACAAGTGGATGCTGATGTGATGGCCAAGAGGTCCTGAACCGTCATCCTGGGCCCTGTTAAAACACAAGGCTTACGCGCGCCACAGAGTCCGAGGTCCCAGAATGCGACGGCAGTGCAGACTAGCGCCGGCTACGGCTACTGGGCTGACGACGATGGCAGTCGATCGAATGCTGCTTTTGAAATACGCACAGCCACTGTCCAGTTTTATTCGTTCTGCCGTTCGGCGACTACTTAGTTGAGCTTGCCCCGACTTTGCTGAAGCTCAGCCTTGTTGAAAAGCCCACAACACATGTCGCGCAATTTCCGCAATTCCCGTCGTATGCGAATGCGACAGAGTCTCGCCTAATCCCCAGTCAACTTGTCTTCGCCACTCGTGAGTTTGGACATTTTAGATCTCTGGAGAATTCATGTTCGTGAGGAATACGTCACGCTACGCATCATCAGATTCATCCTCATATCCCGTCCATGGAAAAGGCTACTGCCACGACCACCAGTCAAGCCTGGAGGAAGAAGCCCCGTAAATTTGCCCCGAAGTCAAGGCTAGGTTGCAAGACATGCAAGTAAGTAGCAATCCCTGAAGCTATTGCTCAACCAGTAGAGTGACTAAACTGGTGGCGCTAGGATCCGTCGAATAAAATGCGATCTTGCTCGCCCGTGTTGCCAAAAATGTCAATCTACAGGGCGTGTATGTGATGGCTATCCTGAGCCCGCGGGAAACAACACCATTCAAAAGCAGCAACCACTTCTCCTTCAGACAGAGTGTAGGAACATAGCCAGGTTGAAGCCCCTGATGCTGGCGCCCGCCGCCAGCCCTGTAGAAAGGGCCACTATGGACTTTTTTCAGCATGTCTCTATTAATACTATGAACGAGTACATGCCGTCGGAGCTTTGGCACAACACTGTCATGCTCCTCGCTCAGACTGTGCCAGCAGTACGCCATGCTACACTCGCCCTAGCTGTCACGCATCGAAATCACTTGGATAGACTACAGCAGGTACAGAGGTTACCAGCCTCGCCGGGGCCAGAGCAGATTGCGCAGTTTCACTACCAGAAGGCAATACAGCTTCTCCTGGGTTCGGATACTGGTGGTTCCTCTAACAATGCCGTTGTTACATTATTGGTTTGTTATCTTTTTGTTTGCTTTGGCAGCCTGTCGGGGCAAAACAACGAGTCTTTAATGCATCTGCAAGCAGGCGTTAAGCTTTCCAACGATATGATGCCATCAAAACAAGTGGGTGCAATTTCACTTTCTGACAACCAAAGTATTATATCGCAGGTTTCAAGGCGCCTTGAACGTCTCAATATGCAGACTGCCATGTTTGTAACAGACTGGGTTCCGACGAATATTCACAAGCCAGGGGTTTTTCAAGCTACCAATGGAGCGTTTGCATCCCTTGATGAGGCTATCGATGGCATCCAGTTTCTCGTCTCGCAGACGATGAGACTACATCACAACACCACTGAGGTACAACTATCATCTGCTGTTACTCCGTCGGACACACACAAACTAGGCCTACCATCTAGGGACACCCTTCTAACCCAGTCGTCCATGTGGCTGCCTTTATTTGATAATATGCCACCTGAATCCAAAGGTGGCAGTAATAGCGCTGTGGTTATGCTAATACGCCTGCATTATGCCATTGTGCGAATTTTACTCAGCTGTCAGCAGCCAGGGAGAGAGCTCATGTATGATGAATATCTCTCCGACTTTCAAAAATGCACCGATATGATTGACCAAATCACGGCGATTCATAGTGATCAATCTTCGGCATTTTTAGACCCGATCTGGACGCCCGAGATTGGAATCATCCCTGTGTTGTACATTATTGGTGCAAAGTGCCGCGATCCAACGGTTCGACGTCAGGTTTTGATGCTCTTGCGCCGACGACCGATGCGGGAATCCATCTGGGATAACTTGACCACAGCGAAAGGTATCGAGAGGATTATGGCCATTGAAGAGGCCGCTCTAGAGGAATTAGGGACAGACTGTCTACCGTTGTGCCATCGAATAGAGTCTGTTTCCATGTCGTATAGTGGCATTGGGCAAATGGGGACCAAAATGACCTTTAGTTACACACGCTGCGGACAGGACACAGTTCATACGGAGAAGTTAGTAGTATAATGCACATTGCTACTATAGTCTAGCACGGAACGATGAATATTGGCTATACTTGGGGGTCATGATATATCAGTCATTTTATATGCTATGTGGATCGTGCAGATTATATATACAGAGGCTTTACAATCTTACGCCGGGATATCATGCACGCCATGCTTCAATCTATACATACATTTTCATTTTCGCCCAATGCAATATTTACCACTCGAGTCTGTCATCGCAGACCAGGTCAACGCTGAAGCGCTGCTCGCCTCTCCACACCTTGGCTGGTTCCACGGTGTTTGCCACAGCGCGGCGCAGATCCGTAATCATACCGCCAGGGCCACTTGCAAAGACGACCGTTCGTGCGGAAATCGTGTTTTGCACAAAGTCGCCAATGATCTTGTTAAGGTCTGGTCTGCCAAGGCTTAGGTCCTCTTCCGTCTCAGTAGTCTTGACAGCAGTCTTTTCGCAAGGGCACTCTCCCTCTGAGGAAGACCCGGATGAGACAGCCTTGTCCTGCAGAGACCCAATCTTAGCGTCCCGCGTAATGCAGAAGTGAATAGTCAGGTTAAGAGTCGACTGGAATCGGCGCAAGACTTCAATCTCGTCGCGGACCCAGTTGAGGTTGCTAGCATGACGGATGGCCCAGACAAACTCAATCTTGCGGTCTGCCACGGGGGCCTGGCGAGCAAGCTGCAGAAGAAGCGGTAGAACATATGTGATACCAGTACCACCTGCAACGCAAACAACGTTTGTGTCCGCATCGATCTTGGAGAGGAGATCCTCGCCGTAAGGACCGGTAAGAACGACACCAGTGGTAGCAGCAGAAGGAGGTGATTGTTCTGTCTTCTTGCGCGCTAGTTGGGCGACCTTTTTGGTCTCACCGCCCTTGGCACGGAAGATGTAGGAATGCTTTACAACACCATCCTTGACGACAGGGACGCTGAATGGTGTAAAAGGGTGTGACTGCCAGATGCTGCTGTCGGTAAAGGTGAGGTAAAAGTGCTGACCAACGGACCAAGCGTCTTGGGGATTTTCCATATCAAGACGCACGACGTCGCCATCCTCATTGTCTTCAAATAGAGAGACCTGAGCCTGGGCAGGCGAGAAGCCTGGCTTGACAGCGGTTGGGTGGTAGTGCAGAAGGGTAGATCGGAAGAGTCTGGCGCCGCGATCGATGCCCCAGACAATAAAGGCGGGGACAATGAAGCACTCCAGCTTGTTCCAGTGTGCCCAGCAGGCGCCAAGATAGACCATGGCCAGTACGTAATGGGCCTTGCGGAAGAACTCGTAGCCGGTGGCACGGATGCCCCATGGTGTGGACAGGATCACCATGATGAGGATCAAGATGGTGGCTACAATGCCCCAGATAATGTATCCTTGCTGGATCCAGACGAGCGAGACGCTAGGCTGTGGCTGGTAAAGACGCAGCTGGACGACGCACCAGGCGATAGTATGTAGCGACGCTTGAGCAAAGATGATGTATCCCAACCAGCGGTGCAAAAAGTTGAAGTTTTGGTATGGCACGCCAGTGACAACTGTGAGCAGCGATTCGCGGGTGCTGAGAAGGACGGAGAGGGGAGTCAGGGCATACGCCAAGACACCGATGCGGTTGGACCACGGGCCCAGCGACGTGCGGATATTGAATACACCGGGCATGTTCTTGACTGGTGTGATCCATGTGCCGTAGACGATGCCGACAAAGGACCAGATGATGACATAGCCAGTCAGAATCGCCAGCACGGCGACTTGCAGGCGTGTGGTACGACCAAATAGGAAGTGGTTGGCATCGGGCAGCAGGATCTTGTTCTTGAGCGCGCTAGCTGTGTTGGCGATGCGACGGAGAGTTGATGGAGGTGCATGTCTCGGCGCCGGGATGACGGTAGGCTGGGCAGCCAGGCGTGCAAGCCACCAGATGAGCAGGATGGCGCCGATGGTGCTCCAGAGGATGCCGACATAGAGCATGCTCGAGTCGTGGGCATCGTAGGCAATATCGAGATAGGCGCAGGAGCCCGGGTCATTCTTGCACGGGACTTGGCGATCCGCATAGCCCCAGTGGCGTGTGACATTGCTGTCGAGGGAGTGGTCTTGGATATGTCGTTTTGTGAAGAAGTCCATGGTGGCGGATGTGTGGTACGTGTATGTGCCTATATGTGTCGGTATGGAGACGTATTTGTTGGGAGGTTTCGGCCCGTCTTGCTCTATGTATATGTGTACGTATATACAGATGAAATAGATACGCAGTTGTCAGACACAGCGAAATGAAACGGTGCGGTCTGTCGTTTGCGTGTCTTGTGTACGCCTGCACGGATATGTATGTATGTTTGTATATGTGTGTAGATACAGGCTGTACGGCCTCTGTGTATCAACCGCGTATATTGTCGGTATGTGTGCGTGTATAAATCGTGTATAGACAATCGATCGAGGGGCGTCCGCTGTGTCTCAGGGGCTTGCTTCTATTCTGGCGATAATGATGTTCGAATGCCCTGCCTTCGCTTCGCTCGGCATATGCTGGTAGACTGGGGATAGAGCGGCTGGCTGTATAAAAAGAACAGCGCGACACAATGCAACGATACTCTGTTACGCTGCCGTGCAGAAAAAAAAAAGGAAAAAAGAAAATAAAGAAGACAAGTAATAGAGCAACTATGCAACTCCTCTTTGAATGCAAAGCAACCAGTTGTGCCAGTTGTGCCAGCTGGCAATTCTTTAAAGTTTTGGACAAGGTATTTAGTGTTTGCGGCCACTGCGCGAGTAATCGGAAATAAATTGACTCTGTTTGGCTTTAGCGGCACGCAACGCCTCTGCCGCTGCGCAAGATTGAGCAAGTTTTTTTGCCTAAAGCAGCGTAGCAGCCCCCGCAATTGATGCACGCAGCACCGAGCACCCGCTGCAAGGGTCAGCCCAGCCCGCTGAAAGAGCCCAAATTGTTACAGCGCATTGTCTGCCTGTACAGGCACTGTAGCACGCTAGCTCCAGTGCTAACTTGTGAGCGCAGAGTGCACAAGACAACGAGGCTGGGGTCGGTGGCGTTCCCCAGTAGCAGGCAGGGCTACAGTGGTAAAAGACACGCTGCGCGGGTTTATTCGACGTGGCGTCCCCTGCAGTCTCAAGAAACCTCTATGTCCTGCATTTCATTTGCTCGGTTTTCGTTTACTGCCTCTATCCTGCTCGTTTGATTGCAAATACTTCTTATGAGAATAGTAATTCGGGCCGGGAGGGAACTATTGGTTCATCTATCTGAGGAATACTGAGCACGTTTTAGCACACCTGTCACCCACTAAAACAGAGCCTTAGACCCGCCATCACCACTAAATATACCCGCTAGCCACTTGGTGTAACAGCACCACCACCACCACCCCGCCCCAGCTGTATTGGTAGCGCCGACCCCGAATCACATCATCTGGTGGCACTCTCCTCCTCCAACGCTTTTCTCCTCTTTCCAACATCACCGATTCCTCATTCTCCTCACCGCCTCTCCTTGTCATCTTCCTCTTCTTTTGATTCTGCTCTTCTCCCGTTGCTTCGTCTTCTCCTCCACGAACGAACGTTTGGACGCTCGCATCTTTCGATATCCGGCGACGTCTACACCTCTATCGACTGACTCTACGAACGCCGGACCGAGAACAAATCTTCACCACCACACAACACATCTCATCCATCTCTCCTTCACCATGGATCATTCGTCGCACGTATCGCACATGGACATGGGCCACGGAGGCATGGATATGGGCGACGGCTCCTGCAAAATCTCTGTAAGTAGTACAACTACACACGTGCGCAAGCACATACCCAGCGCATTTCGCCGTCTACTCCTTGTACTAGAAACATCGAAGGCTAACCAACGTCACTCAACTACAGATGCTCTGGAACTGGTACACAATCGACGCCTGCTTCCTCTCCGAGTCCTGGCACGTCCGCTCCCAGGGCGCCTTTGCAGCCTCGTGCATCGGCGTCATCGCTCTCGTCATGCTTGTCGAGTTCTTCCGCCGCCTCGGCAAGGAATACGACGCCCATCTGCTTCGCAGCTTCCAGCGCGCCGCTGCCGTGCGCGTGGCCACCGATACCATGGGCTTGACCACCGAGGGCGGCCTGCCATCCGACAGAGCCGCCTTCCCCGGCCAAATCATTACTCTCCGCGCTACGTTTGTCCAGCAGCTCGTCCGCGCCCTTCTCCACGCCGTCACCTTTGGCATCGCTTACATTGTCATGTTGCTCGCCATGTACTTCAACGGCTACATCATCATCTGCATCTTCATCGGTGCCGGTCTCGGCAAGTTTGTCTGCGACTGGCTCGAGGTTAAGATTCGCTTCGACGACATTGCTGGTGCCAACAAGGCCGGTTCTGCGGGGGGCATCTCTGAGCCTACAGTCTGCTGTGGCTAGATGGCTTTTTTTGAAACAATCCATGGCGTTTCATTGTTCCCTGGGAAGGATATTTTTCCCTTTTTAAATTATTCTCATGGTATTTTTCATAGCGAGCATAGACTATAATGATGACGACTCTTTACATCTTACACTCATCTTTCTTATATCCATGTCCAGTCCCGCTCCTCCTCTGTCCACAATTCATCGTCCTCGTCGCCGTAGTCTATGTGCCCAAACAAGTCCCCCAAACTCTTAATCTTTGTTTCGATTCCTTCCACCTTCTCCAGCAACGGCAGCCTGGTCTGCCGCTCGCGCAGGAGCTCGTCGATTTGCTCATCCACATCTTGGCAGTGCCCTCGCTCATAGCCGTAGATAGCCAGCGTTACCAAGGATGGCGGTAGACGGTCGACCAGCCTGGGCCCTCCTGGTGGTAGCTTCGTCACCTCCTTGCTATTATACGGTTCACCTTCCCAATCAAACATGACGACGCCTAGCAGCGACTTGATTCCAATCCGCAAATGCTGTAGCTTTGGATAGTCGGCAAAAGAACAACCTCGCAGCGTCGCTGTGCCTTGGTGTGTTACCAGCGTCTCTGCAATCATGGAATGGTTCGCCTTGCTAGCTCGTTTGTCTTGTAACCAAAATTCCCGGAAGACTAGGTCATTTTCGTCCCACGAGAGAGGCTTGTCGTAGACCTCGCGGCCATCGTGATAATTTTCGTCATGGTCATAGTCGCGTCCACCCGCTTGAATGTCATCCATTCTCATCTCCATATCCAGATCAAGCGTTGTTAGCGTCTTGTGATGCGCGTTCAATGCCTGTCGAACGGCTATGATGCTAAGTGTAGAGTACGAGCCGTCTATACTTGTCAGGCCGCCAGACGAGAATACGAGCTCCTCCAGCTCTTGTGGGATGAGGAGTAGCATTTCAATTACTTCACTCCCAATGTCGCAGTGGGTGATTTCCAGGCGCTTCCTATTCCCACAGCGAGGCACGAACCAGCCAAAGCTCAAGTGCTCATCTGTAGCCCTCTCTATTTTAACACTCTCCAGTAAGGGCAACCTGTGCACCAGCTGCATGAGTTGCATAAACTCAAACTGGTGGTACAACCGTGGGTCGTTGAATATGTTGGAGGTGGTAAAGAATTCCACATGCTTGAGCTTCGGCAGCACCTTTGGAATTCGACCATAGTTTCCATACGTAATGTATTGCTCGAGTAGAGAGTTTGCCGGTAATTCGGTACCAAGTCGAAGCGTCTCTATATGCGGGCTGGTGGCCATCAACAATAGGGCAATGGCTTCATCCTGGCGGACATCCTTCCACTGCTCAGCCCGATCCTCTGCTGATTGTCCGCATTGCTCTGTGTACAAGTCGACATCGCCCTCAATGGCTTCTCTTCGAACCCCCTTCAACAGGGCCTCCTGCAGCTTGGTTCCAAGCTGCAGCTGCTCAACAAAGGTTTCCAGAGCATCACTCCTCCAGGGCTTGCTTGCGTTCACTCTCCAAGGTTCCTCTGACCTGAGTAAGTTCTCCATAAACCCATCATGGCTGTCTATCTGTATGCTCAGCTCTATAATGGACGACGGCTTTTCCGGATTTGTTGCAAACGGCTCGAGTAGAGGTGCCGCGCGTGCATAGTGTACGGGCTCGATCAGAGCAACACGCTGGACGGGCACGGGTTCCAACGCTGCTGTAGATAGCGCGTGATGTTCCATGGCGATGTTTAGACAGTGGTTGATTATTTTGTTGTGGTATTACTGCATTTGCACTACCACCGTACTACTCCTATTTATATGTAGTTGTGAAAGTTGTACATGATGCGAGGCTGCGAGCCCCACGGGCGGTTAATCTGCACAGCCTCGGCGATATGTCAACACAATACGAAGGGCGATGAATAAGCCCGTATTCGGTTTGTAGTGAATCATGTCTCATAGAAAAAATAGACAAGTACTATATCATAATTCAGAACGATGAAATTGACTGAAGGGAGACATGAAATCTTTAGTATCGCAAGTAAAAGCGCATGGTGTACTGAGTTGGGACAAAAGATGACCATCCGATGCTGTGTTGAAGATCTTGGAGATGTCCCACACAGCGCATAAAACGACATAGCCTTGCCTTGATTGCCTGCTTGCCGTGCAGCCTCGTATATGCTAGTCATGAACACAAACAACTTCACTTATTTGCCAGCGTAATTCCTGCACTGTATGCTATTAGTAGAACATTGGGCGATACAAAACAGCCACCCGCCACCTGCTCGTGTTGTTTGTTCTAGAACAAAACACTCTGTAAATTGCACGTCGCCTCGCCTCAGTGCATACATTTCGTTCTCTCAGTAAGCCAACACCATTTACACAATAACTGATGCTCAGCCAGCGCACGCCAGGACAACGCTGAAGAGGCATGTGACTTTCACACTCATGGCTTTGTAGGCTTCACGCCACCACCCAACGTACTCACCACCGCCATCACCACCCAGACCTCTCGTGGCGGCGCCGCAATATCTCGCCAAACTTCGTCATCTAGACCGTTCCTGGCGCCGCCTTGTCCTAGTTCGTCGCTTCCTACAACATGGCGTAATCCACAACTGTCCCTTCCTTCAGGGTCCTACTCCCCGCACGACCACGGCATCTTCCACCGAGCCCGGCGAGCCAAAGGAGCACTAACATGACGCTATCCCAACTATTTACTGGGCAGCAGCTAGCTACAGTACGTCCATCTTAGCTGAACCCAGCGTAGGGCTTACCAATACTGGTTCTCACTTCTCTCGCTTCCACCCGACCACGCCCTACCAGTTCAATAGTTTGGCTTTAGGCGTTTTAGCCTATGCAGGTCCAAGGGATGCCACTGCGGCGTACGCCCCGTAGCTGATTTTAACTTGGGCATTTAATCTGGTGGCTTTTATTTATTTCTTTTTCTTTATTTTCCATTTCTTACTTTTTATTCTTTTTATTTAATATATTACCCGGACAATAAAAAAAAGAAAAAGGGCGGCCCCAGCAGGCTTGCATTTCCACTTTAACGTTATTTTTGGTTTTAGCAGCACACATAGCCTTGAAACGCCGCCCGGGACCTGATACACACCCCGAAATCGAAATTAGATGCCTGATGCAATGGAACGTCAACCTGGCCCACGACGTCGTTCACACCAAGTGGAGGAGGAAATCGCCCACCAAACCAAGGCGAGGCAAGGCAAGGCAGACCGCGACGGGGCACGGGGCGAAAAAGGAGTGGATAGATGGTAGCATTCGCCGCGCTTAACGTTGCGCCCAAGGACTTCGGATGGCTCTTTCTGTGTCGACTGCAATTTAAATTATTTCGGATCCACGGCGTGCGAACCGTCGGAGAAAGAGCAATTCGCACTAACAGGAACGAATCCACTACGCTGTAGACTCTTTTTCTGATGTTAATATATACTGGTTTTGGTTGGTGGTTCGATTTTGGGTCCGTTAGTGTCTTTCGTGTATGCAGGCCAAGAGCAAAGTCGGCGAAGCACCGGCGTTTGACAGAAAAGGCGTCGCTTGGCTATCTATCCTCGGAAATACGTCTATCTGCGGCACCAAGGCAGGCATTATACTCGGACGTCAAACACTACTTTGAAGATGTACAGGCCGACTATGGCCCGTGTTGCTGCTGCCTTGGTGCCCTGCCTGCAGGTAAGAATCCCAAAGGCATCTAGAATGGGGGCGTGTGCCTTGTATATGGCGCCTCCTTTAGCACTCAATAACGTCACTGCACAAAGAGCACTAGCTGAGCGCTCGAGCCACACAAACCCTCGCACGCCAGCTAGGCTTTTATGGTAGTATTACTGGTTGGTCGTTTGTTCGCGTGGTTGACACAGCGGCCCGAGCTCGCATGGTTGCATTACCCTGGAGGTCTTTCACGTTGTGGCCCTATGCTGACAACATGTAGGAATATAAGGTTCTAGACGAGCGTAAGAACTAAAACCCTACGTTAGCGACGTGAGAAATAAATATAACCCAAAGTATTGCTCTAAACTGTCGGGGTATAGTGGTAGGGCTATCACATGGCGTGACTTTTTTTCGGTAGTGGATGTTTCCCATCTTCCACAAAGGCACATGTTTTGCTGGGTGTGGGAAAAGAGAGCCTGCAAACGGATCTACGCTATCGTCGCTTCCCATGTTGAATACACATGTGACACTTGGAGAATAGACGTCAAGATATAGAGGGTATAAATCTAAGTTTGTATTATAAAAAATAGCTAGTCATAGAGGTATCATCAAGCGGCCAAAGTGCTCGCTCGCAAAGAACAAATCATCCAACGCCTTCCCAAGGCGAATGCGTCTAAAATGTACGAATTGTAATAATTTTGTTTGGCAAACAGGAAATAAGAAGCCAGAGAAGAATAAAACAAATGCAAGAACGACTCCTCAGCCTCTACAGCTGGATAGGCTTGGCCAGCTTGAGGGTAACGGGCTTGCCCTTCATGGTGACCCAGATAATGGGAGGCTCGGAACCGACACGGTCGGCAGAGCTGTCTCCGTTAGAAATGCTGGGGTTGGACGAGCCAGTGGGGAGGGTAACGGGGACGGGAGCTCCGCAGGTGTTGTCCTTGGTAGAGACAACAATGCCAGTAATGCTCTTGCCATCGGCAGCGTACTGGTAGGAAGACTGCGCACCGCAGGCGTCCAGGGTGATGCGGTTGACAAAGTACTTGCCAATGTCGTCGTGCTTGAGCGACGTGGTAGGCCAGTTGGTAAGTCTGGTGAGCTCCTGGGTAATGGTCTCCATCCAAGACATGATCAGGGACATCTTGCGGGTCTCAGGGCCAATGGTCTGGACATCCATGGTGGTCTGGTGCATGTTGGCCTGGTGGAACATGTACGGGTCGGCCTGCAAGTCCATGATGTACTTGAGGTTGACCTGGAGGGCATCGGCCAGGAGGTCGTCCCAGGTACCGTTGCGCTTGGAGATGGCGAACCACTCCTTGAGAATGCAGTCGTGGATAGCACAGTTGAAGTAAATGGTCGTGGAGAAACGGGGGACAATCCAGAGGCCGTCGGCACCGTTGGTCTCCTTGTTGGACATGAGAGGCCAGTACTTGCTCTTGCTGTTACGGAGAACAGGGCGGGTGTTGTCACCAACAACGTACTTGATACCGTTGTCCATCCAGGCGCGGATGACATCACCGTTGCGGACACCGGTAATGGCAGGGGGGATGAGACCATTGGCAGAGAAGCGCTTGCCCTGGTCAATACCAATCTGCTTCATCCAGGCCTGGTTGTACTGGATTTCGCGGGCAGCGTCGTGGTAGGTGGCGTTGTTCATCTCCTCGTGGGTAAAGGTGTGCGACAAGTGAGCAAAGTTGTTGAGGTTCTCGGGCTTGCGGAACCAGGAGCCAAACTTGCCAATCTCCGTGCACTTGTTGGTCCAGTTGTACTTTTCGCTGCCGGCAGGCCAGACATCCACGCCAGTACCAGCGGGCTTGACGTACTCGAGAGGGGTGCCTTCGGGCATGTCGTAGTAGATAGCCTCGTCGGGGGTGCAAACGCCATCGGCATTAGGGCTAAGGGTAGAGTTGATGACGTTGCCGTTGCCATTGTGTCCAAGCTCAAGCCAGAACTCAGAGCCGGGGTTGAGGCGTTTGTTGATGCTCTTCTGCCACTCGGCGTGGGCATCGAGATCCTCGGTGACAATCTGGAAGTCGGGGCCCTTGGGGTAGTAGAGCTCGGTAGCGATTTGCAAATCGTCGACCTGAGCATTGATGTGGATCTTGCGCTTGCCGACAAAGAGCGAGCGCGTCATCCAGTGGATGTATGCGTGCTGGAGGTAGGAAGAAGTCAAGGACCACTCGGGGGCGAGAGAAGTGAACCAAGCCATCTGCTCGCGGGCACCAAAGGTGGAGATGACGGCAGCAACCGTCGTGTCCTTGAAGTTGCCCGAAGGCTCAAAGGTGGCAATGGCCTTGGTGGTGTTGGTGTCGACAATCTTGGCGGGGTAGTGGTAGAGGCCCTTCATGCTGACAGCAGCGTTGGTCTTGATGTTGGCGCCGGGGAAGGCAGAAGCATCTGTGAAGCTGATTCTCTGCTCCTGATTAGCACCGCAGCATCCAGGGTCGTCAATGTTGGCGGGAGTAGAGCCTGGAAGAGATGGTTAGCACTGTGTATTGCTTTGTATTGCTTCCTGGGGGTATCAGGAGAGAGAAGTAGACTTACCAAAGAGAGGCCCAGGGTACTCATCAAGACGAACCATGCGAACATGGAAGTCAGTCTGGTAGGTGTAGAGCTGGTTCCACTGGTCCTGGGTGAGGGCGCTGCGGAAGCCAGTGTCGTACTTGTAGGACAGAGATCCAATGACGACAAGGGAACCGTAGTTACCCTTTGTGAGAGAGGAGTTTAGGGCGGGCAGAGCACCGCCGTTCTGGGGGATGAGGACCTTGGTCCAGGGGATGCCGTAGGCATCGAGGCCAGGAGAAGCCGTCTTGACATCATTGTCGTCACGGGCGACAATGAGCACGGTGCTGTCAACAACGGACGGGGCAGCAGCCTGTGAAGTCGAGTTGGCAGCCGACGCGACGCCAGAGCACGCGGCGAGGAGCACAAGAGAGTTCCACGAGCGCATGGTGGTCAGTGGTGTATGCGCGTGAGGGTGGTGAAGGGGAAAAGAATGGAGAGAGTCAGTCGCGTATCTTCAGAGAGGATGAGAAGAGGAAGCAAGAAAGCGACGCGATCTTAGATTGATGAAGATGCGGAGACGAACAGCAGTATAATGCGAAGGCAGAGTTCAAGTTTTAAGTAGGTACCCGACGAACTGATGATGAGTCCAGATTTGACAGGGCGGTAGGGCCGAGAAGCTAGTACCAGGATTTTTGGTCCGAGGTGCGTCAAGGCCAGCCGTCTAGTGTGGCCAAGCCTTGAGCGATCTACAGTGACAGTCGCAGAAAAAAAAAGTATGATAGCGGCACCGACGGCACGGCCGTGCCATCCTGGGTAGACATGAGCTGGGCTTACTAGGCCAAGTGGGCGAATAATTTCGGGCTAGCTCGACCTGACGATGACCATTCCGCATCGAGAACTTGTTGCTCGGTGTGGGCGGTTCTGGCGCGGGAACAAGTACCGAAGGCTACTATTTTTTAACCCTTTCCAGTGAAGTCCTCGCCCCAGGCACAGGCACGAGGCGGGCGCAAGCCACTGTGGGAATTGTAGATGGAAGAAAAAAATGGCATTTGCCGTGGATTCCACATCAAAGCCCGTATGGAGTCTAGCCAAGCCAATTCATTATCCAGCTCCAGCTGAGAATAGAGTGAACTGCCAAGCAGGCTCACAGCTTTGTGGTCTCTCTTTTCTCTTTTATTTTCTTTATTTTTGTTTGTACATTGGTTCTTGGGATGGTCAAGGTCAGTGCAGCCCACCCCGGCTTGTTCCGCCAGCGCCGCACAGGGCTATGGGTTGCTTGAGTTAGTATTAGGTGAGGCGTCGCCGATCGTGCAGCGAACCAGGCACCCGGTATTATTAGCGGACGCCAGCACATTGGTGCATGCAGCAGTACAGGAGTAGCTCGCCGCAACGTAGATGCTGCAGCAGCAAGCAGTAGGACGACCCGTGATTCCGAAAAGGGGGTTGGACGGATGTGCTTACCGGCGAATAGAAGACAGAAGTGAGGTCACGATGCAAGAGGTAACAGTCTGGTTCTTCGTGTCTCTTGTCTTGCATGAACGGTCAAACGGCAACAAACGGCGCAGGTTGATGTGTTGAGGGAGGGAGGGTGCCCATAGCCATCACGAGAAAGCGCTGGTTTGCGTTGGTTGTCCATCAATGCACATCGCTCGTATATGTGGGTAGCTGTTTGTTTGCTGTGAGTGTGTGTGGCCCAGGATTCTAAAACAAGCACCGCGGAAGGATTTAGGCCCTGCGTGCGATGAGATTTCGGGGAGAGGGGAGAGGGGGCCGAAAGATGGTGGGTGGCCCAGATGGCCGTGTGGGCCTGAGGCCAGGATATGCTTTTTTTTAATTCATTTATTTAATGGTGATATTTTTTAAAAAGAAAAAAAAGAAAAAAGGACGACGAAAGTGGAAATAGCTGGCCCAAACGGGCAAGGGAGGCGAATCTGTGGGTCCCTCTCGCCAGCAGCAAACGCGAGCGAAAAACTCGCCTGTAGTGGACAGGCTTCTAGCGGGCTGCCCGCTGGCTTCTAGCGTGTCGAATGGAGAGAGCGTGGACCGGACAAAAGGGAACCTCCGCGTTTACATGTGGTTCGTTAGCTAAGTGGCGTTTGACTTTTTCGTAGGTTAGTAGTTTTGATTATTTGTTTAGTAGTGGTTAGTGGCATGATTCTACGTTGAACTCGTGCTGCCTGTTGATGGGTGTCATACGATTTTTGGAGTTGGTAATACCAATACCGTACATCGGACGAGGGGTGGGATTCCGCAGTGTGTGTGCTGGGCGCGGACCGGAAAAGCAAAAACACGGTACGAAAAGCAAAACGGGCTGCAAAATTTCCCATTGTAGCATGTGCCTGTCTCCATTGGGTGCCAAACGCTCCCTCTTTGGGGCTATGGTACAACTACTGCCAGCAACGCACACAGCACGGTGGTAGCAGTCTTCCGAGTACCGGCGCTGCGCTGTACCGCCTGCAACTACACAGCAACAAAGGGCCAGCTTCCTGTGTTCTAGGCTGGAGCCCATGCATGCATGCATGCACTTTGGCTGCTGTTGACAGCTGAGGTGAGCCCCATAACAAAGAACAACACACCACCACCACTAACACCAGAACTAGCAGGGACTTGCTATCACACAGATAGACCCATGTCTTGCGCTGCATGCATGGGTATTCCCTGACCTGTGCCGCTTGTTGCTTATCCTTATCTTGGAGAGACACTTGGAAAAAAAATTTCCTTTTAGCAGCCTCACGATGGTCCCCAACCCCTGCATAGCACAGCCCATAGTGTTCACATAGCTCTGACTATGCAAGCCAGCACCAGCAACTAGCCACAGCGGCCGTAGCTCTGCAACACGTTGGCAGGACGGCGGCTTTTTGTGGTTCGTGGGAGGTTGGAATATTTGGTGATGAGAATAGTAGTAGTGGTGGTGATGATGCCAGCCATACCTCGTAACTCCTGTATGGCGTCATTGTCTAGACGCATCTACGACGTGTATGCTGCGCAGCGCAAGCAAAGCTGGCTGAGCGCTTTTTACTTTTGCATCCTTCCGCTGCGTGCTGTTTATTGCGCGCGTCCAATGGCATTGTGTTATGGAGCATCATGCGTGTACAGTTGAGCTGACTATATTGTACGAGGCAGACTGGCCACCCACCAACATATACTCTACGGCACACACATACACAACACTGCTGCTGGAGTTTCTCTCCGTTGCCGAAGCTGCCGCCAGGACGGCCTATGGACGCGACGGACCAGGACCACGGTGCAGTGCTAGGTTAGGATTTACCAGGGACAAGATGCTGCGTTGCGTTGGATGCGACATTGGGCTACGATTGCCAGCGGTTGCATCGCCCATCAGCCATCCGGGTGGCACGGCATCGTTGCTAATTACAGCAGCGGCACCGGCACCAGCAACAGCGAGGCCACGATTGCGCGATTATTCGCGTTGGAGTGGATGTTGGCCACAAATGGCAGCAAAGCAGGAGCAGCGGTGTTAGCAGCAGTAACAAGAGCAACAGCGTAGCCTTTGTCGTTGCTGAGGATCATGTCGTCAGCGCGCCCACTGTAGTTTTTACTTTGCGTCGCCCACTATGTGTAGCCTGGCGGCTCACAGCCTGGTGTGCTGGCTGAAGAAGCCTCGTGTTTTGAGAAGGAGGCAAGTCCTATAACATAGCCTTGTTCAAAACCTTAATTTATGTCTAAAAATATTCCACATATTGACAAGACAGAGCTATTAGAAACAATAAACAAGAAGCAAAAAAACACCACCACTTGCTCCTCTCTTCGCGCCATCCATCTTGTATCAATTAAGCATCTTGCTCATACCGCCTCTCCGCACCCGCGCGCCTTGTGCCTGGAAGCCAGCCAGCGAACCGAAAAGCCCGCGGCGACAGCGGCCGCAATTCATCTCTCACCTCCCATCCGCTCCGAAGCCACCCAACTTTCTGGTGCTGAGGTGAAGGGGGCTGCTGTTTGTGTTTCGGCTTGCCCCTGCTCCGCCCGCCCAATGGACCAGCCTAGACCACACGCTCACGGCAGCCCGGCACGCCTAACGCCTCTTCCCAAAACACTGACAGCTGAGCCTTCTAGTGCCCTACAGCAGCCCCTAAGCTCGGCTGCCAGCGCCCAAGCAGCCCGCTAGAAGCATAGCACCGAGAGAATGCGTGCGGGCGGGCGCTGTCTGAGTCTGAGCCACACTGACAGCCCGCCCCCCCGCCGCCCGCCTGTCAGCAGAGACAAGCGCTAACAGTCCAGAAGCACCGCCGACCGGTCTTTTGCCCTTTCTTTGCGCCGGCGTTTTCAGCTAGCGCCCGGGCTGTGCAGAAAACGGATTAATCAAACACTACTGAGTGAGTTCTGCAGCAGCCGCCCGCATTCACTAATGTAATGACTATGCGGAATAGCTCAATCACACAATCTGGTTGTGTCCTCTTGTAATCTAACCTAGGCGCCTAGCACTGCCCCCCTACCTGGCGCTACCGGCTGTCACGCTGCGTGGTAACACTGCGCTACCGAAGCCCATAGCACCCGTCAAGTTACAATGGTTGGCTCGCTCTTTATGGGGTTGTGCATTTTTTTGCCCTGCCCCCTTTTGCTACAGCGCCTGCGCCGGTCTGGAACAATGCCGCTTATCTGGCCATTGCGTGCACCGGCAGCCCTGCCTCCCGCTCATAGTCTTCTTTTTCTAATGCCTCGTCCATGTTCTGTAGTAACGTGAAAGAATACAACTCTAAGGATAAGAAATACCTTATAAACTGACATCCGGCCCGCCTATTTTCTTCGTGGCAGTTTTTTTTTTTTTTGCCCGCTGCAAGCACGCACCGTACATTCAGCCGGCACTCACTGTTTCTGTCCATCTTGCACTAAGATCGTGACGGATCCCCCCCTTCGATCGACCCATCCACGCCTGTCACACGCCTAGACCCTTGTGTTTTAATTGGGCTTTTTCTGGCTTGCATTAGTCCCCCCAGCTTCCGCTCTGCTAAAACATCCACCACCGCCCGCCCGCTAAAAATCGACCCTTTGCCCTCCTTCTGCCTTTGAGCGCGTCTTTGTTTTTCTTCATCTTTCTCTTTTTTGTTTTACATCTAACCTTTTACATATTATTTTTTGCTCTTCTTCCTGTCTGTTTCATAATAAACACAGCACGCAATGGAAGAGGCACAGGAAAAGATCGCCAGAGGTAGCGGCGGCATCGTCCACAAGTTCAAGAAGTTCATCTTGATCGCCGTCGGTGTCGTTGTGATCCTCGCCATCGCCTTGGGTGTCGGCCTGGGCATCGGCCTCAAGAAGCTTCACGAGCACGATGATGACGGTGGCAGCGACGACAACAACAACACAGGAGGCAACTACCCCTTTACCAACACATCCGCCCTCTGGCAGCCCAAGGTCGCTTCCAAGTGGCAGATTATCCTCCGCAAGCCCGTCGACCCTACTGCTAAGCTGACTCCTGTTGATGCCAAGATCTGGGATATTGACCTGTTTGACAACTCTGCCGATGTCTTCAAACTGCTCAAGTCCAACAACATCAACGTCATCTGCTACTTTAGCGCCGGCACCTACGAGGACTGGCGCTCTGATGCCAAGCAGTTCCAAAAGTCTGATATCGGCTCCCCGCTTGGTGACTGGCCCGGCGAGTCCTGGCTCAAGACTTCTTCCCCCAATGTCCGCAAGATCATGGCTGCCCGTATCAAGCTCGCTGCCGACAAGGGCTGTTCTGCTATTGACCCCGACAACATGGACGGCTACGACAACGACAACGGTCTCGGCCTGACCCAGGCCGACACAATCGACTACGCTCACTGGCTTGCTGCCGAGGCCTCCAAGTACAACATGGCTACTGGTCTCAAGAATGCTGCCGCCGTCATCCCCAAGGTCATCGACCATATCCAGTTCTCCGTCAACGAGCAGTGTGTCGAGCAAAACGAGTGTGACTCTTACCGTCCCTTTATCGATGCCGGCAAGCCCGTCTTCAACATTGAGTACCCCAAGTCTGCTGGCGACGGTATCCAGCAAAACACCATCAACAACATTTGCACAAACGTCCAAAAGGGCAAGGCTCAGCCTGGCCCCATCCAGGGCTTCAGCCAGATTATCAAGAAGATGGCTCTCGACGGCTGGACCCAGTACTGCACTGGCAGCTACTTCTCCACTGCCGTCATTAACAACTAAAATGACCCAAGGTGGATTGGTCTCGTCGGATACTGCTTCTACTGTATGACATGTATAAAACGTAATGGATAGCGAGAAATAAATTTAGAGTTAGAGCGAGCGAGTAGCATATTTTACCAGTTTAATAGACCAAAAATGTATACCCTATATGTGGCAGACTATGAGTGGCGTACAAAGAAAGAAAAGGTGCACTCTAATATATACTATGTTATCTACGATTACAACGATTGATGGAGGCTGTGATAGGCGCGGCGAAGTTACAGTGGGCTATACAAAGTGTAGCCGCCTATAGTGGCACCAGCGGGCTGTAGAGACAGTAGAGTAGTCCCCATACTTGGCCACTATCGGCTGCTCTACGGTAGCCTCTACAAATACACTAACAGCCGTGAAACGAGCCCACTACTATTTCGTACTATTCAACAAGAATATTGTAAAAAGAAAATGGATTAATATTTGAATATATATTTTATTAAAATAATCATATTGTAGGCTTACCCCAGGTTCCACGCATAATAGAAGAATTGGTGGCGGTTGTCCTCTATGTACTGTAAATTACAGGGAACTTTACCCTGGACAAGCTCAAATCAATAGTTTGCGGGCGGTGTTAGCGCACAACTACAAGTAAGTTCGCACGCACCTCCTCGCTCTTATGCCCTGGTAATTACCTGTCTGCATTAATGCCATACTATTGATTTTGACAGCGGCGGCCGCTCTTGGCGCTGACCGACCGTCTATCACTGTGCTGCCACCCTAGCATTAGCCTACCTAAACGAATGCATTGTTTTTTAGTGAAGCGGCTACTCTTTCCCCAATTTGCATGCCACCCCGTCTCTTACGGTATCCCGATTGAGCGAGCGCAGCACTCAGCTCTACATCGCCGCACCGCGTCGGATCGGCATCTCGACTGCCGGATTCTTTACGCGGATGCCATCGTCCGGGGGTGCCTGACTCTGTTTCTCTTTGTCTGCCTTTCAATAGCCGACCACTGCAAATCGTATGAGAATTATGGGCAATGATAGTCACAGAATTGTCCCGAAATACGACAAAAACTTGCCGCTTCGGCACCGGTCGCGCTCGGGAGTCAGCTAAAGGGCGTAGAGTCGAAGATCGCCGACGTCTTAGACAGCCATGTGGCTAATGAATACTAATAAAATAATGCAAAATAAATAAAGAGTAAAATAAAATATTAAATGGACCTTTTTTCTTTCTTTAATTTTCATTTCTTTATATTTCTTTATTTTTCTTGTCGATCGTATCGTGCTCGCGCGTGTGCTGAGTAAAGGCCTGCTAAAGAATGTAAAAATGCAAAAAACCAAGGCAACCTCCTGTCGTCCATCTCTGCTTCGTTTATAATGGTATATGAATATCCTTTGTTTTTTTTTTCATCACCCCTTCCATCTGCCCGTGTTTCCATGGTTTTCGGTCTTTTTGTGTCCTCTGCACCATACACCGGTGCGTCTCCAGTCGGGTTTGATAGTCGCCTGCGCCATCTCGGCGACCAAACTGCATCTCCACGCCAGCGATCGTCAATGCTTGGTAATTAGCCCAGTGGCTAGCTACTGTAGCTTGCCCACATGATCCGGCGATGTCGCAATGCACAGCCCGTCGCCTGCTCCGGAGAGCAACTTCATCCCTCTCTCTAATTGCACCAGGATACGGCCTCGGCGAGGCCCATCCAGTCCGCCGGCCACTGTGTATATCCACCCTCGAGCTGATCAGTGGCATAAACTCCTGCGAGGCCCAGCAGCTGCGCCTGCTGCACAAGGCCTCTCATGCCCTCGCCATCGGCGGCGTCGGTGCCCGAGCTGTGGATAATCACAGACGCCTTGAAGCGCAGACGATCCTCCAGCGCGCTCAGGGCATCCTGCTCGATAAACAGGTTCTGCCACTGCTCTTGCGACGCCTCCAGAACCACCACATAGTCTGGGTGCTCAAAGAACTCGCGGGCCACCACGACTCCAGGGTTGTAGACCACAATGCACTGCTTTCTGAAGCCTTCCTGCCACTGGCTGCGCGCGCGCTCCGTCAGTCGCGCCATATACGTGACATACTCGGGCTCTGATGGTGCCTCGTCGATAAAGATGCCGCTCACCGTCAGGCCGGCCGTCTTGTTCCATGCTGCATACGCATCAATGTCGCGGCGCACCGCCTCGCCGTCCCGCTTGCCGTAGCTGCAGTACACGTACCCAACCACCGTGATGTTGGGGTGCTTGGCAAGCTTGGCCAACGCCTCCCTGTAGTTCTCGTCAGGGAGGGCGTCTTCGCCCGGCCCGTTGTCGGGATTGACCACGGCTACAAAGTGTGCATCTGGAAAGGCAGCGGCTGCCTGTGAGAGCGGCTCCCACTCCCCAGGCGCCGGGTAGATGTAGAGGGGGACGAGCACAAACTGCTTGCTCATGGTGTGCGGGCGTCTATCTGTGTGTCTCTGTGTGGTCGGTAGTGTAGTGCGGGTTGCCGCGTTGCCGGACCTGCAAGCTGACTAGTTCGGGTCTCTTGCCTTTTTTTCTTCTACAGAGTAGCAGTCGTCGTCTTCGTCTTTTGGTCGTCTTCGTCTCGTCTCCGGATTTCGGCGGGGATGCAGGGCCGGATGCTTCCTGCGTGCTTTTGCGGGTTAGGTCGAGACGGATGTGAGGGGCAATGCGAAAGAGGGGGGGTGTTGCTGTAGGTATCGCTGCTTGCTGCCCTGCTTGCTGCACCAGCTATTGGTAGCTGTTGTTGGGCAGTGGGAGTAGGGTAGTGGAGGGGGGAGGGGGGGAGGGGAAGCTGCACCACTAACGGGATATCGTGCCAGGGCTTCTTTCGGTAGAAACGAAAGCCAGGTACAGTACAAAGGTTGGTAAAATTCGGCAAAAGTGTGTGATAATCCTGGAGAAGAAAAACGAAGAGGAGGCTGGCCGGGGCCAAATAGGTCAAAAGACGGCAGAAGAGGGAACGCTGTCCTTTTGACGTGGCAATCACACCTGTTCTATTCTTCTCTAGTAATCACGACAACAGAGGGCCGCACACACACCAGAATACAACAAAACACAAAGCAACGCAACCGCCAGAAAGCAAGATGACACGGAGGATACGCCGCTCACCGAGGGAGAGCAGACAGCCCTTCTCTTATTTAGAGTGTACGGGCGCTGCCTGCTGGCCCCCTTAATCGCGGCTTTTAGTTGGACAGCGGCAGTTTTAAAACACCACTGTTGGCTGGTCTTGACGGACACATGCCTGCGATAACAAAGGCGGCAGCGCTACCCTATGTCTGCTGCGCCTCCCGGCCTGCCTGCGCTTCCAAGCCCCCCAACACCCTTCTTTTTGGCTCTGACGATAAGCTCAGTTCGTCTGTTGGGCTCCGGCTTGCTGCACAGAACGGGCCAGAACGTCTCAAGCGTCAAACGGCCGGCGGTCGCGATCGCGGTCTGTTAACGGATCCAAAGGTTGCCGCCTGCCTCCGGGGGCGGGCCTAATAGAGCTCTCCCCAAGGCGCCGGTACAGCCTAGTGCCGATGCGATGCGGTGTACGGGTCGCAGCCTGCCTGCATACAGCAGCACCAGCAGCGATTTGGGGTGTCAGAGCTGATTGCTAGGCATGGTTTGATTTTTCTTCTTCTCACGGCCACTAACACTAATGCGTGTCTATACGAATCTATATGCACACACGTACAGTACCTGTACTACGGAAACGCAGTCTGTACGTACGCACAAGAGAGACAAAGTAGACCACAAGACACCTCACCAAACAGAGGCGCCACCCGAGGCTTTCTCGGCGTGCATTAGAGCTCACGCCTGTGTTGTGCGTTGTAAAACCATTGAACCACAATGTGCTCCAGTGTCGTCTGTAGCAGTAGTCTTTTTTTCCTCTCTTTCGGTACGTACTCTAGAGGGGCACTAGCAATGTCTGTACATGTGGCCGTCATTGACCTGGTGGCACGACTTATGCTTGTAAGTACCCGTGAGCTGTATTGTAAGCTTACCCCAAACAAGGGAGCCCGGTACAATGCTTGTGCTCTCTAGTTTTAGTGTCTTGAACAGTCCTCTAGAAATCTACCCAGAGGTAATTACAGCGTGTCTCTGAATAGGCCATTCACGGATAAATTCTTTTAGCTACGTGCAGCAAAAGGCCACGGTCTCTCTGCCGCCTAATTACTTCACCTTGGCTGTTGGTCGACACCAGCACCCACGTTTTTATTTCCGTTTTTATTATTTTTCTTCTTCTCTGAATGTCACCCAATTTACCGACATCGCGTTCGTCTTGGCTGTGATTCTCGCTTCTCCACAGCCCACTTAGTTTTTTAGGTTATCTTTTGTTGGAGATGTTGCGATTACTATTTCGCGTGTCCATCCATGACTCTCGCTCATCTCTAGTACCCGTCGCCCATCGGGGCCTGCCCCATTAAAGAGTCCACCAAACCAACAAGAGTACCGACCACTTGGAAGCTACCCAGGCGATTGATTGGCAACCTGCGGCTCCATCGGAGAGAACCAAACCTGATGATCCCTGGCCATACAAAGTTGCACTGCTGCACACATGCAAACAGGAGTTGCCTGTACAGTTACCAAAACTAGCTACCAAAAGGGAATTGAGATTATCCTCTGTAAATTTCCACGAAAAATGTAATTCATCCCCCCCCTCCCCCCTCGCCCCTGCACGGCTACCACCACCACCACAATTCACCAGCCGCAGTTCCCCTTCTCTCAGCACAACTCTGCCACGTCCTCATTCACCCGCTAGCCAGGGTGCCGCCGGTGACATCTTTGAAAATGGCCCTACCGTGAACATAGGCTTTTTCACGCTTTCCCGTAATTGCAGGGCTCCGGTTCCACTGGCCTGCAGTGCCGAGTCGGCGGGCGGCTGGAGCTGCCCTGCAGACCTGAAGCCGCTAGTCCGCTTTGGGAACAGGGCGATTTGCGTTGTAGCCACGGCGGGGGTGAGCTGAATGACACTTACCAAATTTGGACCAAGATCCTGGTTCTGTGGCGTTATAGGCGACAGGGGTTCTTTTTCATTCTTTTTTTTTCGCTTTCTTTTTTGGCTGGGCTCACGCAATGCGCCGCCTTGTCTTACCACCACGGAGCGACGGCCCTCGCTCGCCTGGCTCCCCAATCGTGCCACAGAACACGAAAGGCCAATCCGCCACGAGGCACAACGGCCGTTCATGGCAGAGTCGTCCCATCATCGTAAGCTCGCAGATACGGGGCGGCTGGGAAAGGGGAAGAGCGCGCTTTTCGGGGAGGATAACGCATGGTTCATTGGATTGGCACAAAGTACCGTGTTTTTGACCAACAGCGTTGCGTTGGAGTCGCTTGACCCCAGATTGGTCAGCTACGTAGACAAATACACTCTTAGCAAGTTTGGTGGTGAGGTAATGTTCAGAGATGATCGTATTTGGTCATTGATTGTCCAACTAGACAGTCTAATAATGCTAGTTCTTTTCAATAAAAAAGAAACTTTTCCTTGGCCAAGGATGAAAGAGAAATAATTATGGGCTAGCACCCATGCGTGTCCTGGCCCTTAAAAACAAAAAAGCAAAGAAACAGAAAAAGGCAGCGCTGTCTATATGAAGTATACGCCTGACTGTGCAAAAGAAAAAAAAGCAGGAAACAAATCCCAAAATGAAAATATAGACAAATATGGACTCTGCGTGTCATAACCAGAAGTCGAGAGGATTAAATAGTTAAGGAAATAAGAAAATGTGGTATCGGTTGGCGTTCTCATGCGGACCGTGTTGATCCAGTCGCGTATATAGTAAGGAAATAAGTGTCGAAAAGCAGGCAATCGTCAAAAGGCCGCGGTCGTCCGTTATGCGGTTTCGGTGTGCTTGGAGACGTAGCGCCAGAGATCCTCGGCGCAGGTGTTGATGCTCTCCTTGGCGGTCCAGCCAAGCTCGTCGGCAGCGCGAGACTTGGAGGCAACGCAGAAGCCAACATCGCCTTCGCGGCGGCCTACAAGAGCCATGGGGATGGACTTGTTGGAAGCAGCCTCGAGGGCCTTGACGGCCTCAATGACGGTGGTGCCAGTGCCAGAACCAAGGTTGTATGTGCGGAAGGGAGAAAGGTTCTTGCAGTTGAGGGCGGCAGTGTGGCCACGGGCAACATCCGAGACGTGGACGTAGTCACGGATGGGGGTACCATCTCGGGTGTCCCAGTCGCTGCCAAAGACGCTGAGCTCCTTGCGGCGGCCAGTCATGACCTGTGTGATGACGGGGAACAGGTTGGTAGGGATGCCCTTGGGGTCCTCACCGAGCTGGCCAGAGGAATCGCAGCCAATGGGGTTGAAGTAGCGCAGGCAAACAATGCGCCACTCGGGGTCAGCAACGGCAATATCAGCCAAGATGGCCTCGCAAAAGTACTTGGTGCGAGCGTAGGGGCAGCCAAGACCGCTGACAACGGGCTCGGCGTGGACAGCGTTGCCCTGCTCATCAGTGTAGACCTCGGCGTGGTGGACAAGGTCCTCCTCGCGGAGAAGCTTGCCAGCATCGGCCTTGGAGCCGTAGACGGTAGCGGAGGAAGAGAAGACGAAGCGGCGGATGTTGTATTCGCCGAGGAGCTCCATCAGGTCAACAAGACCGCAGACGTTGTTCTGGTAGTACTGGATAGGGCGAGCAATGGACTGGGGAACCGACTTGTAGGCGGCAAAGTGGATGACGCCCGAGATTTGCGACTTGCGGGTGAAGGTGGCGTGTGCAGAGTTGTTGTTGGAGTCGGTAGAGGCGACGGGGACGGGGGCAGAGTACATCTCGAGCAGGCAGCGCATCGACTTGCTCTGGTAGTCAAATGTGTGGAGGTAGAGCGAGGGCTGGCGGAAGCTGGAGCCCTTGTAGTAGGCGGCAGCGGCGGTCTGGATCTTGCTGTAGACCGACTCAAAGGCGTTGCTGAGGTTGTCGACAATGATGACGTTGTAGCCCTCCTTGAGGAGCTCGAGCGTGGTGTGCGAGCCAATGAAGCCGAGACCGCCAATCACCAGGATGTACTCATCGCCCTTGGGGGGAGGAAGCTGGCCCTCAAGCTGCGACGTGAAGTCGGCAGCCACGGAAGGGGCAGTCAAGGGAGTGGCATTGCCAGAGAAGGACGTGGGCGAGACGTCGCCGGGGGCAGAGTTTGAGGAGGATTCTGAGTAGACAGACATTTTTGATGTGTGATGATATGTGTGTGTTAGGAGAAAAGAGACAGAAGCACGCAAAAAGCACGAGAGGGTGGTTTTGCGGAAGCTGTGAAGTGTGTGTGTGTGTGGTGTAATAAGACAAAGTCTTGAGGGAACAAAGTTGGACACTCAAGGTTGTTTGCTTAAGAGCAGCAGCAGCACTAATAGAGGAAGAAAAGGAAGATGAAGATGATTGTCTGGGTTGAAGAGAAGAAGAGGGAGGGTAAGAGAAATTGGGTGGTGAGGAAGCCAGTTGTATTATATCTGCGAGACAGAAAAACTAACAAAATGGGGACTGCTGGCCGGTGGTACGGTATTAGCCGCCCAAGCTAAGACAGCTTTCGTGCAGAGACTTTGACTTGGCCAGGCACCACTATGGGCAAGGGCCCCAATTCCCGTCACCAAAGATGAATACAGTCGCCAGTACCACGGCTGCCAGCAAAACGGTGGTATTCGCCGTGGTAGCCTGGGCTGCTACATGGGGCGTGCTTGTGTAAAAGCGCTCAGGCCAACCCACGTTTGGTAACGACGGGACTATGGAGAACGGAGAGCCCACCTATCGCCTCTCTTTTTTTTTTTCCTAGGTTTTTTTTTCCTTTTCTCCCGTAGCTAATCTCTAGGCTCGATCGAGAACGCACTCGCGCTGCGGGCATGGGATCCCTGGGCCTGCACGGCTAGTGTCATCGGCCGCATGGCGCCGAATCCAGGCCGCCGACCCATTGTTTGGGTTTTCTTCCCCCTTCAGTACGGTTACGTGAGGCGCTAGCGAAATTGCGCTAAGCCTCTAAAAGTAATAAAAAAAATTGTGGTTGCGTGGGCACAGCGCTATTCTAGCGTGCCCCTTCTTGGGCTCTAGCGCGAGTCGCCAGCATATCCTCATTCTGTCCCGTTATTTTTCGCAGCCTCTCCGTTCTAGAGCGAGCACTTGCCTACGCAAGTGTTAGGCGTCTCCGATCCGCTGGCCTCGGAGAACCCATGGCCCCCCCCTTCCGACTGGTGATGATGCATGTGCTAGGGGCGGGAGAGCTCCCTGAGCATATCGGGCAATGATGCGCCGCGGGATGGCTTTTGCCTCTCCACGCTCTGTCTCTTTGTTCGGTTCGCTTTATTTAGGCTATCATGGAACAGACAGGCACGCTGCCGCTGGTGAGCAGCATTACCTAAACGGAACAGCAAGAGGCAAAAGAACATCTGGGGGCCGTGACCAAAAACCAGGCCCGGCATGCGTCGATTCGGACCCCGTCTGCGGGACGATGCAACAAGCCTCGTTCTCGGGTGATGTGATGCTCGACACCGGTGCTGGATTCGATGTGCTTTTGCGGCTATTTCCACCCAGGAACTATCCACGTTTGCCCCCAGAAACACTGCCTACCCATCGCTGCTGCAGCACTTGTACGCTCCCATTAACCGAGCTGCCCGTCCACTGAGCGTAAGAAAAATTAGCGTGGTGTCACCCGTGGTGCACTCGTCTGGGGGCAGCGGTGCTACGCTGAGGGTAACAGAAACGCTCTTGGGTTATGCAACTGCGGCGCTGCCAGCATATGGAAAGGCAGCAACTACAGCAAAAGTACTCTAAAAGGTGCAAGCTGGCCTTGGCTTGCATACAAACTATTTGCGCGAGTAATTGCGCCGATGCAGGGAGTCAGATGCATCGACTGAATGATGGCGTCTATACCTGGCCAGCGGAGCTCGGTGTAAGTTGACGAGCCACACAACAAGCATCAAGGTACTATTGGAAACCAGCTGGATCACGGAAGAAAGAAAAGCAAGAGATAAGGCGCAATAGACCCTTGCGAGATGTCATCTTTGCTTTCCGGCAGGCTGCTGGGGCCCGGGACAAGCATCCAGGATGTGCAAGTGGTCAGCCCTTGTGGCCATTTTTTTTTGATAGTGTGGATTGCGTTGTTCCACTTGCGCTGAGCCAAGATGCAGGCCGTGGCAAACTACAGTATGAGCACTATAGTCAAAGGATTGACGCAAGAGCCCCAAGAAGGCGTGATTGCTCCGGTTCTTGCTAAGCACGCTAAAACAACTATATCGACGGGTATGAACGACTTCATCGTCTTGGACGGTACCGGCTCTAAACGATGTGACCCGTTGGGATTCGGCTCGTTGTCGTATGGAACATTTTGGTTGGCTGCTTTGTACACTAAAAACGGAGTACACGTATTTTCATACAACGTACAATATTGTTTGTCAATTTCTTTTTTATTTCTTCACATCGCCGGCTGGACGGATGGAGTCGCCCAGATGTGGATGCAGGCCACTACAGATGCTACATTATACGCTACGCCACGTTACAGACGGTCAAGGACCCTTTTTTTTCTTCCTGTTTCTGCTGCTGCACTGAATGATTGGAAGGCGAAACCGCTAGCTTCAAGCGGTCTATTGATGTGCTTCCGGCCCGCCGGAGGTCGTTAAACGCTCTGACCATCATATCATGGCGCGAGCTTCTATGGTTCGTCTACCAAGAAACGAAAAAATCAAGGTAAATCCTATTGAATATGCAGCTCGCCTCTCTCCCGTGCCGTCGTACGAGGAGCGGGCCGCTTCTGATAGAGTGGAAAGGAGCCATGACTGCTGCAGAAGATTTTTTTTTGCCCGGCTTACACGGATGGCACGAATATGGGCTTGCATGGTGTTGACGGCTACGTAGATTGCGTGCATTTCTTCAGCTGCTCTGGACGAACGGCTGACGAGGTCTAGAAGCTAAAAAAAAATTGATTGCTCAGCTCATCGAACAATTAACAGAGGACAGAAAAAGTGCCATGTCATATCTGCGCTGCCGTCATCTTGTGACAAAAAGATCCGTTCTCTAAGCATCTAGACCTCGAATACACGGGAAAGATGGCCCTGTAAGAGAAGAAAAGAAGCCTAAAAAAGGTGTGCAGGAGCGCAAGCAGCAGGCTGCACCGGCGCCACGGGAGTCTGCATTGCATTGCATTTCGCAGCGCAGTCCCGGCGTCCCGGATAATTAGCCCAGCGTTGCATGCGCGTTTAACCGGATTTTGCGCTGCTGCGCGCGTAGCTCGCCCTGCACTGCGCTCAGCAAGGGCCCGTTAATTATAGCGTCGCTTTTCTTAGAACCAGTGTGGGTGGTACAGCGCTGCGGCGCAGTGCAGCAGGGGAAGACGCGGGCGGTGGTAAGCGAGCGAGCGAGGGAACGAGGTGGTGGTGCAGGTGTAGTTTCGTGTTACCGTATTGCGAAAGGGGGCCGTACAGTAATTACCAGTTTCTTTGTAATGAATTGTATTTGTCTGCAGCGCATAGACTTGGGAAAGGGGAGAAAGCTACATCTACATGCAGCACATCGACAAGGCTCCCTAGCGTGTAAACAAACTACGATTCACGTAGATGCAGTTTCGGAGATGCTCGAACAGCTCTCAAGAGCCTCGTGCCCAAACCTGAAACCTGAGTTTGAAGCCACAGTGGTTTAGTCGGGGGCCGAAAGTTGTATATCGCAAGCCCCAACTAACTACTAGACTAACTAAACTAAAGAAAGAACAAGGCCAAAAAGCAAGTATTTTGGCATTCTCTTTTTGGTATGAGCGGAGCCCCCCTTCTGCACAAAAGAGGATAAGAAATTAACCATATGCATTAAACAAGTCTCCAGTGTTTCTGCCACCCACAAAAGCCATCACGATGACCCTGTGGCTTACACCAGCCCAAAACCCACCGCATCAACTTTTTCCTCTACGATACAATTATCCTGAACCCCTGCCGCCCCTTCCCTCCTCCCCGTCCTCCAGCCCCAGGCTGAACGCCAAGGCCTTCAAACTTTGACAGCAGCAGCCCAACAGGGCCTAGGCAACGCCGGCTCGCGATGCCGCCGCATTCTGCTTTGGCAACAACACGAAATGGGATCTCCGCCTAGTCCAGTTGTGGCGTTCCCACGGCCCCCAAGGCAGCAGCGGCGCTGCCAAATACAAAGCCCAATAGGAAAAAAGGAAAAAAAGAAGAGGCACTCGCTGTAAATGAGCTGAAAAAGCTGCTTCTTTGGTTCGGTGGAAATACGGTGGGCGCCGCCCGAGTTCTCGCTCTAAATTTCCTACCACGGTATGTATAGGAGTGCAACTTGGATGGCATGATCAAGAGGCGCAAACGCAAACAAAAGCAAAATGCACACAATATGCAAAGTTCCCTGCATATACCCGGGCTCAACGGCCACAACGCCCGGTTCGTCCGGTTAGATGAACGCACATCGAAAAGCAAAAGAACTGCAATGTAATTACAGCCAAATATTACTACCACCACCATTTCCAACGCTTGGTTGCAGAGCATGCGGCCCGGGAAAATACACTGCGCAGCCAGTGTTGCTCTCGACCACCGCCCGCTCGGCCCCGTGGTTCTAGGCCTCTGACACTGGCTTCCCTCTGCTGCGCCGTGAAAGCACCGACGTATGCAAGTGAGCTGGAAGCTCAGACTTCCGTGCCCTCTGTGACTAGGGTCTGGCCGCTGGTGCTGACCGGCCTTTGCCGTGTCTTCCGTTCCCTGAACGACCGTTCCTCTTTCTTTCTCTACAAGCGTCTTACGGTTTCGCCGTTCACCCATGTGCTAATCTGCTGCTGGCTTGAGAAGGAAAAAAAACCGTTAGCGTGCCGGCGGTTGTCAACGATGCTCCGGCCGAGGCGAAATACTCCGAAAAAAGAAGACCTATACGCCGCTACGGCTGTGTGTTTCTTCTACCCGCACAATGCATTGTCGAGGAATCTCGGGGCCAAACCTGCCAAGAGAGTCATCAAGGGAGAGAGAAAACTCTAAATTATGGGTTTTTCTTCTTCGTCCTGTCTCGCTTTTTTTGCTTCTATTTTCTCCAATATTTTATCTTTTGAGTTGCCGCACCCCGACGGGAAGGAAGCCGAAAGTCTAATTGACACGACCACGCCATGTGGCCAAGTCTTGGAATATGCCAACGGTGCTGAACGTAAGAGCTAAGAGATGCTATCAAAAAACTATTCCGCGTAAAAAATAAGCTTGATGAAATGTGCTCTGTGCGCTATAGAAGCGGCCAGGGAAGCAACCTAGAAGCCAGACTAGTGATGTTTCAACAGCACGTTGGTTCTCATCGTCTTTGCGCTACTGCATGCGCGGCGAACTCTTCTTACCCAGCAACTCTTTGCACAGCAAAACTCACTCACGTTCTATTATTTTTTTTCTATTTGGCGCACTGGGCAGGCTGTGGCCATACAGACAGCGCAACCCAAGCACGCAATGACGCCGCGGCCAGCAGTCCCGGAAAAATGGGCAGCCTCTTCCACCCTCAGTAGACGCCGCACCTAAAAAGAATACGGCCGCCACCACTCACAATCACCCAAATTAAAAAAAAAACCTTCCTTATCTTATCCAGATTTGCGCTGGCGATGCAGCCCCATAGTGTGGCTTTCCTGAATCTCACACTCCCCCCTGCCAATCACCCACCCTACCGCCCCGCTTTTAAAATGCAAATTCCATTTTTCCATTCGATAGTTTTCTTTTTTTCAAATATTCTTTTTTTATCAGCCTCCGAATTTTATCGCCGCGCTAGACTACTTTAGGTAACACCCAAAATCGGTGTCCTGCTTAGCTGGCTCACTCACCCAAAGCTCCCTGTCTCCGCTGGCAGCACACCGCTGAAACATCCACTGAAGCCCCTATGCTTCGGGGGCGCTCGCTGCAAGAGGCCTCTGGTTGTCCTACAGGACCCCGTCTCCGCCTGCCAGCGTGCCCTCTACGGGCGCAGCTTCTAGGTCCGCCAGCTAGATGGTGGCTTGCCTAAGCTGAGTTAGCCACCGTAGCGCTTTCCACCTGGACCCCTGACCGGCTGGCGCCTTTGGTTCTGGAACCTCTTCCGTTCGCCAATCTCCCTGCAATGCTCGGCGTGCAAAGCGCTGCCTGTTTCGTAGGGGAGGCGCTGACAGTTAGCACCCTCTGTCTCCCTCCCACAGACGCTACAGGAAAGGATCCATCACCACATCTCCGCCCAACCCTATTCGGTCAATTGAGCCTGAATTCACACATCTTCTTATTCTTGTTACGCGATCCAATTCCACCCCATTGGCCGTCCCCTAGGAATCTCAGCGCGAAACTTGCCATGGCGGTCCCCCGCCGCTCAGCCAAGGCCTCTCCGCTCAGGCTCTCGTGTTCTGCTGTGATCGGTCTCACGGAGCGTCGCTGTGCCTCCTCCCATCTAGACCTGATCTGCCAGCGCATCGACGCTTTTACGACCAAGCTGAACATCGCAGGCTTCGCCTTCCGCGCCATCTTCATGCAGGTTCCAGTACAGTCCAATCCTCCTAAGCTGCCCAAAGTGCGACCATTTTCTCGTTAGTACTCTTAGCGGCGGCTCGCTAAAACAGTCAGACGATAGCGACAGCGGGAGCTTGGCTCTCTAATGCTGCTGCTAGTGGTTTTCCCCGCGCTGTAATGTCTCACGATCCCACGCTTTTTCTGCCCAAGACACTCGAGCAAACTCCTTTTACCCTCCAATGGTATCATTGTCTCTCTTTGCTTGTCTCCCCCACTAGCAAACCACGCCACCACCCCTACCGTCTGTTGTTTGGTCATCTTTCCCCGAATGTCTCAATTCGCCTGGTGTTTGTGTCTCTTCAACTTGCAAACCAGGCATAACGTGTCTCTGCATTGCCGGGCCCTAATTTTAGCGTTTTGTACGCTCCTGCCCATCTCCGCAATGTATCACGCTCTTGAATCTTACATGATGAGGCTGCTCACGGGCGTCCAGCGCATAATGATTCATGACACTGGACATCCCACGGCAGTTGTGCAAGTATTAGCGTCCGATGTCCTTTGATTCCACGGTACTCGCATCAAGCTCCGCCTCGTCTCCGCCCTAGAGCAACAAAACGTACGTTCGTAGTGTATACTCGGGCCTTTACTGCCAGTGCGGCCTCGCTTTCTCTCGGGGCCAGAATACGGACCGCCTGGCGCCTTTTTTTTGTTGTGTGCCAAACAAGCTTAGCTCGTTCTGCCACAGCGCCACGGACCTGGCCCATTTTGGGCCCCTAACCCCTGCCGAAGACCGCACGATGGTTGGCCATTTTTTTTTTGGGCAGCTTTTAGGGGGGGGGGGGGGGCGCCCTGTTTTTGGTTGGATGGGCTTGTTGGATTGCAGTGTACCCACCCCTAGTGGCATAGGCTGTACGTACATCGGCCAGCGCGATCGACTATGTGTTTTTCTTTTTTTCCTTAGTGCCCTTCTCAGCGCCCACACGGTGGCGTGTGCATTGCGGCGGCGCTGTCGTAGTGGGTTGTAATCGTCCCCTCAGGTAAACTCACTGCTCCTCACCAGGTACATGTGTCAGTGGGTGACCCTGGCTCGTCACCTTACTTTTATCCTTTGGCTCCCCGTGTCTCTTTGGATTGGTTTGATCTTTACGTACAATTCTTGGCCGTTTGGCTTCCCTTCTTGCGCTGCTTCATTTCATTGCGATCTCATCAACGGCTTTTAATCTCTTCGCCTTAATTCGCCCTCTCATCTTCCCCACAACCTGTCTCGCACCTGTCCGCCAGGTGTTTGCCAGCTGCCCGCCGAAACTCTAAAATTACCGGCCCAGTTTGTCGACGACGCAACTAGATTAGCGTCTCTGATCTGCTTGCCGGGCTCAGCGCCGCCCCGTCTTTGGCCTCTGTGTCTCTCCAAACAGCAGAGGGTACCGTTGCTTCCCTACCACCTCGCGTCAACGTCGCCTTCTTGTCTCCTCCATCACCACACGACAACGCCATACGGCATACGTCTCTCCTCCCGTTTCCTTAGTCAATTCGTGTTGGAAACCGTTGTTCTTGGGACGTCATCTCCTTTTTCCTCTCCTCACGCCCAGTCTCGTCGTGATTCATCCTTACCTCCTCGACTCTCGGCTCTCTAACCCCCAATCGACGCCGTCTTTCCCTTCCTTTCTTTGCCCAGCGCTTGTCTCGCCCGACTCTCTTTTTGCTCGCCAACGAACCACACACCACTCGCTATTTTTGTTCCAAGTCTCTCGGCATCGCTCTTCGCTTGGCAACTCGCTTCGTCTTGGTCTTTCTCGCATAGTAATGTGCACATCTGGACACAACCTATCAGATTAAGCATCGCTTCTTGCAGACGGTTCACCATGGCAGGCTGGGGTGTTGATGATCATATGCACAACTACTGTCCCGAGACAGGGTTCTGCATTTACAACAATACCATTGTCGATACCAATGTCAGATTTAGCCATTGGTACCAAGAAGCCAACCTGATTATCGGTAGTGCCGCCTTTGTGGTGCCTGTCTTGATTATCACCTCTTACTACATTGCTCGCTATGTATACTCAACAGCCTCGCATCTATCTTCATCGTAAGACACGACCCGCACTACCATCCCGTCACACCCCGTCGTACTTACTAACTCGATTACCTTTTCGCAGATTAAAAACTATCACAGCACCAAACACGAGGCCGAATACACCGTACGCTTCAGAGTGTTCCCTCGATTGGCCGCTCATCTCAATATTGCCGTTTGCTTATCCTAAGCCTGGCAAAGAGATTGATGATGACACTAGCGAGGAGGAAGTGGATGCAGAAGACTCGCCAGTTGGATGTCTAGATTTGGCTGCTCTTCAACCCAACTCGCTGACATCTTCCGACATTGACGGCACAGTTGCTTTCTTGGTCCAGGGAGCCCGCAAGAGACAGCTTGCCGCCCTTGCCATCCGCTGTGGCTCTGGCTCTGCGTTGAAGGAGGTCAACAAGCTCTTGTCCAAATTGCACAAGGAGCTGCAAGATGAAATTAAGATTGTTTTCCAAGCTCACCATGACGCGTCGCTATGGTCTGATGTTGACCTCAGCCCAACAGCCGGTGTCATCATTGAAAACGCATGCATAATCCCCAATGGCGAGCGGAGAGATTACTTTCACTCTCAGGCTCTGCGCCAGATTGTCGCCCGTGCAGCGGATCAGCGCGATGGCAAGCCCGAGTACTTTCTCGGTTTCCTCGAACTCTGGGAGGAGCAACCTCATCCTGCCGTCATTCGCCGCGCCATCAAGCTGGCAGAGCATTTCGGTGCCCATCTTGAGCATGGCCCAGCATCCGCCATTGTCGCATCCGAGAAAGTTGCCCCTGCTGCTACCACACTCAGCGCTTTTGAGTACCTCAAGCGTTCCGAGATTAGCAAGCTGCAATCGTGCTGGACATCAGCTAGTCGCAAGGTGAAGATCTCCAGTGACACCTCCAACAGCCGCTCCCTCAACACCAAGATGCTCACCTCAGTGATCCCCGAAGCGACCAAGTTGTTTGAGCATGAAGAGCTTCCCGAGCAACTGGTTGTTGTTCGCGCTGAGGAGCCCGTCTTTGTCAACTCCCCAGAGTACCTAGCTGTCGCTCCCAAGTGCGACAACTTTTGGCACAGCGCTCGTGATGGTACGGTTCTGTCCCCCCACGGCTGCTACTCTATCTACACAGAGCCCACTGTCGAGGACTACGCTGCTATTGTACAGTCACAGAAGCACCTCAAGGAGCTTAACCTTTTGCTCTCTGTAGAAGGCACCGAATCGTCGCGCATGATTCAAGCTTTCCGTTCGCTGGCCAGCAAGGGCAGATGTGCTTCCCTGGTCCAAGATCTCGTCATTGGTCTTGAATCATCGGATATTTGCGTTTACAAGGGCATGGACACTGGATTCAAGCTTCCTGAAGGCGCCACTTCCTTCTGGGGTGTTTCGACCAACCGCGATGCTACCTACACCATGTCTGTTGATATCTTCATCTCCCAAAAGGCTCCCAACGCCATTGCGGCAGTCCTGCACACCTGGTTGGCGCATCACCGCGTGGGCCGCGACGTTCGCTTCGAATATGAAGCTCTGCTTGAGTCCCTGACAATGAAGGGTGCCAACGGTATCCTGCCTTCCAGCATTGCTGCTAGCATCTCTCAGGCCACGCACGCCGAAACCTTGCAGCTCCTGGAACGTATCAATGTCACTGAGCTCAGTGGCCGCCTCCGCGATGCCATTGTCGGCCACTGCCAATTGGTTCTCATTGACCAGACTACCGTCACTCACCGCATGCACACATACGGACGTTACCTTCTTGATGGCTCCATGACTATGGAGCAGGCTCTGGCTTCACGTCTAGAGGACTACGCTCGCCTTGGGGCTACCTCGTTGCCTGCTCTGGCCAACCTGGTTCAATTCCATGAGCTTCTTAGCAAGGCCATCCGCGAGGCTCTGTTCCACGGTAACCGTACTCACTTGAACGCATTTGCCCTTGCTCTTCGCAGCGCTTTGAACCCGTTCTCTGCCTCGAGCGAGCAGCACTATGTCGACGTCAACGCCGATCTCTTTGCCCTCATCTTCTTTAGCGTGTTGCGCCAGTCGGCCTTTGAGGAAGTCTACATTGAGTCTACGGATAGATGTCCACTCCTGCTTCAGCCTGACCAAGCCGCTGTTTTTGCTGAGCTCTGGGTCCTCGGATCGCAGTGTGAGATATACTTTGGTATTTTGCCTCGCGATCTAGGCGAGATTATCTACCACCGATACCACAGTGTTTTGCTCAACCGACCTCCCCGCACTTCCGATCGAACAGACAACGAAATCATGACAATGTACAGCGATGTCAGCGCCGCCAACAAGAAGCGTACCAAGAAGGATGTCAAGACGACCGCGGCAACGATGCACGAGCGCAAAGAAAAAGTCAAGGAGATGATTGCCAACCTTGGCGCCATGAGCTTTTTCTGTGCCCCTGCTATCATTGACGTCGTTTTGCTGACATTCCTGGGACGTGGTTTGCTCATGACGGGTTTCTTTGACGATTCCCACCACTTGAGTGCCGCTGTCTATGGTATCCTCCTCTCCCTGCTTGTCTCTGCCGGTGTTGTAGGCTGGGCTGGTAGCACGGGTAACTATTACCTTGCCCACTACGCTTATGATAACATGATCCATTTTCATGTGTCTCGCATTGCTTCTGGTATCATCGTTTCCTTTCTGATTGGTGTTGTGGGCGTCATTGTCATTACTCCCATCTATGACATTGGTGCCGGTTTCGTCTTCATGGGCTACATGATTGGTGTCACAACCTATCTCAATCTCCTCGGTATCTTGTCGACTATGCACCAAAAGGACTCTCCGTTGACCTCCGGTCGTACTGTCGTTTGGCGTACATTCCCCGTTCTCTTCATTTCTCCCGTCCTATCCACTTTTGTTCCTCACTACGACTTGGCCATCTACCTGAGCGTTCTCTACGTTTTCTTGTTTTTGGTGCTCTACCAATACAGCATCATCTGCCACGAGTGGTCTGGCTGGGTAGACAAAATGCAAAAGTTTGGTGAAAAGGATATCGTTGCCTGGCACGAAAAGAGAATGGAGGCGGCGTCCAACGGCAAGGAAAATGCCGCCTCCCAGAGCCAAAAGGAGCCCCTTGAAGCCTTCCGCAACGCCATTGATGGTTACAAAAGACGATCTGCGGCAGCTCGCTCCTCTGGCATTCTTAACGACCCCTTTGTGGCCAAGATTGCACACAGTATGCCGTACATTGATTGGTTGTTTAAGAAGGCTGCTCCCAATGGGAAGCTGCCTCCCGCTTTTAGCAGTGGTTGGTTTACTCAGCTTGGTGAAGCCCAAAACCAACAACGTCAGCTGATCCGCGGTCTCAAGGAGCATAACATTGTTATTCTCTACCGCATGGCTCGCTTCGACATTGGCCAGAGTGTCGGTCTCTTCCTGATTGCTCTCATGGACCGATGGGTTGGTATCGTCATGGAAGGGAGAAACCCTCGACCAAACTTGTATGGCGGCTACCCTGTCACGAAATCGAATCCGTTCACTGGCGGCGATGATCCAAGCAAAACCCCTGATAACCCCCAGCCACGATATGCCGTCTGCTTCGACCTAATCTACTTTTGTTTGTCTGTCATGATCCTGGACATGGTCTTGCAAAACTACTGGGGCTTCCGCTTCGAGGCTTCCAAGGAGCCGCTTCGTGATTTCGCTCACTCCCAAGCAGTCCAACAGGCTGCCGAGCGCAAGCGCCGCTACACCTTCCTCAAGGCGTTGCTTGAGCTTCTTCTGCGACAGTGTATTCTGTTTGGAGCTGCCACACTTCTTCTCTGGCTCTTTGTCGATCAGACTATTCCTATTGCTGTCTACTACCTGTACATTGTCGGCTACACCTGCGTCATCATCTTCCAGTTCAACCGCTGCTTCACCACCAACCTCAAAGCTCACATTACTACCATCTTTGTATCTGGCTTTATTGGTTTCCTCGTTGGCTGCACGCTCCGTGCTATCCCTGCTACCGCCTCTTTGTTCTTCAGTGAGATTGCTGCGCAGACTACCGCCTCCGTGTTGGCTGCTCTTGGTACTTCTCTCTGGTGCTGGAAGGACTTCTTCGCCAAGGAGACGGATCCTTTGATCTACACCAAGAAGTCTTCTAGTGATCAGGATGGCCTCTGGATCCAGCGCAAGATTAGCGCCGAGTCCGAGGTCCGCGCTACAATCAACTCCTCCCAGGCCCAGCGCATTGGTGGTCGTGTTATCCGCGGCCGTGTCAGCTCGCCTGTCTGCGAAGATGTTGGTCGCCGCCTCCGCGATAGTTTAGCCCAGAGCAAGCACGCTGGTGATGCCCTGGAAGATCAGGAGCTTCTTGAGCGCGCTGTTGCACTTTGGCAGGGCGGCCGCATTGAAGTTGTCGCTGTTCCCTCCATTGACTTCTCCTCTCTTGGAATGGGCGATGCCTGCTCCTTCAGTCACATTGACGATGACGGCAACCTGAGCATCAAGCTTGGTATGTTTGGTGAGGCTGAACTTGGTCTTTCCTCCTGGCACCCTGTCCTGGCCATCGTTGCTGCTGAGTGCATCCTGTACCATGTTGCCCGCGTAGAATACGGTAAGACTCACAGCCAAGCTGTCCGCGCCGAGCACTACCTTGACGGTACTGTGTCCATGTCCAAGCGTATTGAGATTGAGATCCTCATCGCTGACCCCGAGCTTTTGCTCCGCTATATGGGCCGCACAAACACCGAGGTAATGCGCCGTCTGTGCTGGGACCTGGACGTCGATGTCGAGTGGCAGCATCTGCCCCAGTCTGTGCGCGAGGCTATTCTCCTTCGCATCAGCGAGAAGCCTGTTGCCTGGAACGATGATGTCCGCCAGTGGGTTGAAGACCGCGGCATTGACATGGCAACCAACGACTTTCACCTCGTGCTCTGCCTGGCTGTCTTCCGCGCTTGCTGGCAACGATACGAGTCCAGTGCCGCGTTGCTGGCGGATGTTGAGCAGTTCCACGCATCTGAAACCATGGCTGATCTTATTCCTGTCCGCATTGTCAATGGCAAGGCTACGCTTATTGAGCGCATCTTTGGCAGCATCGCCGCCGTTCCTCTATCCGCTGTAAAGTGGGTGGCTATTATCAGCGGCGGCGCAACCAACATTGAACGTGAGCTCAAGTATAAGTTCAAGAACGTCCTCATTGGCACCTTTTTCCTGCGCACAACCCTTCTGGCTTGGAGAATCTGCAAGTTCTTCCGCGAATGCCTTGTTCACACTCTGCTCCTCTACGGCCGCCACTCTCTGAAGAGCGTCGCCACTCTGGTCTTTAGCGGCGAGCAGCGACGCATTACCAACAACTCTGTTGCTGTTGTTCGCCCTCGCAAGCCCATCACTGCCTTTGTCAACGCTGATTGCGGCGATGAGGGAGCCTACCTCGTTCTGGATGCCTACGATGAGAGCCTGCAGGCCGCCCCCGAAAACAAGACTGCCTCTTTCAAAGCGTCCTACGATGACTCCTTCCGCCTGATCCGACGCGACGAGAGCGATGGTACCTACTGCACTTACACCTACAGCTCCGACAAGGAGAAGCGCTGGCCTCTGTATCGCGAACATTTTGACAAGGACACCAAGATTGTCGGCTTCTACGACAAGTACGGCCGCATTCAGCACGGTACCATGGCCATTGGCACAACGGAAATCACCTTTGCCTACCAGTACAAGACTACTCCCAAGGGTGCCACCAACATTCTGCGTGCCGACTTTGCCCACGGTACCAGCACTGTCTCTCTCAACAAGCTTTCCGTCTACTGGGGTGAGCCTCCTCGCGAGGACGATGTCACCACGTGCGACTGGGTTCCTTCTGACAAGGTATACCGTATCGACAGAATGGTGGATGGCAAGTCGTACGTCACTGAGCTTGAGTACAGACATCGCCGTGATCCCGTCAGCACCACCTTCCTCAAGGACAATGCCGACTTCCGCACTGCCGTCGTTGACGTTCCCAAGGTCTTCTTTGAGAACCCTCTTCTCCTCAAGAAGCCTCACCGCCCGTCCTTTGATGCCGATGATCTCCTCATCTACCACAGCACACGCCTCATCCGCCACCTCCGACACAGCACCATCCCGACGCTCTCTCTCATGTCGCGATGGAGCCTGCTCAAGTACTTTGGCCGCACGGTGGATTTGGCTCTGCCTACTTGGCGTATCCGTACCGAGCTTTGGCATGCTTGGCTCAAGGGAAGCATCGATGCCCCCATGGTTTGTTGGCTTGATGAAGTTATCCTCCGCAAAGAGCCGCTCTTGTTCCCCTACTGGCGTGCTCGTGAGGCTGGCAATGTTGAGGCGGCTGTTCGTCTACTCGACCAAAACATTAGCCAAATTGCATCTTCCATTGAACTTGCCACCGATGTCGCCGAACTGTGCCTGCTTCCCATTAAGACCACCGATCTCTACCACATGGGTCTTGGTCGAGATGCGACCGAGATTACCACTCGCCCTCAGGACTGCTACTCCGATACCAAGGATCGTGTGTCCGTCATTGTCAACGATATTGGATGCTGGCCCGAATCTCCTGGTGGCGTGTCCAACTGCAGACGCGATCTTGTCAATGGCCACAGCACCATTCGTAACCACGTCTTGGCCGAGTGCGCCAACGACTACGGTATCCCCCGTTTCCAGATTGAAAAGAATGTGCAGTCGCTCAAGCTTCTTCCTCTCTGGGGTCTTGACGACAAGACTGCCTACCACGGTTTGACCGAGAACATCCTCCAGTCTCAAGTCGATGTCAAGATTGGCAACACAGACAAGCAGCGTGACATTCAAGGTGTCTTTGTGCCACTCCTCATGGACTTTGTCAAGGGAGCCCGTACCAAGACCTACTCTCGCGCTGACCTGATCAAGTACACCAACGTCTTCCTTTCCATGGCTAAGTACTACGAGCAAAAGGATTACAACCTCACCTGGAACTCTCAGATTGTAGCGGATGCCTGGGCGGATGCCTGGCTGGTCCCCTACGATGACCCCAACATTGCCGACCCTGTCGAGCACTTTGAGTTGCAGCGACCCAGTCGTCACGACTTCCGCGAGGCAATGGGCATCTACATGGCGTACTTCTTCATCTTCTCTGTCCAGATCCCCGAGGAATGCCCCCGTGTCTTCCAGAGTACCCATCACGGTATCAGCAGTTTGTTTGGTATGATCCTCAAGTACAAGCGCGGTGTTACCTTTGGTATCTGGGACCACGCAATCTTGTGGCGTGAGACCTGCCTGAACATCTCGCCTGCGCAGTGTGAGCTCTCTATTCCCGTGCAGTCCATGCTTCTTGGCGGTATCCGCTTGGCTTCGCGACTGTCCTACTTCCACGCTGACATGATTGTGCCTTGCACTTCGCTCTTCAACCCTATGTGGGAGGCCGACATTGGTACTGATCGTGGAAAGTTGAGCAACAAGAACGAATTCGTTCGCAAAATTGATCCCATTGTCAACGGCATCAGCAACATGGACTCCTTCACTCCCGTCAAGGCTACCCGCACTGATAAGCCCACCGCAGTCATGTTGTCCAATGTCCAGTTCATCAAGGGTATCCGTACTGCCATTGTTGCAGCTGATGTCATTGTTAACCGCTACGGCTTCAAGGACTACAAGCTTCTCATTTACGGTGCCAAGGATCGCCAGCCTTCCTACGCGCTCGAGATGGCCAAGCTCATTGTCAAGTGTGGTCTTTCAGAGAATGTCGTCCTCGCTGGCTTCGGTAAGCCCGACCAGGTTTTGCAGGATGCTTGGATCTTTGTCAACTCGTCCATCTCCGAAGGTCTTCCTCTTGCCATTGGTGAAGCTGCTCTCGCTGGTGTACCTATTGTCGCCACTGAAGTCGGTGCCACCGCACTGGTCATTACCGATCCTGATAACCAAGACGAGCGTTATGGTGAAGTTGTTGCTCCCAATGACCCTGTCGCCCTCGCCCGTGCTCAGCTCCGCCTGCTCTGCATGGTCGGTCCTTGGGCCAAGTTCACCAGTGATGAGCCTGAAGGCGGTATTGACTTGCCTGAAGAGTTTGCCCCAGAAGACGTTACTTCACTCTCCAAGCGCATGGAGCAAAAGAGCGATGACCGACATAAGCTTGGTCTCTTGTCTCGCGAAGTTGTCAAGCGCAGTTTCCACGGCCATCGCTACTTGCGTGAACATGAGCAAATGTACTGGGTTCAGTGGCATCTTGCTCGCATGAGAGCCAACCCTGCCTTGAACCGCAGAACTCGCATTGCCTACCGCTTCAATGCCAACCCCCCTCTTATGTACATGGAGACTCCCATGCCAGACGACATTGACGTCGACAGTGTTATTGAAACTGATATTGCTACTCTCAACGGCACCAACAGTAGTCGCAACTCCGTCTACGAAGGCGTCAGTCCTCCACGAAGCGAGAAGCGCTTTGGACTTTCGCGCTTGTTACTCAAGCAGCCCCTCATTGAACCCTACTCGCCTACGCCCTCTATCAAGGGCAGAACAAACTTCGAGAACTGGGCCCCTGGTTAATTCGACAATATGTCACCCAGGGTGCAAAGTCTCATTTGCTGGATATAATTTTCACTCTGCACATCTCTGTTTATTTCTCGTTCATCTTTTTCATGAATATTTGCAGCATTTTCATTGGAGTTTATAATTTCCTCTTTCTGTCATATACTACCAGCGCTACAGCGCCGACACATTCTCGTGTCCTTCCTACTTTTTATTTTCTAATTAGAGATATACCCACCAACATAGCTTAGAAATTTACCCTTTGTCTACTCAAAAACATGTCTCATTCTGCCCATGTGTATGTGAATGTGTATGTGATTCTTGAGCCTCAAAAACTTTTTTCACGTAGAAGCACCCATTAGTTTAGCTTCGGGCGAGCTCAACCTTGAAAACATGTTTGTTACAAGCTTTTCCAGGGTGTACACATTGATATAAATTTGAAGCAACGCACCGTCACTCTTATTTTCGAACTAAACTATTCGTCTTTCGTCAACATAATCCCACAATCAGCCCTTTACGGTCTACAAAATGAAGACCTTCTACGCCCTTGTTTCCTTGTTTGCAACCCTTGCCGTTGCCGACATGCTCCCTGCCTGTGCTAATGCTTGCATTGTGGAGGGTATGCAGCACGTCCCTTGCAAAATGGATGAAATCAAGTGTCTTTGCAAGAAGGACAACATTGCTATTCTCCAAGCTGATGGCATGCCCTGCCTCCAAGAGTCATGTGGAGAGAAGAAGGCTGAAAGTAAGAGGCTTGAGACCCGCGCGTCATCCGCGCTTTTGAGTTCTCGTTGCTAATGTACTCTATAGATATGATGAGCATGGCTCTGGACCTCTGCTCCATTGTCAAGACCGATTAACGGTCAGGTCTCGGCCGCCATTCTTGAGGAGTGCGCCTTTGCGTGTTATTCTGTGGCTAGATCGGGTAGATAGATGCCAAATACAGACCTAATTTGTGTCGAAATGCCTTGTTCAAAGTTTTCTCATTTGGGATGGGTGTGGATATTCCATTTATCACCTATTTCTCATCACAAAATGCAAATTCTATTTGTCAAGTAGCAAAAAAGAAACATACAACAGCTGTTGTTCGCTGGTCATCACCGACCCCAACTACTAATCTGCCGGTCAGTGGCTTGTCTAACGGAGAGCAGACGGGATCCTGAATTTTCCACTACCTATGGCCGTATGTACAAGATGCGGATCTAATTCGATATATCTGTGTTGTGTCCAGCTAGTCTTTCTCTTTAGGGTTCGGTCAAGTATCGTGCCCGACGCCGAGAGGGACCTTGCAAGGGTCTTAGAGTTTTAGTGACTTTGGATCACGGGCCGTCTCCCGCAGAATGCCGATGCCCGAGAAAATCTACCTTCAGCGGTTCACTACGTCAGTGTAGGGCGACCGATAGCAAATCCCGATCGTGCTCGCCCTCACGGTGTCGGAATGCCGGCGCCGGAGCTGAAAGCGCCGACATGCCCGATCGCCCTCAGCTTAATGTCACCTGGACAATTTTGGGAGGCTGGAGACAACTATTCTCAGCTGGCGTATCCCATTGCGGTAAATCGTACCAATAATCACACAGTCTTTTGCCTTACTTACAAATATCTATTGCCCTGCATGCTTCCCCCAAATACTATCCGTTCTTCAGTTAATGAAACAAGCGGCTCTTAATAACCACCAATTATCAACATGAGCTCGACAGATGTCATTATCGTTGGAGCTGGACCAACTGGATTGGCGTTGGCAATTTGGCTCACCAAACAACATGTGAAGGTACGCATAATCGACAAAGCCTCACAGGGAGCCATCTCAACCCGTGCACTCGCCGTGCAGTCCAGAATTCTCGAGCTTTACAGTCAGATCGGTTTGGGCCACACAGTGGTCGATCGCGGTCTACCGATGACAAGAATCAATGGTTGGATCAAAGGACGACATTCGTTCCATGTACCTGTTGCCAACGCTGCCGTGGGAATGACAGAATTTCCGTTTGTCACCATTATGCCGCAGCATGAACACGAGGCCTTACTGCGGGACACGCTCAGTGACCTAGGTGTTGAGGTTGAGATGGACACAGAACTAGTCACATTCGAGGATAACGTTGATGCCGCAACAGTCACGGCTACCATTAAGCGGAATGGAGTTTCAGAAATCGTCACCTCAAAATTCATTGCTGGTTGTGACGGATCACACTCGATAGTAAGAAAGGACCTAGGCATTGATTTTCCCGGCGGCGTCTACGATCAAATGTTTTATGTTGCAGACATCGAAGGATATGGGCCAGCTATCAACGGCGAACTCAACGTATGCCTTGATAACTCCGACTTTCTTGCTGTCTTCCCTCTGGCTGGCACAGGTCGCGCTCGCATCATCGGTACGATCCGCCAGAGCAGCATGACAACGGAGGCACGATCGAGAAAATTGACATTTGATGATGTCGGCCATAAAGCGATCGACCAGATGAAGCTACAGATTTCAAAAGTCAACTGGTTCTCACCCCACAATGTTCACCATCGTGTGGCGAATCACTTTCGCAAAGGCCGTGCGTTCTTGGTTGGCGACGCCGCCCATGTACATTCACCAGCAGGCGGCCAAGGCATGAACACGGGCATCGGCGACGCCATCAATCTGGCATGGAAGCTGGCAGCAGTGATTCAAGGAAAGGCCCAAGACGGCCTACTAGATACGTACGAAGAAGAGCGGCGAGCGTTTGCCCTCCGGCTTGTGGCAACCACAGACCGCATCTTCAGTGGCGCGACTGCTGAAGGCTGGTTTAGAGAATTCATTCGAACCAGGATCCTGCCGTGGATTTTGCCCATTCTGTTCAGCTTCCAATGCGTACAAAGATTTCAGTTTCGTACTGTGTCCCAAATCTCGCTCAACTATCGCGGCATGTCACTCTCACGAGGGAGGGTGGACAAGGTACAAGCCGGTGAGCGCTTGCCATGGGTCCTAGTCGATGGGCAGAGTAACTACGAGCCCCTCAAGAAGATACAGTGGCAGGTTCATGTCTACGGCGAGCCAAATTCTGACCTCCGAGCATGGTGTGCAGACCAAGATCTACCACTTGTCGTTTTCCAATGGCGGTCGGAATACAGGTCAGCAGGGTTGACGCGAGATGCTGCATATCTGTTACGCCCCGATACGTATGTAGCATTTGCTGGGGAATCAACTCCCGAACATCTTCGCAAATACTTTGATGAGCAGCTGATACGGCCTTAGTGGTGATAGTGGACCCGATGATGTCCATCAGGGGCTGGGGTTCGCAGCACAATGAGGTCATCACAAGCATGCTTATTATGGACAGATTTTCAAGGAAGCATATTTTATTTTACTAGCCAGACTGTAGTGAACTTGATCACCCTACTCAGAATAAGTATAAGTTTTTATCAAATACCCAACCCTTTCGGGACAAATCCTAGTCTCCTTTCAGACAAAGCAGCCCCTCGCTTGGGGTTTTTTTTTTATTTTTGTTCAACAACACCGATCAACTTAGTCTAAGATGTAGAGTTAATAAGGGGGTCGTCATTGAATCGAAGAGAGTATACTCACTGAAGCGAAGCTGGCCGTTGTCGTTGCTGATGCGCTCGCCAAGGTTGACGTCGGCATCACGGGGACCGTCAGGGCCGCCGAGGCGGGCACGGAGGACGGGAACGTTGGCACCACCCTCAATGGAGAAGGTGATGTTCTCAGCAGAGCTAGCAAAGTCTGTAGGTGGTTAGCATCATCACGCAAGTCGAGTAACATTTGGTAGGTAAAAGCAGATGGTGGTTGGGGTGGAGTGTCGGCGGGGCAGGGCCCGGGCCGTAGTGAATTCATGTGCGGTGTGAAGGAAGGGCCAAGTGTGTGAGAGCAGTATCTTACCTCTGCCACCCCATTCGAAGCGGCCGTTGTTGTTGCCAAGGCAGCTGTTGAGGTCGAGCTCAGCATCCTGGCCGTTGAGGTTGGCACGGAGGATGTGGCCGTCGTCGACGCGGATGTTTTCAGCGGAAGCGTGGAAAGACATGATGAATTGATACTTTTGTTTTGGATAAAAGATGAAGAGCAAGAAAAGCAACCGCGTAGGCGACGGTGCGGGGGAAGCAACAGAATTTATAGCTATGAGTCCACCGGCAGCTCTAGATTGCATTCATGATGAAACTACCCCTCTCTGCTCGCACGTCCAACAGGGTGTAAGTCCAAGCAGGCCAGCTCGGCCAAGCGAAGACACCGCCACAACACAATAGCTGCAACTAAGAGTGTGTGGGCAAGACGTATGGGCGGGACGCAGACCGGGCGAGGCCAGTGTTCATCGACTGAGAGCCTGAGAGGTCCCCGATGGGCCAATCGCGACTCGGAATGCTGTCATCGGGGCCCTCTGTGTGAGCTGTAGATCTCCACTATGAGCTAGAGCTTCGCCTGCAAGCGTGACGCTTGGAGCAGCTAGCAGGGGCGTCGATTTGGGCACCTTGCAGCCAAGTATCGAGAGGGGTAATAGCGAGGGGTAGCATTTGATTGCTGCCCCTCCTGGTTGCTGTCTCGCTGCCTTGCTGCGTGAATGCGTGTGCCATGCTTGCCGCTCAATATCCAAGGATCCCGTTGCCGATCTACAATGCCTTTGAAGAACAACCTTTTGGAGCCGGCTGCTGGCGAAGGAGGGCGAGACGCCGCCCCGAGCAGCACTAAAGGAAGGCAGAGGGGTTAATCACTAAAGCTTGGTACTGTCCTGCACGGGCTAGTGGCGCCACCACGAGCCAAATGAGCTAGCTCTAGCTTAGCTTGAGGCGTGGTGGAGCTGCCTTGGAAAGACGTGGAACAGCCGCCCCCGCCACTGGGGCCTCGCGAACGCTGCCAGACAGGGTGCAGCAGGGTTTCATGGCGTTCTCGGGAGGGCCGTGGCAGCTGAAGAACGGGGCCTGACTAGCTGAGACCCTGATGCTCGAGACCCGACGTGGTTGGGCGCTAGAGAGTGGCGGAGGCTTCGAATTCGATGGTCTGGGGCTATGCGTTCTTCTGACAGAATAATGTGGTGACTACGTAATAACAGCATAGATACTACCGTCGGCCAGATGTCGCTGGAATCCTTCGATATCACTTCAGGCAGATGGTTTAATATCACCATCGAAAATTTCCGCAAGAGAATTTGCTGTCAAGATCGATAGAACGACCAGTGTCCGACCAAATTTAAGTGAGATCCATAACCATCAACCTGAACCGATCTAGCCGTTGGAGACACGGATTATAATTTAATTGTTTTTTGTTTTTTTTTTAACAAAATCAATTATGTTTTACAGAGTTTTCCTGATAGTTGCATTGGGAGCTCCTCGCGACCATCACTCGATCTTCGTGGAAACAAAATCGATAGGTGGTGATGGACAAATCTTTCACGTTACGGGTAACATTCAAAACGGTATGACCTTCGAACAGGAGTCTAGACAGCGCCCCGAAGATTCTATGGATTTCATTGCAAAGAGGTTCCTTGGATGGGTTTCTAGTGAACGCTTTGAAGTCATCGGAGATGTTTGTCAAAGTATTCAACCGCCAAAGAAGCAATTCGACGGGCCACGACGGTTGTATCCAAAGGAGCCACTACGCCGTTGTCAGGAATGGACCGGAGAAGTGATTGATGCTCTGATATCAAGAGGCATTCTACAGGTCGAACAGCCCAACCCAGCCCCTGCTGCAGACGCGGTGAACTAGGTGTGGACTGAGGATCATTGACGTTCGTGTCTTCATAGCGGCAGTGGTTAATAACAGGCGACTTCATACCGCATAATTCATTAATAAGCTTGCTCTTTTACACTACAGCTTCCCGGATAGCTTCGTCGACACCCTCCCGTCGTATTCCCGGCCCCGGTCCTAAGCATCTTGCCCTCGCTGCGAGGCCATCGATCAGCTTACTCACGTCAATAGTGATTGTGTTGTCAACTTGCCCACCGAGCGGAGTGCGCGGTTCGGATGTGGAGAGCGTCGACGCCCATGTTCCTTCGGTATCGCTTGTCGATGGCGTAATGGTTCGCATGCCAGTCGGGATAGTTTGTGCATCGTCTTTTATACAGCCAAAAATGGTCCAGTCGAGAACGGTGTCGGGGATTTCCAGTTCAGGGTCGTTGATCCAATCCTCAGCCGAGGGTAGGAATTCCACAACGCCATACTGATCATCGGTTTGCGTCGGAACATTAACGGGCCCGCTGTCAACCTGCAAGCTAATGAGGTCTGTCGTCGCGTTTTCACGAACCATTATTCCGCGCTGTGCAAGATACTCTTCAACATCCGGTGGTTCAAGCCATTCGCCCATCAACTCGGGTAGATTGGTTGCCAGAATGGTCCGCGTCAGACCGTAGGTGAGCCGCTGTAGATGGGGCGGTGGTCGGCGAGGAAGTAGCTGGCTCGTATCGCCCTGGTTTAGACGGAACATGGGTGATAGTGCGTCTAGCACGGGCTTTGCATATGGGATATCGCCAGGGCTTGCTGTCTGTGCGTCGGAAAACTGACCCAGAGTTTGGGCTAGGAGTACTTGAGCAGGGCTTAGTTTGAGATGCTCCAGAAGCGCTGGGGGGAGGCAGCTATGCGTGGGAGTGCCCTCGGCTACCATCTTGACTGTATGCTCCATGGTGGCTTGCACAAAGCGTTGGGCGGCATTTTGGCCGTCTTGGGGCTCGCTGGAGTTATTCGATTTAACAGTAGCAGGAGGAGCATTAATGCCACTGTCCTTGGAAATGGTGGCAATCTGGATGGCAGCTCTGCTAATATGAAGAGCAAGGTCTTTAGGTATCGTGCCCGAGTCAGCCTCGTTAACCAGTGTTTCCTGAAACGTCTTGAAAGAATCAAGCATGCCGCGCATAGCAGTCTCTAGTCGAGCCGACTTTTCCGTAGCCGCCCTCAAGGCGTCCTCCTTCTTGACACGATACGAACGCTGAGCAAGCCTCATACGTGCTTTTCGACGCTGTATTCTAATTAGATCAAAGTTTATAACGAACAGGATGTTTCCAAATGTAGGCACTTACGCCATGTTCATCATCTGGAAGAGGGGCGTCTGGTGCTTTTGGACGGCCACGACGCGCTGGTTGGCCAAATGGTTCTGAGGAAGTGGGCTCCATGCTAGCCCGTAAAGTATGCCGAACAACAACCGCCGGGTTTAGATAATCTCACTAGTTGGAGCGATCCTACTGATAATAGACAAATTACAGCAAATACAAAACAAGTGGTGCTTTGGTGGTCGACATTTGACAATTGCCATGTTTGTCAGGTGGGCGCTAAGCCTTTTTAGGGGTGCTCGTTGGGATTCAACCAATGATAAAGCCTGGATCTCTAGAACGTGCCCCGCAATTTGTCGTTTTCGCTACCCTATGGCTCAAGAGAAGTTGGCGACAGTTTGTAAATACTTTGCCAGTGCGGTTTATTAATAAAAATGATGGTTTATAATATTAGATCTTATAATTCCAAATGGTGTATGTACTAAAATAATATATATATGTCTGGTGTTTTGCGCTTTTCAGAGAAGACTATCTTCATCCACACAACACTAACAAGCTTCCATCATCACGATTCATCAGTTAGCAAACAGACCCAAAGCTATAACCCATTGTCCCTTATTATGACAGTTCCAACCTCCTCAAAACTCTTCCGGCCCTTAAAGTTTGCCCATGTCGACTTGAAACATCGCATCATCATGTCATCTCTTACTCGACTTCGCGCGGATGCCAACCATGTTGCGACGCCCTTGATGAAGGAGTACTATCTCCAGCGAGCGTCTATTCCCGGCACCCTCATCATCGCGGAATCATGTGCCGTATCCCCAGAACACGGTGGGATGGTTCACAGCTCGGCGATTTTTAGTGACGAGCAAGTGGCTGCCTGGAAAGATATTGTCGACGCCGTCCATGACAAAGGCTGCTTCATGTATGCCCAGATTAGCGCGTTTGGCAGGGCAGCAGATCCTACAACAGCCGAAGCAGAAGGCTTCAAAGTCAAAGGTCCTAGTGCCATCGCCGCTGACGGAGGCATTGTGCCTCTAGAGATGACGCAAGAGGATATTCACAATACCGTCACAACTTTCACAAGGGCTGCACAGAACGCAATCCGCGCAGGATTTGATGGTGTTGAAATCTACGCAGCAAACGGGTATCTGCTGGACACATTTATTCAAGACGTCAGTAACCAGCGTTCCGATGCCTACGGTGGCAGCATAGAAAACAGAAATAGGCTCGTCGTCCAAGTCACACAAGCTGTTGCTGATGCCGTTGGCCCCGAGCGCGTCGGTGTCAAGCTGAGCCCCTGGTCGACATTTCAGTCTATGCGCATGAAGGACCCGATTCCCCAGTTCAAAGATTTAGTTACCAAGCTCAATGGAATCCAAATCGGATTTCTAAACCTGATAGAGTCGCGCGTCTCGGGTATTGATTACACCGACGGCACGGAAAAAGTTGACTGGATGTGGCCGCTGTTTGATGGAGTCATTGTCACCACGGGAGGATATCTACCGCAGACCGCCATGGACTTTGTAGATAGCCATGAAGATGGAAAATTCGTTGTGGCATTTGGAAGACGATATGTCGCCAATCCTGACTTGCCGTACCGCATCCAGCACGGTATCGAGCTCAACCCCTACGACCGCAGCAGCTTCTACAAGGTTGGCGCACCCGACGGGTTCATCGATTATCCTTTCAGCAAAGAATTTTTGGCTCAGTCACATTAGAAATATCTGCATAGAGTTTGTTTAACTAGATACGCAACTTTAATGCTTGACTTTTGAAATTATTACGCGAACTTGTTGCTTTATTCTATCTGCGGTTAACAGTCTTTCTCCGCCAGTGAAGCCTGCCAGTGAGTAACCCCAGTCTATTCCCGTCAAGGGATCAGTAAGGCGCGCCGTACAAAGTAAGTACACATAGTTTCATTGCCCACGATAAAAGGGGGCTTTAGGTGCTAAGGAATATATACGATGGCTCCGGTACAGTTACCACGCACCCTTGCTAGAGGGTGATGGTACAGATCTCTGCGACGATAACAGCGCCAAAATACGTTGTTGTGGTTGCTCTCTTCCACGGTGGATATTGCAAGGCTCTACTACCACTACACCTAGTTCCGACACATGCCCCCGAAAGCATAAAAGAAACCTATGCTACTGGCTTTCTTCTACTGCGATTGTCTACGCGAGCTGCTCCTTGGATCGCATTCCTACAAATCTTGGTGGCGGCAAAGCAACTGGGGCAACAATGTCTGGCACCGACCGTGCAGTGATGCCGCGCTCTGCCCACTTCGCCAATCAGCTCGAGTTCCCTTGGCTCAAGGCACAGTTGCTAAAAACGGGCGAACCTGCGATTGGACGGAGACGGGGCGGAAGCCAGAAACAAAGCCTGCTTTCTAGCTGTTACGGAATGATTTTGGGCCGTCGCGCACTAATGATAGGGGATCCTCTTTTTTCCTTCCCTGAGCCTGCTTACTCGCGCCGTCAATGCGTCGCATGCGCCCATAGCCCTGCGGTTCCGTCGGTGGCTTGATCCCCCATCCCCAGTGGCTTTTTGAGGCGTCGATGTGTTGGAGCCGCATCGTGGGACCAACAGCGCCTTCGTCCCATATCTATTGCAATTAGAATAGAGACAGCGGGTTTCCATAGGAAGGGGCCCCATTCGCGCTGTAGTTTAGCATCTCGGGCCCTGTCATCCCTCTTCCTGTCACGTGGTGCTTCCACAGCCTGGTCGACGTCGTACCCGGTGGGAAAAGAGGTGGAGTGGAGTTGGTAAATCCGGCCATTGCCTGATTTGATGGAGCGCCAAAGTGTCCGGCTCGTAGTTCTGAAAAGTTAGATCCCCCCTAACCGGTATATGGCGTGGGCTCTCCTCTGCGCTAGGATCGCTAGTGACTCGCGCCCTTGTTGCCCTTATATACCCGCTGGCCCAGAAAGCCTCGCCGCGCTCCCCCTCGTCAAGCAAACTTGCCCATCGCAAAACCCAACTTGTGTTCTCAGCAAGCCGACTGCCCGTTATGCCTACTGAAGACGCCGTGTTGGCGTCTACTGCCACGGGCCTCGACGCCGCCCACGATCTCGAGGCTGCAGAGGCAGCTGCGCCCGTCGCAACAACAAACAAATCCCAAGATGCCCACTCTAACGACGAGTCAAACGGTAACCATGAGAAGCAGCCTGATGATCTCGACTGGGATAACCACCCTGACAACGCCCTCAACTGGCCCACCTGGCGCAAGATGCACCTGATTGCTTCCATCTCTATGATGGCTGTCATGGCCTCCGTCGGCACGTCCATCATCAGTCCAGCCACGCGTCAGCTAATCACAGAATTCGGTGCCGGAGAAGTTACTGCGTTGCTGCCACTGTCTCTATATGTGTTTGCTCTCGCTTTTGGTCCTCTTGTCGGCGGCCCTCTCTCCGAAACCTTTGGCCGCCATCCTGTCTATTTGGGTACTACATTTTGCGGCGCAATGTTCACCTTGGGCTGCGCTCTCGTACACAACTTTGGCGCTCTCTGCTTCCTTCGCTTCATGGCTGGCTTCTGTTGGGGTCCCTGCCTGGCAATTGGCTCTGGCAGTTTGGCTGAGACCTTCCAGCCCAAGACCCGCGGCCTGGCCATGGCCATCTTCATTCTCATGCCCTTCTTAGGCCCTGGCCTTGGCCCCATCTTGGGCGCGTTCGCCACTAACCGACAAGGCTGGCGTTGGACGCAGTGGATTCTTCTCATTTTTGCCGCTGTTACCATGATCCTACTTCTCACGGGCAAGGAGACCTTCCCTCCGGCAATCAAGCGTCGTCTCGCGAAGAAGCGTGGCCAGCCACTGCCAAAGAGCACCCACGGCACCGCTGCGCTTGCCAAAGAGTTTCTGACCATTGGCCTCTTCCGACCTATTCATATGATCTTTACGGAACCCTTGGTCTTCTTCCTCGGCATATATGTCGCTATCAACTTCGGTGTCTTGTTCAGTTTCTTCGCCGCTGTCCCCTACACCTTCTACAACGTGTATCACTTTGGCGTTGAGCAGTCTGGCCTTGTCTTTGTGGCAGTCATTATAGGCTGTATCCTTGGACTTGTCACAGTCTTTTTGTGCGAAGGTATCCTGTACCGCCGTCAAATTCCCAACTTCCCTCCCCACAAAGTTCCACCTGAGTACAGACTCTACGGCGCCATGATTGCCAGTATTGGCCCGCCTCTTGGCCTATTTTGGTATGCATGGACTGCCAAGTCTTCCATCTCTTGGGCAAGTCCCGCGGTCGCCATTCTACCATTTGCATGGGGTAACCTCATCATCTTCATCACTTTTACCTCGTACATGACCGACACGTACAAGGGTCATCTTGTTGCCAGCCAGTCGAGCGCTAACAGTCTTATGCGATATGCGTTTGCTGGTGCTTTCCCCCTCTTTATCACCCGCTGTAAGTGTCCCATATCTACGGCTGTGAGTTGGCCTGCTAACCTGAGCAATAGTGTACGACAGAGTCGGCATTGACTGGGGACTTAGCATTTTTGCGTTTGTCTTGTTGGCTCTTCTACCCATCCCTTGGCTTTTGTTCAAGTACGGGCCTTCCGTACGCGCTAGAAGTCACTACGATACGCATCAATACTGATGCAGTGTCGCTAATCGAAAAGCAACCAGCGCGGCGAGTCTAGGCAATGCTGGGAGTGTGTAATAATCGCGATTTTCACCATATATATATAAATGATAGTGCAAATGTATCAATATATTGCATACTGAATACAACTAAGTACTGTCTGGTGAGGTAAGACCGAGCGCGGTAGCTCTACGTATTGATGCAATGTAGCGTAGAGCACCCCGTAGTCTAGAGTGTGACTGTGTAGTATGTAAACTACATTGGATTTATTTATCATGATTGTGTCGTTTTCACTCGACTCTGTCTTCTCAAGGACTAGTCTAATGGTAGCTCTGATAGGTGCATGAACCTGTAGTGGCAAATACTCAACACGGTCTCAGAAAAACTGCTCTAAAGCGCCTGTTCTTTCACATGCTTTTAGCAACCTTCTTCAGCGGCCACAGCACCTCCTTAGATCTTTGGTCAGCGCTCTCTCGATGTGTCGGCAGATGCCCTAGCTCAGGATCAGCATACGAGAGCTAAGCCGAACTGTGCATGAGGCGCCACTTTTTCATCCAAAACTGTCCATGCTTGCGAAAGTGACCTGGTCAGTGGCCGTTAAAACGTTATTATGAGGATCCGACACTGGGTTATAACAAAACAGAACAAAACGTTTTCATACTCTACTAACATCAGCGTGCAAGACAATGTCACAAGCAATATCAAGTGAGAATGACTCTGGGTCGTCGACCCACAGCGAGTGGGTTAGCTGAGGGCATTTCTACAATATAAAACTGTATACACGCCGCTACCCTGACACGGAGTATCGTAAATATACACTGAGCTTTATACATATATACACGTTAACGATGATAAGAAACTCCAAAGATTCCATGAAGTCTACCTGGCGAACCGGGGATCGCAAAAGTTGGTCCTGGGCACACTGGGGATTCGAACTCGTCAACGCACACCCAAAAGACCCCAACAAAAGTATCCCGGTGTTCAAGAAGAGCACAAACATACCTCATCTATCACAACGATCCTCGCAGATATTTATTTGGGTATATGCTGCTCTCCCCATGATTCTGCATGAGCTTTACACGAAGGCTACGGGCTGGACTCTTCATCCACTGGCCGCGTTCTTCCTGTACACAGCCGGCATGCACACTATGCTCCTAGCGCTTGTACACAGCCTTCGTCGTTTAGTCCACAGCTACGGATTTTTCGATAGCGAAGTTGTTCCCGAGCGAGCTGATATCCCAGATGTTGGTGTAGCGAAAGTTGCACTGTCGGCGTTCAAAACTCTGGATTTTCGACTTGCCATCGCAGTCCTCTTAACTTACAACGTTGCTGACGATCCCATCATTCTATTGACGGATACAAATCGATTTCTAATGGCGCTTGTCAAGCTTGGAACATATTCTATTATGCTTGACATGTGGTATTATACGTACCACAGGTCGATGCATGATATCTCGTGGCTGTGGAAGTATCATCGTACACACCATCTCGCGAAGCACCCCACCATGCTCATGACAGGCTATGCCGACCTGGAACAAGAAATATTCGACATATTTATTGTTCCTTTGCTTACATTTGCCACACTGTACTTTATGGGCCTTCCACTGTCTTTCTGTGAATGGTACACGTGTAACATGTATATCCTCTACGGGGAGATCTGGGGCCACTCTGGCATCCGACTACACGCTTGTGCACCAAACCCATTTCATGTGATTCTCGAAGCCATGGGTGCAGATCTCCCGCATGAGGATCATGACCTTCACCATCGTAAGGGGTATAGGTCTAGTGGCAATTATGGCAAACAAACACGAGTTTGGGACAGACTGTTTGGCACATCTTGGGAGCGCATCGAAACACACAGGTCAAACGTGGATTACGCAAACATGGTAATTATGCCTTTATATTAGAAAACACATGAAGATTTTCCTGCACGACATGTCCTACGTTGGTACATTGGTATCTGTTGTCCTGGTTCCGCCAGCTTTCAAGTTCTAGTCGCATAAGTCTATGTTGTTAACCAGATATATCAACGAAGTAAAATTACGTGGCAATGGGAATGCCACAAGAACTACCATAAAAGTCAAATATCTCTAGCATATATAAATATGTACATTATTAGCTCAATAGCCCAACCAACTCCCACCTTCTTTTCAACTCCAGAGCACTGCCACAGCAAGCGCCGCAACATTGTAACAAGAAACAAAATAAAGTTGCAAACAAGGGTGTAAAGCCTACTTGGCAATACCAATGATTGCTATTAACTGGTTTAGTAATTGAAATTTGGCTAGATCGAACTGTACTTACCACAGCCAAGGCGGGCACCTGCGTTTCCAGTCTTTGTGGACTCCTCGTTTCCACCTTTGCCCAGATCATCTACGCCCTGGTGAATAACAATGGCGCGCTAGAGTCCTTGTTAGCTCCCTTCTGTACTTAACAGTCTTTGGTAATGCCACAATAAACCTACCCCAACAATATTCAAGTCGCCAGTTAATTGGATAAGTTCATCCTTTATGTCAAGTGTGGCGCGACCTTTATCGTTGGCAATGATATTGCCGAGATCACCGACATGGCGCGTTTCGTCGTCTGGGGCGCCGTGAGTTTTGTTAAAAGGGTTAACTGTTCCATTATCAGATTAGCGAAAGTCGCAAGTCTGCCAACAAAAAATCGTCCATACAGTGTGGCCCAGCAGATAGACAACCTCCGCTGAGATCGCCATATTGGTGTACATGGAAGCCATGCTTTCCAGCGCTTAAGCCGTCGATGTCGCCAAAGACCTTAACAGGAGCATCTTCGCCGTGCTGTTCGAAGAAAATGGTACCATTGATCGTACCATTGACAAAGGCAACTAAGAGACCATCATTAGTATCTGGTGCTCAACTATCGTGCCGCGCACGATTTCGCTTGGTACAATCCGCGAGCGGGGGAACCAAATGGGAGATCTACCGGCTTTGAACACAGTCTTTGCGCAGACCATTTTGACAGTGTATAATAAAGCAACTGATAAATGGAAATGTCTGTAATGGAGATGAGTCTAATGAAATGAATTACAATCAGAAGAAATGGGTTGGGTGGCTACGTTGAGAACGCGAAAAACGCGGGCGGCAAAGACGTCCTTTATTGAGGCATGCCGCCGCCCGGGACTGTCTCGTCCCGCCCACACTTGTGTGCTAATGCCTAGTAAAGCGTGCTTTCTATAGAAAATGGGACTAGTGCACAAACCAAAGAGAAGATCGCCCTTGCCACCCTTGGAACAAAGTTAAAGTGGCTTGTCTCTGGCCAACGTAAGGAGGACTAGCCATTAGCGCTGGGGATAGGCAGAGGGTGACATTGACAACCCCGTGTAAAACGTTGGCAGCCGTACCAAACAGGCTAGATTAGCACAGCCCACTGTTGGTGGGAGCCAATCAGGGGCCAACTGAAGTTCGACAAATTAATGCAAGACACGGCAACGGGCGCTTAGATGGCGAAATGCGCAGCTCGATGACGAACGTGTAGGCTTTTTGGGAAAGATAGCCTACTGGCGCCATAGAGGAAATGCGGCGCGAACTTGCTTGGCCAAACTTGGCGAGAGGCTGGTCAGCGCTTAATCCAGATCATCTGGTTTGTCACAACTGCAACGCCAACGAGGCGTTTGAGCTACCAGTGGCACTGCCCTAACCGCGTTCACTGCGTTCTAGAAATGCGACGACCAATAGAACCAATCTTGCTTTGCAAGTGTACAGTATGCCGCAAATGGAAATCCCATGGCAGCACCTTATCTTGTTTGAAGCTTGCCGTACGGCTAGCCGGCCTCGGAGCAACCATGTCTGCTGTCGAAGGCGCTACTGTCATTCTGTGGTTAGCCGTTTCACATGATTGTCCGACCGTGTCTCTTATTGATTATGAGAGCAGAGTCTCTGCTTATTTCATTTTGTTTCACCTTTTGCGGTACGCCGTAACCGAGAGGTGTTTCCTTTGCGCTATGGCTGCAAGTTGCACACACAAGTTTGTAAAAGAGCAGGACAAACCGGAGATTTTGATTCCGAAGCTATTAAGCTCATCAAAAAGATTTATGATTTCTTCTAAAAATATTTTCAAAATATTCCCAATGTTAAGTCAAGTTATTATGTATCTCATTATATCGTTAAAACTTTTTCTGAATCCAATCCTGCACATTCTCCAGCCATTCCTGTGGTCGCTCTCTCAGCATCCAGTGAGCGGAATCAATGGTAACACCAGTGTAATCGTCACAGAGGGGCTTCATAGCCAGCTCTCCAAGGACTGCGGGAGCAGGTGCATCACGGGCACCGCCCAGGAATAGCGCGGGCACCTTGATTCTAATAGCATCTGCCGTCAACTTTTTCTCATGGTTCCAGTGAGTATTTTCCATCATAGCCTTGTACCAGCCGACCTTGCCAGCGAATCCGTCCTCCAGCCAGCGACGGATAATGTGACTTTTGGTCTCTGGAGTAATGTAACTAGCGATCTGGGCCTTGCGGTCGACCTTGAGCCACTCCTCAAGTTTTCCAGTAGGAGTTAAATCAGTCTATGTTGCGTTAATTATCTACGTGATAGTAGGACATGGTCGCGATACTAACCTTCCAAATTGAATCATCCTCGGCGAACAGCAGAGAAAAGAAGGATTCGATTTTATCCTCAATCAAAGCAGGGCCGTCAGGCTGAACCATGAAAGCCCAGTAGCCTAGGGGTTCGTAACCCAAGGTGGCCTTTAGTCTGGCATTTGCATCAGGTAGGTTGATCTCTGTAGGGGCTCTATGAGCAACGTTGGTGACAACAAGGCCGAGGGACTTGCTGGGCTGCCAGTTGACAAATCGACCAGCTAGATATGCTCCCCAATCGTGACCGACAATGAGCGCCTTAGAGACGTTTTCTGCCTCTAGAATATCGGCAACATCCTGGGAGATGCCCTCGCTATTGTAAGCTTCACCATCTAACGGCTTGGCGGTCTTCCCGTAACCAAGCATGTCTGGCGCGATGCAGGTGTGACCCTGCTGCTCAAAAGCCTTGATTTGCTCAGTCCACATGTCAGCGTAGTCAGGGAAACCGTGGAGGAACAAAACAGGGAATTTGGGCCCTTTTTGCGCCGAAACATAGTAACTATATTCGTAGCCACGGCTGGTCGTGACCGTCTTGTAGGTTGAAGTGTCCATGATGAAGTCCTGGTGATTCTGTAAACTCAGACTGATGGTACTGGATCTGGTGGGTTTTCTGGCACTAGTTATACTATATATATATATGTATGTAGGCATTCTCCATCTATAAGGGTCGCTATTTTGTCGAACCCCGTTTCTCCGAATCTTTAAATGGATTCTAACCTGCGCCTAAAGTCCGTCCATACAGGTACCGTTGCATCATGGTAAGCCGGCGTTTTCAGGCAATTTGAAAAAGCCGTCAGCGCAAGGCCCACCAACAGAGCCCTATGTATTAACACCTAGATCTACATGGGACGGACTGTGTATGCCAATTCCCCAAATGACTAATCTTAGTGATGTTCAGTGCGATTAGGCCATTGGCAGTTTTATGTATACAAGGTCAAAATATATTTCAAATGTCTGGTTTGACTATAATGCTAAGGACTAGCACATTTAGACGGCCGCACATTATCTAGGGCAGACGGCCATTGAAGCGCGACGGAATTCATCCAACTTTGATCGTAGAAGTCTTTGCTTAAGAGAAGCGAATATGATGCCCAGATTAATTTATGAGCAAAAAATATAACGTTTACCAAATGAAGGAAGTTTGATTGGATGTGTCATCTTGATGAGATTGAAAGGCCGTCGCTGGCACCTCAAGGTGAGGGGATGATGGAAAAAAGTCTCCGCCGCTATGATATCATTGCATTTCAAGTGAGTCATTGGCTGCCAAAACACCTTTGTTGTGGGATCCAGGCCATGGGAGATTTTCGAAGATTATAGGATTTTATACCCAGATTTAAGATGAGTGTCTCTCGATTTACCTTTCGTCCAGGTGGGACGTCTGAGGTTGACATTGAGGCCATAATGAAAGCCTTCGACTCTACTCTAATTCATTTAGAAAAGACCGGGAACGGAGAGCAATGGGGTACAAAATCTACTGCTGAGAGGGAAGGGTATGCAGATGGTGTTAAAGAAGACTTGGAAATCTCGGAAGCCTGGCGTATGCGAGGAGAAGGAGAGTCAAAGCTGGTTATTATGGCGGAGATTCTCGACACGTCTGATGCTAAAGATGGGCTCACCAGGAGGGTTGCTGACGATGGAACTCTCAGGATACAAGTTGGCAATATGGAGATGTATGAAAATTGTCTATCAGACCATGTGGCTGATCACCCAGATTTGCAGCCATCCGTTGACGAGGTGAAGAGCACACCTGGTGGCTTTCTCTATATCAATTTCTTGACTTCAGATTTTAGAGCAGGGAATCTCTCTAAAGGAGTAGGCGAAGCGATGATCAGATATGCTCAGGAATATGCGAAACAAAGAGGTATGGGTGCTCTCTATTTGGATGCCTGGATTGGCGGTACAAGGAAGCTTCTAGAGTACGTCTGTCCATGTGTGCGAGCGGGCCTCAAATGCTGATTTGCTCTCTAATAGATATTATGAGCGCCTTGGGTTCCAAAAGGTTGTGGACTTCACTTTTGAGCGCAAGAAAACCGGGGGAATATGGAATGGTAGGGTATACAAACTGGCTCTTTAGGAGGAAGCTGGACTGGTTTGAGCATTGCAGCAAGTACGAACATCTGCCTTTGTGGTGTATCAGTGAAAATTATACTTCATTTCTCATTAATGCACAGTTTAGTGAGGCCATAGGAAACATTAGGATTGATACTCTTTGAAAAATATTTTTTTAACAAAGTGCCTAGTTTGAGTTCATAGAGACGGCTTCGGAGCAGCACCTTTGTTTCTGTCCATAGTCAAGATCAGAGATACCTGGTGGCTTACTGCAAGAATCTCCCCATCTTCATTTCGGATAATTGTTTGCAGGTCACAAACACCATTCACAATAGACGTCGTGGTCGTGCGCATGTTCAACCAGCGAATCCCTTCTGCGGGCAAGGGGCGTTTGTTCTCAAGATCCAGGACTGCAGTAGCAATCCAAACGTTTCCACGATCGCTACCGCGCTTTTTCAACTCTTCGTCAGCTACAGAATTTCCGCGACGAGTCTTAGTCGTTGCTGAATCTAGGAGCATAGCTCGAGTTGCTGAGTCCAACACCCACATATGTACATCTGGAGGGAATGTATCTACAATGTAGGGCATGAGATCCTGTGTTACGAGTTCGCCACTTGCTGTACACATCCACATGTCCATAACACCAGGACTAAGCGGCCCGGATCGTGGAAAGTACATGCGCCAGTTATGGCCACATAGAATCACGTCAGCCTGACCAGGTGGTAGCGGTGTCTCTACCCAAGTAGCATCCCCCTTTCTATCGAGTAAGGATTCAAAATTTGGCGTTTCTGCTCGTGTTCCTGCATCAATCTCTTCGTATCCCGTCCCGAGCGTCAAGCCTGACACTGAGTCGAAGTTGGATTGGAACGCATAGGCCAAGATACATCGTTTCGTTATTGTTGGAGTCATCCAGGGTGACCTGTCTAGGATACCCTCGCCTTGCCACAAGGTTATGTGCAATGTTGAAAACTGTTTACCAATTTTAACATCCTCGATGGTGATGATGGCTAGGCCAGGCTTTGTGCGAGCCAGAAATTCGCAGTGCACATTTACTGTGTCTCCTTGGCTGCGAGACGCAAGGTGTAGACGCGCAGCAGAAAGCAAACAAGAGGAAGAGTAGCCTCCATTGGGAACTATTGACGGTGATCATTAGCCTACATTGAAAACAGTGTCTACGAAAAACTCCTACCATTCCCAATGCAAAACGTGGGATCCAGGCTCGCCTGGTATGTGTGGGAACCGAGCCTCCGCACTTTGATTGCATCGGCTAGCGTTGGTCGCGCCAATGAGGCCATCTTTGAGTTGGCCCTTCGTTTCTTGATTCGTGAGGGCAGAAAGCACCGAAAAGTTGTGCGCGCGACGATTTTGCGATATAAAAGAGGATTGATGAGGGTTTGGCGGGATTATTGTGTTGGAGGAGTGTTGTCTTGGGCAGCTGCCGTGTGGCCGAGGTAGTGATTGCGGGTGGCGCCACCAGGACGGGCATCGGTTCTAGATTGGCGAAACATGGAGGATCACTTGACACATGACAGGCACATTAGCGCCAGAATTCGCTTTGACACTTCAAAGGCGAGCAAAAGCACTAAATTCAACGACAATAATCTTGCTATACTGTCTACGTTTTGTATTCTGTGCTGTAGCTAGGTGCTAAAAAATGTTGAGTGGCAAAGGATTCGTATAGCGAAAGCGTCGAGAGAGAACAGCGCAAAATTCATCCTGATGATCTCTCTATTCTGCTTCCGATCGACTGCCTTCTGTAATAAGGCGGGTTTTGTCACGACTGGGAAACCGCAAGATATACTGCAACATCCCTGCTACGGTCTTAAATGCACCTTCTACCAAACGCAGCGGCGCCAGAGTGAGACGTATTGTGGCGCCCAAGACCAGAGAAACGCCAGTCGCTGCGGGAGTCTCTGCAGTCTTTGTTTGAGCGCTTACTTGGTCATTCAACTTTGGCTTGTACCCCGGGAATACACCTGGCCCGAATCTCTTCCCAACAATATCTTTTGCAGACAACTCATGATCTTCATGCCCACGTTTTTGGACACTATCAACATGCAGCATTTGCCTAGCTGTATCCTTGTCATCGGTCGACATATCCGACCACCAACTCTCCACCACTCCTGTCATGTACGTTTGGATGTCGGTCTTCTTGGTTGGGAAAGCCGGGTGATGTAATATTTTGATGATATCCTCAATGACATCCTTCTCATTGATGCTTTCATCGTCCCAACAACGTACAATGTTCTGTGTTGCCCAGTTTGTAGTAACAGTAGCGAGCATACCTGCTGGAGGATTCAGAATGTTGCTGAAGTGGTCTTTGGAAATATCAGAATGACTAGGGTCTGATGAATCTGAATCTTTTTCATAAATTGCTGCAGATTCCCCCTTCGCAGCCGCTTCGTCCACACGATTCTTCGCTGCTGTCAAAACGTCACGAAATTCTTTGACCGACGACTCCATTATTGTCTGAAGAAATGTAAAGACAAATTGATTGGCGTAGTCGCCTATTTTTGTGCTTTCAACATCATTTTCAGAAGATGGAAAGGATTCACATATCCACTTCTTTATGTTGTCATGAAACAAGAGAACGGGTTCGACGGCTTCCCAGACTATGCTGGTCTCCGGTGCACTAGTTTCATTTGCCGCATTTAGCCCTTGACTCGCCTCTGATGCTTGTTGACTCTGCTGAAATACATCATTAATATGGTTTAGTTGTTGTAGCAGCGCACTGTTGCTGTCCGAAAAGCTCTGGACGGCCGAAATGCTGCCACTGATAGCATCGTATAGCTGATCAAAGGCCAAGACTCCATAGCCGAGATTCTGCTCAAGATTTCCGATGGAGCCTTTAAATTGTAACAGTGCGTTGTCGTCAGCCTCACCGAGCAGGCTATGAAAAATGTCAAGCATGCCGAATGTTCCGGTGACTAACGGGCAGACTCTTCGTTCAGTTGCTGGCGTTGTCAACCTGCACTGGCTTCCAACATAAGCAAAGACATTGACTTCGCCAAGCTCATGCAAACATAGTTCAATGAAATTACTATGCGCAGCAAAGTCTTCAAGGGTGTGGAGGGCCGCGCCAAGATGAATAAACGCGTTGTCTAAGGCTGTCGTATCTCCTCGTCTCCCTCTTCGGCCCAGGTCGATACATTGACCAAGCTGGCGTCGTATATAATCTGCAGCGGTATCCCAACCTTTACCAGCATTTGCAATGTAGTTCTTCATCCCTGTCAGCGGATCAAATTCGAGCTCCTCTGCTGTTACTGGCCCGCGAAGTCGCCTGTCCACGTCTTTGGCATTGTTCGGGTAGCCGCGAGGATTGTCGATGTGTTCGACATGTTGGTAGCATCCTAGCCTATCTCTTGTAACCTCAAATCCGTTAGTAGCGTATCCAAACTCGACCATTGCAAGCACCGAAACGATGGCGCGCAAAACGGTTTCCGGGATGCTGTCTAGACAGGCTGTATCCATCACCTGCGAGAAGTCTCGAAGCCAGTTGCCAAAATACACCTGGCGTCGCTGCATTTGCGTAAATGCTATTCGGCTCGCGAAGCTTGCTGGAAGGAAACGCAAGACTTCCACAATATCACCATGTCTCCATACAAACTCTTTGAATTCGTTGCCGTCGGGGACGGACCCGGCCCCGAATGCTGAAACATTGCCAAAGAAGCAAAAGAGCAAAAGAAGTCCACACGTTGCAGAGAACGTCTTTGTCATTTTAGATGAAGTTAATTTTGCCGCGTATAACCCGTAGATGTATGTTGTTGGTCAAACTATTTTAGATGATGTAGACGGGGTCGCCCTTTCCTTTGGCACTCAAACGAAGGGCGCGTGATGTCATGAGCACATGCAGCCTCAGCTGTGGAGTACCAAACAGCCACGAGACATCATACAGCCAACAAAAATCCAATCTTATGGGTTAAGGAACTATTAAAATTCATGAAAAATACTTTAGTATTTAATAGACTTCATTGCATAATCTAATCACAGCATGGAGATTTGAAGATGAGCTTTGCTATTGCGCGCACGGATTTCATCACCAGTGGCGACGAAACGCAAGACAGTGCACAGCGTTCTACTTAACGCAGCAACGACGCCGCCCGCAAATTGTTCTCCTATGTGAATGCACTTTAGTTCTAATATTTCAAGGGAAACATGCCTTAATGCACATGTAGCGAATCTTTTTGGTGGTGCGAGTTCTATTTTGCCACCTGTTATTTGGTCTCGGGGCACACTACGTAGCGGCAAGTACCACAACCAAATATGCTGGCGCGCGCGAGTAGTCCGCTACGGATTGATTGACGCCGTATGTAGACAGCACTTTAACCATGGAAGTTATGGTATTATAAGATTCTAGGATTCTAGGATCGAGTCGATTTGTTAAACATTTCCCATATAGGTTTAAAAAGATCTATTTGTGTTTCTTGCTTTGTACCAGCCCGGCATAGAAACCCATCCATGCTGGTTTCGGATGGCACCGTTGTATCGATGACAACCTTCCCAGGCCAGCGGCTAACGACCATCAACTTGAACCGTTTCATGTGGGCAGAATCCCAGCGAATTCGAAACAAAATGAGTAAAGTGGATCGGATTCTCTATTTCAATAACTGTTTCCTGATTTGAGTCACGATGAATAACATGATCGGTGGCCGACTATCTGCCGACTCTTCCTACCTAGTCGCCAGTTGGTACGTCTACCATCTAGGTTGTTACCAGTAGCTAAAGATATTAATAAGTATTCCAAAAACTGTCTCGGACCAGGAATCATCTTAAACAGAGCGAGTCTTATTTATGACGCCAAACCCCAGAGATTTTGAACTTCATCACGATTCTAACCGACGCTGCAAGCTTCAGGTGAAAGCCACAAATTTTCTCTATACCTTCCAACTCCTAGCATCCATCAAGCTTTGGCCGAATAAGATAGAAAGTGCCATGTCATTTCGATTGCTTATGGGTATGGGCTGGTTGGCGGCATCGGCTACTGCCCATCCCCATGTTCAGACACGCTCTGGGGCATCCCAACGGCTGGACATTTCAAAATATGCCCTACCCTCAAAATCATTTTACGGCTCGTCATCCGAAATGGCAGAAAATGTCACGATCATGAATATTCAACCCACAGCCAGCTTTACAGAGACTGCATCGGAATTCGTTCGCCGAAGATTTCCAGAATTGGAGTTTCGTATGGCTAACGATCACTACATTGGCAGCAATGGCCTGGGACATGTTCACTTCAAGCAAATCCACAATGGAATTGATATCGATAATGCAGATATAAATGTCAACATTGGCCGTGATGGACAGATCTTTTCTTACGGGCATAGCGCCTTCGAAGGCCAACTCCCTCCCCCGGAGCTCATCGACGATCGCAAGTATGCCGACCCAGTTAGTGCCCTGCGTGGTGTGGTTAAGACACTGGGTCTCAATATGACTGTTGACGATACAGCGCCGTTGCAAGTGAACGATGAAACAACGAGCTTCGTCATTCAGGGAACAGAAGGCGTTGCTAGCAACCCGTCGGCTCGGCTAGTGTATATTGCATCGGGTGATAGCGTTTCGCTCTCTTGGAGGATTGAGACCGATGTTTTGGAGAATTGGCTTGTTAGCTATGCTGACGCAACGAAGCCTACACAACTACATGGAGTAGTTGACTATGTTGCAGATGCGACGATGCAAGTCTTTGACTGGAATACTCCAGATCCGTCCATGAAGGTCGATCGAAAAATCGTCACGGATCCATGGATCATCAAAGCTTCACCATTCACATGGTTCAGCGACGGAACGAAAAACTATACGACCACTCGCGGAAATAATGGTGTTGCGCACATCAACCCGAAGAGTAGTGACTCGTACGAGAACCTCTATCGTCCTGATAGTAAGGAGATGAAATTCGAATACGCATACAAGGATTCGTCACCCCCAAAGGACATCATCGACGCCTCCGTTGTACAATTGTGGTACACCGCAAATATGATTCATGACCAGTATTATTTACTGGGATTTGATGAAAAAGCGGGAAATTTCCAATTCAATAACAATGGGAAAGGAGGCAAAGACAAGGATGGAGTCATTCTTAACGCACAGGATGGACGGACGACAAACAATGCTGCATTTGGAACGCCACCAGATGGTTCTAGTGGTCGCATGTACATGTATATATGGACTAGGTCAGACCCGTATCGTGACTGCAGTTTTGACCAAGCCGTCGTCATTCATGAATATGTTCATGGCTTGTCCAATCGTCTCACTGGAGGACCGGACAACGCGAGCTGTCTACAGAGTGGCGAAGCAGGCGGTATGGGCGAAGGTTGGTCTGATACCTTTGCATTCCTCAATTTCATTCGCAAGTCTCACTCAAGCTCGATGTCTTTCGCTATGGGTCATTGGATCTTCAATAATCCCAAAGGCATCCGAAAATACCCATATTCTACTGATAAAAAGGTCAACCCGCTGACATACAAGAACGGTGATGAAAGTCAACAAGTGCATTTTCTTGGAACCATCTGGGCGACAATGCTTTGGGATGTCATGTGGAATCTGATTGGAAAGCACGGAAATTCTGATGCTGAAATGCCAACGCTTGACGACAAAGGAGTGCCAACGGATGGCCGCTTCTTAACAATGAAACTTCTTATTGATGGAATGGCTATTCAGCCATGCCGACCAGATTTTACCAAAGCCCGTGATGCCATTTTGGACGCGGATAAGAATCTTACCGGAGGTGCGAACAAGTGCTTAATTTGGAAGGGCTTTGCTGGGCGTGGATTGGGTCCAAAGGCAGCTACTGGTAGTAAGCGGACAGAGGATTTTACTATGCCTAGTGACTGCTAAGCTAATGTATAAGAAATCATGTCGTGGTTGTGACGTTGAGAGACTCATGTGAAATTGAAATTACAGCATACATGCTGCTATCCGAGATGATCAGTAGAGAAATACAATGTAATTATATACACCAATATTCTACGGCCGATAAAATGAAAATAATAGAAAAAGTTGTATTTATACTTCTGCAAAATCTCAATTCGTTGGTCCATCGTAGATTATTTGCACGGAGCTGCCTTGCGCGTTGCTCGGATGACATTGCTGTCCAGCACTTGACGAGGACAGTGTGCGACCTTGAGACCCTGTGAGATCATAAACCTTCCCATTGGAGTCTTCAGCGTAGCACTCGTTGAAAAAGAAGTTGGAAAATGTTAGAAAAGCCTTCTTGCTGGTATTGGGGTTCTCTTCAATCCACTCGACGGCAGTTTGGCAGAGTTTGGATCCCGAAGGAGCCGTCAAGTTGATTGTTCGGGTCTTTTCAGTTGTAGTATTTTCAACGTAGACTGTTCCAGTTGTAATGGAAGTTGCCACTACTTGCACGAATACATTGTCACCAGGACTCACTACATGCGGGGTGTCAGGATATGCCAACCAACAACTTCAAGTTTGGAATAACGTACATGTAGGGGAACCCATTAGAGTGGGACCGGTTGGGTAGAATTCGTACCAAAATCCATATGATAGGGTATTGGACTTATACTGTAATTAAATAAAGTAAGAATATTGTACAGAGATTCACTTTTAGGAAGAGGGGTAACAAACCATTGCAAAGGTGCCGCCTTGGAGTAAAGCGTTACATTGTGAGCTCGTACCATCCAGTCCAACCCGCTGATAGTTGTATTGAGGTTGATTAGCAGTTTGATTAGTAAGGATTGTGAAATTTGGCATTGTCCAAGAAGCCTGACAGGACTTGTCCACACCAGTTGGCTGAGAGAGTATCACGCTTATCATGTCGCCTCCTCGATGGAATGTTGGGTGAAGCGAGGGCTACTGCCGCAAGGGCAGAGGTGAGAAAGGTAGTGATTTGCATCTTCGAATGATTAGCGGAGAGGTATTTGGTGAAAAGATTAAAACGCTTTGTCTGTGGCTATTCTCTGTCTTGCTGTGGGCAAACAACGAACTCTTTATACATGTCAGAATGCACCGCTGCTTGTAACGCTACTTGCCTAATTGAGTATCAATTCGATAGATAGGTTACATTAGCCTTACAACTTCTGCATGAAAGACACGCACTGTGAACGGGGATGACTGTCTCCGTCAAAGTGGCGTTTTGCAACACGGGGGGAACTACTCAGAGGCTGGTGCGCCACCTCTCATATTTGCCAGGCACTCCTGCCAAAATAGGCAAGTAATACATGGTTATTCTATTTATATATGGGATCCATAGCCGGTTCAACGGAATCTGTGGTATTATAGGCGCAAATGCGGCGCCTCTGCAATGGCCATCTGGTCATTCCTGGGCCAGGGCTGAGCGCCACGTCCACATAAGCTGGGGACGCACCTGCCAATTCTTGCACAAAATTCGACTAGCAGAGCTACATAAAATTGCCTTAGCGACAATTGATAATCTAACCTACTATCTTTAGACTTCTAGATTTAGCCCATGTTATTTCGAAACTAGAGAAGTATGCCAAAAAGCTGTCGATTGCCGGACTTTGTGGCACGTTGTTCGGACGAATTTCCCCATCTGCACGGTAGTCCTGTTGCCTATTTCGGATAAGGGCCAACAAGTAAACTAGTGATTACTTTTGTTCTCGAAGCATATTATTATAACTATATGCAAATAAATCTATCTCGCTGCTTGGCACAAGAATATTTCTAAGTGGTAGCGTTGATCCTTCGCATTATCGCTGATATTTGCTTGTGGAGGTTATTGGATGTTGCCGCTGGCTCCAAGGGAAGCGAAGCCCGAGACCCGTGGAGCGACCTGTGGCCGGTTATTAAACCGCCACTAAAAATTCTCTCCAGACTATCTACTTGGCCTCCGACCTTAAGTTCAGCTTTAGCGGATAAACATTGCCAATGATTGAACTGCCGACTCAGTATAGGAATATTGACGATTATACAAATGGCCTATGCCACTTTCTTTCTACGCCACTCGTGCGCCAAATCACTGGTGGCATTCATGTTAACGACGCATTTATTCTGAATGGATGGGACGCTCTGCCAAGAGAATGGACTGAGTGGTGGTCATCAATTCCAGATTACGGCCAAATACAACGCACTCTCATTGACAGTATCGATGAAACAAATGGGAATCTCGCGGATGAATACTCTCAAGGAAGCTCTTCACCAAACATACAGCCAGAGTCTCTGACAAAATGGCTCAAAAGGTTGAAGTCGTTGGCGTTTCCACGGGCTCAGCGACATCTCCACGCCCATGATTTACCCGTGGAACTAGCGGCGCGCATGGACACTAAGAAAATAGCGGAAGTTTCACTTGCTTTGGCCCATATTCGAGATGTCTGCAAAAGGAAGGCCATTAGAAGAATTGTGGATATGGGGTCTGGGCAAGGGTATCTATCTGTCAGCCTGGCCTATCTGTTCCCCGACTTCCAAATTCTATCCATCGATGGTAGCCAATCACAAATATCCGGGGCAAAAGAGTTCGCCGACTCCCTCGCCATTCCGGAAAACCGGCTACGCCATCTTGTGAGCTGGATAGATAGTTCCATGGCACTAGCTGGCATTATCCAAGACTGGCTGGGAGATAATGACTGCATAATTGTTGGCTTGCATGCATGTGGAACCTTGTCAGAGACTATGATTCGATATTTCGTGTCTATCCCCCGCGTCGTCAGTATTGCGGTCGTGGGATGCTGCTACAACCATATATCGCCTTGCTCATCCACAAATCCCGATGGATTTCCCATCAGCAGTGGCATGAGGGAACGAGGATTTAGCCTGAGTTCAACGGCTCTCATGACTGGCTGCCAGGCCCCCAATAATTGGCCCAAGTTCAATGAGCAGAGAAGGGTGAGCAGTCCATCGCCGTTTGCAAAACGACATCTATACAGATCTATACTTGAAAAGTTGCTATTCGATAAAAGGTTGAACAGCGAAGCCTCAAGCCGTCTGAATTGGGGCATCCGTAAGGGTGACCTGGCAACTTTTCGAAAATTTGCAAGACGAGCTTTGCACAGCTTGAAGATTGCAGACAGCAAGATACTGGACGAGGAGCTGGATAAATACTGGAAGATGTTTGAAAATAGAGATTACGAGATAGCGATACTTTGGACGCTCGGAGTCATTTGTTGCAAGGTTGTAGAAAGTGCAATTGCGCTGGATCGCTGCCTTTTCCTCGCCGAGAACAATGCAGTTGACATTGATCTAGTCCCTATTTTCGACATGGCAATATCGCCGAGAAACTTGATGATTACAGCTAATAAGACAAAGACTTGATTTTAAATGGCTAATTTCGTGAATAACAACTGTATTGGATGACACAGAATTCGTACCACCAGCCGAGAAAGCAGCAGTTCTTGTCTGTCGGTTAGCCGGAACAAAACATGGGGCTCGGCATTTCGGCAACAGGTATGCTTATTCACGCTGCCTCGCACCTTGACCAGCCATGCGCTTTTCGACATAAGCTCATAAACCAAAGATGAAGCAAAGTCAGCAAAGCGAAACTATAAATTCTAGCGCCTTGATAGAATTGAACCTGGTCCCAGAAAACAGGCCGACCGATGAAGTTTCAATCGTCGACACGTCCCCGGACTACCCAACCGGACTGACACTTTGGTTGGTGCTAGTAACCGTCGGCGCTATTATAGTCCTTGCTTCCATCGACATCAACATTGTAGCCACAGCGGTTCCTAGCATCACCGATCATTTTCATACTGTTGAACATGTGGGCTGGTACTCATCAGCGTTCCGGCTTTGCATGTGCGCATTCCAGTTCATATTTGGCAAGGCATATACGATCTTCCCCGTCAAACGCGTGTTCTTGCTCTCAAACTTTATTTCAATTGTTGGCTCAATAATCTGCGGCGCTGCAACGTCTTCTATGATGCTAATCATAGGCCGAGCGGTTGCTGGACTGGCCTCTGCCGGCCTCTTTGCTGGGTGTCTTGTCATTCTGGCCCAATCTCTGCCACTCCATCGCCGGCCGTTAGTTCTTGGAATCATAAGCGGGCTGGAGGGAACAACGATCATGGCAGCACCACTTCTGGGGGGCGCCATCAGTCAGTCGTGGTCTTGGAGGTGGTGTTTCTTCATCAATGCGCCTATTGGTATTGTCAGCCTTGCTCTCACCATGTATTGCGTCAAAGATGTGCCGACGTCAACCGCCGCCACAGAAAAGACCTCACTGAGAGCGAAGGTGAAGCAACTGGATCTACTCAGTACAGCTCTATTACTACCATCTCTCACAAGCCTGTTTTTGGCACTCTCTTGGGTAGGTGTAAAATTCGCGTGGAATTCGACAGAAATGATTCTGCTCTTCATCGTGTTTGGCGTTCTGCTCTTGCTCTTCATCTATCATCAAACCCGTCGTGGTGATGATGCCACCCTTCCTCCACGGATCATGAAGCGACGAACTGTTATCGCTGGGTTTTTGTTCATCATGTTTACAAACAGCGCATCAAATGTCTTGGAGTATTATTTACCCACATTCTATCAGACAGTTAGAGGGTTCTCCCCCGCACAGAGCGGTTATATGATGTTGCCTGTTCTCATCGGGGCAACCATTGGTGCCGTCACACATGGTGCTGGTACAAGCTGGCTCGGCTATTATGCACCATTCATGCTCTTTACGTCAATAATTTTGCCCATCAGCACAGGGCTAATCACATCAGTGGCAGTGGACACATCGGTTGTCAAGCTCATCATGTATACTGGTCTGTCCGGGTTTGCCTATGGCATTGGATTCTCCGGGCCACAGAACGCAGTTCAGACGGTTTTGCCACAAGAGGACATCCCACTTGGCTTGTCGGCAATGCTGTTTGCACAATCGTTTGGGCCATCAGTCGCTATTGTTGGTGCACAAACCATCTTTACGAGCCAACTGTCTGTTAACCTTGAGGGTATTGCGCCCGGTCTGAACCGAATGGCACTTGCAGAAAAGGGGTTGATAGAATTAATTTCTGAAGTACCCGCATCGGATGTTGAGAAGGTTATCCTGCAAATTCATCGCAGTATTGTACCAACATGGTATTTGGTGGTCGCGTTGGCATGTTTAACCATTTTTGGCAGTGCCGCTATAGAGTGGCGATCTGTGAAAGCAAAAATTGACTAAGGGGTCACACTGTATAACTAAATTGCATTTAATTTGACGAGAATAATGTTATCTTGATATATTTATTAGAGCCTGGTGTTTGGGTATTTTAGCTGAGAAACTCTCGGTTGAAACGTATCGAAAACACCGAGGAAACGGATTTATTATACCCCGTAGACATACAGCCATAGAAACTTTTGTAGAATTAAATACAAAGAAAGGTATCACTATTCATAGTTGGTGCACTAGAGTAGCATATAGAAATAGGCCGCGGCGACTACTGCGAGCAACTGCGTCGCTGATGCTACGCAGCCAGCGACAGAGGATCCGACAACAGCAGGGGACGTGGAGTGACCAGATGTAACACCAGCGCTAGAAGTAGAAGTTGACACCGAAGTTGAACTGCCTGAGGTTGGGCAAGGCTTCGTCGCCGGCCAAGTACCATTTTTGGGAGGGTTACCTGTGGGAAAGGTTGAGTTGGTTGATGGAGGACTTGCTGGAGCACAGTTGCGATTTTTGAATAGGACTGCGGTATCCAAGACAGTATTGTTGTTGCTGGCAATGAATTCATGGGTCAGGTGTGAGCAGTTGTTGAAGGTGAGCTTACTCCATCCGTAAGTAGCATCGGAAGTATCCAGAGCGAAACGACTGTATTTCTGGCGCGGGCTACCAATGGAGTCAAGACCGTCGTAATGGCCAGCCGCACCATTGGTAATGTACCAAGGAGCACTGGGGTTGTCCAACTCATTGGGATCGACTTTGCCGTTTGCCAGAGGTGCAAGACGCTCGTAGATGTGAGAGTGTCCAGTGAGAACGAGATCGACGCCATACTTGAGCAGCAATGGCTCAAATACATCTTTGCATGACGTGCAGAGGGAATCCGAGGCGTTTTTCGCACTCAGGTACCAAGGTCTGTGTCCAGCCACAATAACCCATGGTGTCTTGGTGCGATTGACGGCTGCTAAATCCGCTGCGAGCCATTCAGTTTGAGCATTCATGCTCGCATTCACAGGGCTTGCACCCTCGTTGGCACTGCCACCAATTTCGTCTGGGCCGATGAAGCCGTGGCCCAAGTCAGTCTCCGTGTCCAGCTGAATAAAATGTGCCATACCATGGTCAAAGCTATACCAAAAATTGCCAGTGCCGCCGCTAACATCGCTAGGCATGCGGAAGTGGTTCTTGAAGCCAGTGAAGTTGGTTTGACCAGGGGAACATATACTGACATCGTAAGTGATGTTGGTAGCCTTATCCTTTGTGCCACCGTTGTTGCAATTCGCCTCATGATTTCCAGGACCAACCATGTAGGGTTTGCTTTCCGTAACCACTGCCATCTCGTCATAAAAGTCATTGAGAATAGCTTCGTAAACCGTGTGACCCTCAGCGATTGTAGTGTTGGGGAGAAAGCCAGCAATCTCTTCCTTCAACCATGCATCAGCGTATGCAATGTCTCCAGGGTGCCAGATGAAATCGTATGATGATTTCACAGCGGCCAACGAGTCGATAGTATTCTTTTCCCCGGGCTTAAGAATGTTCTCTTTGGCGACACCTTTTCCCGCCGATGTAGTCAAACCCAGGCGCCCCATGGTTCCCAAGTCAACAACAACAGCCACTGAAAAAGGGTCGGCTGCGCCAGCAGCCTTGGCTGTGGTAAAAGTGAATGGTTCAACATGGTTGCCCTGAGGTAATGGCGATGGCAAGTAATAATATCGCGTATCTGGTTTCAATCCAGCAAGCACAACATGGTTGTTGTAAGTGGACGAGGTTGAGTAGGTCACAGACACCTCTGACGAAGCCGTGTTGTTCAAGTTATCCTTGGAGAGACCCCATTGGACCTTTGGAACATCAACATGGTCAAATGTATTCCAGCTGACTGTCATGCCATGTGCACTGTGATAGGCTAGGCGAATCTGGCCCGCTGCATCTGGTCCTCTGGGGTTCAAAACGGCATTAGCACCGTGAAGTGTGGCAGCGAGGGCAAAGGCGCGGCTCAGCGACGGTGCCATGGTAAACTCGAGTGTAAATTTGTCAAAGTAAATGTCTTGGTACGATGAGAATGTTAAAGGCGAGACTCTCTATAGTTAAATAGTTATGACCAGTGAAAAATTCTATAGCTTTGCACCTGGTCTTGATCTTCCTCTTTTTTTACCTAAACCTTCCACCATTATTGGAGCTTGCTAATGTGGCGGCTCTGATTCGGTCGCCGCGTTCATCATCATCCAGCACCACGTGCACCCGCTAAGACAAGCCGTTGGTCTAAGGCAGCCTGCCCATACAGACGCGACCCAGGCTCAACAGACTAGCTGAGCGCCACGAAGACTAGCCTTTGAAGATTGTGGAAATAGCTAATTAAACAAGTAAACCCCCATACCATTTTTGGTGCTTGTAATAGCCGTTGTTGGCTACAACAATGCGGGCTTGCAGCTGGATAGGGAGCTACAGGTTTAAGAATTCACCCTGCACTGTACAGGTTTCAACGGACGCTCCACAGGCCTCTGGTAGTGATTTTGGTCAATTTCTGCTTCTGCAAGTGCTTTTTAATAACAAGGTGGCATTAAACGGAGCCATATAGTGAGTCTTACGTTTCACTCACTGTGACAATTAACGCTGCAAAGCACTTTGATTCGCTGGTATAGGTGCGCCAACCGTCGCAGGGAACTACGCCGACAGCTTTCGAAAGACACAAAATTTGCCATACTTGAACAAAGAACAACATACAGATGGTAGGATCTTCAACCACGGCTTTTGAGACAGAGGCTGTTTGAAGGGATCTGGAAGCGTTTTCTGCGCGCGCGCCCTGACTCGATATCACGCCAGTTAGTTTACCTGCTGCATTAAAAAAACGGATAGAACGGATGACCGGTATATATCAAGTCGCGTTTCATCCCCTATTCTACCGCCAAGGCGGAAAGGAGATCCCGATCGCCAAGCGTTCGTCCCTCAGTGCTAGGCTTGATGGTCAGGGCTGCGGGGTGAGGTGTCGGAGAATGTGTTTCGGACAAAGTCTTACTGGCCAGTGCACGCTTTCGCTCAAGTCTAGAACATGTCCTGTTTGCTACTACCTTTACCGTACGGACAAAAACCGAGAAGATTGACGTTTCAGTACTGGTTTCAATCATGCAAGTATACACGAAGATCATATGAAATAAACTATATAAACAGGTCGTAGTATCGCTACTCATTGTCCATTTCTCAGTCCATCACATTCTACTTTTACCACTTTTACCATTCAATTTAATTTCTTTGACGCCGGCGTCAATTTTTCCATCCTTTCTTACATAGCCATCTTCGCAACTTTTCTATCCAACACCCAACATGAGATTGTCTACTGCTACCTTTATCCTTACTTGCCTCACTGGTGCTCTGGCAGCCACCCTACCCAATGTAGCTGAGCGTGGTACTGGTCAGGGTCTGGCCGCGCGAGACGCAGCCCCAGAACTTCTCTTGCGTGACGCAGGCGCTGCCGTTGAAGTGGCCAATTTTGAAGAGGAAGACGACGAGGACGACGTCCTTGAACGACGTGCACCTAAGAAGGGCAAAAAGGGGAAGAAGGGAAAGAAAGGAAAGAAGGCCAAGAAGGGAAAGAAGGGAAAGAAGGCCAAGAAGGCTAAGGCAGCCGCCGCTGATGCGGGTGCTGCGAACGGAGGAGCCGCTGCCGCTCCTGCTGCTGCTGCTTAAACATATAGGAATCATCTATAATATATGCAACATTGGCAACCTTGACCAAGAAAATTTACTTCGCCACGTGAAAGTGTATAATGATGCTGTATGGTGGTGTATACATCTGAATTGGTATAACTGTACGGATTGTCTTTGTGATTTAAGCAAATACATTCAAATCAAACTGTCCAGATGCAGACTTATCAGTGTACTGCTTTCCTGTTGCAGAGGTCCATCCACCGAAGGGCTGCTTCATGTTCAACGTCTCAACGTTGTCGTACGTGGCAAACCAGAGAGGCACATCGTTGGCAACGACTACACCGTAGGAGCCAAAGATGTTGGACCATTCACCTGGCGAGGAGTAGATGCCGAAGACGTAGCCGGAGTCTCGCATAGCGGCAACCAACTTTTTAGCCTCTGCCAAGTTTCCACTGCTCCCATAGTTCCACGGGTTGCAGACGCTATCCTTTTCAAAGTCAATCCAGATTCGGCCAATGTTCATTTTGTTACTCTGGAAGGTTGCGCCAAGTTCGGAGATTTGAGTTGCATACGATTTGCATTTGTTGCCAGATCCGTTGCAAGGAAAGAAATAGGTATCAATATCGGTATAGCCGGCAGCTCGAGCATTCTTGTACGTCTGGACAAAGTTGGGGTCAACACGACCACCAGAGCCACAAGCCTCCTGGTAACCACGAGGAATAGCCTTGGTAAAGCCTTCCCCATAAGCCTTTTGGAATGTTGCAACTGATACAAGCGTAGAGCTATCGACAGCGTGCTTTAAAGCGGTGGCGCTGCCACCCGCGAGCAAGAGGACTGCAGTGGTTGAGAAGTGCATTTTTGGACGATAAAAGTTGTTGAGGGTAATCCGTTGGATGACAAAGTGCAAACTGCTCGCTGGAGCTGGCTGTCTATAAATATATTACAAAACGCAAAAAGCAAAACTTGGTTCCGGGACAATAATTGCCGTAGGACGATGATCTGTGAATAATGTAGAGTGAATCGTACAGGTCTCGATTATTGCCTAAATAGCCAGCTGAGAGAGCCTAGATGGTTTACCGAACCCAATGGGGGTTTAGTGCTTATACTACCCCGTCGATAATGTAGCGTGGTGACTGGGATTGGTGCGTTATTCGTGATCTACTGAGAGCAGCTGAAAACTAGTTGGAGCTGAGCAGATGTCTGTGACGTAGGATAGCTGTACACCCGAGTAATACAGGTTTATTATTATTAATACACGTATTTGGTCAAATAGGTGCTTGCAAATGCGAGTCCTTTTGTTCTTCCTTCAGCCCAACCGGCCGGTACTAACAAATTTGCGGAATTGGCTGTTTCAGAGTGGCCCGTGCTGAGCGACTTCTGCGTGCGTGCCTGAGAGACCGTCGCGCGACCCGTCGCGACCACCCAATGCTGCATCCTATAACCCCGACCTCACAAATCAGAATTCAGCATTTTGTTGATATCACAAATGACACAAAATAGAGTTGAAAATCCACATGACGAGCAGAAAGGCGATAAATGGCAGGATCGCCAATCTTAGCTGTTTCTTGCAGTCTTTGTTCTCAATCTTCCTAATCTCAGACCAGTATAACCGTTCAAAAGCCGCTTCCAACCAGAAGACAAGCTGATCGTGTTGCATCCTCGGGTTCAGCGCTTAACAGCACTACTTTGCCACAGTCAACAGGTCCGCATATTACAAATATTGGTGCAGGCGCGGGCGACACCTAAAAACGTCTTGCTCGCTGGGATATAAAAAGTGTACTCGCACTCACAATGTCTGTAGTTAAGCCCTCTTAGAAACCCCCTCTCGCCACTATCCCATAAACCATACTCGTGCTGGAGCTGATTCAATGGCTCTTCCACTTTACATTCCCTCATGTTCGAAAACCCCAAGGCATCCAAACCACCCGCCTAATTCTGAGAAACCTGTCAGGATCCAGATCGAAGGTCCCCTTACTTTGGTTCAGAAGCTGGTGCCGGACGCAGAATGGCAAGCAAAACAGTACAACGAGGTGTTCCCGCAGCCTGCTGGGTTAGGCTTGGCTCGGATAGCATATGCAACATTGTATGGTAGGGAAGCTGACCCGGAAGGGATTGCTGGCGATTTGATTGTTCGGAACGAATACCTTGGCTGGGTGATGGGAGAAAATCGACCGTTGGAGTAAGTTCATTTGAGAAAGCACGATAGTAGAGATTTACAAACCCCCATCTTCTAGCCATTACCCATGAGCCGTCGGACCAACATAGAACTAAATAGTGAGATCGATTACTATAGGGTTACTGTTGGTTCAAGGCTTAATAACACGTGTTATCGAAAGGTGAGAGGTTGTGGTAAAAGTTCGTTGTTCTCTTCTAGTTCCATGGTCGGAACTGCTCTAGTTAAATACAGCGAATACATCCTGTATTCACTTCCTTTTCCTATGTTATCCACTTCCAGTGACTTAACTGTTCCTTCACTCATCCGGTAAAGTGACATACGTCCAATGTCACAATAGTCACAACAGTTACCTTTGATCATGTTGTACCATCAGATGACCAAAACCCCGAGGTTTTACAAATCAACATGTATGAGATGGACTACGATGATGGCGCTTATGTGTATGCGACCTTGCCGTTCAAGGTAGATCCAGCTGAATACACGGGGAAAAAAGTGTTGGGTGTCCACCGATGCTGTCAACGCCGAACGGGCACAACTGATCGGTTCAGAGTCAATTCAGACGTGATAGGTAAAGAGAAGTGGGATCAAGAGAAGTTGAAACACAAGAAGGCGATGCTCCAGCCGTCCAAGTCTGAGTCTAAATAGTGTCAATAGGTAATCGATACTAGAAGTAAGTCACTATTAAGTAACTCCATTCTGATAATTAGAAGAATTTTATGGAGCTTTTCTTGTGAGGTTGATTTCTCAAGGCTGCGTACCTGTTCCGAGGCGACGGTTAGCCTCTCAACACCATGCGATTCATGGCATATAATCCCCAAGTTTTGCCCATTTTTAATATTTCATCTAATAGACTATAACTACGTAACTTTATTATGTCTAAGTGGTATTGTATCACAAATACTTTTCAAGAATTATAGATTTGTTGACAAATTTACTCGTCATTACTGTTGCTAACCTACAGCACAAGATCACGTAAGCATCGAATCTCATATCCGCTCTCATATGGGGAATTATGCGACAGATCGGGAGAGGATGAAGATGAGAAGGTAGAATCACTATAAGGTTATTGGTAGCGAACATAAGGCTAAAAGCTTTCAAGCATGGGCGCCGATTGCACAACCACGAGGTGGCGGCTAGCGCATGAATCTTCTCAATTTCACAGGCTGCACTGGTGGTCAGCGGAGTCTGCGCCGGTTTGCGTGGAGCAAGGTGCCACATCTGAAACGGTCACCGTTGTGGCTGATGGGGACCTTTTGGAAACCTTGTTGTTTGCTTCGCTTATTACAACAGACGGCATCAGTGAAGCTGTGAGGACAGAAATTTAATATGCCAACTTTAAAATACGACTCGACGTGTGTGCAGTTGTGGCGTGCATCTTACGAACTCGCAATATGCTACGATCCACAGTCAGGCAACCTATGTACAGCCCTGGCGAGTGCATCTTCCAAACGAGGAAATTCAACATAACTAAACTCAATTATGCAACTGAGTAGGCTAATGGGTAATGCATAAACCACATGCCAACGAGCATGGACTGGCATCTCCAAGGTCGGCCGACGGTCCATGCGCCTCACTTTAAAACAGTGTGGAGGTACCCCTTGTAAGCCGGCAAACTCCGTGAAAAAAAGCTGACCACTTTTGGTATATGGAAAAGGCAATGTTGCCTCAATCTGGTAGTAATGTGCCATTTCAAACGTTGGATAAGGCAGCTAAAAAGTCATCCGACGTCGCAGGCTAGCGGACATCACCTCTCTCATGCGCTTCTTGGCGCCGGCAATTGACGGGCGGCGCATAAGTCCGAAACTAAGATGCTATTGCACTTACCTCACCGATTAGATTAAGCCAGTTACTCAATTTGTATGGGGAAAAATAAAACAGCTGTAATGTGTTAGCCGGGCTCTATGGAGTCGCTGGTATATAACGCCTCTGCCGCCCCTAGATGCAGGAACTGGACAGAGCAGCTTCTAACTCCAGTCATTCTTTTCATAAAGCTATCACCACATTCTTTTATAATCCAAACACAAAATGCACGCCAAAATGATGTATTCGACAATTGTTACCGCGGCCATTATGGGCAGCGTTGGTGCTAAGCCGGTTCAGTCTCGAGACAGCTCAACAAACTCCTGCCCAGCACCTGCTGCCAAGGTTGATGTTGCTAACACGGGAAATCAGCCAACGATGGAGAAGCTTGTAATGACACCAGCAACTCCTCCATCGGTGACTCCTGGTGATGACCTCAATCTCGCCAAAGCAGACAGCTTCTACTGGGTCCTGCCTGAGCAAGGTAAGAAACATATTTCTTATATTATACTCTACCAATACTAACTGTTACAAACTACAGGTGTTATGGCCAACATGACGGTGGCAGCCAAGACTGGATATCGAATCCTCAACTCCCACAGCTTCTCCAATCTTGTGCAGAAGGTGGACTGTGCCGCTGATGACACTATCAAGGTAACTATGTCGAGTAACGGCAACACGAAAGCTGCCGAGACATCATGGGCCTGGGTCAATAAGGAGCCGTCCAACACAGCTGTCTACATTGTCGATGGCGCAAATTGCGGCGGTCAGCATGGTAGACAGCCATACTATGTGACGAGTATCGAGTACGATCACGACAACATGATTGCATCAATGGCTGCAAAGCTGGGTGAATGGACCGACTTTATCGATGACGCCGAGATCAATATTAAAGGCGAAATGGCTCCCCAGACCCATGGAACTAACAGCACTCTTGTTTCACGCGGGTTATCCAAGCGCTTATCCAAGCATGTTGCCATTCACATCGATCACGACTTCTCCAGCCCAATCATCGCCACAAACGTCAAGGGTGTCACTGTTGGTGTATCCTGTGCCGAATGCAAAACTCAAGGTACTCTTGACGCAGACATCTCTCTCTCCTGGAAGCACGGATTCCAAGCCTCCGTTACGGCGCGCGATAATGTCGCTCTTAGTGCGCTCATAAGTTTATCAGCATCCGGCACGTTTGTTGACCCTATCGTGTCCAAGTCTGTCCGCATCGGCACCATAGGACTCCCAGGCCTTTCCATTGGCGGCATTGTGGATATTGGCCCAGAACTTACTCTTGATGCAAAAGCTTCGCTTGGGGGAGTCTCAGCAAAGGCGGAGGCCAAGTTTGGTGGTGTGATGTCTTTTGCAAATGGTCAGACGATATCCATCGGCAAAGGTAGCACAACCATTCACCCATCCTTTAGCGCTCTTCCTCCCAGTTTGACTGGCTCTGTCTCAGTTAGCGGAAGTGTCAACCCCCTCTTCACACTCAATGTGTCTGCTTTGTTCCTTGGAAAGGGTGTTACTGGTGGTGTAGCGGTCGCAGCACCAATCCTCTCTGTTAGCGCCGGCGCTGCCGTCTCGGCACAGCAGCAGACCTGCGCCAATACTACTGCGGCCGTGAATTTTGCCGTCAGTGTTGGCATGTCGGTTGACACATTTGCTGGATTTGGTTCCCCTGGTTCTGAGCCTAACAAGAAGGTACTCATCTCAAAGACACAGCCTTTGCTCAACAAGTGCATTGCTCTTGTTTAGACCACCAGCAAGACTCGCGCTCTGCTCAGACCCATTTGTCATGTACAAACGATACTAATACTGTGCCTTACAATATCGAGCTTTAAATACATAATTTTGTCTATCAACACGCCCTCGGCTCGTAGCCTTTGCTCCGTAGCCTTTGCTCCGTAGCTTCTGCTCCATAGCCTCGGACGCGTTGCCCCTGCGGATACCATTTTGAACGTGGAATGTAACGTAAAGCGACAATCTTCTGGACCAAAGACAAATACACGTGCGAAAAAGATTGGATGCAAGGTACAATGAACTAAGTTGTGTTAATTGGATACTTCTACATATTAGATCGTTATATCTTGGCTCAGTCGATTCTGCTACTAGCGCTATGCAAGTGCTGACCGGAGATTTGTAGGTGCTTGCTAGTTGCACTGGGGCGGAAATGTATATTGCCATGTTCACAGCGGTTTGCACTGCGCCAGTATATATAGGACTACACTTTTGGTCGTCCTTATATTGTCGAATATCTTGCCAAAGCATTGCCCTTTGACAATTGCTTTCACACGTTACGCCTTGACATGATGCTCACTAAAATTTCTGCTCTGGGTGCACTTGCTCTAGTGGCCCCTGTAGCTGCAGACATCCACAAAACAACACCCCCTACAGGCTTCTACTCTGGGCCACAGCAGGGGATCGGTTCCTGGTACAGGGCGAGCAGCAGTGGCGATTCCACAAACGGCAACAGCTGGTGTGGTTATAAGTATTCCAACAGCGACCCTCTCTTTGCTGTTGTACGTACTATTTGCACCTAACATATAAATGTGACTGACTAGATTGAAGTCTCTGAAGGCAATGGGCGGAGCTACTTACAGTTCCAACCCCGATAAATGGAGAAACGACACACGTACGTACTGCGGGCTTGAGGCTAAGGTAACGGATCCTTCAACCGGAAAGTCCAAGCTTATGTATATTGGTGATGCGTTTGACGATAAATATGTCCGAGTAAGTATCGGTTCCCATTTACCTCGACTTATACTAACATACACATGTTAAAAGAGCCCAGCATCGATTGATATCATGATCGACGGGTTTACCGACATCCATGGGGACCCCAAGGGTGACAAAAATAAGGTCATCAACCCCGTCAATTGGGAGTTTACTGGCAACATCAACACCCGATATGAGGCTCCAGGTGCGAATAAATAGGATCATTAAATATTGATCGAATAAGCAGATACTCAATTCTTTTCTTTCTATTTTTAACTGTGGTATTTCTTTTATCTCCAACCTTCGAAGAATTTCCGTTAACTTCCAGACACTTTTGTGCACTTTTTTCATCCCAACTCCGTAGAAGAATGCATCGAGAGCGCAGCCGTTGAGGTGACCGCCGGTCCACCTCCGCGGTCGGCCCGACCCCCTTCATTACGTTTTCGATTACAGGATTTCCCAATGGGCTAAAACATGACACATAGTGTCTTTATCAACCCACAGCTTTGGCAAGACCTTCCGTTTTAATGCGAGATAGTGCTAGAATGGTTCTTGTTATCTTTGCGGGGAACCCTGTTGCTCACCGTTCAATAGAGATATGTATTGAGTGTATATCTGGGGCTGGGTTTGCTATGTAGCAATAGAGATGGGGTAGCTGCGGTCCGTCTGTACATATCAGCGCTTCAACTTGTGGACTGTATACACGTGGTTCGTCCTGACGTGACACCGCTGCGTTCAATCTCTCGCTCCTTCCTAGTAAAGGATAGAATAATAGAACCTGGAAGCAAAGAATCAAGCCAGGTTAATTGCAGAAATGCTATTATTATGTAAAACTTACAGAAATGGTAAGCATGAAGATGTCAAACCCCAGCGTTGAACTTCTACAAAAAGCTAGATCAAAATGATTGGCAAGGGTATGTATGGAACGGAGCATTTCCAGCGACATACTTTGTTAGGGGTGTTTGGCTATATAAACAGATACAGAACACCATATCTGATCTGCATACTCTAAAGAGATCATTGAGAACAACCCAACCTCTTCACCATGGAACTGACCAGCTTTCTATCTTTCCTTGCGGCAGTCCTGCCAGTTGCTTATGGCGCTCCAATACAAGCCGCCAACAGCGTTCACCCCAAGATCGTGGAGGCAATGAAGCGCGACCTTGGTACCACTGCTGAGCAAGCAGTTGCCCGAGTTGCTCATGATCTTCATGCCAGTATTGTTATTGAACAGGTCCGCGTCTCACTTGGCGACTCGTTCGCTGGTGGCTGGATTGATGCAGGCAAGATCTGTGCGGCATAACTGACCAGGCATCGGCTGATGCCGTGACTGCTGCCGGTGCCACCCCTGTTACAATGAGCCTGACACTTTCAAAATTGGAAAAGGCACAGAAGAGCCTAAACAAGCTCATGAAGGTAGACAAGGCATCTGCCGGCATTGCATCCCATGTTGTCGACATTGCTACCAACAAGTTGATCATTGAGACTCTGGCTGACAGTCGCGACCATGCCCAGCAGTTGGCTTCTAAGGTTGGACTGGCTGAGTCTGAATTTGCAGTCCGCACTGTTAGCCAAATGCCCTCCACTAGAGCCAGTGTTATTAGCGGTGACGCATTTTTGAACCCTGATGCTAGTCTTCGTTGCTCGATTGGCTTTGCAGTTACCAACGGTTTTATTTCAGCAGGACATTGCGGCAGACGAGGTCAGCGTGCGACTGACAGCAATGGAAATCCACTCGGCACGTTTTATGACTCTATCTTCCCTGGCAATGATATGTCATATATCCAAGCTGTACAAAGTGACACACTTTATGGCTATGTCGATGGCTATTCGGGTAGCTACTACCCCATCTATGGCAGCCAAGAAGCAGCTATTGGAGCTAGCATTTGCCGTTCTGGCTCTACCTCCGGACCTACAGGTGGTACAATCCAGGCTAAGGGACAAACTGTCAACTATGCTGAGGGTACTCTCTATGGACTCACCCAGACCAACGCTTGTTCCGATCACAGCGACTCTGGTGGCTCATTCCTTACCAGTGGACAGGCACAGGGAGTTCTCTCAGGTGGTGACGGGCAATGCACCTCGTACTATCAAGAGGTCAACCCTATTCTTCAGAAGTATGGCCTAACTCTTGTTACCGCCCAACAATAAATAATTTCAGATCGTACATATTATAGTATAACGTAAATAAAATAATAATTAACGGTACTTTAAGGGAATAAGAGCTTGTGTAAGTGAGCAACTAATCGTCTTAGTTATTAAATCAGCGCACATGGCTCATATTCTAGAAACCCTAATCGACAGATTGAACGAGACGTATTCTGCATATATTTAAATAATTTATATACATAGAGAGTAAATACTCAAAAAAAAGAAAAAAGAAAATAACGATTACGCATTCAGCTGCTCAGCAACCCAATCACCCATCTCATTGTCAAGACGGCTGTAGATGCTGTACCAGTTCCAGGTGCTCTTGCTCCAGGAGCCAACGCCAACAACCTTACCGTCAACGACCAGAGGACCGCCAGAATCGCCAGGCAGAATGGTAACCGGTCGTCCGCTAGAGTACCCGCTGCAAATCATGTACTCAGGGACGACGTGGAGCCCCTGGCCAGTTTGGTCGCAAGTAGCAGGGGCTACAATAGGGAGGTCGCCTCTGTGCAACTGCACATTGCGGCTGTTGTCATTCACGTCCTTCTTGCCGTACCCCAAGGCGTATGCCTTCTTGCCAGCCGCGGCAATACCGCTGTCAGCTGAGGTAGCAAACTTGGCGTACTGGCCGCCGTCGACGGGAATATCCTCGGTGGTAGTGGCGACTGCAACGTCCCAGCCTTGATCAAAGTTGACGTAGTTGGGGTGCTTGATATAAGAACTCACGGGGATCTTGTGAAGGGTGCCGTTATTGAGATCATCCAGTCCGTAAGCAAATGTCTTGGTGCCCTCAGCATCGACGCAGTGAGCCGCAATCAAGATCTTGCGGGGTCCAATGACCGAACCAGTACAGGTTTGACCCTGGGGACGGGATCCGCCAGAGCGAAGTCCAGCGATCACAAATGGGTAGTCCTTGACTGAGACCGCATGGCCGCCAATGAACTGAGCGCTGAATTGGTCGCGGGCAGGGTGGAACTCAGCGTCGCCTAAGGGCGCCACAGCGCGCACTCCCGGGGTGGTTGGCGCCGCATCAACAACACTGAAAGCATTGAGGACGCTAAGAAGGGCGACTTTGTTAGCACCCTTCATTTTGTAGTTGGAAATATGGTTGCTTTGATTGACTGCTAGCCGGAGGATGAGATGTCTCAGCCAGAGAACGGGCTATGTAGCATTTATTTTATAGAAGAACCATTATGGGTGTCATCCGGGCGGACGAACTGCCGTCATGCTCGGTAAATGGCACAGCTATGAAACCATTAGTTGTATCACGGATTGAGATTTACCGATTTACGCACATGGTGGGCGAGTGCACTTGAATATGCAACGCTTGTACCAATAATATGGCCGCCCAGAAGCGAGAATACCTTGGCCTTTAACTGGATCTAAAGAAATAAAACCGAAGGTTTTAAGCATATCGGGAAACTCACGTAGATCCGTGACACACGGATACCACACTAAGCCGAACTATCGGCGAAAATAGGTCACGAGCAAATCGTATGACTAAAGGCTTGCCATTCTCAGCAGTGAGTTTAGTCAATTCAACATAAAAATTATATAAGAAGATATCGCTTAAGAGCACAGCACAAAGTTTAATGCGCAAACTTAAGCGATAGGAAACTAGCATATTTCCATTGCGTAACAAGTACATGTTATCGATTTCGACCCCGCGCTAACAAGACTACATGTAGTAAATTAAGCTCTCCTCAATAGACTTGCCAGCCCATCGCTAGATACAAAGTTCCAGGTGAATCTAATTATTCACCGGTTTCTTGACAAATCCTAATTGTGCACTACTGCTTTAAAATCTGTTATCCTTATTGGATTAGTCACTTTCTTCTTTTTCAGGCGACCATACCTAACATACTCCGGTGACGGTTGTCTATTACTCCTATCTATCTCGTCTATATTACTATATATCTTAAGACTTAAACCTATCGAACTATCTCTCGATTCTCCGCAAAGCCATTAAATCGTGTAGTAGACGCCAAATTATAAGCACCTATATTATCAAAATAAAGCCAGTCGCTAGGCCTCAGATCAATTCCAAGAGAAATATTCTGTGCAATGTAGCCCACACCATCACAACTTTGGCCCCAGATTTAATAGACAATATTCTGAGATGTATTCTCCGTACCTGGAAACTTTTGTTATCGTATACCTTGGGAGTAAAAGTATCATTGCCGGTAGCTTTGCAGAGATAATTGCTGTAAACTCCGTCATTAATATAGAGCTTCGTAGATGTTGGTGTGACCGTCTTTCGAGCAATGACCTTGCATATAAGTGTAAAGGCCGAGGCTGCGACGTAGCGACCAGGCTCTGCAATAATCTGTAGGTTCTGATCGGGCGGGAAATATATATCCAGGGTTAGAGTTAAAACTTCTGCAACTGCATTAAAGTTGTCGATAGTGAATCCACCACCAATGTTCAGTACCCTCATATCGAGCCCCAGAGAGCGGCCTTCATTAAAGACTTGGCAGGCGTTTTGTACAGCTTCTTCGAAGACATGGGGGTTGCGAGCGCCAGAACCAACATGAAAGCTGACCCCAATGACATTGAGAGAAAGGGACTGAGCAGTTCAGAGAAGGCGTTTGACAGAATCCATCTCTGCACCAAACTTCTGACTCATCGATGCTAGACTGGATGCGTCATTTGTGGCTATACGCAGAATGAGGTACGTACCTCGGAAGTTGGCTGAGATCTTGTATAACTCATCAATATTATCGAAGGTCATCTTCTTAACACCGGCAAACTTTGCGAATTTCAGATATGACACCGGTTTATATAGATAAGCATAAATAATAGATTCGCCAGCTGCACCTAGTGACAAGACATGCTGTAGTTCAGCGCGCGAGGCCCAATCGAACCCGAAGCCTAACCTATAGGGGAACTCGATGACTGTAACGGTCTAAACTGAGTATATTGACAACAAGTGTTTGCCAGCTGGCAAAGGAAAGCCGCCAGCTGGCAGGACCACAACGACCTTGTATATAAATAGAGAAGTGAACTGTGGAAGGAGGAGAGGGATTTGTCCTTCTTCAAGTTTGTTGTCTTCTTTCTATCTTATATATAGAATAGTCAACAATAGCATTATGTTTAGCGAACTTTTCTCATAGTACCTGGACAGCTACGTGACAGATGGTCGAGAGCTACCCGAGACCTCCACGGGCCTAGCCCGTTACAACAAATTTGGCGTGTAAATACTGCATTCCTTTTCATCTGTTTTTGTTGGTTCAAGGGTAAATAACACGTGTTATTAAAAGGTAAAAGGTTGTGGTAAAAGTTCGTTGTTCTCTTCTAGTTCCATGGTCGGAACTGCTCTAGTTAAATACAGCGAATACATCCTGTATTCACTTCCTTTTCCTGTGTTTTCCCAGCCACTTCCAGTGACTTAACTATTCTTTCACTCCTCCAGCAAAGTAACACACGTCCAATGTCACAATAGTCACAACAGTTTTCTCATACGTTCATACCAACAATGTATTTTGTTTCGTCAGTAGAGAGAAGTTCATTCTAATGGCAAACGATGCACGTGTAGAAACACTTATCATAACAGCAACATAGAACAAAAACAATAATACCATCGTTTACGACACTAGCAGTCCTAGTATCATTATCGTAATATATAACTCTCGACCATATCAGACTCAAAATCATAATTATCAACTACTACAACACTTTACAGTTCTGAACGCACAATTACACTTACGCCAATATACCAATCTGCTACCATGTCACCACAAACTCGAGATGGATTTCTCTAGACACCGGGAAGTAGCCAATTTGGTTTCGAAACTGATGCAGTAGTACCACAAAAGGACAGAATACATGCTATATATGATGTTGTTGTTATAGGAGTTGGTTTCACTGGTCTTGTAGCAGCTCGCAATCTCTCTGAAGTTGGACTTAAGGTGCTTATATTGGAAGCACGAGATCGAACCTGGACTGTGGAATTTGATGGACACTACTTTGAAATGGGAGGCACTTGGGTATTGTTCTTTTACTGATAATTGTCGTTGCTCTTAACGTTCTAACTAGTCAATAGATTCATTGGCGTCAACCAGCAGTCTGGGATGAACTTGTTCGATATGGACTTGATCGCGGAATAACGTCAACGTTGGGCACTGTTGCACCAGATAGAATGATGTACACCCATCATCCAGATAAAGCGGAACCTTCTGATTTCGCTGGCCTCCAACATCTTGCAGATGCATTCTTTGGATTCGAAGGGTATATATATCGAAATCTCATGCTATATCCACATGATCCGAATCGAGCGCCATCACCCTGGAAGAAATATAATCATCTGTCAGTAAAGGCAAAATTAAATCAGTTGGAACGTTTCTTACCTACTGAAATTGAGACATTCGAGTCTGTGATCTGCACTCTTTGCTTAGTCGATACTACAAAATATAGCTTTACGCACATTTTGGAGTGGTATGCGCTTGGCGGTCATCCTTTACAGGAGCTTGATGAAGTTACGACATGGTATAAAATTGGTTCAGGGGGCATGACAAAACTAGCAAGGTGCATCTTGGATGACTTTAATAGTGATATTTTATTCAATACCATCGTTGAGGACATACATTATGAAGGCCCTTCGATTCTAACATCTTCTATGTCATCTCTTAAGAACAAACAGTTTCAGAGCACAGCTTTAATAAGCACTATACCACTGTAAGTAAGATCTATATCTGCTTCGATATCATATACTGAACATAACATACTAGAAATTGTCTTGGTAGTGGGAAGTTTGTCCCGTCTATCCCCGAGCTTATAGGTTGTCGCGTTCTCTCTGGACAATCAAATCGTGGATGGAAGGTTCATATGAAGCACTCAGAGCCCGATGACTCTTGGATTCATATTTCAAAATGCAGCACTGATCAGCCTTGGATTACAGCGTTTCTAGATCGAAACAGTACAGAAGCTTCGTACGCCGTCGCGTTTGGTATGGCTGATCATCTTCCAAATCAAACAGATCAACCAGACAAAGTTGTCTTCTCATACGAGAAAAACTTTGCTCTGTCATTCCCCAAGACTCATGTCCAAGCGATGCTAACACATGACTGGGCGAATGACCCATTTAGTCGTGGTTCTTGGATGGTAAGCGCGCCGGATCAACGACGATACTGCTTGGAAGCCTTTCAGAGGGCGTTTGGTAACGGACGCTTAATTTTTGCTAGCTCCGACTGGGTAGAGCAAGGTTACAGCTTTGTTGATGGTGCAATTGCTGAGGGGAAAAGAGCTGTTAATAGTATAGCTAAGTTATTTGGTTGTAATTAGAGATCAATTTCGTTTCATAAGTCAAGCTAGATATTTTCGTAGCACAAGCAATAGGATACGTTAATATATAATATTAGGAAGCTATACTAGGACGTATTTAACACAGATTTCCCGAATGCACAGAGTTAGCCTGTCATGTGCAGATCAACGAATAGCTTCTTCCAACTGTCTGCTACCCGAGAGCTATCATTACAGAGCCATGGGTGAGCTAACAACAACTTACAAGGAAAAAGAAGACCGTCTGACAAAGACAACTCCCATAACAGAGAAGAGAGCGAAAAAAGAAATAAAGAGGTACCAGGAACGAAATATCTGTACGGGGAAAATAGCGACAATTACCCCGACCACTGAGATTTCCTGATGCTTCATGATGGTGCTATACTGCTGGGACCTAATCCTCTTGCTCATGAGCTGGGCGATTGGTTTTACCCCAAAAAGTCTACTTGGATCAAAGACCGAGACAAAATATACTATAAAGAGAGAAGAACCCTATTTGCGGCCAAGAGAGTAACAATATTTTTGAGTGCGCTGAGAACCCAGCGCTAGGATCAACCACACAACTGCCCCGTAACGTTGTCGTGTTGGTGGTTCGCGTAAATCCGCTGCATGTCGGACATCATCTGTTTTGCACTACAGGCTGCAAGTCTTGGGTGGGTGCACCTGCGCCACTACCACCATCAGTGCGTACGCGGGTGTCTCCATGCACTCCGTATCAAAGTCTGTTGAATCAGGCGGCAAGAAATACGTGGCCTAGGTGAACAACCTACATCCAAACCACCTTGAGGGAATATTTTTAGTATATGCTGTTGACTCGAGTAATGTCGAATGTACGTAATACAAGTGACGTGGTTGTACGGTCATGCCTAATATAGGTGAGTAGTTGGACCGTTTTCATGTCTGCCTGAGCTCTACCCAGCGAAGTGACTCCTAGATAATCCTGTTAGTCCATCTTCGGAGGAGCCCAGGCTGAATACGGCAGACAATCTTGACTAGAATAAAAATAGATGGCTGAATTGAGAAGCAGCCCAGGCCCTTGGGATGGGCTGGCAATTGGAAATGCCACCGGCAACAGCTGAGAACAGGGTGTAATTTATGCTGTTTGCTGCATGCGATACGTTGAACGGAGGCCGAATGTTTATCCCCGAGCCTTTGATTGGCGAGCACCAAATCAATTTTCTGGTGGCGGCTGCCATCCCATCGATGCATGCATTGTCACGGCACTTTGCTTCCGGGGTTCCATCGCGCGGACTGTTTTTCGACGTTCTAGATCGGGGGTCACTCTGGTTCGAACGCCATTACGCCCCGAGGCTGAGATGATAACACTGCCACCTCACAGCACTAGCAATTTTTTCTTCAATTTCTCTAAGCAAGCTTCTTCCTCCTCATATGATGGCGGAGACGTAAACAGAGCGAGGAAGTAAAGGTATAGGCTCCAGGGGTTGTTGGAGGGAATACATTGTGGATAGATTTGACTGACCTGCAAATCGCAGATCTTTTTTTCAACGTTAGAGCGTTAAATTAACAGCGTGTCACTATGATCACCGACGCATTTGGCTTTTATTACAGGGTTATTGTCTTGCACGTTGGAGGCGTCGTGTCAAAGTCAGAGTAATTAACGGGTGAACTACCTTTGTTGTGTAGAGGCTTCTTTGGCTGCTGTCTCCTTTTCTTTCGGTCAAGTTTAGCATATTTTTAGCATAATTCTAACTCAGCCACGACAATAAAAATTCCGATAAAAGCAAGCCCGAATCCAGGAGAACCTGATGTACTATTCAAGGGGCTGGCACGACCTGGGCTTGCTGGTTAAAATCGGGATGCATCAGCACCGAGGCGCCACAACTGTCGCCCACCGCCATAGGCAGGGTGAACCCACTTCAGCTGCGTAGGGACCATCACTAATTGCTTGTCCACGGGCTGACCGATTCCGGGAGTATGAGCCGACTGAAGAGGCCCTCGGAACGACGGCAAGAGGCGAGTTTAGCCGGCTGGACAACCATAGATTTGTGTCTTGGCAGGATCTGCACGGGCCGGCTAAAATCTAGATTCAATGCACAAAAAAAGAATTTCCCAGCTTTCATTGTTGAGCATTGCTTTGGGTATGTAAGACGCACGGTGCAGTGAGGCTACGTCGTAGTGACAAAATAAGTAGAGGCCTATCCCAAGCTTACCACCATAGGCTAGTCATTCTTCAAGATACCATTGTTTCAATTCCTCCATTCGTTTGTAGATTTTCATAATGGGCTTCGCAAACCTTCTTGCGCGAATCGCCGCGTCCATCGGCATAGTCGCTGCTACTGGTGCTGCCGCAGCGCAAACTACCGTCAACAGCACCGTCCTCATCCTCGCTCGTGATAGCTTCGATGTTGCCAGCATCAGTCCCGCTCTCGACGCATACGCAATTCCCTGGCAGCCGTATCTTATCCCACAGGCTGGTGCACCATTGCCTACCCTCAACTCCTCCCTCACACAGGCCAACTACGGCTCAATCATTCTCATTGGCAGTATCTCCTACGACTACAACGGCACTTACAACAGCGCCTTGACCACTGCCCAATGGAACCAGCTCTACGCATACCAGACTACATTCAAAGTCCGCATGGTCCGCATTAACGAGTATCCTGGACCCAATTTTGGCACCACCGTCGCCAATGTCAACTCGCCTGGATGCTGCGACACGGGCGTCACCGCAACCATCAGCCTAACCAACACTGCTATTATTCCTGCGGCCAATCTGAAGGGGTATATATATCCTCTACTCATCTCTTTGTAATAGAGAACGGAATGACTAACATGGTTTTTGTCTGTAGTAACGCGCCAGTCCAACTCGTCGGCCTATACCACTACCCAGCTACCATCACCGACAACTCCACAACTGCTTTTGCTACCTTTGCTCCGGCTGGTCCTAATTCCGGAACTACCGTCGCTGCTGTCATCAACAACTACAGTGGCCGTGAGCAAATGGTCTGGCATACATCGTTTGCATGTGACTGGTCCCTCGCTTCGAGCTACTTGGCTCACTCCTTTGTCCACTGGATGACCCGCAGTGTCTTCATCGGCAAACGCAAGCTTCATCTTAACCCTCAGGTAGATGACTTGCAGATTAGTACTACTCTCTACTACCCCAACACCACCGACTTCAAGATCAACACCAACGACTTGAACGGCCATGTAACTTGGCAAAAGAGCCTGAACAGCCGGCTTCCCGCAGGATCTTCGTTCAGACTTGAATTCGGCCACAACGGCAACGGCAATCTTGAAAGTGCTACTGATCTCGCCTCCTCGACTAAAGTCTGCGCACCTGACAACGCTGTTGAGTACGCTGACCAGATTGACACGCCTCTCGAATTCATGAAGCCTTTGGGTACTGGAGTGGATATTTGGCCGTCTTCATTCACCAACTACACATGGTCTTCCTCATGCTCCAAGTTGGATGCTTTTGGAGCTTGGTTTGAAAACCCCACTAACCTCAACGCCTTTGCACATATCTCGCATACATTCACACACGAAGAACTCAACAACTCTACCTACCACGATGCTGCTCGTGAGATTCAGTTCAACCAGGCTTGGATGAAGCAGATTGGCATCGACAAAGCTACTCTTTTTACTGGAAATGGCATCATCCCCCCCGCCATTACCGGCTTGCACAACGGTGATGTTATTCAGGCGTGGCTGGACAACGGTATTGACTATGTTGTTGGCGACAATACACGCCCAGTCTTGCGTAACCCTAACAATGTTCACTGGCCACTCGCTAGTACTGTTGCTGTTAACGGCAAGGCTGGTCTCTGGATTATCCCTCGCTTCTCTACCACCATTTACTTCAACTGTGAGCAGACCCAATGCTTGTTGAAGGAATGGTATGTGCTCACTCAGCGCACCAGCGGTACATTCCAGGACTTGCTCAATGATGCCCGGTCTACCAACGTCCAGTACCTCCTCAACCTCATGGCCGATCCATACATGTTCCATCAGGCCAACTTGCGCCAGGCTGATATGCCAACCATCACCGTCGGCAACCAGACCGGCAAGATGTCCCTGATCATGAGCTGGATTGAAACCATTACCCAAGAACTTGTCCGCCTCACTAACTGGCCTATTATCTCGCTCAACCACAAGCAATTTGCTCAGTATTTCATGGACCGCTACACGGTAGATCAGTGCCAGCCTAGCGCCTCATACACATACTCTGCGGACGGCAGCACTATCACGGCAGTCACCATTTCTGCCAATGGCAACACCTGCTCTGCACCCATCCCCGTGACGGTGCCCAGCGGAACTGCCAGCGGCGGCTCTATCACTGTTGACCAGGTCGGAAGCGAGCCTCCCATTCTCTGGGTCAAACTGTCTGGAAGCCCCGTTACCCTGCAGCTCAGCAAGCCTGTCACCCTCGCTTGAATCACGGCCCAGCGTGGCTGTTGTAAAAAGTTTAGCAATGAAGCGAAACTTGAGTGATTTAAATTAGTATTGGGAATTTCGATGTAGGATTTTGGAATCTGGAAATATGGGTTGCGCTGCGTTGTTTTTTCTGATCCTGGCCCTCACATAATTCACAGAGACTTCCCGACTAATGAGGTTTGGGCTGGCATCAAGGTTTTCATTTTATAGCGAGTCAACTATGCAAGCATCTAAATTAAACATCGCTTCGTATTAAAAAAAAAAACAACAACAAATTTTTGTTTTTTATTTTGTATTACTGGTTTTCTCTGTTGGCTGGCTTGCTTGCGCCAGCGCCGTCATGCCTATAGCGCATCCACAGTCAAGTCAAGGAAGGCTCCTTGGTCGCTGAAGCAAGCAATTCAATTTGCGGAGGGTTTGCTTTAAATATGGAACACTACGGCATGGAAATATACTAATTCCGGTGTGGCGGTATTCCCAGGAAAACTTAGTGATCCAATTCGTTCATCCTAAGTGGATCACCGCAGCCTGATTCTTGGGCAGCTACTCAGCGGTCGCAGCCGAGTTTTGTTTGCGCGTACCCCTATTTGCGCCTTGCATCTCGCAACCTTTTTTTTCCCCTGCCGTCTGAATTCAAGTTGTTTAGGGCTCCAGACGTCGACATTCGAAGGCTCTAGCCCCCATATAGGACTTCGTATCGGTATACTAGTTCCTGAAATGGTGGCGCTTTTACACAGGCGGATTGCCTACGCCGTCGCTGCGATCGTGTTCGTCACCGTCGTATTTCTCAGTCGAGACGTTGCAACGGAACATGTCAAGAATATAAATTGGAATACATCGACAGACTTCCTGCGCAAGGGCTCCGAAAATAAAGAGAACGACAAACCAAAAGTACCCGAACCCTACGACATTCACAACCCATACAACGACTCGGCCGAGACTGCCAACATTCCCGAAACGTCAAATCAAAACAAAATCGATACTCAGGCGTCGAATAATGACAACAGCATTAATAGCATCAAGAATGCCACATTCGGTGTGCGTATATCGTTATATCCTTGTCACAAATACATATTAATCTCATTGGCTTACAGTTTGAGCACATCTTCGTTGTCGGTCTACCCTCTCGCTCGGATCGCCGTGATGGCATGGCACTGGGCGCGGGTTTGACCGGAGTACAGATTGAATTCATTGACGGCATTGCTGGTTCCGACATTACCGAGAAGGCTATCATACTGCCCCAAGAAGGCAAGGCTATTGAGGGTGGTAGCCTTGGTGCCTGGCGTGCGCATATCAACGCTATCCGAGAGTCAGCAGCCCTTTCCTCGCTTCCTTTTTGAAAAATTTAGCTAATTCCTTCTACAGAGTTGTGATGCGAAACCTTACCACAGCTCTCATCATGGAAGACGATATAGATTGGGATGTTCGAATCAAGCGACAGCTTCGGGACTTCGCACTGTCGAGTCGCGCTCTTCTTCAGCCACTACGTGATTCGGACGGATACGCCGACCCATCCTATCCATACAAAACAGCGAAGAGCCCAAAGAAAACTGTCAACTTGAAATTCAGCGAATTACCTCCGACAAAAGACCCAATCACGACACCGTACGGCGATAAGTGGGATGCCTTCTGGCTTGGCAATTGTGGCATGGCTTTTCCCGATGACAAGAATGCGTTCATTTCCAGGGGACGCGTAACCTACGAAAACGACGAAACGGTGCCTGCAAAGAAATTCATGGACAAAGCCAACCTCCCCCAGCTCCTAGAACAATACCCTGATCACACCCGCGTTGTTCACCACTCCCAAGGTGGCATCTGCAGTCTGGCTTATGCGGTCACTCAACGTGGTGCTCAAAAAATGCTTTACGAGCTGGCTCTCAAGCCCGTCACTAGACCATTTGACTTGATGCTCAATGCTTTCTGCGGCGGCGATCTCGGGGGTGAGGACCACAACTGTCTTGCCGTTTCGCCACCAATATTCAATCACCATCGACCAGCAGGGAACATGAATTCAGAGAGTGATATTTCGCCACATGGAGAGAACTATCGAGCGGAACCCATGACAGATTTGGTAAGGTGGGCTGTCCGAGTAAATGCAGCGAAGTTGCTCAGGGGGGAGCAGAATTTCGTAGATGCGTTCCCTGATGATAAGGAATAAGTAAATTTGTATCTGAAGTCACATTATAAAATCGTTAATATTTGCTGTTATTCCAAACAATTGAATAGTTTAGCTAAGTAGATAATCCGGCGGTGCGAGAGCATAGCTGGATTCTTTTACGTAAAGATGCCTCCGATGCTGTATTAATATCACATACTCAGTGTTACAAACCAATCAGGGACGAGGGGTCGCGCCAACGGGCCGCCCCTCCGACATGACATAAGGCAACAGCACCGCCATGTCACGTGACGCACCTGCAGGCATGCACTGATCCAGGATCGATAGGATCTGTAGATGATCCTAAATGATCCTGATGAGATGAACAAGTATATAAATCCCTTAGATAACCTAGTTAGAGTAGTTCAGATCTTCAGTGATCAATCTAAGCAATTACTTGTTAATTGAGGATAACTCCTTAACGACCGCTTAACCAATCCTTTGCTACTACTGCTCTTGGACTTAGTCCACTTACACCGCGACTGTTCTACTACATAGGACAGACCCCTACGTAGTGCAAGCCACTTCGTTACATCAAAGACCTCTAATTCTAGCACAACATATTAAGGCTATTTGAATTGAATATCTAGTCTTTGATAAAGTTATTTATTAACTAGCTTAAATTCTGTATTAGCACGGAAATTGAGCCGAGATTCGGCTGCGTTGGTTGGTCGTAAATCTGGTTGATCAAGCCAGATATGCATTTGTTTCTGTTGTGACTATTGTGACATTGGACGTGTGTTACTTTGCTGGAGGAGTGAAGGAATAGTTAAGTCACTGGAAGTGGCTGAGAAAACACAGGAAAAGGAAGTGAATACAGGATGTATTCGCTGTATTTAACTAGAGCAGTTCCGACCATGGAACTAGAAGAGAACAACGAACTTCTACCACAACCTTTTACCTTTTAATAACACGTGTTATTTACCCTTGAACCAACAGTTTCCATATCGAATATTCAATCCGCTCTCGATTGACGTAACCTAGCTTTGAGATAAATTCTTAGAAAGAAATACATACGTCATTAGAAAATGGATTAATTAAAGCAGTTACAGCACTAGAAGAGGAAGCCATACTTAGAGTAGATGTTGTTTAAATCAAGTTTATTACTATCTTTACTGTATTTTTTAAAACTATCTACACCGCTTCTTCCACATATTCGCGAATACTCCATTCGCGAATAGGATGGATTAGTGGTTGGCGCAGCTAATTCGCGGGTGGAGCAAAACATATACACTATCGCTAACGGTTGCAGTGCATTTTACTATTTCTGTTTCAAGCCACGTGATATTATGCAAAAGTTCTCTCTGCGTAGCCATTCTCCAGACGCGGCAATACGGTCTCTCGCACGTGGAGATGCTTGGTATCACGATGTAATGGCCTGTCTTGGTGTTATGAACTTTCCTCTCTTCTTATTCGCTGCTATTCGATTTTGGTCGCTCGTCAGGAACCGGAGCCGTGGGCTGTTTTCCACCAACTCTGAGGCTGGCGACGGGCCCATTGATTTTACATCCCTGATTGTTCTAGGAACTGGAAACTGTTCCCAGGCAGTGCTCAACTTCGCAACCGCGCTCACATCTCAGCGATGGATCATGGGAAGAGGCTTCGATAATATCACAGTCCTTGATACAACTCTTACCGTCCTTGACTTGGCTGCTGCATGGGGAATTCTTAAGGGAGCGCACGTCGCAGAGGTCCAGGATGCTAAGAAGAGTAGCCATGGATTTATTTTCAATTATTTTGTAAAGACTTTCTCTGCATCATAATATCTCCGTAAAAAATGACTCTAAAATTAAATGTCGAAAATTCTAAAATACATCTATGCCATGTCTTTCTAATAGAAATTAAATGATCACCTCCTTGAAACAATCAACAACTAGGTCTCCCACTATTCTGCTTTTTTCGAAGTCTTGGTCCGTAGCTTCATAAGCGCGTACACCAGCCCGTACGAACTGAACACCATGAGGACCACAATGCCAGCATTACGCCAACCATAGTAGTACTCATTCAAATTCAGCGACTTGAGGTAATCACTGCCGTTGCTGTAGGAACACACGCGGCAATCAGCGGTCGCATTAGGGTTGACGAGCTTGCTGGCAGCGCCCCGTCCAGCCGCCAAGTAGCTCTCCAAGTATGCACCACAGGTTGTCCCATTGGGAGGGTTGAAGAGAGCAAATTCATTGTCCGTACAGCGAACATCTTGGCCCCACAAGTCAAACACGAGCATGCTACCCATGAGATAGTTGAAAGGGTTAAGATAATATATCCAGTACTTCCAGAATGGCTGGATCTGCTGGTAGGGAACAAGCACGCCGCAAAACGAAACCAGAGTACCGATGATCACGGGGTTCACCAGTGCTGCAAAGACTTCGTTTGGCGCGTAGGCTGCGATAAACTGGCCTATCCCCGTGTAAAGAAATTCGTAGGAGAGCATGACGAAGAACGTGGAACCGGCTCGATCAGAGGCAGACGGGAAGCCGACGGTATAGTACCAGCAGACAAAGTACAGAACAGCTGAAACAACCAGGTACGGCATCTCGGAAACGATAAGCGCAGTCACAAATGCAACCCATGAATACGTCTTTGATTTTTTCTCTCGGGTCTCAAAGATGTTCCTTCGGTGGATGAAAAGAGGTTGAAGCTGTGCCAAAACACCAGGAGCAACAAAGATGAAGTTGAAGATGGTGAAGAGCTTCAGTTGTAGGTCTCGCACTGAGTTCCCAATCATCCAGAATGAAAAGCCATTAAACAGCGCAGAGAAGATATGTAAAGCAAACTTGTTGTTGGCATAGTCGGTGTTTCGGTACAGCGACAGGTTCATGCGACGCGTGACAACCTTAATCTGCTCCCACAAAGGAACAGCGAACTCGTAGCCATCATCCTCTACGCCAGGCGGCTTCGAACTTACATCTTGGATGATTTGGTCTAGTTCAGCAGTAACTGCCTGATACTCAGGAGATGATTGCCACATGTCGCTCCAGTCTTTTGAGTCGGACAGACTGCCAGAAACAACGTCAATCATGTGCTCGGCAGGATTAGCCTCCTCAGGACAAGGTGCACCATAGCGTGCAAAATAGTCCTTAACGGTGCTAGCACCATCGCCAATGTCGCCAAAGTAGACGGTCTTGCCCCCCTTTGCGAGAAGGAGAAGACTATCGAACTGAGCAAACAGCTGCGCTGAGGGCTGGTGAATCGTCACCATGACAGCCTGCCCAACAGCTGCGAGTTTGCGCAAGAAGCTGACCGTTCGGAAGGCAGACTGTCCATCCAAGCCAGATGTCGGCTCGTCGAGGAAGATGAGGATGCTTGGTTTAGAAACGAGTTCCACACCAATCGTCACCCGCTTGCGCTGCTCAACGTTGAGTCCAGCGCCAACCTCGCCAATCAAAGTATCGGCGAGATCCCCCAGCTCAAGAAGGTCGATAATGGTATTGACATAAGCAAGCTTCTCCTCTTTGGGGGTATCACGGCTTTGTCGGAGTAAAGCGGAGAACTCGAGCGCCTCGCGAACCGTCGCGTACGACTCATGAACATCAAGCTGCTCGCAATATCCAGCAGATCGCTGGAAAGATGTAGGGAGCGGCCGTCCGTCTACCAAGATGGACCCGTAGATCGTGCCGTCAGTTTTGCGCTGGGCAAGCACATCAAGAAGCGTTGTTTTACCGGCCCCAGAACTACCCATTAGCGCAACTAATTTACCCGGCTTAATCCATCCTTGAACATTGTCGAGAAGACGACGGTCGCCGCTTGGGGTCTTGACGGTGTAGCTGAGGTTCTTCCAGGTAAAGATGGAGCTGTTTCGGACAAGACCTTGGCGTGAGCTTGCATCTCCAGCAGGATTCTTCCACTTGGATGGTGTTGTATGACCGGATGACAGGGTATCGTTTGCGGTTACTTGGCCCTCTTCATCCATCTGCCGGTTTAACAGAGTGACAGTAGCGTTCTCTCGTGGAATCAGCGAGCTTGGTCCGTTTTCAGCCGACAACTTCCAGCGGCTCGTTGCCCAAACAGTAATGGCAACATAGAGCGCCCACCACACCCAGAGAATGCCAAAGTTTCTCCAAAGATGAGCATGACTATATGATAGCGACGACAGGTACGCGTCACCATCAACGTAGGCTTGTCCAGGTACGGCACCACCAACTCCGCCACATGCCTGATGTAAATTATTACCATATTCAGGGCCATTGGGTATCAGGTTGGGGCCAACGCATGGAATAGTCTTGCCATGAAACTCATTGGAAAGCAGCGCATCAAATGCGTACGCCAGTGGGTCGATCCAAAAGATCCAAACAAACCAGGGATGCATTTTGGGCTTCTGAATCATGTACCCAGTGTACATGAAAACGGCAGAGACAATAAGTCCGGATGCTTTGGCAGCGCCATCAAAGGTTCCAAAGGCAGCTCCGATGGCTCTAAACATTGCCGTCATACAAAAGGTCGCCGAAACCACAATAACCCAGAACGTAAAGAAGATGCCTGCGTCCTTGGTCAGGCCAACCATGAAGTATAGAATCAACGATAGAATCGACACCTGAGAGAGAATGACGGGGATGTCGGCGGCTATCTGGGCGATGCAAAATGCAGCCGGGTGAAAAAATGCAAAGGATTTGTGTTTGAGCAAAACAGGTCTGCCGTGGAACGAATCTGTCACCTCCGACATGGCAATTAGGGTATTGAATAAAAGGGCAAAGAAGAGCGCACCTGACTTTAGAAACAAGCCTGCTGAAGTCACCGGTGCGTTGTAGAAGAGCGAACCGGCAACAAGAGCTTGTACTAGCGTCGAGCCCTGCTTGATCCAAAAGGTTGCTTGGTCTCCCCAGATAATCTGGTACTGGCGCTTGACACAAGCACCGACCTGTTGCGCAAATCCAACGGTCAGAGGGCTACTTTCGGGTAACATCATGTGCTTCTCCATTGCGATCGCTCTTTGGAACTCGCTCGTTTTCTGCCGGGTAGCGTCTTTGTCAGGGAAGTCATACTCGGCGACCATCTGCGTGCGTATGGCGGACTTTTCGTATTCCAAGAGAATAGCAGACGCAGTTCGTGGGAACGTGTGCTGCATTTTCGGGTTGATCTCGCGTTCTGTTGGAATTGTCACGCCGGTTAGGAAGTCAGCGACATTGGCGCCTGGTGCGCAGACGAAACCGAGATTCTCCATAAAGGGTCGGGCATCTTTCATTGGGCCGTAGTATGTTTCCTTTCCTTCGTCCAGAATGAGAACCTTATCGAACAGGTCGTAGATGCCATTTCCGGCTTGGTAGAGGGTCACAATCGTGGAGAGGCCCAGTATGTCTGTCATAGCACGGATAGCCTTGGTGTATTCGAGAGCCCTGTTTTAACGGTCAGTCGCAACAACTAGAAGAGGGCGAAATTATTAAACAAAACATACGTGCTAGCATCTAAGCCTCGTGTTGAATTGTCCCAGCAGAAGACGCTACCCTTGGCAGCCAGACATTCGATAATGGAGACTCGCTTTCGCTCTCCACCAGAGACACCGCGAACAAACGCATCACCCACTTTGGTATCTATGGTGTGTTCTATGCCAACAGATTGCAGCAAGAAGTCCCTAGACTCGATTCGATATTCTTCTGCGTCTTTTACTCCTTCGGGAAGTCGGAATGGCATGTTGAGTCGCGTGGCAAAGTCCATGGTTTGGCGGACGGTCAGGGACGGAAAGAAAACTTCTTCTTCCGTATTCATAACAATCTGACCTTTATACCGCTTCGCTTCCTGGGCACTCATGGACCCATAGAGTACGTCACCAGACACATTTGCATAACCCCGTCGCTTGTTGGCCAGCATGCTGAGCAAAGTCGTGCAGCCAGAGCCAGGGCGACCGAGTACGAGTAGCATCTCGCCTGGCTTGACACACCCGTGGCTGTTGTCTAAAATTGTTCTCATCCGTGGTTTTTGTCTTGATTCCTTCATCAATTTCGGAATGTTGAATTGGGAAAAGACATTTTCGTGAATGGAGGCATCGGCACAGACGGCTTCGATAGTCAGGTTTTGCCATGTCACTCCCAGTTCACGACGTGGGAAGCCGGAGTTGTGGTCTCTTTCTTGCATGGCTGAAACTTTGTCTTTCAAATGCCAATCTAGACCGATTTTGGACTTTTCTTGCCCTTGGTCTTCCGTCGACTGCATGGCGACTGGTTCCAGCAACTTGCTGGCTCGGTTGGTGTGATGGGTTTACGTGCTGTACTGGAAATATGAAAATTAGTAAAAGTGACTTGGGCTCTCTTGAAATAACAGAAAGTATTTATATATATTTAAGAGCATTATTCAAAGATAAAGCCCGGAAGGGATGTCAACCCTTCTTTATATACTCCATTGCATTGCACCGGTAGAGCCTACCAAGATTCGGCCTTATAACAAAGACCGAGCCCATTCTTCAGGCTCGGAACTGCCGGACCCCGTTCTAGCCCTGCTTTTACACATTTTTAAGATTTGTTTTGTTGCCGAGTCATAAATTAATAAGGCGATTGTCTTCTTCTACGGTATTGCTTGCCCGTGCTTCCGTAGGCTGGGGCGGCTAACTCCACATTTTAGTGGCTACTTGTTAGATATCTTCGCTGACTCAGCGGGTTTAGCGTCCAGGCGCTTCTCAGGCTTTCAACAAGGCCGCTCAGCACCGCCCTGATTGATAACGGCTCTTGCCATGAATCCGTTCGTACCGCTGACGCGTTCTTGAGTTGACTCTAAGCCTTGCAGCAGTTGAACAACATGTCAATAGTCATGCCGTGAACTATCAGGGTATATGGGTATGAGATCATCTCCAGGCACACCAAGACTCTAAGTTCTTTCGAAAGCTAACTTCTTTCCAAGGATAAACATCAATTTCGGGTACTATTAAGTGAACAACATGGTAAATAAACTGCGTCGTTCATGCGATGCATGCTTTAAGCGCAAGGTATGCTATCATCTCCGCACATCACAATGCAGGGTGCGGCAAAGAACCTACGCTAACACGTTATAGATTCGGTGTGATGCGTCACAAAGCGGTGGCTTGTGCGACTGGTGTGATAATCACGGTCTCATCTGCTCGTTTAGTAAGCGGGTTCCAAGAGCCAAGTAAGAGATCTCTTGCTCCCTTGAACCTCCGAGATAGCCGGACTTGCTCTCTGCGTTATCCCGGTTTCGCGCTATCCCGCTTCCATGCCGACTAACTCGGACTTAGACCCGGCCGCAAGCCCGAAGGATTGGCAAAATCTCCTGAAACTCATGCAAAGCAGTCGACGACTGCATCTCCCATATCAAAAATATCCACTGTGGAATCTCTGGTCCAAGCACAGCCGGCCCGCCCAAGACCCCCGACTCCATGGTGCAACACATGTCGAGTTCCATCCAAGGCCCAGACACCCCGTGGACTATCAAGAAACAGTTCCCTAGGCCAAATACTGTATTCAGGAATTAACTTTGGTATTATCTGCCCTCAGACTGGCTTCCCACAGTTCACGCAGCATTGTGAGGAATGGGTTCATTCACGTACAGGCCAATGGCCCTGGTTCGAGTACAACTCGGAATTTATCCGTACATCTTCCTCTAGCTCGCTTTCGTCACCTGCAACGGTGCAGCTTCCTGAGCGTTGGGTGGTACAGCTATTATTTGAAGAATTCTCTAATTCAGACTTGATTCTCGTGTTTCCTGTGGTGGATATTGTACTGTTCAAGGACACTATAGCCTTGGCGTACTCCACGAACCACCATGCCCAAACAAACCAGCTCGTCGCCAAGGCATGTGTGTATGCTTTCCTCGCTATAGCCGGCAACCACTGTCCATCGAGCAAGGCAATTGCATTTATCGACTGTGATGCTTGCGCAAAAGTAGCCCAGTCTCTCCTATTGAAGTGCACCAAAGTTGTGGATATCATTATCCTGCAAACAATTTTAATGCTGGTAAGTACTGTACCATAGTTTTACCGATAAAACTTTCTGCTAATACTGCCTGTAGTTTCTTTTCGAGGGTTCATCCGGCGTTGACTCGGCACTATTAATGTACCACGCGCTTGCCTGCCGTACTGTGCTCGCTTTAGGCGGTCATGTGGTTCCCTTCCCGGTGAAAAGTAACAGAAAATTCACCCATGAAGAGCGAGAAGATCGCCAGCTCCGCATGCTCTTTTGGCTTTGCTATTACTTCGATAAAAACATCTGTTTCCGGACTGGTCAACCCCCCATGATTGATGACAACTTTTGTGACTTGACACTGCCTGAGGAATACCTATCCAGCATCTTCAAAGGTCGCAACCGAGACCCAAACGATGACTCCCAGATGCCTTATCTTCCTGGTGACTTGCGACTTTGTCTGCTCAAGTCCAAGGTGCTGCACAGGCTATACTCTAAAGGATCTTTGCAGAAGTCTGATGCGGAGCTTCTCAGAACTATTCGCGAACTGGATAATGAGCTCGAGAGCTGGCGACAATCGATTCCGGCAGAGTTTGCCCCAGCACTCTCGGTTCGCAAAGATGTCAAGATAGCGGACCATCTCACGTTGGCTAAGAGCATGCTGCATATCGAACTTCACTTGGAGTATCACCATACCTTGCACGTTATTCACTGCGCCAGCGGCCGCTACACACCAGTTGTTAGGAATGAGTACCAAATCAGTTCAGGCGTCCAGTCTAGTTTGGATATTTCAGTAGAGGCGAGTCGATCAACGATAGTATATCTCAATGCTGCTGCGAGTAGACTTGCTGCTGAGGCATTCTGGTAAGTTTGACACGAATATTGTGTAGACGAACTCAGTTGCTAATTACTGTTCAGGTCATTCGTTTTCTACCCAATGTCCGCTCTTTTGACTCTTTTCTTCAATATCCTGCGCAACCCTGAAAATGAATATTCTAAACACGATATAGAATTACTCATTACGTCATCGAAGATCATACATGACATGCCCAAAAACAAGATCACATCATTTACGATCGCATATTTGAAGCAGGCAGATGCCTTGGTGGCAGAATTAGTTCGGTTAGCGCAGGCCGCGATTACAAAGTCGCGACAGGAACCACGCCATGTGCGACAATAAAGTGCGTCTGATTGTCTTTATGCCTGAATGATATTATAAAATGTATTTAAACTAAAGTACTCCTTGTCTGTTATACTAACAACCTCCCGTCGATTACGCCAAGCAAATACCGGCCAATCTCAGCTAGTTTGTAGGGTATTTTATTCCACTGCCAAGTCGATTGCCCTAGCCACGGCGATCGCGTTCGTTTTCTAGTCTAGCTCGTATGACTACCACAGCAGTAACCATAACAAAGGACCCAAACTCAACGCTCCACAAGCTCAGCTCTAACAAGCCATGTAGCACCCATTAGAATAGATTGAGATAATAATCCATAGCATTGACATGAAATTAACAAACCATATCAGCCTATATTCGCCTTTGGTCCTGATACGTGGGCTGATATACGAGTATCCCGATGTAGCATTGACTCGCTGCCACGGCTCCGCCCGCCACAAGCTGTGGCTGAAGGAATGTAATTGAGTGTACGGACTCGGTCTAACTGCCGCCTTTACTCCTATCAAGGAGTTTGTAGGTTCATAAACACCGCTGTTTTCTCTCCACTTCACCAGACTGAACGACAATGGCCGAACCCAAAGTATTGATTGTGACTGGCGCAACCGGCCATCAGGGCAGTGCAGTGATTGACGCGCTGATTGCTGCTGACGATGCCAACTTCCACATCCTTGCGGTAACGCGTAACACCACCTCGGCAGCGGCCAACGCGTTGCGCGCAAAATCCAAGAAAATTAGCGTAATCGAAGGAAACCTGGACGACGCGACGGCTCTCCTCAACGCAGTCCAGGCGGCGACGAACCCCCAGACCATCTGGGGCGTTTTCAGCATGCAGCAGTCGGGCAACAGCCAGGCCGCCGCCGTGATGGAAGAGAAGCAGGGCCAGGCACTCGTGGACGCATCGCTAGCTGCCGGCGTGCAGCACTTCGTCTACGCGTCTGTGGACCGCAACGGAGAGCAGCCTACCGACATCCCGTACTTTGCAAGCAAGCACCGCCTGGAGAAGTACCTGATAGAAAGCGCCAAAGACAAGCCCATGAAATGGACTATCTTGCGTCCTGTCTCCTTTATGGAGAATTTCGACGGCTCCACTGGCAAGGCATATGCCGCCATGCTCAGGGTGTCGCTCAAGGCTAAGCCGATTCAGTTTGTTGCGACCCATGATGTCGGTGTCGTGGCTGCCAGGGCTTTTTGTGACCCAGATAGCTTCTCTGGGAAGACCATCTCCATTGCTGGCGACGAGCTAACCTTTGACGCCTTAGCCGCTGTGTATCGCGACAAAGTTGGCCGCGATGTTCCCGCCCTGCCGGGTTTCGTGGGACGACTCATCCTGCTTTCCAGCAAGGATTTGCGCGTCATGTTTAACTTTTTCGCCGAACAGGGTTACGGGGCAGATGTTACAACAGTGAAGGCTGAATACCCTGGAATTATGAATTTTGGGACGTGGCTGGAGTGGAAGGCCTCCAAGTCTAGAAAGTAGCACTTGATGCAAGATACGTTTAGTGGATACGTAAGATACACTATAGAGTACTATGTAAAGAGTCTTGAAAAGGGGCCCAAGCATCAAGGTCCCTGATATAGGACGGAGAGATAGCCTGGCATCTACACCAATAAATCCAAGTGGCCAAGCGAGGCTCCTCATCACGCAGCCCTTGAGGTGGGCCGCGAGTTAGTTCGCGTTTGGATGACGGCTGCGCTGATACTTGCAACTATTAAAAATAAATGCCGTATACTATAACCTAGTGTGAGGATCTACCAGTTCGTTTTTACTATGTCCCCGAGTACTAACTTTAATAACAAGTGTTTTTAATATAAGAAACACTTTCTAAACGTAAACAAAAGTTAATATATAACGGTCTCAACTGAGTATATTGACAACTAGCTGAGCGACTACTACGAGTATCCGAAGATGAAGAAGAAGAGGTCGAAAAGGGGCTATTCTAGCTGGCTGGAGCAACCTCTTATATGACTTACATGGATCCCTGGTCGAGAAGTGAAGGAATAGTTAGGTCACTGGAAGTGACCAAGGAAGGAAAAAGAAGTGAATACAGGATGTATTCGGTGTATTTAACTAGAGCAGTTCCGACCATGGAACTTAAAGAAAACAACGAATTTTACTACAACCTCTTACCTTTTGATAACACGTGTTATTGATCATTGAACCAACAGTACTGAATATTTATTATTACTTGAAATTTAGTCGTTAGCCAACTCACAGTACAAATTATGACCCACGCTCACCCTACCCATAATGGTCGAGAATGTCCAATTCGATTGCACTGCGGAACCCACGCACAAGGTTAATAGGGTTGCAGTATATGGAGAGACGATCTAATACTAGTATTAAGCTTGAAATATTTGAAAGCTAAAGAGATTTAAGTTTTAATCGCGCCAGTTATTCTAGCGATGTAACAATACCCCTCGTGCTTCTTATACCCAGAATTATTCCAAGATTAGGCTTACATGTAGTAGAATATGATGGATCGACATAAATATCAAGCTCTTGGTAGCTAAAGACATCAGCTACTTAAAATTTTGAATAAATCTCAGCGTAGTAATTCTCCACGGCTGCAAGATCTGTTCCTGGCCGTTTAAGAAACTCAAAAGCTTTGCTCTGCACACTTAGCAACTGCCTGCTGATATCTTGCCAGCTAAGACGCTCGCCCTTGTCCTCAAATCCGCCTTCCTCTGACCACTCCATCGAAGACACATTCAAAAGCAGGTTAGGGTGGTAAAGGTCTCTATTTATTCTAGCAAAGTTATACTACTCTAAATAACTACCCAAAGTACAGGTAAAGTAAGTAAAGAAAGAAAAAAGAAAGAAAGTTGAGAAGTTAAAAGACTGTTGAAGTGTTTTGGAGTCTTAGAGACTTGGGTGGAGTGGTTTGCTGTTGAGAGCGATATCGTAGCCTTGATAGTATTATAGTAGTGGTACTCTTCGGTCTTATATATTGCGTGGTCTGTTTAATACTGTTGTTTTGAAGCGGGTTTTCGGGTTTCTTTGAGCCGTTTATTGAGGTTGTTAGTTGGCGATCGATATAGCTGCCATCATGCGGGCTCGATTTAGTATAAGACTAATCGTTGTGTCGAGATGGTTAGCAGCGTAAGGGCTTAGAAGCGCTTGCAAGCCTTTGTACGTTTGTGCTGTCTCCTTTTCCATCAAGCCGCCAGCTGAGAAGATAAGCGGTTTGAAGAACGTACCAAGACAGCTGTATTTGAGCTGTTTTGCCTTGTAGGCCTCGGCGAGCGCGTTCTGGAGCTTGTCTTTCGCTGACGCTTTGTTGACTGCTACGACTTGGATATCGTAGTAGTATTTGCTCGAGCCGAGCGTAATAGCGAAGTCGACGCGCTCGTTGACGCCTACTCTAGAATTGCTACCTGTAAGATCGTCGACCTCCCCTTTGTGAGCCAATCAAATCTGCCCAGTCCCACCCATTTCTACCCCTTGTTTTGCCACACGCAAACTCGGCGATCTTCCGTCTTTTTGACGGGAATAGACAGCCCCTTCCCAATTCGTAGCCACCAAAAACGCGCCGTTCACGAACCAGCCGCGACCAGTGCGGACGGGAACGCGCCGACTTTGAGGGTTAGCCTACCCGACAATTTCCAAGCGGACAAGAGCCCCTTGATTCTTACCATATTCTTATCAAATAACGCATCAAATATATATATAATTCGAATAACCATCTATTCTTTCATTTGAATCATCCTCCAAATAGCTTTAGAATAGCTTGTGGTGGCTTTCTTTGTAACTGAACATGATCAGTACCAAGCAGCGCCAGCAGCTGGACGTGCTCGAGCTGCACTTGGACGAAGAGAACCGCGTCATTATTTGCAAGCTCTGTCAATTTGCCATCAAGCCAGCAGGAAATCGAGTAACACGGCATCTAGCTGACAAGCATGGCATCTCTCGCCACGCCCGAGTTGGGCTACGCAAGATTCTCACGATATTGGAGCTGCCAGACCCAGCAAAGCTGCCACCACGACCGGACGGATCGCCGCTGCACCCATATCTTGAGCGACGCACATGTCTATGCTGTAAGCTCTGTGCTTTCAAGACAACTAGCTTGGATCTTATCAGCCGTCATATCCCAAAGACCCATGCTGAAATATGCCGACCGGGCCGTACGGGGGTCTGGATCCGCGACTACATCGACAGCACCAGCAGCTTCCAGAGCTGGCAGGCCAACGACATCATGAACGCATGGCGCATTGATGTTCCCGTCGCGCCCAATAGCGAGGGAGCAGGTCTGCAGAGGCTGGCTGCAAAAGGCACAGAACCAGACATGGTCGATCCACGCGAAGCGCTCATCAAGCGCATTCGAGAGCAGGAAATAAGAGCATCGTCAGGTATTGGAGAGAACAGCGAGGCTGATCCCGCGCTGTCGCAACCGGCGCTCATGACAAATTGGATGCGCCGCACAAGATGGCACCAGACGTTCTTGGAGGCGGATCGTCCTGCGCTTGTTGCGCTCTCGGCGCTGCCGCACCCATACCAGCATCAACGGCCACTGCGCATACAGCTAAGCAACGGTATGACACTAGACAGCGCAGTGCGAGATGAGATGACACTGCGTGCCATAATGAGCGCCGTGGATCGGCTGATGGACCGGGCTGGCGACACGATCCGGAACACAGACGTCGC